TCACCATATGCGCATATTTGCCTCATTAGTCCCATTGCTGATTGTCTTGCGTCCAGTGCGAGCGCTGCCGTTATAATTCGCATTCCCTACCTTCATCACTATAAAGATATCGAATTCCTCTGTGAGTCTTGCTGGCATACGTGTTATGCTATACCAGGTGACCCTTCGAGCTAATGAACGGCGCTGCTTAGATGCAACCGCCGATATCTCAATATGGTCCAATGTTGAAGCTGGGCTCGGTATAACTGCAGGAAGTCTTGTTACCCTCCGCCCACTCTTCCGCTGGTTTCGAGGAACTAGCTATGGCGCCACTCATAGCGTAAAAAGGACAACCGGTAGCGTCCCTCTATCGAGCATGAACGGCAATGGGACACTGCGGTCAAAAAATGATCGTGCGGCGACAAGGTTCTGGAGGCCAGATATCGATCCTGAAGATTCCCGTGCGATTGTCACCACGATCCAAACATCTCGGAGTGGAAATAGCAGCCAGGAGGACTTGAATCCCCGGCAGCATCCTATGAATGGTGTCAACGTGCACAAATCATTCCATGTAACATCTGACGAAATGTAGTATATTATAATAGAAAATATTACGCCATTAGATTCAAGAAAAAAAAAGTAGGCAAAAAAAGGAAGACACCAGTTGAATTCTATTCCTATCTATAGATCCTAATTGAAACGATAGCATATCATTTAATGATGAGATTGCGTACAGTTAGAACAAGCCGATAGGCTTTGATTGCTAGATAGGACTTCCGGGCTAGCCCAAGTAGCTACTAGCATCGGATTGGAAAATGTCGGTTCCGTACATGGCACGTGGCGTCAGCCAATCGAGAACGCGCAACGACGGACCTTGGGTTAAGCGGCGAAACCTCCAGAAGGAAAATTGTAGTGTCGAGGTGGCTTCTTTACGGTGTTTCTCGACGACCTTCTTCTTTCTATTTCTATTGCTAGGGGCCTGAAGGGATAGGAAGCTCTTCTCCTCCCTCTCCTATGGTTTACTGAATTTTCGTTTTTCATCTTTTTACAGTCGTTTGACCCGGGCCGTGGTCACTCGAGTTTCGCCATGTTAGTTCCATTTTCTTGTCGCCGGCAATAATCGCTTTCCATACTGACCTATGTATAGGGCAAAACTTGTGGATGATCCCCAAATCAAATATGCGTCCTTTCATAACCCACTTCCTGTCCAACTCCACACTTATGTCTGGCCGTTCTTGATCGTCTGGCCTGCGTTCCTATCCATCTACCTCTCCCCCGAGCGCTATGATACATACATTCAAGGCCAGGAATGGACATTTGTGTGGCTAGCCTCGATTATCACGGCCCAATCGCTCCTTTGGTTGATGACGAAATGGAATATCAATATACAAACGTTGTTCACGGCAACCAGCACCAAGTCTATCGATTCTGCTCAGCTCATCAAAGTGATTCCGGAGGCCAACGCCGGATCGGCCGAGATATGTCCTTTGATCCGTGACTCTATGGGTGGAAAGATCACACTTTCGTTTTTGTTCCAGAAGCGTCGATTCCTCTATTATCCAGAACGCCGGTGCTTCGGCCCCTTGTCATACGTCCTCGATGCCGAGCCCAAGCCTGCCATTAAGATTTTCCAGGAAAATCAGGGATTGGTTTCTAAGGCCGAAGTAGAGCGCATTCAGCATCACTATGGAGACAACAAGTTTGACATTCCTGTTCCAGGATTTATTGAGCTTTTTCAGGAACATGCAGTGGCGCCTTTCTTCGTCTTCCAGATCTTCTGTGTCGGGCTGTGGATGCTGGATGAATATTGGTACTATTCCTTGTTTACGCTTTTCATGCTTGTTGCCTTCGAAAGCACGGTCGTTTGGCAGCGTCAGAGGACTCTTAGCGAATTTCGAGGAATGAATATCAAGCCCTATGACGTATGGGTTTACCGTGAGGGGAAGTGGCAGGAGATCACAAGCGACAAGCTTCTGCCCGGTGATCTAATGTCGGTCAGTCGTACTAAGGAAGACAGCGGAGTTGCTTGTGATATTCTTCTAGTTGAAGGCAGCGCTATCGTCAATGAGGCCATGCTCTCGGGAGAGAGTACTCCACTACTGAAGGAGTCTATCCAACTTAGACCCGGTGACGACCTGATTGAACCGGATGGCCTAGACAAGAATGCATTTGTGCATGGCGGCACCAAGGTTTTGCAGATCACTCACCCGAACTCCAATCTGGAAGAATCAGAGAAGAGCACGTCAAAGGTCCCTCCTTCTCCTGACAATGGCGCCATCGGTATTGTGGTGAAGACTGGCTTTGAAACAAGCCAAGGAAGCCTTGTGCGTACTATGATCTATTCCACAGAACGTGTCTCTGCCAACAATGTTGAAGCTTTGCTTTTCATTCTGTTCCTTCTCATTTTTGCACTCGCCGCTTCGTGGTATGTATGGCAAGAAGGTGTCGCAAAGGACCGCAAGAGATCGAAGTTGCTTCTCGATTGTGTCCTTATTGTCACCAGTGTCGTTCCTCCTGAACTTCCCATGGAACTCAGCCTTGCTGTCAATACAAGTTTGGCCGCCTTGAGCAAGTTTGCTATTTTCTGCACTGAGCCTTTCCGAATCCCCTTTGCAGGCCGTGTTGATGTTGCGTGCTTCGACAAAACCGGCACATTGACTGGCGAAGATCTCGTCGTCGATGGTATTGCGGGTCTTACTTTGGGCCATGAAGGCGCCAAGGTCGAAAAGGATGGCGCCCATTCCCAGCTCGCTAAGGGCGGCAACATCGGAGTTGACACAACGCTTGTACTTGCGAGCGCCCATGCTCTTGTCAAGCTAGATGAAGGAGAGGTTGTGGGTGACCCCATGGAGAAAGCTACTCTGCAGTGGCTTGGCTGGACTTTGGGCAAGAACGATATTCTTACTTGCAAGAATGCATCGGCAGCAGATCCTTTCCGCTCCCCTGAGTCGGTGCAAGTGAAGAGACGATTCCAGTTCTCTTCGGCTTTGAAGCGTCAGAGCACCATCGCGACTGTCATCACTAATGAACGAAAGTCTTCTAAGAAGACCAAGTCGACTTTTGTGGGTGTTAAAGGTGCTCCGGAGACTATCAGTACCATGCTTGTGAACACGCCTCCTAACTATGAAGAAACTTTCAAGTACTTTACTCGTAATGGGGCCCGTGTTCTCGCTCTCGCCTACAAGTATCTGTCTCCCGAGGCCGAGTTGTCCCAAGGACGAATCAACAACTACACTCGGGAGGAAATAGAGTCCAAACTGACTTTCGCAGGCTTCCTTGTCTTGCAGTGCCCATTGAAGGAAGATGCCATTAATGCCGTGCGCATGTTGAACGAGAGCAGCCACCGCGTTGTCATGATTACTGGCGACAATCCATTGACCGCTGTTCACGTTGCGCGCCAAGTTGAGATCGTTGATCGTGAGGTTCTGATCCTCGATGCTCCCGAACATGACACATCCGGAACAAGATTGGTATGGCGGAGTATTGATGATAAGTTTAATCGCGATGTGGACCCCACTCAAAGCTTGGATTCCGAGGTTCTGAGGACAAAAGACATCTGCATTACTGGGTACGCTTTGGCTAAGTTCAAGGGTCAGAAGGCCTTCTCGGAACTTTTACGTCACACATGGGTTTACGCTCGTGTCTCTCCTAAGCAGAAGGAAGATATTCTTCTCGGACTCAAGGATGCTGGTTATACTACTTTGATGTGCGGTGATGGCACCAACGATGTTGGAGCTCTGAAGCAAGCCCACGTCGGTGTCGCGCTTCTGAATGGATCTCCTGAGGATCTTACCAAGATTGCTGAGCATTATCGGACAACAAAAATGAAGGAAATCTATGAGAAGCAGGTCGCGATGATGCAACGTTTCAACCAACCTTCACCGCCTGTACCTTTGCAAATCGCACATCTGTATCCCCCTGGACCCGGTAACCCCCACTATCAGAAGGCTATTGAAAGAGAGGCGGCGAAGAGAGGATCTGCTGTCGCAGCAAATGCGCAGAATCAAGCGGACGGCATTCCCACCATTACATCGCCTGGTGCCCAAGCACTCCAGCAGTCCAACGCTAATTTGACTCCTCAGCAGCAGCGCCAGCAGCAAGCTTCTGCGGCGGCAGCTGGATTGGCGGACAAGCTTACTAGCTCCATGATGGAACAAGAGTTGGATGAAAGCGAACCTCCCACGATTAAACTGGGAGACGCATCGGTTGCTGCACCTTTCACCAGCAAATTGGCCAATGTAATTGCCATTCCCAACATCCTTCGTCAGGGCCGTTGTACACTCGTTGCGACGATCCAGATGTACAAGATCCTTGCTCTGAACTGCTTAATCAGTGCCTATAGCTTGAGCGTTATCTATCTTGACGGGATCAAATTCGGTGATGGTCAGGTGACCATCAGCGGCATGGTGATGAGTGTCTGCTTCCTTTCTATCTCGCGCGCAAAGGTAAATGAACTAGGCAAACAATATGCGTAATATGCTGCTAATCCTGCCTCTTAGTCTGTTGAGGGTCTGTCCAAGGAACGCCCTCAGCCCAATATTTTCAACGTATATATCATTGGCTCGGTGCTTGGGCAATTTGCCATCCACATTGTCACTTTGATCTATCTCACAAAATATGTTTACTCAATTGAACCGTGTGTTGCTCCCATTGGACGATTGTAAGATATTCTATTGACTGTTCCTAGGAGAAAATCCGACATCGACCTGGAGGGTGAATTCGAGCCATCCCTACTCAATAGCGCCATTTACCTGCTTCAACTCATCCAGCAGATCTCTACATTCTCTATCAACTATCAGGGCCGTCCTTTCAGAGAGTCCATCCGTGAGAACAAGGCTATGTACTGGGGCTTGGTGGGGGCATCGGCCATGGCATTTTCCTGCGCCACCGAATTCGTGCCGGAACTCAACGAAAAGCTGCGCCTTGTTCCTTTCAGTACCGAGTTCAAGTTCACGTTGACTGTCCTAATGATCGTCGACTACGCCGGCTGCTGGATCATTGAGAATGTACTGAAGAGGCTGTTCAGTGATTTCCGCCCGAAGGACATTGCTGTGCGCCGTCCAGACCAACTCAAGCGGGAGACCGCCCGTAAGGCGAAAGAGGGGTTGGAGAGGCTGGCTGCGCGATAAGCGCAGAGGAGCATTTAAATTGATTATTCTTTTCTGGATCTTGAATAAAGGGAGGGGTGTTTAGATTCCTTACTGTTGCTGTGGACGGATAGAAGTCTTTTGCCATGTGTGAGAGAAGTTTCATGTTGTAAAGTATTCTATACAATATAAAGATTAGACAACTATGGCTTTATATTTTATGAAGCATTCGCCTACTACGTTGGGTTTACATTCGAATCTGCAAATGCTGATAGATGATTCAGGGCTATGCTATTGTTGGGTACGAGGTAGTACTAATGTTCCTGCCTCAGGCACCGAGGAGGCCGCCGCCCCTCATTCATCCCAGGATCAGCTGCTCTACTTACTACTTTGCTTTACTCGCATCCCCAAAGCTCCGCCTTCTCCATTACTGAGACATCGGGGCTGCGCTGGATGCACGGCTCCCTGTCGCTTGATTCCCAACTCTCCTTTCCTCTTTTGCCTTCACATCTGGCTCGCCCTACTTACCGCTTTCCGCGGAATTTCCCTCCCATGCTCTACTAATCGAAGCCAACATGTCCCGGAGGACGCTGGGTGGAGGTCGTATCCTAGGCAGCGCGAACGCTCTCTCCCCATCGGCTTCAACCCCGTCTCCGCAACCCAAACCGAGGTTATTATCACCGACCGCCAGCAGCGTTTCCCTCAGCTCCCAAGCCTCTGCCTCCCAATTCTCCTCCGAAACACAAGATCTCACCTCTCGTATCTCCTTAGATAATGTCGGTACCTCGATTCCCGCGGCTCCGGCAGCTGCCGGAGCTCAGCTGGCTTGTCCGATCTGCAGTGAGGAGATGGTATACTTGCTTTCCCCTTGTTCCCTATGTCCATCAGTTTCCACTTAGTTCCCGGTGTGAGGCGCCTTACTGACGATCCACAGGTAACACTATTACAATTGAATAGGTACATATTACTCCACGAGCTCTTAACTCACGTCTCGTTAATACAGTTGCAGACATCTCGATGACGTACACCAGAACTTGGAAGATGATCGGCAGGATGAAGTCAAAGATTGGTTTAAAACGCAGATGGAAAAGGCGAGACGATTCCAGCCTCTTGCTGTCCTGAACCAGAAATTAAAGGGGCTAGATGTATTCGAGTCGAATGACAATCTACAAGCCTTCGCCGGCCCCAGTCGTCCTAATGCACCCACCCAAGCGCATACACCTGAACAACAAAAGCCACTTGACCCTGACGACATCATATCAAAAGATCACTGGCAAGCCCGAGGTCTATACGATATTTGTCTAGAGCCGTCGTGTGGGCAGCGACTCAATGCCACCAACGGCTGTGTCAACTGTCGAAAATGCGGAAAGCTGTTTTGCGAGGAACACACCATGTACCAGATGAAGTTGTCCAGGTCAGCACAACATGAACCGGTAAGAGGTTTATGGTGTAGAGTCTGCGAAACTTGTTATAAGTCGAGGGATGGGTATAACGATCACAACGGTATTCCAGATCCCACATATGTGCTTCCCTGGCAGCATTGATGCTAATAACCGTAGGCCTGGTAAGAGACCGGATGGATGAATTCAAAACAGTGAGAAAGCAGACAGTCGACAAGGCCTTTCTAGAAGTCTCCCGGCTCGAGAAGCGTTTGACACGACTCACCCAGCTGCTAGCTAGCTTGCCTGTGGAGCAGATCCAGACAAACACAAGCAAGATATGGCCCATGGCATGGCATAATGACCAACGAAAGGCGATTGAGCAAACAGTCGTCAGCTGGCAGGACGACTCGAGTGTCTCAAGGTGTCCATTTTGTCAGCAGGATTTCACCAGCTATACTTTTCGGAGGCACCACTGCAGAACTTGTGGACGAGTTGTTTGCGGTGATCCAGCGACCGGATGTTCTACTGAAGTACCTCTGAGCATCGCACCCTGTAAGTCAGCCTCTTAGTAGCTAGGAATTTCATGACTGACGATATGCAGTGTCAAACGCGCCCACTGAAAAATCCAGTAATACAGACATGATAAATATCGATGTCAGGCTCTGCAAGGAATGCAGGGCAACATTATTTGACCGTCGAGATTTCGCAGCCGATCTCATGCGGAAACCTCCGGACTTGAGGGCATATGAAAACTTGGTCCAGTTCGAAAGGGGCATTCGAATTCTCTTGCCCAAATTTCAAAAGCTGTTAACGGCTTTACAGTATGTGTAGCCGTTAGCCATAACCTGTTGCTTGTTTATGCTAATCACATGTATAACATCAAATAGGGACCCCAGGCGACCGCCCTCATCTGCTCAAATAGCTGAGGCTTCCAAGATACGCAAGCGACTTACCGATTCTTTCGCTCAGTATGATGTCGCCGCACGACGTATTCGCGACCTTGCTACAGAATCGTCGGCCCAGCAACGTCTCCAGAAGGCTATATATCAACAGGCCAGCCATTTCCTGCACCTTCACATGCTTCCCCTGAAATCCCTTCCTAAAGTTCTCAGACACTCGACGACCAATGGCCGACTACCAAGCTCGACCAGCTCCCCCACTCCTAGCAACTGTTCGGCAAACGGTCATCGACGACAAGAATCTGCCTTGTCATCGATCAAGTATAATAGTGTGGCTACAGGTGGGAGCAACAGTAGCCTGGCTAGTGACACAAGTAGCGCTATCTCTGTTCTAGAGGCGGAAGAAAAGTCCTTACGTGAACGGCTCATTGTCCTCGAGGAGCAGAAATTCTTCGTCTCCGAAATGATCGCTGATGCGAACCGACGTCGCAAGTTCGACGAGGTCAGCAGTTTAGCGGTGAACGTTGAAGATCTCACCCGTGAAATTGACCGTGTGAATGGGATGCTGGAGAGGCTAGACTTTGAAGGCGTCTATACCAGTCATCCGCCACTGAGTTTATAGCGGTCTTCAGGGCATGGGACCTCGATCTGTGTTGGTTGATATCTACACCCTTTTTCTTTTAGGTTACAGTAAAACCTTATGACTTTTAGTCGCACGGTGGCTGGCATGGCGTTTTGGGTTCGGTGATTTTGCATAGCGACAGGCGTTTTGTGCCATAAGTTACCTCCTAGGGTAGTCTTCACCTTTAGTAACGATTGGTTACTCTACCATTGTTTCTGCCTTGTGGCTATAGCCCCTTTAGGCCGGTCCACTTACTATCCCTTTGGTTATGAATATATCTAGTCAATCCGTTCGGCTCTGAATACTCGCTGCAGGATACATTCGCTTTACTTTGCAGATGCATTGGCTTTATGTGTATATCACACCGGGTTGGGAGCATTGCTGTCTCGGGATAACTGCGCATGGAACCAGGATCTAAAACAATTGCTCAACACGGACAGGATCCCTGATGCGACACTCTATGTATGGCAGGGAATTCTCGCGACGTCGGTATATTATTCAGGTAGATGATCGTAACCGCAGGGGTAGTGACATGAAGAGTGGGCATTTCTGAAAGTAGTAGCTAAGGACGATATTCTCGAAGAACCCATCCTAGATATATACCTGCCGGAATCGTTCGCATGCGCAAATTATCAAGACATTACCTATCACATACTGGAATGTATTAAGGTTAAATAGGAAAACGTACAAACCTAGCAAAAAAAGAAAAAGATACCTAATAAGTTTCAATAATAAGAAGAAGCGAAAAAAAAAGTGGATGAGCTCTTATCGGGGGAATAAAAATTATTTTTGCTTGTAGAAGAAAAAAGACAAGCCGAACGCGGGGGTCGAACCCGCAACCTTGAGATACCGTGATGACTAAGAGTCTCACGCTCTACCGATTGAGCTAGCCCGGCTAGTTGTTAAACAAACTCAGATTTCGTACTATATAAGACAGAACTAAAGAATAAGACTAGTCAAGCTACATCCGCATGCCTACCATGACAGATCAGCACCCCACAAGATATGCTTCATGCGTGGGATACATCTTCTTTAGCTCCGATATGTATTAGCTTTGCTACGTCGCGAGTGTTGTGATGCTTGACACTTGGTTCTTATATTACTGTGCCACAAGACCACCTCCTGCCATTCGCTAACTATTCTCTGTGGACTGTGTTGGTTGACATTGACTTAAGTTAGCGCAACCTTCATTTGGAATCACCCTTCCACCTTTAGGGTATATTTCATGGATATTGTGATGACCCGAATGTCACGTGGTTAGGCAGACCTACTTGCCACAACACAGCAATCCTTGTATGATAGTGTTTCCCCTCCCATAGTTGAATTTAGTTGGAAATGCTACCATATCTAGCTGTCTATCGAGGATGCTATCTATGAATGAGCAGTTATCACAGATATATTCGGCGGGTCTCGGGTATAGGAATATAATTCTGAGTGCCATCTCTCGAAATGTAGGTCATAGTACCAAACACCGATTATTCACGGAACCACCAATGTGCCATAAGCAAACCCAAAGCTATACAGGGAGAATACAACCCTTTTCGAGTGATGGGATTTACTACCGGGAGTAGAGATGAAGTGATATTACGGGGACCTAGTAGACTAATAGTCAATCAGGGTGTTCATTCATTGGAACGCAATACTAAGAGAACAGTACTACTAGGAAGCACAATGCTACAGACTGATATAGCATCAAACCTGATCCTGCTTCAACAACCAGCCGGGCTAGCTCAATCGGTAGAGCGTGAGACTCTTAGTCATCACGGTATCTCAAGGTTGCGGGTTCGACCCCCGCGTTCGGCTTGTCTTTTTCCTTCTGCAGTATATAATTTTTGCTTCCCGAGAACCGTATTTGGCACAGTTATGCTTCCGAGGTGTGTTGACCGACACTTCTGTAGAGAGGATAGACATATAGGCATACTTACCGAGGTAAACAATCAGACACGTTATATAACCCACATCAATCAAGAAATCAAGTTCAATAAATACCAATAGCGTTGTCCATAGGTCTGTTCGACCTCGATTAAAGTGCCAACTACTCGTGCTCGAGGATGGTTGAGCTGGACTCGCCGTTGAATATCCGCTTCACTGCCCTCTCCTCCGCCAATACCCTGACGATCTCCGTTAGCTCCTGTATCTGTTCCTTCAGCTGAATGATCTCCAAGGTGCAGCTGTCCATGGTCACGTTGGGTGCTGTGTCCTCGACGGTCTGTTTCCAGCTATCATCAACCTCAAAGTCAACTTCCTCGGCCGCATGCTCCCATTCCTGTACATCATCGTCATCTTCCTCTCCACGGCGACGATTCCATCTAATTCGACGTGCGTCGCGGACTTCCAATAACGCTGTCACTAGAAGAATTGGGGAATATATTATACCCATGATCACATCATTTAGCCTTGCATAGTGTTTGCGTGGGAGCCACCATTCAAACGGCATCACCAGGAAGAAAATCTCGATAAGGTTGAACGCTAGAACATCGTCAATATGAAGTAATACTCCATAAATGGATGCAATAACCTACGGGGTATAAAGACATTTTCATCCGGGGCTCGGACGTAGGACATTGTTTTCTGTGCGAAGATCGCCATATACTCGTCGATGGCGTTGCCTGAGATGTCTTCATATGCGCTGTTGTACAGGGCAATAAGAATATTAAGTAAGACTGTCTGGTGTTTAGCAAAGCCATGAGTTCCAGGGTGGAAGATTGGAACAAACCTATCATGATAATAAAATTGAATAAATAGTAAAGTATAATACCGAACGGGAACGCAAAGTTCTCAAATGTACCAAATTCCGGGCTTTGCATTATACTGTTCGCCATACCCTGCACAATACTTCTTACGATGGGGTCATCGGTTTCAACCTGAGCCATTCCATAGAAAGCTTGGAAGAAGCCCACCAGGACAACGAATAGGAGGGCAAAAAATATTAAGCTTTCCTTCATCATAACTCTCAGGACAACAAACATGGCCCCGAAGAACCGGAATGAGTCCAAATAGAGTACCATGCGCGTCCAAAACATCGGTCCCGCAAAGGCCAAAAAGTTATAGCTGAGTTCATTGAGTCTCTTTCTCTGCTGATCATCAGCGGATGGTGAGTGTGTCAAAGCAGAAACACGTAGGACGAAGGAAATAGCAAGGATCGTATATAGTGTAGAGTTGAAGGCGTTCCAGAAATCGAAATAGTGCCATCCAATCTTCCATAGTTTAGTGAACTCGTCGCAGATGAATGCAAGAGTCATGACATAGAGGATGCCTTCGCCTACATCGAGATCTCCCGTTCGATTGACGGTATTGATGACTTGTGTATAGAGTGCAAGGTACACGAGAGAGACAAGAATCTGGCATGTGTTCTGATACAAAGGAGTCCTCATCCTATCAGGGTGGAAATGGACTGCAAAACTAGTGTTATCTTTTTCACGATAGGGAACAAAGTTAGTTGGATTGCCATCCTGTTGGCAAAACCAGCCGTTCCATAGGTATTTGATGCACTTCTGGTACCCAGAGGATCCAATAATCCTCAAAGCGTGAAGATCTACAGCACGCTCAATAACGTTAGCTGGCACAGTCTCCTCGCCATCAATGAAGATGGAGTACCGCTTGAGCAGGGTATCAATTAATAGATAATCCTGGTTCTCCTCAGTTTCGATGCTAAACAATGGGTTGTTAGCAAGGACTAGTATAGCTGCCATGTGAATATTGCAGGGTCATTACATGCGCTTGGCTATAACCTCACAAGCAAGTGCCCGACGGTCGTGAAGATCGGAATCCCAAAGCTCTTCTATAGCTTGAATTTTGAACCAGCGTAAGCACACCAGCAAGCAGAATACGACACAGGCTTTCAGGTCTTCGCCACCAGCCTGTTTGGCGGTTTGAACCACGCGGTCTGTAATGACGCGGCTGGTGGGACTGGTGAGGGTACTTTCTTCAACCTCGCAAGGAATAACCTGTTCAACCTGATACTTCAGCCGAAGAGCAACTTTGGTTACTTCCTTCGCAGGCTGAGTGGAAGAAACTGGGTCAGAAGTGTAGGTAGGAAGCACTGTTCATCACGTTAGCTTGAATGCTCTGGCTGCGGCGGGTGGTGCATCTATGCATACATCGGCGACGTTCTACCTGGAGACGGCGCCGAGCTCGTCCTGTGTCAGTCTTTAAGATATCGCGCCAATGCGTCATATTGCGCAACGAATGTTTGAGTCTCTAGAGGAAAGAGAGTTTGAGGACGAGGGGAAACGGAGGTCCGCTGTTTAAGCTCTTGGATACGTACTGTACTGTACTGTACTAAGCTCATCCCGCATTGCCCCACTCTCGACCACCACTACCATTGGTGCCTTTTGAGAGCTCGGAATATAATCTAACATCGATACTTATAGTCTGTCCAAGCCTTCCAACGCCAATGCTGTTGAATTGTGACCAAAAAGAAGAAGAAAGTTCTGATAGTAGGTGTCTAACAAGGTACAACACCGATCTTGACCCGTGGGTCAAAGGAGCTTATGTACATGAGAACGCGGAATCAAAGTTTCCCAGTGAACCGGAGCTCAGTCGCCAACAGGTACAATGACGGGGTGACTGATGGACCCTCCTCCCTATTGTCCTGAGCACCACTGCTGATCTCGAATTTGCCCATGAGCACATTAAACCGTCTCCCGTCTCATAATTCGTGTCACATTTGAAACTCTTCTATTAAACTTTTTTCCATCCTTGCAACTAGCTTCCATAACTAGCCTTCAGAATCATGCTATTCAGCCTCCCATCGCGATTTTTTTTTGACACTCTCCTCTCTTTTGAATGGGGCCCATAGGCCTAAAATGGCGCTGGTAAGCGTACTGTATGCCGCTTACTCGGGAACACCATCGTCGCTGTCAGACTGGCTCTCGTCTCCGCTAACTTCCATGTTCTCACGCTCACGCTTCTCCATGAGCTCCTGAAGAACAGCGTCATCATGTTCAGTGACGGCCTTGGGTGCCATCTTGACGCTGCAGCCACCTCCAGACTCCTTGATCTTGCTCTCGATTCTCTGGATGGCTTCCTCAAGCTGCTTAATACCAATAGCCTTATCCAAGCACTGGCTTGTCAAGACATACAGAGGAGGAGCGACCAGCTTGACCTTAATCTGGCTATCGGGGGTGTTGGCCTCTTCGGCAGTACGCAGAGCGGCCTTAACCGCGTCGATTCCGTCGTAACCAAAGCAAGTAACCTCGATATCAGCGCGAACCTTGGTTGGGTGAGGCGTAAGTCTTTTGCCGATATACTGCGACAACTCATTCTTCACGGCTTCACTGGAAAACTCAACATCGTTCCACACATCGGGGTTCCTAACATAACGTCAGTTACATCAAAAGACTGGCCGAGAAACACCAGTATCTTACGTGATGGAGATCTTGAAGGCATCATGCGAGTGGCCGTATTTCCGGTTCAGAGGCCAGGCGATGGTTTGATATAACGTCTCAAGGGGGGTCTGAGTGGCCTCCGCAACGTGACGCAGGATAGAGTGCACTGCCTTGCTCTTGTTATACCTTTCCTCACACTTGATGACATCCTCCGGGGAGACTCGTCGCTTGGAAAGATCGATATATCCTATGTAGCAAAATATCGAGTTAGTTATTGCCTAACTCCTCCCCGAGCGAAATTTACTTGCCTTTTTCCTTGTCAACACGGAGCACAATGACGACTTCATTGCGGCCGATACGGATAAGCTTCTGGATACTACGGATACGTCTCCGGGAAAGTTCGGAAAGCAGGATCATTCCGTCGATGTTATCGTATTCGAGAAGCTTCACATACGCGCCCATTTCGGCGATCTGTGGCATTGCAAAGCCGTGGTTAGAAAAATTTCGATCTCCACACTCTCATAAAAGCGCATACCTGCTTGACATTCACCATGACATAGCTGTCGACCTCGGGGTACTTCTCCTCGTAAAAACGGCAGTTCGTTAACGACATTTTGGCGGGGTTGCGCCTGTGTGAGGCAGAGCTAAACGGCGAACTTTTCAAGGAAAATAAAATTGAAGATGAAGGCCTCGTAAGGATGTATCCTCTATGCAGACTTCCACAAGAAGTTGAGGAGAATGGTTCAAAAGAATAAGAGATTCGCGGTAGACCAGTGATGGGATTCAGAGCACACTTCAAATCACTTTGTGGCGGCTCAAAACCCACTTTTGGGCTGGTGGTGAGTCATCACGTGCCCATGTGGCATCCCCCACCGCCCGGCAGAACTTGATAATGATTGGTATGCATTTCGTTATCGATTCCTGGTTTTGAGAGATGCTAATGTGCCATTTTTGGGAGGGAGGGGAAATTTACAAACTCAATTGTTTAAATTTCACGCCGGTCTTGTTTCGACGGGCTTTATGTCAAGCAGACCTAACTTGACTCTTTGAATAATAATTTTTACTTCGTCTTCATGCTTCGCATCTCCCGCTAATTACCAATCGTGGCCACCGCTTGTTGCGCTACGGGATGCGCTACTTGTGACTTGCCCACTCCTCGCTGCCTTAAATTCAGCCTGGGGTTTGCTCTGCTTCCCGTTCCTTCCTCTGTTCATCTATGGATAGGATACATGGCGAGCGCTGAGTTACTCTGGACAGCAAAAGCAATACTAACCCAACGCGATCTCCGGGTGTAAACATGGAGTCCAGCTTCATACAGGAGCCGAATCAACAGCGCTCCTTCCGGGATCGAATCTTCAAGCTGTTTTGCACCCCTTCCTCAAACGACGCTTCGGCTCCCCCAGCAGGGTTCATAATTTCTGATAACGCAGCTCAAAACGAAGGGTCTACAATAATATATCCGCCTCGAGAGCCTGATGCAAGGACTCGTCTTCTTGAATCGTATGATCGCCGGGAGCCCGTCTGCGGTCTGAGGGGCTCCTGCGATCATGGCACGTTCTCTCCACGACCTGTACCTGAGGATAATCAAAAATGGGATTCCAGTTCCTCGGCGGATGTTGGAAGCGAGGAAAGACCGGACCCTCGGGAAGCAGCAGACAGCCATGCTCGGCACCCCAGCGACGCCTCTGGGTATCCCCAAGGACCAGAGAATATACCATCACTAGACTCCTCCCTTACAACGTTGCACATGAAGAATCCCAAGTCTCTGTATGTTCATATCCAATGTTGTGGAACGACTAATACTGGCCTTGTGCAGACAACTAACAACCTTTCAGGTATATATCATACTACATCCCGTTTTTCAACTGGATTACCCAATACCGCTGGTCATATATTCGAGGGGACTTGATTTCTGCGATGACTATTGCGTCCATCTATATCCCTATGGCGTTATCTTTGTCCTCAAATCTCGCTCACGCTCCTCCTATCAATGGCCTTTACTCCTTCGTGATCAACCCTTTCATATATGCGATATTTGGAAGCAGCCCGTTGTTAATAGTAGGCCCAGAGGCAGCGGGTTCTCTGCTTACTGGAACGATTGTCAAAGCGAGCGCCAAGCGAGGACAGTCGGGAGAGGATGATGAAGTCGCAAATGCCATAATAGTTGGAATAGCTACTACTATGGCAGGCACCATGATCCTGATCGCTGGGCTTACTCGATTGGGATTCTTGGACAATGTGCTGAGCCGGCCTTTCCTCAGAGGTTTCATTACGGCTATCGGTTTCGTGATTTTCGTGGATCAACTCATCCCGGAAGTTGGATTAACCGAACTAGCAAAGAATGCTGGCGTTACCCATGGGACTACGGTTGAGAAGCTCGTGTTTCTTGTAAGAAACATCGGAGATTGCCATGCTCTTACAACCGCAGTGGCTTTTGGGAGTTTTGCTATCATAATGGTATTCCGGTACGTGCTAATTCCTTGGAGGTTCCGTGTTCCAGACTCATCTCTATTAGGACCCTCAAGAAAATGCTCCAGCCACGATACCCTCAGGTGATTTATCTTCCAGATCGCATCCTTGTAGTTATTCTTTCAGCTGTCTTGACGTGGCACCTCGACTGGGACGAAAAAGGGCTGGAGATTCTGGGGCCCTTGAAGCAAAATGCTAACGGGCTTTTTGCGTTCAAATGGCCATTCCAATTTAGCCATATGAAACATGTACGCGCTGCAATGAGTACTTCTTTTGTCATCGCGTTGCTTGGCTTCTTTGAGTCCTCTGTTGCCGCCAAGGGACTTAGCGGCGAGGCCAGACAAGAAGGCGTTCAGGGGATGCCTGTCAGCCCCAACAGGGAGATGGTGGCACTGGGTCTTGCTAATACTTTAGGGGGTTGCTTTATGGCCCTCCCTGCATTTGGTGGTTATGCAAGAAGCAAAGTCAATGCTTCGACTGGAGCTCGGTCTCCAATGAGCAGCATCTTCCTGAGCATCATTACGTTTGTCTGCATCATGGTGCTCTTACCATATTTATATTATCTTCCGGTATGTCTCGATTCCGAGTACTTTGAGGCGAATACTAAGAAACTCGCTGCGATAATATAGAAAGCTGTTCTTTCGTCCATGATTTCTGTCGTTGCTTTCAGTTTAATTGAAGAATGCCCTCATGACATGGCCTTCTTTATTCGTTTGCGCGGATGGACGGAGCTAGTACTAATGCTTCTCATCTTCGTTTCGACTATTTTCTATTCTTTGGAATTGGGCATTGCGCTTGGTATTGGCCTTTCCATCCTGATACTTATCCGCCACTCCACCCAACCCCGGATTCAAATTCTCGGAAAAGTAGCAGGGACAACCGACCGTTTCGAGAATGCTGAACTTCACCCGGAAAATGTTGAGTTGGTTGAAGGCGCGCTTATTGTCAAGATCCCCGAACCGCTTACTTTTGCCAATACCGGTGAGCTCAAGAATCGGCTTCGACGGTTAGAATTATATGGCAGTAGTCGAGCACATCCTTCTCTTCCTCCAACACGCACCCCTGAACATAACAAGAACATCATATTCGACGTTCACGGCGTCACCAGTATCGATGGCTCTGGTACTCAGGTTTTGTATGAGATCGTGGATGGGTATGCAGACCAGGGAGTCAGGGTCTTCTTCTGCCGCGTCGCGACACGCAATGTTTTCCGTATGTTTGAAAGAAGCGGAATTGTAGAGCGATGTGGTGGGATGTCCCATTTCGTTCACCGTGTCGACGAAGCCCTCCGCCTTGCCGAATCGGAAGACCAGACTGAAATCTGAGCTGTATTACAACGTGCATGCCATGATTGTATAGCTGCATTCTGTTTATATGCGACCATTCACGATATAGATGATGCTTGACAACAATTGTATGCATATTAGCCGGCCCGTTGTCAATTTGCCAATGTTTAATACCTCGCCCTTGTATTGTGGCCCTCTTGCATGAGATCCTGTTAGTGAATGTTCATGAATCTAGCAACCAATTGAATTGTTCTCTCCGCAATATGCTGGCCTTTGAAGCATTAGCAATATAGCGTAAGTTGTCCAATATCATGTGCCCCTAGAGCCCCCTTTATAAGCACCGGCTTTCCCCCAGAACCCGCGCAAGTCAAGTCGGCTAGGGCTCCCTGATAAGACTTCTGCGAATGACAGAGAGAAGTAACACCTCGCTCGCTCTCAACGCAAGGCGTTTCTTCTCATCTCGAGAATGATCGTTGTCTTCAGCCAAATAATCATCTGCAGCTCCACTTCGTATCGGCTGCGCAACCAGTTTCATTCGCCCCTCAGCACCCAAGACGAACCCGCCGCACGCAATCTTGCTGATACGCACGTGTTTTCTAGCTGGGCTGTCTTTAGCAGACAAGCCAGCTAGATCTAGATCCATCGCAAGATGCTTCTCAATATACGAAGAAAGACCAGAAAGAATCGAACCACTCGGTTGATTCGAATCATCAGTAGCAGGCAGAAAACTTGTGATAGAACCCCGAGGGATATTAATATTGAGAGATCTCAATACAGGAGCCACAGAGGCAGAGAAAGATACTGTGATCTGTATCTCCTTCACGAGCTCCTCGAGAATAGTCCGCGAAGCTGCTGATTCTCTGTCGCGGCCTTGCGTCAAAGCGTCCACGTAGGACGCGAGCCCGGCGCATAGGAACTGTGAGGGGAGGCGAAGTGCAGAGCAGTAAGTGTCAAAATTTGCAGAGAGAAAGGAGACGAATGTCTGTCGTAGAGGCCCCGGTAACCGCGTTAACAGTAACGGGAGATAAGTGCTAGCTTTGTGAAGGTGGGATCCATTTGGTGGCGCCAGTAATGCGGCTTTGTAGGTGATATTTTCATACTCAAGTACCACGACAATTCCGCAGGGGTCCTCGGAACGGGTAATGTTGGGATCCCCTAAAGAGAGGCTTGATATAGCTTCCCAGGTGCAATCCTTGAGAGCGCCGGTTCGGGAGAGTGTATCTTCCTCTACGGTGGTTGCGCTCATGCCAACTTGGAAGCCGGCTAGCACATCTCCTGTGAGTTGGTCACGCAGTCGATTTGCGTAAGTTTTTAGAGCGTCTGGGTTGTCCAAAATAGACTGGAATTCTTTTTCATGGTGTAAAGGCGATAGACGGTGTAATGTCCATGAGGTATTTAACATCTGATTAGGAGTTGATGATGCCATTGTGGAGGCTTAGTGCATAGGGTTATATGACATGAACTAAGGGTTTGGTCAATTTCACGTATCAAGTGAAACTGGATCTTTCTTAAAAGCAGTTCCCCTTTTGAGATCATCACGACCGACACGACAGACTGTAGTTATCTTGGGCTATTCATAGACGCGACCTACCAGCGCGCAAACATGTCAAACAAAGCAATGCCAAGATTATATAACTTTAGGGCTTAGGGTTTCAGATAGGCGTCTCGGATGCATACATTCTAGGGTAAACAACGGTCTTTTTGAGAGCCATAGAAGAATAGGGATCCTTATCAGTGTTGTGTGAAGTAGTTGGTATGATGTAAGCCCATGTATGTACGCCTAACTGCCGAATACCTGTATATACCATGGTGAAGTGACCAATGACCCCCTTGAAAACGCCTCACCCGGACTAATACAATGCTTGCTACAATATCGATCAAGTGATTTATGCACGGTATCCCATTGAATCCCGACAATCCTGACATCCAAGTAGTACGGGTAAATTATCTCGGATCAAGATATGCTCTGCACGATGTTGTATGGCTCTTCGTGATGCCAACTCCTGCCGGGCAACCTCGAACCAGACGTCCTGGACAGAACTATGTAGATGGGTTTTTGGTGCACTTTCAAAAACCAACGAGTTCATATCGTCTTTTTCGTTTGATGTAATGTCATTGTGGAAGTTGTGCATAAAATCTTTTCGTTGCACTCGTTGGTTCCCGCCATCACCGATCTCAGCAGAGAAATACTCCACTATTCGGGTAAATGGCGAAACTGTGAGTAACGAGCTAATCCAACTGTCATCCGACGGTCCAGGTTCATCCGGAGGCACTGTATACCGAAGATAGGAAACAAGGAGTTGCATGCAATGGTGTGTGGCGATGAGAGTGGCGGTGTTCGTGAAAGGGGGAGATTGTAATATCTTGACTTGCAAGCCTCGATACATAGACTTGCGCATGCCCGGCGGAATAGGGACTGGTAGTCGCCCAGCTTCGAAGTCACGCAAAAGAACGTTGGTCTGTTCCCGTCGAGCGAGAGTGTAGGACTCGAGGAAGTAGAGAGTATAATACCTGTCAGGGTCATTAAGAAGCACGCCAACAAATGCTGCTCGAGAATAGCACCTACATTAGCGGCGTAAGATAGAACCATATCCTGGCGGTCCCTCGCTTCACGAACTCACTGCGGTCGTTTCTTGAAGGGAAGACGGATTTCATGAATGCCTGCTCGTTGTGAACAAACCGATCCATGACGCGGTCTGCGATGTAATAGCACAGCTTCGAGCAGAGTTTCTGTCGACGTCGTAGGCTATACACGTATCTGAAAGTATATATATGGCCACCCTTGGCACTCTTTGCGGGCGGGAAAAGATCCGATAGCAGCACTACGTCATCCTCCGGATGGCGTGTGTATGTCCTTTGACTATCTATCGGAGACGGAAGTGTTCCATGACGGCGCTGGCGAAGATACTGCCGAGTGATCGCATGTTCATGTGTAGTAAGAAGCTCATAGAAGGCTTTGCAAACGAGTTTCAATGGGAATAAGTCCGTGATGCCGCAATGGGCGAATATCTTTATTTGAATCTCAACAGGGACAATGTCCCATAGCGAAGAAGTTGGCACCGGGTTGAGTTTGTCGATACTATAAGCGTGTTAGCAGTGAGCTACATCAGGGTTGGCGTTGGCAACCAAGGCATCCGCGGGACGTACTCCGATGTCGAAGAGACCGATGAAGAAAAGGGATTGTGTCTAAACGGATTATTTCTCTTGGTGTCTGATTTCCTCCCCCTGTTGATGGCAGCGCGGGCTCTTTTCACATGGAGGACCAACTGAACGATTGGGCTCATTATCGGGTTTCTAAAGACATGAGGAGACCAGCTCCAGCTCAGGGCCAGCTTAGGAAGAAGCTTGTAACCATGGATGCGAAGGTGTTGCTTGTGATTAAATCGATGTCACCCAAGCCGGATTCGCCGCTTTTCCGGTTTGAGGCAGGAGGGGGCCTGACTAAGCATAGTATAACTTAAGTTAACTAGCCTTGATTGATTCAATTACTACAGCCCCAATGAGGTCTAATTCAAGGTCCCTGATGCTATTTAAAGCAGCGTGGCGATGAGGGTTCGTTTGATGAATTTACTGTGGTGTTGCATCTTTTTTACCAGCTTTCTGAAGAGTGAAAAGGTCAGTGCCTGCTGATCTGTGCGCTTAATAACAGCCCATATACATACAGTGCGCATTTAACACTTTCTGCGACAGTAGAGGTTCTTTTCGTCCAGACTGGATCCACTTTAACGGCTTAATTAGCTCTTAAACCAATCAACACAATCCCTTTTTCCTCGTCCATGTATGTGACATTGGTTGGAGGACATATCGTTGACCTGGTAATAGAGAATGACACTTGAATTTACTACCATTTGTAATGTTTCACGATAACAACTTTATTAGCTTCTCTGATTCTTCCTCTATCCTTCTAATACCCTGGTCTCGCTACCAAAATCTCTTCATTTACTCGCCTCCATCTTATTTACCTACGGCCCAGGTTTTTGCATAGGCAAACCGATTGACAAAAGACTTTTGCTGAAGGACTGATATCGACAGATAAATTCAATGAGACTTTGTACTAGCTCTAGGCTTGGAGCTACGCATAATATGAGCTGTTTCTTGAAACCTTCAAAATGGGGAAATGGTCCCTCGTAAAGCAGGTAGTATTACTACTACCCAACTTGCATTTGCTGCTTCACCACCAATCGGCGGCTTAGGATATCCTAGCGAACAAGGGCTTCATCTTTCATTGCGCCTCAATGCCCCAGTGGAGCTATGGAAGTCGCTCATTATGCTAGTAACCACCAGTATCATCACCTGGTTGCTCCGCCACTTAATCTTCCTTGCTTACAATGTAGACCCCGCCTTCTAAATTCAAACCCGCTGGGATCACGCTAACGGGATGCATAATTGCAGATATTAATTAGCACAAACAGGACCACGAGATCCATTATTTGGGTCTTGTTCAGGACGGTTAAGCTTGTAATTACAGTTGTCTAGAATGGCACGAATTAGGACAAGCTTTGTAAGACCATCCATATCATTCCTCGGGGAAACCCAATACCAGTGCTGAGGTGATAGCACCATTGTCTTTCGCTTTATGAGTAAGCCCACTTTTTGTTGCTGCTGAACGTCGTATCTCTAAATATTATGGGGGTTTGCATTGGATGGGGTATTTCGTTTGAAATAGCGGGAATTCAATGTAAGGCGTGGACACCAAAGGTGTCTATGGAGTATTCGTGGTTTTCATAAACTCAATGTCTTGGCCCTGGTATTCCTGGCTCTGCAACAGTTGAACAAATATATTATTTCACCCAGCGGTTGGAGCATAGTTCCCTCGTATTTGTAATAATAACATTTGTTCGTTGAGGAGAACAAAGCAAACTGTGTCTATGAGCGGACTGTGAGTAAGCAACATGACACCGATCTCCGCTGCAAGGCCACGCTGTAAGACAAAGTGTAGCCATCCCTTGCAGCAGAACCAGTTGCCATACTTTTTAAGGCACGCTTCGGACTGCAAAACTGACACCCAGTTCGTAGTCTTAAATCCACTTCCCCAACAATGCTTTCGCTACTTAAAATCTTACTATTTTCTAAAGCCCTGTCTATACGAGTCAATTCGCTCCCACAACAGAGTAGCTGTTCTGGAATTCATGTATTCGGTGCCCGCGAAACATTCGCACCTGATGGTTTTGGCGCAGCCGGGGACATTGTAAACCTTATACTTGAAGCCCATCCAAGTGCCACGTCTGAGGCGATCGATTACCCAGCTGCAGGGGGGGATTTTAATGCTTACTCTGTTCGGCGGGGAGCTCAGGCAGTTGCTACCCAAGTCAGTGATTATGCAAATCGCTGCCCGGAGACGAAACTTGTGTTGGTTGGCTATTCGCAAGTATGATACTCTCGTACCTTTGGGGCCAATGGAGAACATGTTGGCTAACGCAACCAGGGCGCCCATATAATCGATGATGCTATGTGCGAAGGTGGAGATACATACATGGGAATAAGCAATATCACTGCGCCCATCCCTATTGCCGTTGGTTCCCATGTCAAGGCGATGATCTGGATGGGTAGTCCTCGCCATACGCCGGGGGCACCATACAATGTGGGGACATCAAATGCTCCGGGCGTAAGTATATGACCTCCTGGCTTACTCTAGAGATGATCTAACCCGCTTCTAATCTTCTCCTAGTTCGATCCGCGCCTGACTGGCCAGATATGCGCTCCCTACACCAATATCATACAGTCGTATTGCGACGACGCAGATCCATATTGCTCCGATGGAGATAATGAGACATTGCATATGAATTATGGCCAAACTTACGGCCTGGCTGCATTACAGTTTGTCAACAACCAGCTGAGTCAGAAAACACGAGAACGTCATTCTTTACTATAAAGATGACGGGAAGGACTGCTAAGAGTGGTACGTTTTTGGGAAATATTATCTCGCATGTGCTTGGTTTTGCGAATCCGTTACTACCCTGACAGTCTCCCAAAAAAATGCACTGTGAATTGCCCTAGGCTGTCGATGGCTATGAGTTTGGCCGACTAGTTGAATGTACCAAGCAAAGTATATATATAAACATGGCATAAACAAATCATACACTGCAAGAGCTATCTAGCCACATAATCACAAGAATTTTACGACAGCTGGTCCGAAATAGGATAGAGTTTGCCCTTCCTTCACGAGCCGGCTTGTACAAGAAACTATATAGGCAAGCCATGGTGATGTATATATGGAAGAGAGAAGAAAATGAAAGAAGGAATAGGGAATACATTCACGGTGGAAAAAAAAGAAAAAAAAGAGAGGCGAAAAAAATGCATCATCCGTGAATCGAACACGGGCCTCATCGATGGCAACGATGAATTCTACCACTAGACCAATGATGCTCCTTATTGTAAGGGGGGTTTCGTATTTCGAAATTATAATCCTAAAACTAAGCTCTTTATCAAATCCTAGCATTTAAAGTCTGGTGGCTATAATTCGTAGCCGAAACGCTAAAAAGATTCTCCCCTCAAGGTATATTGACTAGTGTGAAGCCTTGCAGTCTGAGAGATTTCAAACTCCCTCTTCTCAAGCACGCCATCCAAGTGATCTAATGATTCTAATGTATAGATTGTTGAACGATTACACACGTCAATTCATGGTTTCACCTGATACAAAAGCGAATGAACCTTGGCTTGCCGTTCCAACATACACCAGTAACAGAAGCTCCTACTCGCCCATATGTACAGCTCGTCCAGACTCTGCGCAACTCGTGACTTCCAAGGGTGGAACAATAATGCTCATCCAACCTCTGACCTGGTGCCAGCATGAAGTGACCATATCACTGGCAAATTATTTTCGGGTAACCGGCATTGCCATGGTGTAGGAGATCAGGGCAGGGCTTGTAGACTAGAACCATATTACATCAGGAGGCTCCGCTATGCCGTTCTACACTTCCCAAAAATATGTTAGATCTTCCATTGTTTGAACCATAAGGATCGTAAGTAAACAACCAACTAGTAAAGTTTATACAAATATGCAACCGACCCACTATAATTCTAAGCAAGAAAGACCTCTGAAGCTCGGCCGTAATTTCCTGCTTTAACGAAGTTCATCTGTTTTTCCAAGTCGTCCATTCCATCCCCTTTGAGGGTTCACTGTACTATGCAGTCCGAAGTAGTATCGGGACATGGCAACAAAGCAGTTGTCTTTTGAATGGAAGGAGAAAGGAATAATATGCCATTTGGACATGCTTTAGATTGGCACACCGCTTGGAGCTTTAGGATTGGTGCCCCCCTACTCCACTGGGGGCAGTGAGAGAACGGTAACACGTGAACGAAGGAAGCCATAGCCCCGTTGCGCCCAACAGTAGGGCAAAGAACAGCGGGCCTGGCTTGGCCCGTGTTTTGTCCAGTCCGGGTAATTCCCGTCTACTACGTAGAAGTATCGATACGGAATATGTATGTAGTCTTGATCATATCGCCGAGGAAAGATGATCAAGGTTGAATATAACGGGGCATCTTGTGCAGTGGGAGGATATCCTACTGCATTAGTACAAGGCATTGCTCATTTACAACAGTATGGCATAGATAATGGCATCCGTACTTCGTACTCCGTACCGCCGCAGACAAACATGTGAGACTGATTGATTGGCTTCAAGCAAGGGCGGTGCATGAGCCATGATCTTGACTCTTGAGAACCATGACGTGCACAAAAATTCGATCGCAGCCACTAGAAGACATCTGGAAGCAATGGTAGTTTCACGTGGATCAGTAGCTATTTTGCGGCAGTGCTATCAATCAAATATCGGGATCATGATGTAATCTTCAGGGATATGATATATCACCCAAGAATCATCTTCACTCGTCCTCCCTAGAAGGGTAACTCGTATTCATCTTGAAGGCACTAGTGTGTTGAGTTTATATCAATTTTTTTGGGGGGTTAGCCTATGATAAGGCTGCATGGAAAGCACCTGATCACCAACTGCCAATGGACCAAGAAAGCGACTCAGCCTTGGGGCGCGGTGGATGGGAAACCTTAGGCCATCCTTCACAACGGGTCTGACCAACACTTGATATCCTTACCAGCCAACAAAACGCCCAGGCTCAAACCCCGCTAGTCTACAAGCGGAGTAATGGGCCCACCACTGCCCGGATCCCACCCGGACCCACAGAAGCGGAGAAGTAAGATGCCTGAGGTAATGAATTTGTTGAAGTAACATTTCATTTCCAAACAATTTGCTATTTAATCGGTCCGTTTCCCTTCATTCCCTGCAGTGCTACATACCAGTTCTCCTATTCTGTAACCTTATATACCATCGAATATCTTTGCCCACCCCCGAGCCTTTTAAATACTCCAATTTTATCTGATTCGCAACGTCCGTCCTTACGGTGGTTATCACTCCGGCGACCGGTCAATTGTTCAATTAAACCATAACCGCACCGATTCAAGATCAGTCGATCAGAGCCAATAGCATCTAGCATGTCTGCCGAAGACCCAGCAGTAAACGGCAAAGCGCCCGTTCAGCCTCTCGGCCATCACGACAGCCACGGACATTCCGCTCTTGTGAATGTACAGCCCGCGCGGTTGGCAGACCTTCAACCAAAGTATGCACAGAGGATCGAGCATGATGCTGAGAATCCGGAAGCCCATGGGTGGTATGCAGGCCTCAGTAAGTCTCCATCATAGTTTCACTCTCCCGTCCCTCCCCCCTTTTTCGGGTATCATTTCTATCGTGTTCTGTTTTCAAGTAGCATATCTCGTTCAAAATATGCCAATCAGAGATGGCTGACCTCGTGCAGTTCATGGTCTTGGAGAATTTATCGGATGCCTCGGTGCCATTCCATGCTGCGTTTGCTGCCCCAACCCTTATAAGCCTGTCGCTCAAGGTGAGGTTGGTCTTGTGTCGAAGTTTGGACGGTTCGTGTTGTGCCCGTGAAAAATTGGCACACAAAGGCGATGTTAACTTAGTCTGCAGCTTTGAACGTGCGGTCGACCCCGGCCTCGTTAAAGTAAACCCTCTCAGCGAGCGCTTGACTGCGGTCGATGTGAAGATTCAGATCGTCGAGGTGCCTCGTCAGGTCTGTATGACTAAGGATAATGTCAATTTGAACCTGACCTCTGTCATCTACTACCAAATCATCTCGCCTCACAAAGCCGCCTTCGGCATCTCCAACGTACGACAAGCGCTTGTGGAGCGCACCCAGACAACTTTGCGCCACGTCATTGGAGCAAGAGTGCTGCAGGATGTGATTGAACGTCGCGAGGAGATTGCCCAGTCGACCGCGGAGATCATCGAAGATGTAGCCGCCGGATGGGGTGTTCAGGTCGAGTCCATGCTCATTAAGGATATCATTTTTAGCAATGATTTGCAGGATTCACTTTCGATGGCGGCTCAGTCCAAGCGGATTGGTGAGAGTAAGGTTATTGCTGCTCGTGCTGAGGTTGAATCGGCCAAATTGATGCGACAGGTACGAGAAATTTCCCTTCGTCAAATGTGGCTGGGAGCTAATTTTCCCCCTTAGGCCGCCGACATTCTTTCTTCTGCTCCTGCTATGCAAATTCGGTACCTCGAGGCAATGCAAGCCATGGCCAAGACAGCAAATAGCAAGGTCATATTTTTGCCTGCCATGAACCAAACCGTACAGCAACAACTTGCTGCCGCCGACAATGCTGGCGAAGGGCCTAGCCGCTACGGTGCCAGTCAGGTGGACGAGGGGTTCCAGCGTGCTATGAATGCACGGGTGGTTGAGGATATCTGAAGAATGAATTCCCCCAAATCCTGAAGGATACGAAATGACTGCTTGTGAACGTTATACGGTAATTTTTATTGAAGATTTTCAACTGTGTGTTTTATACTGATGAGGCCTGACACAAGCCATCTCGTGGCTTTCTGTGCCTCCTAATCTTGCCTCTTCGTTTTCTTTTTCGAATGGACTGACGATACCCATCCTCTTCCCTGTCTTTCCTGTCTTTGTTTGGGTGAAGATTACTTTTTCCCCTGTGTGTTTATGCAGACATAGTTTGCTATTCATTGTCAATAATTGAAACATCACTCTCTTTGAGTCTGACCTTTGTCAAGTCCTCAATGTAATCCTAGAAATTCTGAATATATGCGATTCTGTCTTGAATGTGTTTTGCATATCTATATGAAGTACTCTTTTAAAAGAAGCAGACGGCGAGAGGGCTGCCAGAAACGGCCGCAGGTGAGGCCGTTTTAGGCCATCGATTTCCGTGACCGCGCCGACGAGCCGTCTGACAGCCCGCCATCGAAAGTGTTGTGATCTCAGGGAATGATGACATTTGAAAGGAGACAAGACGTAAATTGAGCAGTATATTGCCTGAATAGATACAGGAAGAAGGAGAGATTCCCAGGGGTTAAAACTCTCGCACACTTGCCAAGGCGCTAGCCATACACCAGCTATACGCCATATCTTCAACAGAAAGATATCCTCCGACTCCACAAGGGCTTGCGAAAGACAGAGAGCTCCCTGCTCGTACAAATGCGGGCAGGGAAAATAGGGCTACAGGCCTTTCTTCTTGAAAGGTGAGTCACCGCCGTGGCTACGCCAATGTGCCACTGCGGCGACGGCCGGGAGACGGCGGTGCATGTTGTGGCATACTGCCCAGAGGACACTGCCCAACCCGATATGCTGTTCGCGATGCGAACATGTTGCGACTTAGAGACGGCGGTCCGAGATCCAGATAAAGCAGCCCGGCTGGCCCTCTGCTTTACGAGGAGAGGGCGACTAGGGGAGTACAGTATAGTCGCACCGCAAATCGCTGACAGTGGAAATATGACGCAAGGGGAGTGCAGCGTGGAAGCGCCAGAGAGAATCTCGCACCGGTGAAGCCCGGGGCCTCATTTATCCATCCTTTCCAACCCTAATTTTCTGCCAGCAGACGGGGATGATACCTTTGCAGTATGCGCAGGCAGCAAGCGACGAGCGTGCAAGATACAAAAGAGTAACGAACAGTTTTTCATCTGGCCTGTAGGGTACAGTTTTCTATATGATAGGAAAGGTGGAAGGACCACCTAGCTAGATGGCTTAGGCATTAGGCCCGAAGTGTAAGACTAATAATAATAAACAATAGTAGAAGACGTACACCAACCCATTCTACAATAGTGGGTCAAAAGTCTGATTACACTCAAAAAAATCAAAAAAAAGGAACAAATTCAAAATCGATTTTCTCAGCAAATTCAAATGGATTTAATCTACAAATGAGTTCTATAGGTTCCTCATTCAATACTTTGTATACCAGCCACTTGCTTGATGTACAGCTTGAAGTCTACGAGGCATAGATCGAATTAAGCGATCTATCACCTCCTGGGATATAGCCCACCAAGCTTCCTGGATATGCTTTCTAAAGCGCGTCCAGTCAATTTTTGATCTTCCCCCTAGAAATAGCATAGGGTAGAGCTCCAAAAGCTTGCGCTTAAGCAGGGCCCAGATGTGCTCTATAGGATTTAAATCAGGCGAATGAGATGGCCAATCCAGAACCCAAATTTCATGGGATTCAAACCAGTCCTGTGCTTCAGCTGAAACATGAATTTTTGCATTATCCTGCTGAAATATAGTGCCAGGCTCATAGATTGGTAAGAGGCCCTTTTCTAAGCAAGCAATATATGATTTCGTTGAATAACCGCCCCGGCGAGCTAATTCATCCCGCTCCATAATAATCAAATCAGATTGGCCACCTAGCCATATAGAACCCCATACCATTTGGGAAATATCTTTTCCATGGCTTATTAGGTTCACTAGATCACGCCTGTAGGCTTCATTTGAGAAACGAAAGACATATTGAGAAGAGGAATTAGACTTTCTCTGCACCGAGCATTCGTCAGAAAATATGATTTCATTCCAGTTGGTATATCTTAGCCACGCACGCGCAAATTGAAGACGCTTTTTGGCTATCTCAGGCCTTAGAGCTATACGCTTCTTGCTTTTCCATTTTTTTAAATGAAATCGCTTAAGAACCCGCTTGATTGTTGAGGCAGAGAACCCAGAATCACTATTTGCACACAGGGCTCTGTAGCTAAGTTTTGGTCTCCGGCGAGCCAACAGATAGATATAGCGCTCAATAGAACGATCGACCTTTGCAGGCCTCCCCTTTCTAGGAAGTGATTGAAAGGTGTGATTGCGTAGAAAGCGCTTTTTTGTTGAATAGATTGTATTGCGACTGACACCAAATTGCTTAGCCAATTGAGTTGGAGATGCCTTGTTTTCTAGAGCAGATAAAATGGCTGCTCGAGTCTCAGGAGAAAGCTCTGCATTAGGCCTTCGATTTCCACTTATCTCCGTCCCAAAAGCCCTCCTTTTGATGTAATAGAAGGTGGTTGAAAAAGGTGAGCTCTTTCGACGCGTCGCGGGAACGCGCTAGTGTAATCAGACTTTTGACCCACCTTGTACCTCTAGAGGACCGTCACTGGATCTCGCAAACGGGTTAATCTCCCAGTCATTTATAATATTCCCCGTAGTCACTTAGTATGAATACCTGCCAGCAAAATAGCCCTCTATAACGCGGTGACATCTAGAGACTCAAGTTAGACATTAGCCTGCTGTCGGCCTTTGGTTTTCAGCTCCTTCGAGCATAGGCGAAGTAGGTCGCTGCTTGACCTTGGGTTCCTCTAGGACTGGCCGTTCATTCGCAGCGGAGGCCAGTAATGACAGCCTGCTCACGGAGAGAAGGTCCCCGATCCTGGTGCTGCCATCCCTAGCTAATCCCCCACTCATCCGGCCCAGATCTCGCCTGATTAGTTCGATCTTCTCACCACGACCGGTTAAATGTAAGATATTGCCGATGGCCGCATGGATGGCCAGGAGAGAGGGATCAGGCAAGGGAAATCGTCCATCATGGCTTGTGAATGTAACAAACCGGTCGCGAGGAAGAAACCCTTCATACCCCCCGGCAAATGTTGGAAATACCTTAAGGTTATATCGATTTGAGATTTGAGTCGATTCGAAGACAAAGTGAAATCCCCCAAACTGGCTATGAAGAGAGTCAACCATCATGAAGACATTGTCTTCTCGGTTGACATCCTCAGAAAAGAAGTTCATACGGGAGCGAAGGCCAGGAAAGTATCGGTAGAGGTTGACCCAAAGCGTTGCATGTCTATATCGTTTATCTCTGTCGTCTTCTCGAAATTCGCCTAAGGCAAACGGAATAATATGCACAGCTTGCAGAAGTGCGGCTGAGCTAGAGGGGCGTTGGTGGTAATTCCAGCTCCAAAGTTTTGATACACAACACCGATATCCATCCCTTTTCAGACAGTGATCGCGTAGTTGTTGTTCATCGACTCTTCGAACGGAATGGATATCTTGGGAGAGCAGATTGTCAATAGAGTCTTCAACGCCAAGGCGTGGGGACGGAGTTATGGCGGGTGTAGTGCCCCCATGAGCTAACATGGGCCGCAGCAAGCCGCTCTCGAGGCTCTCAGCCAGCTGCCGAAGTTCTTCATCATCGACGCGCTGGTACACGTCCTCAGCTAGGTTAACTTGTCCATCTGCCGGGAGATACTTGAAAAAAGTTTGCAAGAAGTGTGCAGTATCATCGTTCTGGTCAAGTGGTTGGTATCGAGCAATCTTTTTCTCCAGAGTTTGTTTGGCCTGAGCGAAAGTTTCGAAGACGTTAGAAGAAACCGCAGGGCTTAGGCTCTCTTGTGACGACATCTTGATCAACCGTAGCAAAGCGGAATACGGAGGAAATAGCCAGAGAGATTTGATAGGTCCAATCAACCAGTAAAATCATAAGTGGAGACGATAGAGGAAATTAAACTAGTATGGTAGCGGTAAAAGGGAGTCTACATCATATCATTCGCTGAGCACTGACAAGTACCCGCTGTGTGCTGTGTCTGTAGGCCCTGTTGGGCCCAGAAGGTCGCTTCTCGCACAGTAGAAATGTAGAGGCGGACAACCAGAGGGGATGATTTTAATTCTTCGATGCAGAAGCGATAATGTAATCGCTGTTTCGTCACGATGCGAGGAGAAGGAAATGATGGGACGATGAAGGTTTCTCGAGGGGAGAGTGATTCAGGTGCGCTTAATGAGCTGTTATGTCGAAGTACTTAGTGACGACGATTACGCGATGCGGTTTAGCGTGTCTATTTGGGGAAAGCGCTCCCTTAAAACGTTTGGTATCTACATGCGTTTCTTTAAAGTCACCTCTTATCACCGCTTCAACTTCTTGCTGATTTCTGCCCTTCTACTTCTCCTTCTCTTTTCGCCCCTATCCATGCGCTGTTGGTGAGGTACTTTTACCATTGATCTGTGTTGCCGAGCTGCGCCGTCCCTTTTTCCCGTGTGTGAAACGGTTGGTCGTGTGCGATCCCCTCGAGCGCAGTTTTGGCTGGATTCCGTCGTCCTGCTCCCACTGATGCGCTTTGGATGAGACATTTTGCCCTTGGTCCGCTATGCCAAGCTGCATCTCCTTCGCCTCCTCCCCTGCCAAAGCGTTAGTTGTCTAATCTCCACGCTCGGCGCCTACTGCACTATTTCAGGATGATCATTCTTGCGCAACATGGCTCCGAGTCTGCCTTATGGTCTGGATTGTCAGCCTTGCCTGACAAGGCCCAACTCATTTCGAAGACCAAAGGAAATAGGTATTCCTTTCATCCGACAGAACTGTCTCGACCGTTATAAGGGATCGCTGATGGTTGCCTACCCTACAACAATCTATTAGGTACCTACAGCGATTTCCACACCATTCTAGCGTTATGGTCACAGATACACGATAACCGGGCCAGGTGTGGAACATCCGCGATATTATTGTCGTCCAACTGAGAGTAGCCAATTAATATCCTTCGCATGCACATTCATCATGCGGGCCGTAATGCTTTGACGGGGCTATTCATGGTATATATTGACATCCAAGTGCGCCTCATCCTACACAAGTGGCAGGAATCGCTTAGTATAGGAAACACAAAGAGCAGGTTAATAGATATGAGATGTATCCATAAGTGCTATTCCTGGCTGAGATTCGGAGTTACCTACAATAACACCTCATTAGCTGCATAGATTTGAGGTGATGAACGGACAAACGAGGTTTTATTGATGTGGTGGTAACAGTACTAGGCGGAGTCGGACTTTGATAATGACGGGGCCTGAAGCTTGTCCGCCTCCTGTGCGTCTCGGCTATGCCTAGGACCATGGAATAACCGACAAATAGAGCTCGCTTGGCTCTTGTGAGTATTCCCGACTGTAAAGGTGATGCACATGCAGCAGCTCTCCGAAAATAGCAACAGTGTTCTGCTGGTATTAGCGTACAATGATGAAAAGGCTGCCCTAGAAGCTGTTTTTCTACTGAGCGTGCCTCGCACTGTGTATCGGACATGGAGCTATTGGCAAACATATCTCTATTGAATACAGTCATGCTTGAGCTCCTGAGACTAGAGAATGTTCCTAGAGTCGAATGTCTGAGGGTGCTGGTCTATGGGAGGCTCCGAGTGTGGTGGTTCAAGCTGAGAAGCTCAAGGGTCTGAATGCAAACCATCATTCGAACACACCTTGACTGATGGGCGGATTGGAAAGGGGTGACATTCACTTGCATGGAACCGTCCTATCATAGCTTTTGTAGCAGTATCACGGGATGAACTAAATGGAGGCGGTGTGTCAATGATTGATACAGGACTTGGGTAGTGACTGACGTCGGGCATATCAGGCAAAGATGGGGGTGTCTCTTGAGTGGGTTTCTATGCCTAAAAGTTTGTCAGGGCGATCAAGGATGAAGGGAAGTGAACAGGGTTGGGAGGTTTCTGAGGATAGGGAAATTGGAAGGACTATGGAATCGCCAATGAAGGGGTAAGATTGAAGAAGTGAAGGAATTGCAATTTGATCGCCTTTAGCTATGGGCATGAAGCCATTCCTAACTGATAATCGCACAACGCAGACCGCCTCCTTTCCATGGTGAAGGCTTCTGACCAGCCAATCTAGACCATTCATTCTATCTAGGACTCCCCGTGCAATTGCAACGATTCCCAGGGGAATAACATGCCACCGGGCATGGCCTCCCTTCGCAATCGCCTGCAGCTCCTGCTGACCCAATCCATTCTGGCCGAAATCTTAATTTACTTTCGCTCGGCGGGCTTGGGCGATCGACCACTAGCTCGGAGGCGTTCCATAGGTCGATGTATTTGAGTGCGGGAGCGAGTTTTATAGATCGGCCGTAGCTGGGTGAGGGGGTAAAAGCGGCCAGGGATAGCGCTAGGCCCTAAGGGTGACCAGTGTGAGGACTTGACCGCGAGGGGGAGGGGAATAGCAAGCCCAGGTAGGGTTGGGGATGGCAGGAAAGTGGTGCAATGGGAGCGGTTTCTGGCGCCCCGTTTGCCGTCTCGTAGAATACCATTTTAAATTCTTGCTTCTGTACTCGTTCATTTTGTATACTATAATTCTTAGCTCTTCAACCTAATCAAGGTCATGCTTGTGGTAATCATCCATCTAGTTGTTAAACGGAATGCATACAATATCGGGAATGGCAAAAGTACTAGTGAAGGCGAACTAGACGTTCATGCCGTGGCTTCTCAGGATTATTCGATAAAGTAAGTGTCTATCAAAGAAAAGGCAGGCAAATTGGCAGTCAGAAACGGCGTTGAGAGCAGCCATTTTGCGAAAGTCTACAACACGCGGCGGTGAGATTTACCACCTTGGTTTTTGGCTGAAGGAACTGAGATAACTTGTTCAGCCAGCTTGGGGTGCGGGGATCTTATGGATCCCATTCAGCCCTTGAATCATTTAGGTAGTTGAGCACCCTGGGGTAGAGCACCCATGACCTAGAAGAGTAAGCACCTGGGGTAGGAATAAAATAAGAGTCTGAGTTGAGATAGTGTGATTCCTGGTATTTTAGGGAACAGGCGAAGATTGCGTGAGCGTGTGCGTGGCTGGAATTGGGGCAGGTTGACGGCTTAAAGCGGCCTCACATGCGGCCATTTCTAGCCGCCAGTTTGCCGTCTGCTACTTATATAATATGTTTTCACCTACCTGTCAATCTTCCTGCGCGACAATGTGGCAAATGTGAGGTGGTTCAGTGCCGCATGCCCAGCACTCATCTCCGTCTATCTGTCTGACCCATAACTTGGTACTCTGAAAATGCACTAGACTTAAGCGATGACGCGCGTGATGTTACGACACTTGTAGCATCAGACATAATAATATTTGTGTGTATAGTACTCGATGGCTCATGTCTATTGGACGATCCAGGGGATAACGGAGGCGGCATTAACATTCGATCTCTCACGGAGTCTGCCATGTTGAGTCAGTTATCTTGTTGACATGACAGTCAAAAGATTATTTCACATACTGTCAAGTGTGTTTTGACCACGCGAGTCGTTGTTTCCCCTTTCTCAACCATGTTCCTACCCAAAGAGGTCGAGGAGACTTCTTTTACAAATGAAGCAAATGAAGCAAATGAAGGTGTAGGGCCTAGATGATGAGTCGTTAATGACGACAGAACCCGCGTCAGGAACCCTCCCGGATAGGTAGGCGGTAAACCGGACTACTTTATTGCCCCACTTGCCGTTTTGTAAAGTCTGTAAATTAACCTGCTAAAGGCGGTGAATTAAATCCATTTCGTGGGGCATCGCAACGGTCTGGACAACAGGCTACCACCCCTACTGATCTATACTTCAAATAAATGCAAGTCACGTCGTTAACCCGACAGAACTATTAACCAGCTCATGCTATAGAAGTCTCCAGGGCGACCCTGCCCCTCAATGCCTCCGCGAAGGCGCTCCTTATCCGAATAAATGGCTCCTTCACAGAACCCCGGTCCAACTCGCGCGGCTGCCCGAACCCCCATTTCACGACCTTCCTTCGAAACCGCACTCAATTTCACTGATCCATCCTTCGACCCCGCCGAATTTCTCAATGATGCTCTTCCCCCGCTGACGCTGGCGTCACCGCAATCATATACCCCTCGGGGCTCAACAGCTGTTTCCCTCGCCGAGTTATCGACACAAGTACAGTCGATCCTTACACAGACCAACGCACAAAATGTCCGGCTCTCCAATAATCTTACTCAACTTACCGATGAAATTCTACGAAGTGGTAGCCGTCTTGCCTATGAAGTCGAAGTGCTACGCGGAGAAGCAATTGGGCTTTCCGAGACCCTAACGGAAGCCCTACGAGATGACATTGCGAGGTTCGTTCCCAACACCGTGGGATCGAGCCGGGAGAGCAAACCGGACGCGGAGGAGGTCGGCGAGGAGTCACAGACAGCAGACACTGGAGAGGCAACTGTTCAAGATCCCGAATTTATCACGAAGCTACGAACATTGAACCAAGTACGAGCCCGACTGGAAGAAGTTGTCCAGACATTTGGCGATTCTATGGAATGGCCGCTACCGCCCTCTGAGACCTCTCTGACATCGTCTTTCATTTCGGTGTCAGCCCCAGAACCTGGTTCTGAGGCTCAGTGTCAAGAGGAGAAGGGCCAGGAGGTTGCGAAAAAGCTGCGCACGGAAGTGACGGAACTGCTCGATAGCAATGGTGGCGGGGAAGAGGGATTGGAGGCTGCTACGAGGCGTGTTGAGGCCCTACGAGTGCTGGCGACCGTGTGGAAGGGAACTGCAGAAGAGAAGGCGCGGGCTAGATTTGTGGATAGTTTGACGAAGTTGATCGATGACCGTCGGCGAACATTAGAGAACCAGGGTAAAATCACTTCGTCTCAGCAACAGGCAAAGCCACCAGTTGGACATCGGCGTCAGGAGAGCGAAGGACCGGGAGGTGGTATCTTTAAGAATCTTCAGCGACTAAGGGAGGAAATTTATCTTGAGTGATACGTTGCACATTTTTACTTTGTATATAATGGATGTTTCATTTCTTTGTTTTCGAGATCCTTAACATACATGAAACGAGCCAAGACCAGAGAGATGTCGATGACGCGGCAGATGGTGGTTTCAAAATTCAATTGTTGTGTAAAGGTCTTCTTATTGATTTCTGGATAATTAAAGCATGGGCAGTGCCGTGGGAATCTCCATGCAATCTATTCAGTTGAACTGACTATATCGTGGGTTAGAAAATTCACTTCAATGGATCGTACCGCAATCAAAACAACCAACGAGCGGAAAAGTCTCCACCGTCTACGTAAATCACACCCAAACCTGTCGCAATCCATCGCTTACTGCAACGTACACCTTTTTTAAACTTCAAGTTCAGTAGCTTTGATCCACTTACTCTTCTTCAACGGGTCCTCGATCATTACTAGCTCTGGCGGCTGCAACGTCGGCCATCATTATCCGGGTCTTTTTCCCATCTTGTCGTCATCTCTACTACACTGCTATTAATGCGCCGGACCGACATGGCGTCTTTCTATTGTCATTGAGTCTATACCACTCTGATCAGATGTCTTACTGCAGGAATGTTTATCTCCCGATGATTTTCAACCACGTTCGCTGAGCTCAGTCCTGTCTGATCAGCGGGACCGACGCCTCCTGCACTGACCATTCTCCCTTGCTCAGGACATTCTCCAGGAAAAGGCTTGGTCCATAGTTCGCGTCCATAGGATGGCTACCCTGGGGATTCCCAATGGCCTCTGGGCCGATCGATATCATTCTGCACGATCTACGATGACGACGCATGTGCTGCAGCTTTGCCATTTTCGACCCCGCGCTCGACCGACTAGGGCTCTTTTCCTCACAGTTATAGCATTCCTTCTTTTCATTGTCCTTCTGTCGCGTCCTCCCAGCGAGGTGAGCTATTGCGAAGTGAGTGTTTCAGGCTACAGGCTGACCTCTAGTTCTTCTGCAGCCAGCCGTGAATTACTGGCTCAAATATCCATCATATCGTTCATCCCAAGATCGCCCTGAAGACTTACCGATTGTTCACAAGGGACGACCTGCTCTTACCAGAAATGACACCCTTCCAGGCAATCTTCAGAAAAACAACCCTTCCTTCCACCTCGTCATCCCTGCAAAGCGCAAGTCACCCGCCCTTTGTCGGATGTTGAGTTCCGCCATGATTCTGGACTATCCGCCTCCAACGTTGATTAATTATGGTAAACAGCTCCCAGAGGGGGCTAAAGAATATGATGTCATGAAGGACCGGATCGCCGGCATACACAATTTCCTCGACAGTACACGGCATGTACAAGACAATGATTTCGTCCTGGTCGTTGATGGAACGGACTTCTTCTTTCAATTGCCCCCAGACGTGTTGATCCAACGCTTTCAAACGCTTTTGAAGGAAAACAATGTGAAATTACAACAGAAATACGGTCTTGTAACTGTGGAAAAATCTTTTGAACAAGGCGCTCCGGAGACAGTGCGAAAGTATACCCAGAGGGTCCTGTTTAGCGCCAGCAAAGAATGCTGTCCCGGACTCTCCCACGATGCAGGCTGTATCGCAGTACCGGAGTCTAGCCTTCCTCCGGATATATATGGGTGGAAGACAGACCGCCACCAGGAAGGAGTCCTTACTCGACCGCGATGGATCAAACCAGGCGCAGTGATCGGCCAGGTCGCAGATCTCAAGGCGATATACGCCGAAATACTACGCTTCGTTGAACGTAATCGCAATGCGCAAGGGGACTATATCGCTTTGACTCACTTATTCGGGCGACAGGAATACGTACGGGAACTGGAAAGGCGAAGAATGTCTAGCCCTGTCATGGAATGGATGTATACACAGATCGGTATTTCTGAGGCCTCGAATCTTACGGGGCTGAATCCACGTCTTGAGACCGGTCACCGGTACGAGTACGGCATTGGTGTTGACTATGAATCCCGCCTTTTCTTCAACATGTGGAATTCCAAGAAAGACGTGGAATGGCTACAATACAACAATGTCTCCAAGACTTCATCCGTCCAGATGCAGCACGGTGTTCCACGAGAAAGGCGTCTCTTACTACCTGACGATCTCAATCCTGAAAATCTCAGCAGTCCATTTACTCAGCCCAAGTTCGGCAAAGATGAGCCGCTTAACCCCCCTTACAATGCCACGCTAGACGCGCTTCCAAACCCCCGTTTCCGTTCATGGCAGAACCTCCCTCTGCTGACCAACATTCACTCGGCCTCGGTTCCTGCCCTAGTACACCTGGATGGAGACCCAACGCTGCGAGATACGTGGTGGTCTAAGATGTGGTACCACCCCTGGGCTCGTGCCCTTCTTCGCAAGTACATGCGTACCCCAAGTGGTTTCGAAGCTGCGCAATCGGCCTTACTGGGAGGCCAAGAGTGGTGGGACCTGCGGGGTGGCAAGGGAGGTATCTGGACCGACAAAGGCGAGTGGATTGATTACAGCGAGGTCTGTATGGGCTACGAACGTGACCTCTTCAACGATGGGTTTGGAAAGTGGGGGAAGGAGAACGGAGACTCCGATGAGCCGGTCTACAACCAATTTGGCCAGTTGATCAAGGGAAAGGAAGATTGATTTTCTATTCTTGATTGAGTTGAGCTTGCGGCGCTCAGACCACGAGGGAGCTGGTGATCAGCCGCATCATCCTGCACCTAAATCTTAAAGCAAACGACTACACATCTTAATGCTCCCAGTGCTGCGCCGCCTTTTTCAATTCCCTGCACATATTTCTCAAGCTTCCCTGCCAATGTATGCTAAGCCGCTCACCATATCCCATCGCATTCACACATATGTGACGTTTGGGCTTTACATATTCTTGCTTTTACGCGAGTCACATGGTGGGTGTCCTTTCTACCACCGAATACAGCTGACTGGCTTTATTTGTACGATATTTTATTCCCTTACGAGTATCCCCAGAGATACATGAGATACTATGATACACTCAAGACACTGCCTCTGAGCTACCATAACATGAAAATAAGACACCAAACGAACGGATATCAATTCCATAACCAAGATGCCCAAGTAAATATCATACAACCAAACCCAGTAAAAGAAGGATCTAAAAAAGAGTTGGTTTTACCCTGCCCCATTCATCCCCTGACCACTCCCCAACGTCCCCCGAATAATACCCAAGATAGCCGCCACGTCCTCATTGCTCAACCGCTCCTCTCGCTCCTCAATAACAGTATCCAACAGCGCAAGCGCTCCATAGTCCTCCTCCGCCAATTCTTCTTCCCCTTCCGCTCCCTCCCCATTCACATCAACATCCATCCCCCCATCCCCGTTAACCTGCCCCTCGCCCTCTCCCTGCTCATCGGCTCCTTCCTGACCCTCTTCACCCGCGGCCGCTTCTGCAGGGGGGCTCGCCCCTACACCAAGGTTCACAATCGTGACCACCTCCCCCTTCGTTAACCCGTAAGGCTGTAACTGCGTGATAAGATCACGAAGCGCGATGTCCATAGGCGTAGGTTCATTAGATTGGATAGGAGGCAGAGTCGGGGTATCGGTGGATTGGGATTGGGATTGCGCTAGTTGTTGAAGTTGTTCGGGGGTTTGGTGGGTGTATTTTGGGTAGTTGTAGAGGTGCGGGGAGAGACGGGAAACATAGTTATGGATCTGCATATATAACTGTCAGTAGGGTTGTGACAATCTCAGGTGGGAATTGCTCTAATTATATTATCTTCTCTTGTTCCTATTGTTAGAGAAGATAAGGTAGGACAGTATAACTCCGCAGTGCTCAAGCAATGATCCGAGTATATGAACTGGTATAATATAGGGAAGTGCACACCTCCTTAACTACGGTATTGTGGTCTCTTAGGTCTGGACTCGGGATCCAGTGTCTTGAGTTGGGGGGTGGATTCGGTGGTCGTCGCGGTGGGTTTGCTGTTAGGTAGGCTAGGACCTCGATGTTGGTGAGGACCGCGGATTGGGGGTCGATTACCTGCAATTCGCATTGTTAGTTTAGATATGTTAATCTGTATGGCTAAGAATTGGAAGCAGTACCCTCATGATTTATGTCAGTGTTCGGATTTCTTTATGCTGTATCGTAGTGAAAATGCGAGGGGAACGGGAAAAATGAGTGGTTCTGACGGCAGAATTGGGCGGTGTGGGATGTTCTGTTCGATCCCGCCTTGGGAGTATCTACTAAAGGGTATTCCGTATGTAGATCGATCTGAGATGCAAAGCAAAGCACCAAGATATAGAACTTTGGATATCCTTTGTCTATTGAGCAAAATAGGGTAACTCAGGGTGTCAGAATCACTGAGAAGTAGAATATGAATTAGACGAAAGATGCACGATTTGTTGTAGAGAGGAGCACTCCGGGTGATTCACTGAATGATATGCGTGTGTTCCGCAACCTGGAGAAAGAGGAACGTTGTCTCCATTGCTGGATGTAGCAATCTTGTGGCGTACTATTCAGGAGCGAGTGCCTAGCCTCGACTCTCGCCTAAGTAACCATCTTTCAGTGGGTACTACCTAGTCTTCTTTTTTCCTCTTCCACTTGTTCCTTGCGCAGCAAGTTGATGTCATTATATGATCTGATTTAGGTCACTAGAGTCAAAGCTGTATCAGTATAACACTCCAAGTCTCGTGCAAGGCCAAGTGGGAGATAACGGCAACACGCACCCTACGACCATTGATCTCATGGGCTGCGGCAGGCAGTAGAACATTCGGGACTTCTCCCACCTTTTCCACTAGGACACGACAGCTCAAGACTGATCCTTGTCAAGAGCAATCATTATGCTTTGTAGATCGCTGGTTCACAGTTCTGTATAGCGACTGCCTTGCTAAGAATATTAACCTTTGGATGAAAGGTTCAGTGAGATAGAACGGAGGAAAGCTACGCCCCTCTTGGATATTACGATTGAGCTCGGTGAATATGCTGGCTGTCTCTTCTATAACCTGCAGGTCTTCTTCGAAAGTCGGCGCGGGAGGAACGGTGGTGATCAATTGCCAAAAAAGAGAGATAACTGCACTTAATAAGAATTGGGCATATATCCTGTCACAACCAAGTGCATCTAGAGTCAGTTTGTGATAACTTGACTCTTTCAGGGAGGCGGTACCAACCAAAACGTTTCAGGTTGCATAAGATGTCGCACTCGACTGATGTAAAGTAAGGTGGATCGTGCTGACTCGTGGCAAATCTCCATACTAGATGGTAGTAACAACAAACTTTGAGGTGACGAAATACCACCGGTACTACTTGCCCCATGAATCTTTGACAGACAGTAGTAATATTCTAGATGTATGTTTACACCACGTAGACTTAGATCATGGAGCAATGAATCGGGCACGCTTCGGTCCAAGACGTCTTCCGGCTGACAGGTAACCGGAAAGTTCGACTTGATATCGCTCAGTTCTTGGTCTAACTCACGGATGTACTGAATCCGTCTCGCTTCAGGCTGGGCTATACCATGATCAGAGTACAGCAAACTTTGGATTTTGGATTTCATTAGGGCAAGACGAAGGTCTGATGGGAAGAGAAGCTCTTTTGTTGATAAGGGCTCTGGAAAGAACGATCGATCAGAGGAAGTCGATACATAAGTAGCAGGCAGATCTAGGTCACAGTCTGCATCGTTTATCAGTGGAGTCTTGCACTCTCGAAGCGACATTTCTTTGTCGATGGCGTAGCACAACCAAAACAGAGCTCGCACATGTTCACGGTGCTGACGCTGTTCTAAGGTCTCATCACGGACTGGCCTGTTCCGGTTCCCTCCAATATTGTACAGCATTCGCATAGCCATAGCAAGTAGTATTCCCGCCGGCCGCGGCTGGCCAAGGGGAGCGATGTAGAGAGCCTGTTGTCGTTAAAGATATGCTTCGGCAAGAGAACTACTAGGTTCACTTACTAATAAGACAAGCGTTTCAAGGCTTCTTAAGTTTTCATTGTCTATCATCAATTCAGGCAACAAAGTCAGCACTGCTTGCACGTACGCATCAGGGTCGGCACCAGCGAAGGCCAGGTCACGCCCGCGAATTCGGGTGACCATTGCGGTTAAAGCAACCAGACATGCATAGTTAGCAGGATTAGTTGTATTTTCGGGATGATTTAGGGCTTTTGGGTCGAGGTGAATAGGTGTGTTTTCAAAGTCGACCGCTGGGAAGATAGAATAGAGTCTGTTTTTTGAAAAGTACTCTATTGAACGCTGGATCAGAGGCTGCGGGGGCCATTTTGGAACAATTGTCCTCGTCGAATGTGTTGGATATTGCAACTTGAATGAATGGGCTAGCTGGTTTAAGAAATCATCAACATTGAGGTCGAACCCGGTCCGCTCGTAAACGGTAGAGGAGAAACATGGCGTCAGAGCAAAAGGAGCGGCGCGGGGACCGCAATATGCAAGATGCCACCGAAAGTTTGACAGCGCTGCATCAAAGCTGTATGATTCGAGTAAATAAGTTGTGGCTGACCATGTATTGAGGTATTGGCTGGGGGTCTCTAGAAAACTGGTTGCCCCTTGAAGAACTTTCGCTGGCGTGTAATGCTCTGAATTCAGACGGGTCTCTCTCTCCGCCCTCAGTGCCTCTTCTAACTGGCGCACCCTGGCTTTGGCATCGGCTAGCTCTCTGTTGTATGATTAGCCAGGTTCCTTGGAGAAAAGGCTGCTTTGCACCTTACTCGCGGACACTTTTTCGTTGCTGCACCGTGGGAGTGAAAGTACAAGGCACCCCTGCAAGGGAACAAGTCTCACAGGCTGGTTTCACTCTATCACAGCCGATCTGTCAAGCGTAACGGGAGAGAGATCAATTAGCACTGATCTTTCTTATTTTCCCGCTATAGCTGCTGTTAGCCTACCCTTCGATGCCGACATAGATCGCAGGCCGTCCGCACTCTTCCTCCACGTGAAGCGACGGCCATGAAGCTGACTTGAGCGATATTTTGGTAACGACAATAATCTAAACGAATCAGGGGGATATAAAATAATCAATATAGTATAATATATAACGTCGGGTAGTGTAAGACAGAATTGACTTTACTAATAATGGACGGAAATGGTGGGTTTTCCCCCGGAGTACCTTGTCAGCCTTTAAGGTTAGTGCTTTTCTCTCCCTCTCCACATGATTTTAAATCGATAACCTTGGTTAGGGAATTTATGACACACCCCCTTCCCTACTCTACTAAACCCTGGTATACAACCTAGACTTTCTTTTCTTTCCTTTTGTTTTGGTACAGTTGATATGCCCTAAAGAGTTCTCTCCCTCTTGCTATCATTCTCGGCAAACCTAGGTAGTCCTCTGTCTAACTGACCTACTCACAATATGTGCCATCATTCCTTAAAATGTATCAATTGCAGCTGTGTCCACACCGATAGTGATGTATCCGATCATCCCTTTGGCGACATCCTTACCATCCGCAGCGACAACGGATACAACGGGGTTGAATCCTCCTTCGGTGCCCTCGGGGAAAATAGAGTCTTCTACGTTGGGGGTACGATCGATTTGGGTGTGAGATGCGTAAGGTTCCAAGCTCATAATCTTCTGCGAAAGGGCTTCATCGAAATAGAGCTGTCCAGTGCTTACAGTATTGCCTGAAACAATGGTGCCGTTTCCTCGAACGCTCCAGTCAGTGTGCGCTTGAACATGGATATGAATAGCACGTTGGACATAAAATCCTGCAGTACAGATGATTTGTTAGTCTTTAATGGTTGAGGGGTCCTTTTTCTCACACTCTTTTGATCTCACCGGGAAATATGGTCTTGATCTCCATGACTCCATCTTCGTCGGTAGGCCACATCCCCCGTAGGAAGGTAGTATCATCCGTATGGAGATCGGTGACTCCAATCTCAAAATCAGTGATGTTCAGCTGAGCCAGGAGCTTTTCAAATTCGATATTCGGCGAAAGGTGGGTAAACGAGGAGTAAGAGCCCGTCGCATTGCAATGCCAGAAGTCAAGAAGGACATTCGGCAAGGGCTCACAGGTTGCCAAGTTGAGGACCCCCACGTCAAGCCACAAAGGCACACCTCTTTGGCCCTCCGTCATATCCTGACGTAGAGTCTGAGAGCGCGGCCAGACGTAGGGGCCACGAGTTACCTCCGGACTGAGGACGCATGTGTCGTTTTGGATGGCCTCGTAGTAAGGAGCATCCGTGGTAATCTCAAAGGTCGTGCTGTGACCAGTTCCTTCCCAACGCTTCTGCGTTGCTCTCTTTGCCATGCGGCGCCTATTGAAATTTGCAGCATGGTTGGCACATTGCTTAGCTAGCGTACTGCGCCGCAGAATTTCCGCGCGAGGCACGGCTTTGTCAGGGCCAGGGTGAGCAATTGCAGTGGTTGCTGCCAGAGCACCAAGGATAAGCTTTGGATAGTACATGGTGGTGATACTTCCAGTGGCAGTCAACGAATGATCACGGGTGTCCTGGCCTGGTGAGTGTGAGAGATCGAGACCTTTATATCTCTCGAGGAGCATTTTCGGGACAAACGTTCTCCATGCATCTCTTCACCTCCGCGGACTTGTTGATTTAGCATGTCCTAGGCCAATAGAAGCGGAGCATGTCTCAAACCAGCGGCCTCCAGTTTGTTGCCAAGATCCCATTTCATTAGATCTCGAGTGTAGACCGGACGAAACCCCCGTTGTCGTGATGGCATCACTTCCGTCCAATAAGTAAACAGAAAGGCCTTGCAGATAAGTATGCACAATTCCAAGAAATTGCTACGAAGCAACTGTAGCTAGAAAAGTATACATTTCCGTTTTCATTTCGCAGGCTCGACTGGTCTGCAAAGTTGCATGTTACCACCAGCTCGGGTTTTACCAGATGAGCGTGAGGCGGGGAACCCTGAAGAGCTTCACAACCTCATTGATTAGATCCACCACATCGTCGCCTCTTAGCGTCTGCAAATGGACGCTCTCCCAGATGTATTCAGAATTCAAGCCCCCGGCATAGTCATGTAGCTGAAGAATATCCTGGAGATGATTGGAGATGCTCTAGAGATCAGCGCGGACGGTCGATCCCAGCGTTCCAAAGCCCCGCTGACTCAGCGGATATAGATTGGTACAGTCTAGCTGATGTTACAGACAATATCGAGTAATGCAACGTTCAAGTTTAGGTGGTAGTAGATCACAGCTCATAATCATAAATAGGCGTAATCCGTATGATATAGTACTGAGTCATATGCTGCTATTTGATTCAATGCTCTAATACGATGCTATCATCAAGACGCTTTCCATTGTGCTATATCGAAGTTTAGCTCAACTCAACGGTTATTATCTTGTATGATTAGACTATAGAGCGGCAGAGGAACTACATGAATAGATCTTCTCCATTCTCTGAGAGCAAGAGCATCACGGTCCGAAACAATACCTGCAGAGGCATACGAATGATCATTTCCGCTGTACCTAGTGAAACCGCCTTGGCTCGAGAGCATATTAAGTATATCTGTCCATCAATTTGAGTCAGCTATGCTACGGGCTTCGTCATCTGTGTGGACCTGCTCTCTGTAGCTATCCTTAATACAGCGAGCAGCCTCTAGAAATGTAGAAACCCACTAATTGAGCACTTGGTGTGGAGCGACACACTAAGCGCCTGTCTAATAAACTAATGGGTTCGTGCCCAATGGCACTATAACTGGCATGTACGATAGCCATTGATCACATGTTGGCCAGATACTCTTCAATCAAGACCTTATCCACGAGGTTGAGAAGATACTCCATTCTCACCAATATGCATAAGTTGACTGAAAACTTCGATGATAACATTCTTCCAACGGAAGCTGGCACCAAAGACCCATACATGGAGTATGTCTTGCTTGGTGATGATGTCACGGATGATACTAATCTTCTCCGGGATTTCAATCGGCATCGCTGTTAAGAGGGATCATTATATCTCTACCGAGAGCTACTGGACCGAGAACGGTGGCGAGGTCAATGACAACTTCAGCATGAACATGGCCGGTATGGGTAGATTTGGCCCCGTGAGCCCCGTGAGTGCTACCGCCAGTGGCGCTTCTCCCAGTGCTTTCACCTGACGTTCAACAACATCAGTAGTGTAAGAAAATCAAAGATTTCATTCACCGTCTTGCTTAGCAACACCCTCCAGGAATATAGGCTCACTGGCCAGGCAAAATGTGTACACAAGCCGTATAATAATACATAAGTGTTTCAAATTTCACATCGATACTTCAATAGGCCTAGGCTGCACATTTCTTACAGCAACCCCCCGCCTCCCCATTCCCCAAATCCATAACTTCTCTCTTCAGGTCTTTCCACTCCAAGGTCTTACCCTCACAAAAAATTTCCCTCTCCATCAGCAACCCCAATACCTTGAACAATCAAGTTCGACAAGTAACCCCCATCTCATTAACTTAATCATTGTAGCTACGTATCAACTGATCTACTTCGTCCAGGACGGATTGAGAGGCAGGCAAATCTGCGATGCGGATAAGCCCGACAAGGAGAAAGGGTTTCAAGACAGATGACTTGGCAGCATGCGCGGCGATCCAGCCGGTGCTTTCGTTTATGATGTGAGATTTCGTTCTTGTTCTCTCCAGGTTGTCATGTGAGTGGTGAATGTAGAGGGGCCCAGTGGAAGTTGTCTGGCACTGGGGGATCGGTGCGAATGTAGAGTGATGTAGAGTTTGGGTTTAGAGACATCACTACAATTATGCTCGTTTCAGCTGAGTGTGTAGACTGGTGGTTAGATATGGGTGAGCAGAACATTCAACGGGAGGTTAGTTGCGTGACAAGATATTTATGCAACAGCCGTTACAATACATCGATGTACTTACAGTAATCGTATACCTAACTGGGCTACAGCCACGAAATTGGATGGAGAAATCAACATTAGACCTAACTGCCTTTTACCAACAAGCACCGCTGCGCCATGGATAGATGAACCATTCCATCCTATAAATGCCACCCAAAAAAATAGAAAATCTTCAAGCAAATGACAAGAAATTGAACCCACAAAGTGTGATATCATACAATAATGTAGCGATCCATCAGTTTAAACTTTTTGATATCATTTACTCGTCCTTCTTCTTCTTCTTCTTCTGTTTCTTCTCGCCGTCCTCGTTGTCGTCGGACCGCTTGCGCTTCTTCTCCTCGCCCTTGTCGGCCTTCTTGGCCTCCTTCTTAGCCTTCTTCAGATCCTTCTTGCTGACTGAGCTAGGGTTGCCTTCCGCATCGAACTGAATTTCGCCACGCTCGAGCTTGCGTTTGTACCGCTTGAGACTCAACCCGGCCTTCTCAGCCATCTTCTCGAGTTCGGCGTCCTTGCTCTTCTTAGACTTATGCTTCTTCTCCGACTCTTCAGAGTCGTCGGATGAATCGGCTCCGTTAGCCTGGGGTTCTTCATCAGAATCAGCATCGGCCATCTCCGTATCCTGGACCTCCTCGACAAGCTTCTTCTGCTTCTTGGCAGAGGCAGGCTCATCACCAACAACGGCATCAGCATCGGCATTGTATTTCCTCGCCTCATTGAGTTCGAACTTCTGGGGCTGTGCAGATGCACCGTTGGGAGCGATTGCAACACCGCGGGGCTTGAGAGGCTTGCCTTCCATGGCAGCCAACTTTCTCTCGAGGTTGAACCGAGCCTCCGTACCAAGAGCAGCCTTGTCCTCCTCGGTAGCGTCGTCGTCCCACTCAGTAAGGGCATCCACACGGAGACCAAGAGAAGCCTTGGCAGCGAGAACTCTGGCCATCTTGCCCTTGTTCCTGCCAGTAGCCTGACCGATGAGAGAAGCATGGTAGATAAGTCCGTACTTGGGCGTATCATGCTTGGTCTTCAGAGCACGGAACAGGGCCTTCTCGGCTCCCAGAATCTGGAGGGTACTGGCGGGGCTCTTGGAAAGGTTGGTCAAACTACCAGCGTGAGCGATGAGACGGGCGCCGACCAATTCGCCAACAAGAGCTGTCAGGTTAGGAGCGATGGCGTTCATACGGGCGGTTAAATAACCAGCGAGTTGTTGACGATATTCTGAGAAGCCAACAACCTGCTCAGCCAAGGCCTGAATGTTTTCCAAATCGTCCTGGCTGATCTCAGTACCCATGGATCGGTCGGCGGCAGCCTTGACAGAGCCCTCGAGCTCCTCGGGCAGGATCTCGGTAAGATCCGAGGTCTCCCAGTTGGTGCGCATGCCCATCTTCAGAACGAGCTTCGCGTAGGCAAGGTTGTCGTTAAGAATCTTAGCCAGCTCGGGGAAATGCCAGCCGTACCATTCCTTCACGCGCATAGCATAGTTGTTGAGCTCCTTATCCAGATCATCCAACAGACCAATGGCTTGTACGATCATAGTATCAATTTTATCGGGGGAGAACTTAAGCTTGTGTCTTGCAAGTGAGTGGGAAAGACCGAGAGACATGGTGGACATGTCCTGGGGGGCGAGGCCCGGAATTAATGTGGGGAGATGTTCACGGATAGCACGGTAGATATCAGTGGTGGTCGAGTCGGCAACAAGTTGGATATCCAGACCAGGAAGCTTGCCAATAGCATTGCCTTTACGAATATTTAGTCAATAACTGAATCAGTCTTACTCCGCGGGAACTCGATCGACATACCAAGCTTCGGGTCAGCAACGGCCAAAGAGACTTTCTTTTCATCCTTGACCTCGTCAAGCAGACTGGCAAGACGAGGGGTAACCTTTCCCTCAACAAGAGAGGCAACCTCCTCCAGAGCTGTGGCAGCGCTGTCAAACTTCTGGAAGCTCTTCAATTTGACCCTATGCGGAAGTGTTAGATGGACTGTGTACAGCGGGAAAATTTTTTGCTTCAGAAGCGCGTGCGGCGAGATTGAAGCAACACCGACGAGAAAGCAGAGGAAGCAACGACTTACAGGTTCGAAACACCCTCTGCCGTAGCAGCCTCAGTAGCCAAATCATCTCTCTTCAAAAGCTTCTTGTCCTTGGCCTTGAGCAGGGCATAACCCGCGCTGGTTTCGGTGAGGATAAACAGCGTCATGGTGGACGACCTCAGTTCCCAGCTGGTTAAAAAATAATTTAAACTAACAGCTATAAAGGTAGAGATTTAGGAGGAAGGGCCGGGGAGTGAGGACGACCGTTGACGAAACCGCCGAGAGCGTGCTTGGGGAAGTCAGTTTGTCGCTGCTGGCGGGAAATTTTTACCTCAAGTCCAAAGTAAAAAAATGAAAAAAGCGAGAGCCCATGCGAGTGGCTGAGTGGCTGGTGCGGCGGCGGTGTGTCTTACGTAACACGGGAAGCGACTGATGAACATGGACATACATACAACAGCTGTCTTACGGAGTGGTTCTGGAATCCCGAGCTGCATCACCATCCCACCATGGAGGGTCTCTTCTTTAACGTGAATAGCGGGTACGTGTGGCTGAGGACTATTTATGGACGTTGCGACGACAGTTAGCTGACATTTTACAGCTATGTTGAGGGTATTGTCCGAGGGTATCGGAACAGCCTCCTCACCGGCCAGCATTACAACAACTTGACCCAATGCGAAACCATAGATGGTCCGTTCACTCGCGCCTAAGTTACTGCCAATATATCAGTTACTAAAAAGTATCATGTCTGCAGATGTCAAACTACAGCTCGCTCCCGCATATGGCGACTTTCTCGCCGCGCTCCCTCCTAACCCCTCCACCTCAGCCCTTGCCGGCAAGATGACGGATAAACTGGTCGCTGAGTTCCGTTATGTCCTCGCCCAGGCCACAGGGTCGACAGCCAGATTTCTCGAATACCTAACTTACGGATATATGATCGATAACATTGCTCTTCTCATTACCGGTACCTTACATGAACGCGATACTCGGGAGCTTCTAGAGCGATGTCACCCCTTGGGTTGGTTCGAGACCTTACCCGTGCTGTGCGTGGCCACGAATATAGAAGAACTATATAACTCCGTGTTGATCGAAACACCGTTGGCTGGTTATTTCAAGGGCAGCCTTAGCCACCAGGATCTAGACGAATTGAACATCGAAATCGTGCGCAACACTCTCTACAAGAACTACCTCGAGGACTTTTACCAGTTTATAAATACGCACCCGGATTTCAAGGGAACCCCTACGCAAGAGGTTATGTCCGAGCTTCTGGAATTTGAGGCAGATCGCCGTGCGATCAACATCACGTTGAACTCCTTCGGCACGGAGCTTTCGAAGCAGGAACGGAGAAAGCTGTATCCGGAGTTTGGTAAACTTTACCCTGAAGGCTCATTGATGCTTTCTCGGGCCGATGAGTTGGAATCTGTTTCCCTTGCAGTAAGCATATCGGCAGATTACAAGGCCTTCTTTGATGCCGTAGGCCTCACTCAGGGTGCAGGCTTCGGCGGGGGCTCAGATGGAAAGAGTCTCGAGGATATGTTCTATCAAAAGGAAATGGAATTGTCCAAGGTTGTCTTCACTAGGCAGTTTACACCTGCGGTAGTGTACGCATGGATGAGGTTAAAGGAGCAGGTAAGTCCAAGACTATCGTACCATAATAGGCACCATAGCTAACCACTCATACAGGAAATCCGAAACGTCACATGGATTGCGGAGTGCATTGCGCAACACCAGAAGGAGCGGATCGGCAACTTCATCTCTGTTTTTTAAGCGATCTTTCTCAGCACTACCTAACGTTCAATCCATGTGATTTCTCCACATTCACAGAATCGCCTTATTACCCCGAGACATGTGTTTCCATGTACCTTTTCCCTCTCGCATTCACCCTCTCTTTATTTTGAAACTAGTCTCAGTTACTCACTTCTATGATGAGCGCATCAAATCGCCCGGCTACATTGCCAGTTCTTGGTCTCTTCTACTTGCCTAGGGCGTTGGGGGATCTCGTTTTGTGGTATAGTATAGATGAACTGGACATTTGCTTATACCTTGAAGATAAAAATTTCTTGTTTAACTATAGCTCTTTGTGGTTTTTAGGTAAGCGATATAACCAGGTATATTGAGTGTGCCAGATGCAGTTCCTGTTCTAAGGCTACTACGTCTGAATCTCTACCTGTAGCAGGTTTTACATTCGAAAGAATTTAGGGGGCATAGCGGATTACTGGGTTCTAGGTTAGTAGTGCTTGTATGAGAGTTAGTATATAAATGCATCTATGCAGATACATGTTCAGGGCAAACTCTCCCTAGAATACATGGTTTTGTTATTTTGCCAGATGATTGCAATTGCAGGGTAAGGGATGTAGCAAAATGCCATGCAGTAGCCTGAACAAGAGCAACAATAGCAACGAAAGGCAAAAGGGAAACGAGGTTCAGATAGAGCCCGGTCGGCTAGCCTAGGAGCCTATCTACTGGTTTCATAATTCGGTCGACATATTCAACGCAGGAACGCGATATGCGTTGATGAGATTTTATAGCCATAAAATGATCCAATATAGCAAGGCGGGCGTCATTATGTTGAAGGCAGTCCACCAAAAAGCAATCACTTCAGGATATAAATTGTTCTCATCACCCCTTTTTCCGTTGTCAGGATTCATGTTAGAATCCTCGAGAAAGGAAGAACAAAACACGTCAAAAGTTGAATAAAGTCGTTAGTCGTACTGGAAAAGGACACTGATACTCTCGCCATGGTGAACACGACGAATAGCCTGCAGTGGATTAGCAACAAAGCCTCATTTCTGACGTCACAGCAAACCTACCTCGGCAAAGACATGGCCAACTTCCAAAACCTCTAGCTTAGAGCACTGGCGCAGATGCTCTGCCTGATCGACGCTGTTCGTTACTACCACTTTGTCCAGGGCACTAGCGTTGATTCGATCAATGGCATCTCCGCTCAGGATACCATGAGTCACTAAGGCGTAGACTTGAGCAGCACCTTCTTTCTTCAAGAGCTTCGCAGCTCTAGTAATAGTATTGGATGTATCCGCCAAGTCATCAATCAGGATAGCAGTCCGGCCCTTCACATCACCGACCAACATCATAGTGGCATTCTGACGGTCTGTGATGCGTGTGGGACGGCGTTCCTATAGAATATTAGGAAACACCGAGTATGTCAAATCAGCAAGTAGAACAAACCTTGTGAATTAAGGCAAATTCAATGCCCATGGAATCCGCAATTGCCGTGGCACGCTTAGCACCACCCGCATCAGGGCTAACGATAACGGCCCGCTTGTAATTGGGAATATTCCGCTGAATGTAACTCTTGAGAAGCGGCCTGCCATACAGGTTGTCTACGGGAATGTCGAAGAACCCCTGATACTGAGGATCGTGCAGGTCCATCGTGATGATGTGGTCGGCACCAGCGCAGGCAAGCAAATCCGCCACCAGCGTGCCTGCCTGAGCCACCCACTGTTTATAGCCCGGACGCGGTTGGAAGTTGTTGATCTTGTTCGCACTATCTTCACTAAGAGCACCGTTCGGGATAGCGGCCTTGCTGCTCTCTAGTTGCGATTCCAGAGTATTGCTGCGAGAGAATCCACTTGTGGGACGCTTCTTCACTGGACTGCCATTGTTGATGTCCTCTATTTGAGCCTTTGCCAGGCTTTTCTGTAGATTATCAACACCATTCAAAAGACTCCCACTTTCAGGTTTTCCGGGGTATGGAGTTGTCGGAGTGCTCTCGAAAGTATAGCCATTCGCGGGCCCAGACTTCTCAGAAATCGAGGACTTTACAAGAGGCGCGCCAGTCTTATTGTAGGGAATATCACTCTGGCGAGAGTACGGGAAAAGCGGGAGAACAGCGGTGACCCTCTTGGCAGAGGCGGTCTTACACGCAGAGATGGTAATGAGTAGTTCCAGGAGATGGTCGTTCACTTTTCCGCCACCGGATTGGATGATGTAAACATCTTTCCCGCGAACGGACTCTTTGATTTCCACTCTGGTTTCGCCGACAGAGAACTTGGAAAGTAGCACGTCTGCCGGCGGTATGCCCAGAGTGCTGCAGATGTTCTGAGTCAGTTGCGGGTGGGAAGTGCCCCCAATGACAACGATATTGCGGACCATGGTGCTTGGTTCTTCGGGCTGATGATGTTTCCAAAAAGAAGGAGGATACAGAAATAATGGAGAAGATGCCTGTGCCGAGAGTGGAGAGAAACCAGGGATAATCGATGGAGAGAGAGGTCTGGAGGGGTGCGGGTTGATCGGTAAGATTAGCACGAAGTTAAAAGAATATATGATCAATAAATGGACGAAATTGCGGCGAAGATAGACAAGCAGCTACCTCATGGCGGGGATTCAAGAACGGTATCCGATTGATGGAGTGGAGAGGACATCGAGTGAAGGACTGAGGTAGAGGGTCGTGTGAGTTCCGCGATAGAAAAAAAAATGCCTCTGCCGCCAGTGGAACCAAACGTGCTCCAATCCTCAGATTTCTGCCGTAATAGCCCCAGGCTGCTACATGCCGCCTGCCGCATCAGGCTAGTTGCACACAAATTAGACAAAATCGACTGGAAAACGATGATTCGCCCCGCAAAGACCAGGTAGGATGTAAAATGACGCGAGGTGTGGGAGGGGGGAAAAGCAAGAATTATCTCCGGCTCCCGATTCCAGTGTCATCCACAAGTAAACCCGTAATTCCAAAAAAAAAAAAAAAAAAAAAAAACTCAAACAAGTAGCAGCAGCAATTGGTAAATCACCTCTCTCAAAGAGAAATGAGCAGTACCTGCACTCTCCGTCAAGAAAGTACTACCTATTGCATTAAAAGAAGAGTATTGTCTCCATTTGGGCCAATAGGTACATGGAAACTCGGTGAAGAATAAACTTGTCGGTATCAGCGGTCTGGATGGTTGAAGGGAACCCAAAAAAATTTCATAAATCAATATCTTCCATGCCAACCCTTATTGTCCCAGATCCAAGCCCCAATATTTTCGCTCGGTAGCAGGTAAAGCATATTAGAAAGGAATGCAAGTCATGCAGAGGTACAATGATACAAGTTGAGTCGCCTGTCTCGATGTCCTATGAAGAAGATCAAAGTCAACATCTACACTCAAGTATATACTCAGGAAGCATATTGACAGACCTCATACGCCAAATGGAAGACTTCGGGAGGGAATTTGCTCACAGGAACCTAAAGCTGTATAGTCTCCAATTTGATTCATTCACCAGTGCCGACCTCTCTGTAAAGTAAAGTCAGCATGAACATACTTGTCCCGAGGCGCAATAGATAACAAGCTACAGGAGAGGCATCTGGAAGGGATTGCTTACAGGTCAAGCTGACTTCCTGATGATATACTGTAATCAGCCAGGGTTAAGAAATCCTTGAAAGGACGCTCCCCTTGGCGCTTAAGGAGGATCTCATGCGGCTCACGCCCGATACGTGCGGCAACCTGCGCCTTGAAGAGCTCTGCGACATTAGTTAGAGGCCAACCTGCAATTCTCGATAACATATGGAAACAAACTGATAGGATCCGATGCAAGACAAGGGATTGAAGCCTTTGACCCAAGTCGATCGTTCACATGCACAATAATCATAGGCTCTGAAGATTGAGGTGCGGCGGACTTCTTCTCCTTCTCTTTCTTCTTCTTGTCCCGTCCAACTCTCTCATCGCTCTCAGGACCCCTTCGTTCACGATCGCTATCCTTGTTCCTGTCCTCATACCGATATGTATCTCTATCTTTTCGCGGAGACCTTTCCCGGTCCTCTCTATCTCTGTATCCTCGATTTAGTTTGCGTTCATCTGTATCGTTTCTGCTGTCGCCGTCGCGTCGTTTCTCCTTCCAGCGAAAACCTCCGCCACTTTTTCTTGGCCTTTCTCTGTCAGACCTCTCCCTATCAAGTCTCCGTCCTGGAGACCTGCTTCTTGAACGCTCCCCCATGACCAAAAGACGTAAGGCAGTGCGGTTAAGCGATCGGGGTGACGCTCACCGGGGTGACGCTCACAGCGATGGAATACAACCTGCGACACGTGATGATGTATTGCGGCCCGGCCTTCTGGTAGCAAGCAGCTCATGCTAGGCTGTAAACAGATTAGCGCAGTTTAATCATTGCTAAGCACTAACCTCGGTGCTTAACCCCGTGCCTATTGCGATCAAGCTGATACGAGAAGCGTCAAATATTACTCAAGGCATCGCAAAGCCTTGAATAAAAGGTATAAATGCCTGGGCGCCTGATACTACGTCGTCCATCTCCGACAACCGTCTCGTTCACCGTGTCCAATGCCTCTAGACACACGAGCATGCCAGCGAAGATCCTCTTCTATCTTCAATTCCTTTTGCGTGCATTAGTCTTTGTCTGCGTGGTGTTATTAAACATCGCAAGACTCCGCCGCTCTTTTTTCTATCAAAATGGATCCTTCGTCCGCTGGACTACAATATGGTCAAGCCCGCTAGGATCACTTCTTTGCCGCATTGCAGACTCATACAGTCCTGGGGTTATCGTCTTGGTGAGCGCGATTGTTATCTACGGTGCTTTCAGGAAGGGCTATACGGGTATGCTGAAGTGTTCCTATTGCGGGACATCGCCTTCAAAGCTAACCACTGGTGCTTCACAGAGGAATCCTTACTAGTCATACGTGGTCTAGGAATCCAAACATCTACTTCATCCCTGACCTATCTCTCGAAGGCCTCGACGCGCTTTATTCCGACCACCCAGATCCAAGACATTGTGATCCACGAGGCTTTCAAAGGATTTGAAGTCCGCTTCTACCTAGCAATTATTGTAGAAGGAGAGCCCGAAGTCGTCGTGGTCTTTCCTGTACGTACTAGTGCCGTATACACCGATCAAAGTTAACTAGTGTGTGGCCAGAAACTTTTACCGAACCGGGCAATACTGGAAGAGGTCTGGAGGGGTTCACGGCACTGTCTCTATGATTCCAAATCATAACATAAACAGAAGGCTGAAAGTTTCAATTGTTCCTTTTGAAACAGGCATCGTCATATTGTTTTGTTAGATTACCCCCTTCGGCTATCAAGTCTATAAAGGTATGTACATGCAAGTGGAATCCCTTTCTACATCTCCATGTGACTGGGCTCTGCGCCCTTTTCAGTTTTCCGCTGTTTGGCCGCAAGCCACCTGGCGTTTTGAACTTCCACAGGGTCCGTCTTTCTTTTCTGCATGACGGGTGTGTACTGTCCACCGGTTCTTGGTTCATTTGCGCCGTAGAAAACTTTTTGACCGCGTTTTTGTTGTTCATCTTTGGCACCCTTAACTTCACCGTTGACAATCCCTTGGTCCCCTTGACTGACAACAAGGTCTAGTAATGTACCAGCCAAAATCTCATCGATCTTTCGTTGCCTCCAGACGGACCAAAGGCCGTCAACTACTCCTCCGGATCCGAACTTGCCACTTCCCTTGCCCAATTGTGATTTAATCTGCCTGGAATCTCCAGGATAGATCCACTCCAGTGCATCTGCACGGCTGCCGCTTTTCTCATCGGGAAATACGCAGTTCCAAAGGACAAGGGGAGCATCGGAGGCCATCTCATAAGTCGGCTTGCGTGGGTTCTTGGTTATGTCTAACAAATCTGGTACAATAGTCGGTGACTCGAGCCCCTGGCCCACTAAGAATAAAATACCCACCATGTGCCGCACTTGATGCCACAGGAAAGCAGAACCTCTCAGGTTGAATACATATACTTGAGAGGGGGTTGGCGTAAATGTCTCTGGCGTTTGTTGTACAGCAGGGTCCTCCAGAGCTTGGAATCCCGGTTGACCAACATAACCTAATGGGCTACTTCTGGGGTCGAGGAGCTCAATATCAGAGTGATAGATGATCCTCTCGAAGTTCTCGATTTGTTTGCTGGTATCCAGCTTGCAAAAATTGCGGAAGTCGTGTACCCCTTCAAAGTACTTCGCTGCTTCGCGCATAGCGTCGATGTCTAACCACCCTTCTCTGTATTTTGTGCGGCTGACTCCTGCCTTGTCATTTGCACGTGAGCTAAATCCGAGATGGCCTGGTGTTGGAGAAAAGGCCGGTTGGGTAAAGAAGTATTTGTAATGACGCTCCCGACAAGAGAAACGGGCATCGAAACCTTCAGGGGGGTGTGGACACCAAGCTAGGACACGGATGTCCTCTGGGAGTACTCTATTTAGAATACTTAGGTATGGTAATTCATCCGCGATATCATCCCAGGTATCCTCCGCGGCAATATCGGCCGTAGTGGCTTCATCTCCAGTTTGCATGATAGTATCTGAGTTAGGGCCCGCCTGCGAAATATTATCGCGCTTGGGCCGCGAGCTACGTACCCTTAGACCGATAACTTGTCCAAAGGCGCTGACACCCCGGTCAGTCCTACCAGCCTTAGAATACTGGCATCCTTCCCAATTGATCGAGTACGGCTTCAGTACTCTTGGGCCCCGAGTATCCTCAAAATCATCCGCCTCCGCATTTTGTGGAAAAATCAGGCGAGTCTTCCGCAAAGCCTTCCACATCTCCTCTTCAATCGTAGGGAGCGGTGTGACGTTGCCATTGGCATGTTCGAGACCGTTGTACCGCTGTCCTAGATATGCGAACTTAAGAGCTATAAACCGGGTGTTGTATTTGGAGGGATCGATTTCTCGGGGTTGCTTCGGGGGACGATTCGGCGCACGAGTATGTGTGATATCATCCTTTGGGAGAGGCTGATATTTACGCGCACCCTTTGAGGAAGGTTTCGCTGCCTCGGTGGGGATGCTTGGGACTGTGTTCGAAGGTACAGGATCGCTAGCGATTTTCGAAGGTGGAGGCGCAAATTCCGCAGTACGGGAATGCAGCTGGCGCTCTAGCTCGGTGATCCTGGATATCAGGCCCTCCGTGGTCCAGGTCGAGTAATCGGTTTGACCTTGCGGTGGGAGTGATTCCCCGGTGCCGGACATTGTTTCTGTTGCGGGAGATTCGACTTGGGCGTGGCGACGATTGAGGGTTTGGAGGGTTCGTTTAGGCAGATTAAATTGTGCGATGCGACTCGAGTAAGAACAGAGTCTGTTTGAGAATCTCCACATCCCCTTGGAGCTTAGTGAAAGTTGTTCGTTCTACCCTGGGGACAGTTGGCGGGGGAGCAAATGTTGGAAATTTTGTGAAGTTATTTTGGTTAAGTAATTTAATATCCGTGTATGGTAATTTACGAGAATTTCACTACTGGATCGCCTTTAGCTAATTGAGGCTACATGCACAGTGTCTTCAAGTTCAGTGATATCATTGTGTGGAATTAAATAAATCTAAGTATACATCGTAGCTAGGCAATATATAATGAAGATACTTTAGAGTAGCACTTTACATTGTACTAGTGGTATTGCAATGGCTAGAAGAACTTGACATGACGTTAGCTTTTCTCAAAATACTCTTCCACCTTATTGATATTCGCAACGCCCAACCTCAACTGAAGAGCACATGATACCTTGATCCAGCTCAAGAGATATCCAGCTAACTAATGCAACCAGGCCCCTGCGTATAAGCCCAGAATTTTGGGGTCTACTGCAACACAGAAATTAATATTCATCGCAATGGCAGACCAAGAGAATCATCCCGACCAGGTTCAGGAGAGTGTAGTCACCATTCTACTACTAGGAGACCCAGGATGCGGTAAAACGACATTTCTATCGTAAGTTTAATCTAATAAGCAATTGAGGTCTCTCCACGGATCTTCCGAGACCTTCCCTTTTCACTAGAGATACCTTACTACCGCGTTCTATCCTCCGATAAGTTACTGACCTCTTAATTCAGATCATTAAAACAAAGGCCCAGCAGACAAAGTGGAAAAGATTCGCATAACCAAATTGAGCTGCTACGTGACAGTGACCAGCCTTTCCACTATGACATCCACTTCTCAAAGAAGTCTTTCGGTCTTGAGGTATATGATACTGCCTGTCCCAATCAGCACTGGTCTACATTGAAGCCGGATGTGGTTCTCCTGGCTTTTGATATTTCCAACAGAGATACTTTAGTCAATCTTAAAACTGTGAGCTCTTGCGACTAGTTTTAGCACCTTTACAAGTTAACCGCAGTCACTAATATTCTCAGTGGCGACACGACATCATTCGGTACTTCCAACATGGCAAAGGAGAACGAACCCCCGTTATGATGGTCGGCCTCAAAAGAGACCTTAGAGTAGAAGGCGAAGGCATCATCTACCCACAAGAGGCAAGTACCTCGTTTTGCAACTTGACCATCGGGAGATTTTCGTTAGCAATATTGAGGTCTGACTTATAGATTTCAAAACTGACTAGAGCAGACGTACCGAATTGCGCAAGAACTCCGATGTGACCGTTATGCCGAGTGTTCTGCCATCACGGGAGAACTTTTAGCAGAGACATTCGAGGATGTAGCGAGACTTGCGGGCATGACAACTACAGACCTTGGGGGACAGACTCAAGGTGGTTGTACAATCCTTTGATGAAGGAATAGAGAAGATACCCTTTTTATGATGATATATTGTTTTGTATGGTCGATTTGGCTTGTGAATTTACTCGTTCTGGTCATTGCCATTTCATCCTGGTTACTCTCATTACTAGGACCTGCTTACGGCTAGAGTAGAGTATAATTAGTTTACGTGAAGATAGGTTGACGTTCATTACATTTGAGCCAATACGCAACTTGTCTCCCTATGCCACGATGCCCGTACATACATATCTCCTGAAGACATGACTTGCTGATTACACTACTGCCACACTAGGTGTTACTCGGAATACTGCTGATACACGATGGAACATGCATATGGTAGCTAGTATCACGTTTCATTTACGACTAAAATTAACATGCAGGGAGAAACCAAGGTAACGGCTAAGTCCACCTTGTGGAAATTGACAGCACAGGGCTTTCCCCCAGAAGCTCACTGAGATAATAGAACAACTGGATATCTTTCCCTCGTAAGCGCCACACAATTTTTGACAATGCTATTCCTCCGCGCTGCACCATGGACAAGACGTGATAACAGACTGAAAGAAACGGATTTTCCCCGCAGCATACCAAGGAAAGTAGAAAAAGATGGTTGAAAGTTGTAGGGTTCCCGATCAGAAGCTTCGATCACTTTTTCTCCTTTTTTTTCTTCTTGCTTTTGAAATAGCTTTTCAAACAGAGACTAGGATAGACATGTCAAGAGAAGATTTCTTTGCGGGAGATGCTGCCGGATAATCGTCAGATCATGGGTTAAGAAAAATTGAAAACGTCAGTCCTCCCTAGCGCCAATTCTTCGCGGAAAGAAAAATCTTTGTCCCTCTAATAGCTTTCCTTCGTCACCATTCATGTTATTTACCACTTGCCCTCAGCGGGCTGGGTCTCAGCCCAGCTCTCACCACCAGCGGCAGGAGTGGAGCTGGCGGCCCAGTCACCACCATCAGCCTCCCAGCTGGTAGCAGCAGCAGCGCTAGCAGCAGCGAAAGCAGTGCCAGGAGCACCAGCACCGGCACCCTGGGTATCCCAGTTCTCGCCGACGAAGCCAGACTCAACGGCAGCGGCACCAACCTCCTCGGCACCAGCGACCTTAGCCTCCTCGACAACCTCCTTGTTCTCCTCGGCCTCAGGGTCACGGTAGAAGTAGAGGTCAGGAACAACATCCCACTCAGTCTCGCGGGTGGCGAGGGTGCCACGGAGACGGAGGACCTCACGGGCGAGCATCCACCAGATAAGACCGATGGAGTGACGACCCTTGTTGTTGGTGGGGATAGCAACATCAACGAAGTCGGTGGGGGAGTCAGTGTCGCAAAGAGCAATGACGGGGATGTTGACGTAGCTGGCCTCCTTGATGGCCTGAGCGTCGGTGCGAGGGTCGGTAACAATAATGAGACGGGGCTCCTTGAAAGAGCGGGTGATGTAGTTGGTGAAGTTACCGGGGGTGAAACGGCCGGCAATGGCGGTGGCACCGGTGTGGGAAGCGAACTTGAGGACAGCACGCTGGCCATAAGGACGAGCGGAGATCACACAGATATCGGCGGGGTTGTCAATACTGGCAATGACACGGGCAGCCAGGAGGATCTTCTCCCTGTAGTTTCCGCGCACGTTAGTTTTCCCACGAAAATAAATGTGATAATTCTCTTCCCCGCTCAGTGACATACCAGGTCTTGCCAATGTTGATAACATTGACACCGTCGGGGCGAAGCTTCCAGAGGTAAGGCTCCATGTGAACCTGAAGGTTCTTGGAACCCAGGTGGCACTGAGCAGCGAGCAGCTGCTCAATGTCCTGCTGGGTGGGGTTGAAGATCGGGGGAAGCTGAGAGGGGGCCATGGTGGGCGATTGATATTGCAATGAACAGCGAATTGAATATATCAATCGACTGGCGCTTGTCGTAGAGGTGATGACGGGAAAGAGACTGACGCGAAGGTGAACTTGAGGCCTCCGCTTTGGGATGATTTTCGTTTGTGAATTTTAGGGCTAGGGTAAGAATTACCGGAGCCTCAGGCCTCCTTTCCGTTCAACAGTCACGTGCTATGACACATTCCCGATACGGTTAGCTAGGTTCTGGGCCTTCGAGATTTCGGAGTCTTCCAAAGTCCAAGTACATTGCCAGAGCGAGAGCTGTTGGTTGTATTGGAGTTAACTAGCAGTTTCTACGGATATGCCTCCACGATTCCTCTTCCAGCCTTCTTTCAAGGCCTTTACTGGTGAGTCCCAGTCTTTTCAAAATCCTGTTATCTTTGTTAATAACCGGCAATGCCAGGATCTTCCTATGCCCAGAGCCCGCTCGCTGCACTTTCGTTGAATCCCTCTAAAACTTCTATAAGAGCGGGATCGGCCGAGACTAGGGAACGTCGAAGACATGATCCGTTTTTGATGGCACAGTCACGTCAGCGTAAAGCTGCCAATCTATCTCGTCAACAGGCTCTTGCCGAAGAACGCCAACGCTCTCTGGGCGACCCTGTGGAAAGCGCGCCGACGCCATTTATCCAAGAGCTCAAAGCCTCGAAATCAGGGCCACAAGCCCCCTCTAGCTCAGATGCAAGACTCAACTACTTCGTCACTCCGGAGGGACTCCAGGAGGCGTTGGAATATTCAAGAAATTTAACCTCTCCTCTTGAAAACCCAGACCGGGACACCGCAGACCCTCAGCTTGAGAAGGAAGCAGCCGAAAGACATCTCCAGGAACATCGGAACGCTCAGGAGGCGATTAACCGTATCGTAAAGATCAACAACGGAAACACACAAGATCAGATGCGCATACATATCCAGAACTGCATCGAAAAGTTTGGACGACACAATACCGATCAGCTTCTGCCTCCAAAGCCTGCAGCCGTATCGCATCAATCTGCCACTGAGCACCCTGAGAAGACTCCTCGAGTCGGTCCGGACACTGGCTCTCCAGAAGTTCAGGTTGCTATCCTTACTGCAAAGATCCTGAATTTGTCTAGACACTTGCAAACGACCAACAAAGATAAACATAACAAGAGAAACATGAGGCTCCTTGTGCACAAGCGACAGAAATTGCTTCGGTACCTGCGTAAGAAGGAGAGAGGTGGCCCCAGATGGCAGCACTTGGTTGAGACCTTGGGGCTGTCGGATGCTGCTTGGAAGGGTGAGATTAGCATGTAATGGCTTGCTAGCGTTTGTATTGTTCTTTTACCCTTGTTAGTTTATTATTAGACCATTCTATTTTGGCGTGTAACTATATAGCATACTTTCCTGTGTGCCGCAAGGAGCTCGCTTTTGCACCTGGTCCTTTTGATATTTCATATCTAGCAACTTATCTTGTACAAGTATAACATTTTTACCCTATAAACCGCTGTTTCGAGCGGTTAAATAGTATGTGTTGTAAGCAGCTTGCGGCCCTTCTAGATGTCAAGACTTGAACGTGTATAGCATATTGCCTGAAAGTATGAAATAAAAGAGTCAGTCGCTCACTCTGACTATAGTTGAGCGCTTTGTGAGGCGTTTTCTCAAGGGAAAATTACTTGCTCTAATTTATGAAAGAGAAATTGGCACTAAGAATACAACTATGTGAGTCCATTCTAAAAAGAAAGAAAGAAAAGCTGGAGTCATTCCAGAACGCGAGATTCGGCTGTAGTGATTGACTTCATTATTGGGCGGCAACTGACCGCCCCTGGTTCTGCCAGGACGTCGTCCCGAGTTTTGAAATTCACTTGCGAAGTTCTCATGGTAATCTCAGTAACTGCGCGTCGTTTAAGCCTTGCACTCGGTGACCCGGCTAAGTGAATGTTAAAAATTTCCTCTAATTAGAGGGGCGCGTCGCAGAAACACAACAGAGAAGTATAAGCAAAGAGCCTTTTCCTACATTCTATTTCCCACTCCCGAGACTCTCTTCACTTCACCTTTCACTATCCATCCATCCATCAATTTCGCAACGCTCGCATTAAAGCTCATATTGTATAAAGCTATTTTGGCCTTTTGTCTCTTCATCTGCAACCTCCACTTGTCTTAGTGACGGTGCTATCCTGTCAGCCAAGCCACTTGGTGAAATTTCTCTCCGTCGCGCTGAGCTTAACCTAAGCTACAGTCGCCTTCAGTCGGCAATCCGTCAAAATGCGAACTCGATCGCAGCAAGCCTCGCCTGGCGGGTTTCTGTCCCTCGATGACAGTGCCCCTCGTCGGACGAGGTCTGCAAGAAGCATCTCGCAGTCAACACAATCTTCATCCTCCGCACAACCCCCAAGTCGAACAAGAAGCCAAGGCACAGGCAAAAAAGCTGCTACTAGCAGAGCCGCAAAGACGCAAACGCGAAATGGTCCTCAGCGAGTGACAAGAAAGTCGACACGAAAGACGGCCCAGCAGACGACTGACGATGACGACCATCAATCGCGTAACAATGAAGAACCTACCCAGACTGCGGCCTTGGACGATAAAGAAAATCACATAGAGCTTCACGACCGAGAATCCGTTACACTAGCAGAAAATACCGTACTTTCGGAGCCAAAGAGCTCTTCTCTTTCTCGTGAGTACCCAATGGGCCCATCCCCAGGACCCATATCATCCCCAGACACCACCACACCAAGCTAGTGCTTCCTTGAGTGCGCCGCCAAACACTGTCGATCCCAGATGGTACGAGTACCAGATCGACAATATCAGCGACGTGGGGTTGCCCCTATCCGAGCGGTCGAGGACGCCGTCCGTCGACGGTGACGACATCGTCCCGCTCTGCGCCGACCTTCCCTTCGGGGAAATCCTGGTCGCAGGATAGGAGCGGCCCTGGTGCTTGGGGGAGAGCCCAGTACCTCTGAGCCAGCTGTGGCGGAACCAACCGCAGCAGGGTGAAGTATGTCAGCTGTAGCACCCCCGCGGAGTCTACTGTAGACGACAACTTTAGTGCTGTCGGAGGCTGAACCCCCTATCCACTTTTGCTGCGGACTCGAAAGGAGGAAGGGTTGCAGAGAATGAGCAAGTGGAGGTGTTAGTGGAACATTTTAGCAAGTTAGCTATTGCCGACTTTGTCCCGTGCTCTCCTGCGGCCGTTCCTTCAACAGAGGCGCCTGCCATGCCAACGTGGCTACCCGAAGCACAGTTGCCTGTCGGAGATGTCCCCAGCTCGGGTCACTTCTTGCGGACCTCCGTTGACCCCCAGGCAACTGCTGCTTTGGATACCTCTGTTGACACCCCTCCGTTGGCCTCGATCTTTTCCGAGATTGCGCCAGTCTGTCTGTCGATGGACCTGTTCAGGCCTCCGAAGCGGGTTCAACAGAGACCTCTCACGCTATTCGATTCGATCCCAATTACGCTGTCATCTATCTATGATCAGCCGTATAGTGTGGGAGGTCCGTTGGCACCGGTAGCGTTGGCGGAGGAACCCGAATTGGTCGCGGGTCCCCCTATCCGCTCAGCTGAGGCAGAGCCCGTGGAGCCATCTTACAACCAGTCGACTCCGTCGACTCGTGCCTCGGGTCTCTTGCCTACAGGGTTTCCAGCAATATTCTCCCCAATTTCCGAGGACCCGACTTAACTCTGGAATTGGGTTTGAATGCATGGCCATGTTGCTCAAGTGTTGGTACCCAAGAGAATGCTGCCAAGACATCAGCATCCCTCTTGGTCTCCCCCACACCCCAGCGGTCGCACCAGGGAAGCGCTAACCGGCCCTGCGAGGACGATAAGCTGACAGTCTCAGTGAACAGGAAGCGGGCCCATGAAGACACCAGCGACGAGGATCGGAGCGCCCCTGTGACTCCAGCGGCAAACAAGCGCCGCAATTTGGGACCACCTGGAAGTACGCCCTTCGCCAACCGCCGCACCCCTCTTTCACGCCGAATTCAAACTAAAGCAGCTCCATTTTCCGCAAGGCTTGCTCGGCGCGAAGCCGAAAAGCATGGTCGGATTGAATCGACGCTCTTTCGGCTTCCTGACTATCTCCGTCAGCTGGAAGCCGACCGAAGGAAAGCAGAAAGAGCCCCTTCAAGTCCAAGTCCACAGCTCCCACAAACGAGCTTTGACTTCACAATGGAGCCAACCATGGCAACTACTCAAGACTCAGCAGGCGAATCTTCTGTGCCTCAAGAACCATCGACCCCGGAGAGGAACACGCCAGAAACGCCGCAGAGTGGCTGGAATCTTCGTGGATTGCTAAGTTCAGTACCTCGTTCCTTTTCACGATTGCTACCCTTTGGTCGGTCTTCTAGAACCTCTGAAGCTCAAAGTAGGCCTTCATACTTCTTTTCGTTTAAAGGGATTCGCTAATCAAGCCTAGCAGCAATTGAACTATCTTCAGAACGGATAACTCGTACAAGGTTGGTTGACACCGAATCTACTAGCTCTCAAAATGAACTGAGATTCCGCCGGCGTTTGAGTGAAGGGCCTGCACAACCTGCGAAGAAGCGAGCTCGTAACTTATCTTACTCCCTTTTTCCGGCTCCCATCGACAGATCCCTCTATCTTGGAGATGTTCCCAAGCCCCCTACGGCACTTCCGAAGTCCTGTTCACCGGATTCGCACCGCGCCGAGCAGGAAACGGCGCAAACACTCAAGACTCAGGAGATCACGGCGTCAGATGACCAGACTAAAGGACGTGAGGTGTTGCCACAAGCGGTTAATGAGGAGGGCCAGAAGAAGCGCAAACGATCCCCATCGCCCGATGTGATTCCCAACCCGGCAGGTTCTAGCTATGGATTGGACTTGGACTATTTCTGCTATAGCTCTGATAGTGAAGATGAGGCCGCGGGAACTCCATCTAAACAAGGTGAACCCAAGAAAGCCGGTGGTCTAGCAGAGACTGCGGCCCGTAGTGCTCTCCGTTCGGAGAGGGCATCGTCCAAAAAGGTACGATTTGATGCGAGCCCAGAGGACACTCCTTCCAAGCTTCGCTCGCGTGCTCGCGCTACCGATCCATATCGTGGAACACACTTCATTGGGATGGGCAATGGTTCAGCCTCTGCACCTACGACACCAACACCACCTGCTCGCGCTGAACAGTCCTCCCAGCCCCAACCAGGATTTATCCCCAATACGCAAGGCACTTTCCAATTGGATTATGACACGTTTCCAGACGACTCTGAGTCTAGCGGCCCGTCTACGCCAAGAAGCGCTGCCGCTCCTGGCACAGCTGCACGGGAGGAAGAGCTGCGGGCTGCATCACAGCCTGAGGGTTATGATACGCAATCTTCTACTCCTCGTCCGATCCCCCGGGTTCCATCCACACCAGGTAAAGTGGACGAGCAGGCTCTTGCAAGAGTGCGTTCTCAAGCAGAAAAGTACAAGCCGAAGACACCTAGCGGCCTCCGTACTACAAGTCGATATTCGAGTCCATTGACTGCTCCTGCTACGTCTGACACCGTTGCCGACAAGCAGAAACCCAAAGAACCTAGTGGGTCTGCGGAGTCTGAAAAGGTCGAAAAACCCGAGAACTTCGGCGATGATGAATTTGCTCGAGATGCTGAATGGCTTTATCAGAACTGCCCTTCTGGAGATCTTAGCCAACTTAAATGGCCGGCCAGGCAAGGCTATGAAGAGAGCCTTGGCGTCAGTCCTGCCTCCATGCAACTCCTTGCTACAATTTGGGATGATTCCGAGATCGAACCAGCCTACCTTGCTTTTCGTCAGAGTTTCGAGGAATTCAAAAAGACTTTAGCATGAACTGATCTCATCCATTATTGACTACTTTTGCTTGAAATAATGTCTGCCCCCCCAATCTTTTAACGTTGTTTTGTGTGCGGGTGGTTTTCTTTGACCTCTGCCTCTGCCTGTTTAGGCCCCCTTCCGTGCCACCAGGGATCTGGACGAGCCAGGAGAGTGGCTACGAAGATTGATTTATAGTTGGAGTTCGGACAGACATCTTTGTTGTATCGACATCGCCAGCTGTGGCCTCCTTCAGACTGTCGGATCGAGTTGCAGACCCTCTGGTAGATAAATCTTTGTGTTAGGGATTATGGTTGAATGGTTGATGGTGCTGGTATTTGTGGTTTACTGGAGTTTTGTAGATACGTCTGTATCTGGAGCCGAACATGAGCATTTGCATTGGGTTTTGCATTTAGGCGTCTCTTTACTGAGAAATGGGAACTGGTTGTGCTTACAATGCGCTAGCAAATTTTTAGAGACTTGTCAATTATTTGAACGCTGTTATTGAATTAATCCATGGCTTCATACTCCGACTATTTTCTTAATGAGAGTCCCCTCAAATGTCTCACCACGATCGCTGACACTCAAGCGAAGTCTTTGTTGCCCCATAAGCCATATCACTCTACCGTCAGCATGCAGTGGATACTCTCCTGTCTCACAACGAGTCCAGGTCAACTCTAGGACTCAAACATAGAAACAACTCATGCAGAAGATACCATAAGGAACCCCTATAACCCCCTTCAAGTTAACACCATCACTCCCATCCATCTCTGGACACTGTTGTTCCCTTACTCACCCCTTCAAAGCAAACCAAACTAGGAAAGGATGTGTTACTACTACCAACCCAACCATGCACCAAAAGCCCAATACTACCCTTCCCCAAACAACAACCCGCAGCATGTGATCGTCGCTTGCCATAACCGATTCGTCGTGGCTGACATTGCCCTGTGGTACTGCCAACAGTGCAGTAGGCGCCCGCCGTGATCTGGGCAACAAATGAGTCAGGCGGAGAAACGAGACATGTCTCATTTAGCCATTGAGAATGGCCTTCTGGCGACGTGTAATATATCTGCTTTACCTTTGCTTTCTTTGTTTGTGACTGTTTCCTCTTCTTCACGCGCACCTGGACCCGTTGATGAGCGTCAAAAGATCAAATCAGATTACGCCTGGTGAGAATTTTGTGGTGCCTGGTCTTAGTCGTCCAGTGCTGGCGCCGGTGCCGTTGATTGATTCTGTTGCCGAGCCGTCGCAGGTGGCTAGGAAGGAGGGGGTAGACAAAAAGCGGCGTTCAGACTAAGAGATGAGAGAGCAAGTGTGAGGGATGCGGGTTTTGTGGAGGTTGAAAGGAGATCGGACTTTGATGGACGAGTGGGTATGTGGGTGAGCATGTTGAGATTGGAAGGTAGCCCAGGAGCAAACTTTGGGATGGCATCTTCATTGATGACTTGACGGTACAGATTAGACTAAGTTCACGGTGGTACGAAGTACCCTATATGTTCAAAAGATGGGGAGAAAATTGTGCGTGTAGGTTGATCACACGGCGCTATCAGACAACATACGTGTATCTAAGGCAAACAATGAGGTATCTCTGTAACTTTTCTTAGTCAAACCCTTTAAACTCTTCTTCTTCACCGTCAGCCTTTGCCACTGCGGTTTTGGCTGCGCGTCTAACTCGTCGCTCTTCTTCGTTCTTGGTCCTGATCTCTTCCACCATTCTCTCCGTCTCCCGCATCTTCTGCCGCTCTACTTCCGTCATTTTCTCCCACTTATTCTTGTCTTGTCGGCGTTGCTTCTGCTCTCGCCGCCTCTGCTTTTTGTTTCTATCATCGAGTTTGTTGCTCCAGGCGACACTTTCGTTGGCCTTTCTCTTGTTGGAGGGTTGCTCGGTGCCATTGGCTTCTTTACTCTCCTGGAGAGCTTCTATGCGACGTTTCTCCCGTTGTTTGTCTTTGTATTTAAAGTCATCCCAAGCGAGACTAACACCGAGGGTTCTATCACCAGTGAAATTCCTCAGCTCGGGCATTTTAGGTAGCTTCAGCAGCCCCCATGCCTTCCCCAAACTCTCCCAGTCAAGGTCTGCGACGCGGAAGATGCTGCTTGCTTGGTGCTTGCTATAACTCCTTAGCCAACTGACAAACGCCTTCTGGCCACGATCGTGGAGTGCACGGTCCGCCAGCACGGCTTTGCGTGCAACCTTCGTAGCAGCTGCTGCCTCAGCATCTGAAACGGTGATGGAGTGTGGAAATGGAGCTACTGGGGTCTTGCGAACTTCGAGGAACGATACGTAGTCTTCCTCCCGCCCTGGATGCAGCAAGACCACGCTCAGACCTCTTCGGCCAGCTCTTCCAGCACGGCCGCATCTATGGATAAACGTCTTTGGATCTGATGGGGGATCTATCTGAACAACGAGGTCAACGGATGGAATATCCAATCCACGAGAAGCGACGTCAGTTGTCAATAGAATTGCTGGGCTGTATGAATTTACGAAACGGTTGAAGTTCTTCTCGCGGACGTTCGCCTGGTGTTTGCCGTGAAGTGGTATCAGCTGGAAATCATCGCCAATTATCAATGGCAGTATGGCAGAGAGATAATCAACTCCAGAACACGTTGAGGCGAAAAATATGGTTTTTTGAGGAGCCGGCTGAACGGAGTGAAGAATTTGCTTCAAGACAGAGAATTTGTGCATCGGTGGAGTTGTAAGGTATGTCATTTGTAAACTTGCAGGAGTTCGCTTGTCCTGAGCACCTGATGTCCCTTTGACCTTAACCAGGACCTTGACAGGATTGCGCAGGCCAACTCGGACAATCTGATCAACAGCCTCGCTGATACTTGCACTAAACAATCCTGTCCTCCTCTGCTTGGGTAACCGACGTATGATGTTCTGCAGAGTTTCCTTAAATCCAAGATCCAGTAGCCTATCGGCCTCGTCCAAGACAAGCATTTCGAATGAAGTTTGGGGACAATGGACATGAGGCGAGGAGAGCAACTCCAGCAAACGTCCAGGAGTAGAAACTAGCAGATTCGGCGATTGTTTCAAGAATTTACTCAAATCTTCAGCTGGTGTAGTAGAGCCTCCGAGGAGTAGCTGCGGAACAACCTTGAGGGTAGAGGACGAGAATTTTTGACGGGGGGTGTCATCGTCTGGGAGGGGGTTAATGACTGAAGCAGATGGAGGATGGAATGCAAGTAATGATAGCAACACATTGTATATTTGTGAAGCGAGCTCTCTGCGCTCCGAGTCAGTGTATTTGTTATTCCTTTCTTTAGATAGGGGCTATAACTACCTTGTCGGAGAAATGATAATTGCGCCGATGTGGTGTTTCTTGAGGGGCTCTTCAAGGCGTAAAAGCTTCTCCACGACGGGGATTAAGAAAGAAAGGGTCTTTCCACTTCCAGTCACAGCTTCCACTACGACATCTTTATGAGCCATGAACAGGGGAATGGTGGATGCTTGCACGGGCGTCATCCGCGTGAAGCCCATAGAAGAAACGGCGTCCAGTACCCAATCCGATAAAGAAGGTGTGACTCCATCCCAGGCTCTAGAAGATGTACCAGATGGCGGCTTGGGAGCCATTTTAGGCAGCTAGGCGAAAATTGACTTCTTAATGAGCCTATTCCCAGCAAATTAATCAAACGATGGAGCTTCCGTCGTCTGTACCTTCACAAAAAAAACCTCAAAAAAAGCCTTATCAGGAGATTACTGATTAGATATCGGGGCGGTAAGTGTTTTGCCGCGGTAGCACGTGACACTATACGGATTTGGCGGAAGGTTCGGCGAATTATTTCTGTCGACACGACAATAAGTTAAAAGAAAACACAGCAGGCTGTTATCCCCCTGGTACTTTGTCATATCTGTCCTCTTACGGCTTTCTGATCGTGTCAACCCGTGGCCGTCACGAGAACGTTATGTGTGGCTGTGGTTATACCTTGCGCATCGCTCGACTTTTCTATCATTAATCCACCCGTCACTATTGTGTAAATAGTCGCCCACCATTGCGTCGTTAGAAGAAGACTGTTTCTTTTCCTCCGGCATTTTTGCCTGCAACTACCCTTCCCGAACCCAGCGACCTCTATCTGGGTTAATTCGATCTCCGGTTCTTCCGTCGTTTGCCTTACGACCGGCCGACATGTCTTCCCAAAATGCGGTCCCGGAGACTCCGAGAGTTATTTCTCCTTCCCCTGCTCCTTCAGAAAGCAGCTCGCTATCCAGGGATGGATATTCTGCCCCGACAACTCGCTCTGCGGCGCGACGACATCGCCTAGTAGATGTATCAGGAGAAAGCAATAATGAGCCAGCGTCGAGATCAAGGCGTTCGCGGACTCGTTCTGGTAGTCCGACTGGTCCGCCAGGATCAACTAGACAAAGGAAACGAAAATCGAATCCGATGAGGCCTGCAAAAAGCCCCGAGCCACAGACAAACGGCGGGACGAAACCTAACGGTTTCTTATCGCCGCTTTCGAGCGCTGACGGCATCGCGCATAGCATCTCACGATCTCCTTCTCCTATGGGACTCATCCCACTTCATACACGATATCGCAGTTTCATCCATCGCCATGAAATACCACGCAAGGTGCTTCATGTGTCTATCGGCTTCTTCACACTTCACCTATATACCCGCGGTATCCAAACATCCCAGATCACCCCATGGCTGTTTGGGGCATTATTGCCAATAGCCGCAGTAGACGTGGTTCGCCATCGCTCGGAAACAATTAATAAGCTTTATATTCGCTGTGTCGGTGCACTCATGCGCGAGACCGAAGTGAAGGGGTATAACGGCGTGATCTGGTATTTGCTAGGCGCCTACACGGTCTTGCGCTTTTTCCCCAAAGACGTTGGGGTTATGGGCGTACTGCTCTTGAGTTGGTGCGACACCGCAGCTTCTACTTTCGGTCGTCTCTACGGCCGGCACACATTCCAGCTTCGTAAAGGGAAGAGCTTCGCTGGAACATTGAGCGCATGGCTTGTTGGCGTTATCACTGCCACAGCCTTCTGGGGTCTCTTCGTACCCAAGGTCGGGGCCTTTCCCAACGACCCAGAGGACGCATTCATGTTTACCGGTCGACTCAATCTTGTCCCAGATCCTGTTAAGAATCTCCTTGGCTGGACCGCTGACACAGTTATCTCGGGCCCCATGGCGCTTGGCGTTATGAGCGTTGTTTCCGGCCTGGTAGCAGCTGGCAGTGAGTTTGTGGATCTCTTCGGCTGGGATGATAACTTCACCATCCCCCTTCTCAGTGGAATTGGATTATGGGGCTTTTTGAGGATTTTCAGTTGACGATTCGAAGGATACCATCTCCGGCGTAGCTTTGTCTTCTCTTTCTCGCTTTGCATACTTATCTTGTGCCAACTAGGGACTCAGGACCGGATGGGTCGAGAAATAGTGATACCTTTTTGTTCAGCACTGTGGATCCTTATCTGAGCAACCCAGTATTCATCTATACTCCTTTTTCTTCTATGCTTTTTTCCCCTCCTTTATCCGTTATATTTACCCTTTCTCTTTACTTTATACCATTGGCTGCAAGTATCAACACTCTCCCCGACGAAAACCGACAAAGAACCTTTCCTTTTTTCTTTGATATAGATAGAAGACGACTATTTGTGATTAGAGAATATGATGGCTCGCAAATTTTATTAGAGAGCGAGCCTGGGCGTTCTGATTCGATTCGAGGTTCTTCTGTGCTTCTTCGCTTGGTATGATTGTGTATTCATATATGTACCTAATTTACCTAGATACCACAATCGATGGATGATAGGAAAGTATTGAATGCTAAACATGTGAATGCAGAAAAGTGCTTCAAAGGTCAGATCTCCTAATGGTACCAACGCCTGATTATTAAATCCCAACCCTGTTTGTTAGAACGCTCGAGAAACACAAGAAAGTATAAATCTATGTCTGTGTGTCCAAAGCACCAGGCATGTTGGTTCAGCTAAGATCCAATATGCTCACGCGTGGAAACCGCTTCTTTTTTCTGCGATTCCTTGAACGATCGTCGGTGTTGTTGTTGTTATCGACCTCGGGGTTTAACTCATCTGAGGCCAGCTCAAATTCTGCGGTTGTCTCTAGCGTCCAGTATCCATCGCACACGACAACAGACCTCGCATAGGAAGTGGGTTTGTGGGTGTCTGTCTTTTCATCCTTTGGATTCTCCAGCGTTGTTTGCACCTTTGAAGGACTTAGAGTGTCCTTCTTGCATCCCTTTGGTGCTATCTGAGTATCTGCGCTACTTTTACGTTGCGTTGCACGCCTTCCAGGTGCCATTTTCTTCAGAAGATCCTGCACACTAGACGGGCTAGCTTCTCCTAGGTCTGTGAAAGCATGATCCGAAACTTTGGGAGCTGCCAAGTCGTAGTATGGTTTTTGAGCCTCTGGTCTTCTTGATTGTGGCTTAGCAGCGGGTATGACAATTTTCGATGAGTGTGGTCGGTCTCTTATAGATCCATGTGGTTTATCATCATTCAACAGTAACGACGACATGGCCTGCTCCAGTTTTCGGACTCTATGAGGACTCCAAGATCCGGATGAACTCTGATCGAGCTTCGGCTTGTTGGTGCGGTTTACATGTTCAGGGGAAACATGCTCAATGCTATCTGCTAATATTAGGTCGTTGTAGCTAGCATTGGAATAACTTATGCAGGTTCTTCCTGTAGATAGCGGAGATGAGGGGCAGTCAAAAGGTTCTGCGCCTGACATCTCCAAAGCCTCTATCTCGATATCACTCGAGAGAAAAGCTCCACGTCTCCCTCTGAGGGGTGACCGATTGGCCACCGGATGTCGTTTGATGTCTCCATTAGGTGATATATAACACAAAGTCAACATATCAGTTAAATCATCAAAGTCTTGACGTCGACTGACAGGCGACATTTCCCGCTGGTGATTCACGATGTGGCTAGATAATCCTCTAGAAGCGTTTTGTAAGCCTGGGGAGCCTTGAAAGCTCGGTGAATTTTGCTTCTTTGGTGTTGACGTCGATGATATTGCTGCCTCAAAGAGTTGCGCTTGTTTAAATTGCGAGATATTGGATCGTTCCTTGGTGAGTGTGCCATATTTCAGGATACTTCCTCTTTTCATACCTGGATCGATCGGTCCCTTGTTCTTAGGCCCTGTCTTCCGATTATTACTTGACTTCTTAGGCGCAGAGGCCTTCTCAGACTCTTCCTGCTTCCAGGCTTGCACAACTTCCGGGATACCTATCGTAGCCAACGTTTCAAACACCCATATTTTCTCCGAGGAATAAGGATCAAATCGTTTTGTGACATGCTTCTTAGCTGGTGATTGCGGTGCAGGCTCAACGTTGACTTCTGCATCCTCCTCTTCATCGCCCGTGGCTGTCGTTTCTGGGGCAGGAAGCGGGGGATTAGGCTCTTCAGCAAGCAAATCCAAACCAACAACATCAATAGGGACAAAATCGAGTTGTAGCTCTGTTAGACCGTCTGTACTGAAACTTGTCCGGCTCTTGTGAACTTTTTGGAGCATCGGCGCATTGCTTTCAGATAATCGGAAAGGAAATGCCGTCACTTCTCTGCGGAGGCGAAGTCGATAAGAAACAAGGGGCTCGGCAAGTAACCTGATCACTTTTCTTGCCCCAGAACGATAGTTCCATTCGAAAGTATCCGCAGCAAATCTTCTTAATTCCAAAGCATCAATATCCTGATCCCAGGCACCCACTAGACGACGTTGCAAAACTTCGAGACTCTTCGAATTTGATACAATAGGTTGGGCATAATATGACAGTAATGTTCTGTCTGGGAATGTTTTCGGGATTCGAACAGCTTTGTGTTTGGTCTGGAAGTAGCCACTTTCGTTCGCTTCTAGCTCGTACTGAAGCCTTTCTCTCCACTCGTTCAGCTTTATATCGAACTCAGACTCTCCAGCGTCAAGAAGCTCTAAAAGATCTTCACCAAACCCTGCTCTTGCAATTTCTGCAGCAAGCTTGCTACCACACTTCGGGACCCCAGAAGGTAAATAATCGCCTCCACTTAGCATAGCGAATAGGATCATACCAGCACGGTCAAGCCTTGAGCACGAAGATTGGTTCAGGTTACCCATTTCATAACATGTAACGTGCGTCGCAGCGGTTGTGCCACTACCACTCTCCTTAGAGAAATTCATAATGGTCAGAGTCGACCCAAACATAAGCGTGTCAACATCATTGCTCATCACCGCATCGACAACGCCGGCTCTCTGCAGTCTCGCGCACTCGGCCTCCGCCTCCCCTGGCGCATCATGGCGGGGAAACCTGAAGAGATCGACCAAGGTTTTGGAAAGTCCAATGATGGGTGCGCTCCCGTAACTACTTCCCGTGGATTTACCCCTCTTAAAAGGCGGCTTGTGCTTCCCATCATAAACAAATAAGGGGTGAACAGGTAGAGCCAAAAATTTTAGCAACCTATAAAACAGTGTCCGAAGCTCTGGGTTTTTGCCGCCACGGCCTGCTTGCACCTGGAATAGCCATATTGAAATGTCAACTGCAATTCGAATTGGTGTTCTAGTTCGCTCCAAATGAGTTATCGCCAATTTTGACAGGGAAATGCGCTCTCCGGGTCCAATTGCATTGATGAGTCTTGCTCCCGTTAGCTGGTGCTTGGTTTTTAATGTCACAAAAAAAGCTGTGGGAGACCAGAATATATATTTTTGAACGACGTGGCATCCAGATGTAGCAAGGAATGTTGTACTTACCCAGGGATCCCCATGAAGACAGAAGATCAAAAATACTCATTTGAAACACCAAAGCACCTAAAATACAGCCACTGAAAGGGGAAATATGTGAAGAATCTCGGATATTGTAACTATGAGCTTGGTTGTTGTTATTTGTTGATGTCGCGGAAGTGCGCGACGGTCCGATGTAGATCCGTCCGCATTGGGTCGTGGTGGCTGTTGCGCTTTGCGTATCTTCGCTCTTGACCATTTAGAATCCCTGCAGCGTAGGCCAAGATCGATTAATTGCTCTAAGAGCTGGATCATGAATTGATTTCTCAGTTCTAATGTATATGAAGTTATAAAGCATGATTTGCGCCCACTGAGCGACTCGCCGTCTCCGATTCTCGCGCAATCTGAAGGGAACGCAAACACGACAGCCATAGGCTACGAAAAATGACGAGCAGCTCTGCGTCCTACAATCTTGACGACAGGAGAACAAGCGTCTCCATGAGCTTGCGACACAGCCAGTCCGGCAGACCCTCCACCCCCCAACATCACCTGCGCTCTAATAATTCATCCTTCGCAAGCACCTCGTCGGCGAGTTCCTCTCTGCGTGGAGAAGAGGATGCGATAATTTTTGAATTTGGCTCACGATGGCTTCGGGCAGGATTTGAGGGCGATAGCACGCCTACGTGTGTGGTTGGGTGCGGACCGGAAGACTCAAGGAGGGCCGGAGACTACAGAGGATGGCTGAAAGGTAGCCTTAACGCGGCTACACCACGGCCGCAGTCAGTTGACGCAGAAGAATGGACTAGTGCTTATGAACTTTGGAGGATGGATGTGCGAGATGTGGACTTGGGCCTTGTTGAGGACAAGATCGAGCGGATGTTCCGAGAGACATACAATAAATACCTGTTGACGGATGCTGGAACATCCCGATTGGTGCTTGTCCTTCCGTCTATTATGCCACATCCATTATTGTCTTCTGTCTTGTCGACACTCTTTAGTCGGTGGCGCTTCCCCAGTATCACACTCCTCCCGAGCCCTACCATGGCGGTGGCTGCAGCCGGATTGCGTTCGGCGTTGGTGGTAGATATTGGATGGGCGGAAACAACAGTAACTGGAATCTGTGAATACCGAGAGATTGCTACCAAACGGAGCACAAGGGCCATGAAAATGTTGCTTCAGGAGACGGGCAGGTTCCTCACTCGTCTGTGCTCAAACGGTAGCGGAGAAGCAGATGAGATCTCCGTGAATTTTGAATTCTGTGAAGAAGTTGTCAGCCGGTTTTTGTGGTGTAAGCCTCGAACAGGCGATTGTGACGTATCTGATGTATCGCAATCATCCGAATCCCAAAAGGGAGACAGTGAGGCGACAGGCCAAGACGTCGCCGGTCTTTTGCACAAGACTGTATCGATCCCATCTCCATCAAACCCCAGCTCGAGCTATGTAGAGGTTCCTTTCTCTAAGTTAGCAGAGCCTGTGGAGAAGGTCCTTTTTGCTGAAGGTGTAGCAGACTGTGACTTGGATGACGAAGAAAAACCGATTGCTTTGTTGTTGTACAACTGCCTTCTACAACTACCACCTGATGTACGGGGTATTTGCATGTCACGGGTAGTATTTGTCGGTGGAGGAGCTAACATCCCGGGTGTTCGACAGCGGGCTTTGACAGAAGTAGCGTCCCTTGTTAAGCAACATGGCTGGAGTTCTGTCCGCGGTAGAGTTATTGAACAACAAAGACAAAGTCTACATAACTTGCGTCTCGATGAGCGGCTGACCTCGGCCAACAACAATAAGGAGAACATGCCGCCGTCTTTTGAAACTCCCACTGGACAGGACGATCAAGAAAAACAGGATGGTGAAGAAGAGATCGATCCGGTCGAGGAGAAGCTCCGCCGGACTAGAGAAAAGGATACGAAGCGACCAGTCCAAGGGGTTCTGCGCGAAGTTGAATCTCTTGGACCTTGGGCTGGAGCTAGCCTCGTGGCGAGCCTTAAGACACGGTCTCTGGTAGAGATCGAACGAGAGAAATATCTTCAACATGGCCTTGCTGGAGCTAGTCGAGACCTGGATACTCATAGCTATGTCTCTGATCGACGGTCAGGGTTACGATCTGGCGGAGACCGATCGAGCTGGACTTTAGCCGGATGGGGATGAATAGGAACGAGGAGACTTACGTGGTTGCGACACAGTCTGGTAGCGCTGAGCATATTGCTCATTTGCTGGTTTATTTTCATGAATGCTCAAAAACGACTGGACTTAGACACGATACCCTGAAATTTAGTAGTACACTTACATGAATATGATTAATATGGTTTGGAACGCTGACATTGGTGTCTACGGTACTTATCTCAATCAAGAACTAATCACATTATTTACTCGACTGTAGTATAATGTATATACAACGATGGGTTAAAACTGTCCAAGATTAAAGCTACTAGATCATTAGATAACTAAAGATTTGCACAGTACCTACTTCAGACCTTGCCAAATTTATACGTAGCCCAGTTGACTGCTGGAGCTCCGGAGGGGGAATAAACCTGGTCTGACAGTTGGCCCCAAGCAGGGTTGTTGATGCCATCGATCCAGCCTTCGGGTTCGATGACAATGCACCCATACTTATTGACGTTCTTTGCACCTTCGATACCCTCTTCCTTGTTGCGCTTGGCCTGGGATGGCTTGATAGGAATGTTACCCTTCTGGCCGTTACAAGAGTAGATCTGAACAGCCTGCTGGTTCGTAGCCACTTCGAGACTGATGCCGGTTGTGCTGGAATTCATACGGAGAATGGGAACCATGGAATTGCCCGAGCCGTATGAGTTGTCTCGATCCACAATGAAACAGTTGTCATAGCCCGTGCAGCCGGTGCCACACAATCCTGCTGCTTTGTCAATGTCCTTGCCCACAAGTTTTCCAGTGGCGAAGTCTGCGGCTCCTTTGTACGAGTCGACACCCAGGATGGTTCCATTGGGAATCAAGATGCCGTCAGTGCCGATGAGACGCCTAGACAGCGGCAGTTGGAGGAAAGTGTCGTTCAGGACATTGGCCTCCTTAAATGCATTGAGATTCCAGTAGATATGATTGGATATCATAATGGGAGTTGCCTCTGTCAAGGCCAAAGATACCAACTTAGTGGTTAACTGGGGCAGACCCTGGGGGTTCTCAGGAGTGGCATCAGAATCGACGCTGTATGTGGCGTGAGTGATGACGTCTCCAGGGAAGTCCTCCAATCCGCGGTCAAGTAGAGTAAAGGTGATGGAGGAATCGGACTGAGCAGTGACAGTCCAGTTGCGCTGATCATAACCGACATCGCCTCCGTGGAGGGTGTCGGTGCCGTTGTTTTCGCTCTTGGGGACTTCGTACCTGTCCCCATCCACTACAAAAGTGCCGTTCTTGATCCGATTGGCATAGCGGCCGACAACTGCACCGAAGAATGTGTGATCGGTCTGAGTGTCTTTCAAATAATCCTTAGGGTCATCGTAGCCCACTACCACGTCTTGCTCGTTGCCCTCGCGGTCAGGCACGAGCAACGAAGTTAGACGCGCCCCGTATGGGATCAACTTAGCGGTGATGTTCTCTGCAGTAATCGTGTAGACTTTGAAAGGATCTACAGCTGACGATGAGGGGGCCGTGTCTACAGCCAATGCTGGTAGCCCATAGAGGGCGACAGACAAATAAGATTTAAGATGCATTCTGATTCCCAGAAGCGCAGTACCAAGGAGAAAGAGGAAGCAGTACACTGACAGAAGACGAATGGAGACCCGGGCAGGGCAGAGCAAGGAATGTAAGCAGCCACGGAGCTGGGGAGGTCCCTGGTCTGATATAAAGGAGTGAATCATACTACTATTATCCTGCTCCTACCTCATGATGGCGCCTGACCAGCGGGGCGGGGGTACCACAGCACAGAAACAGTGGAAACTGGGGTAAAATTCAATTTCCCCGAGCTGTTGGTTGGATTGGATTGCTTGCAATTATCCGAGCAAATTATTAGTCGGGCAGTGCCAATGCTAGTGCATTAGTCTGTGTACCAACAAGCTCTGCGCCGTCGACGGATTAAGTATGGTGGGCTATAGAGGTATGCGTCTGTCCACCACTGATCATTGATTCTTGAGATCGGGAGGATTGGGGTGGAGCCAATTGCGAAAGCTGATAGATTCACGGGTAACTAGCAACGATATGGTACCTGATATGTGGCACACTGATGTAACTCCTTTTGCTGTAATCGTTGCTAATAATGATGGAAAAAGAAGATGAGACGCGGGAGGCGTTCAGTAGTACGTCGTCTAAAGGGGAGGCAGCAATCAAGCCACGGGAATGAGGCGACGGAGCTAAGCCTCAATAGGGACTTTCCGGTGGGGGAGAAATTAAACGGGATGCGGGGAAGGAAGTCGGCCTGTCGATCATTCGGTCATTGTTGTCTGATGCCAATCTCAAGCTCCCCCGGAGATACAGCCAAGTACACCTATGAATTATCACAGGTTACGTACAGGATTTTGCAACAGGGATCAATACGTGGAATGGGGTAAGTAAGTTCCAGTTTCTTATTGTTTTATACAGTGACAGTGTAAAGATGATAGACCTTCACCTTGGGGCTCCTGTACCAGCCCGTTCCTCACTTCCCCGGAACAATAATCCACCGGCTTAGATAATCACAACGCGCTCCCCTCGACCTTTTGAGGCAAAGCAAATCGGGCCGGACGCTCGGCCTGCCTGATCGGGAGACTTGTTTATGTTATTCCCTGCGGTTGCTCTGCTTCCCCGCGATTATCGGCCTATCATCATTGCTTCTATCAAAGCCCAGACCTTTCACAGATAGCTTTGCTAGAAAGATAATGGAAAATCTTGTGCTGTGACGTTCCTTCGCACTGTTCCTTCCCGATCAAACGCGACCGGGGTCAAGAGACATCTATGATCATATCGCTTTTTACATGTCGTAATGTCCTCCTTCAGCCCTAGCTCTTCTCCAGACATTCTTGGACCACCTGGCGACGTCGACTATTTAGTCTCATCCCCCTTTAAACCCTTTTCCGGTCGCCAAAGCTTCATGTCACCCGCAAATTTCAAACTCCTTCAAACACCGCGCTCAAGGAAAGGCAGAGGGTCGCGCATCAGCCTGAGTCCCACAAAAAGCTCACATGCTATCCACTTCGACGATGTTTTGCTTCCTGGTTCTCCGACGAGGAAACTGAATGGTCGGCAGATGTCCATTTCCCCTGACAAGATCGGGCCCGATGGGAACGTGAGTCCGTGGAGGATCCGAGTGACACTAGAGGCAACGCAAGACGAGGAAACGAACCAAGGAAGTCCTTTGCGCAAACGTCCCAGACATTCCACTATGACGTCGAAAATTCCGCTGAAGGATGAAGCGGACGTTGTGGAGCAGACTCCTAGGAGACGACGAGGTCGCCCGAGGAAGTCAGACATTTTGAACAAAGGCGAAACCCCAAATGGGGGCAGTCCTGGTCATACGCCTGGCCCGGGGGGCGCAAGTGTGCAGAAGAGGAAGCGTGGTAGACCTAAAAAAACTCTTCCGGAACCGGATATCGTAGACAACATCGGCGAGCAGCCGGCAAACGATCAGACAAACCAGCAGTCTGCTGTCGAGCTTGAGCCAAGCTGGGATCCTCTAAATCTGGCTGCGGATGGTGAATCCGACGATGGCTTGCCGGATGATCAAGGATATGGAGGATATGCAAAATCTTTTGAGGGCGACGGTCAAATGGAGCAAATTGATGATGTTTCCCAGAATCATAGCCCTCGAGTGGAATACGAGCGTACTTATGACACGCCGAATGTCGATAATATGGATGATGTTTATTTGCAGGATGATGATAACATACATTCAACACCATCAAAGATGCCCTCTCCTTCTCGGGAGAGTCAGGTTATCTCTCCAGATAACACCCTGTACGCTGGCCGTACACCTAGGCCTCGCCTATACCCGACTCCAACGTCCTCATCATTAGTAGATGAGGAAAGGCAGGACCAAAGGTTGCAAAGCTCCGTCTCACATGATCGCTTCCGCCGAAGCGGAGCTCATACTACAAATGACCCTACAGACGAACACAGAGAATTCGATTCTATAATGGAAAGTGAAGGGTTTAGCATGGTCTCACTAGACACATTACCGTCAGCTAAACAGCATGGGATTAGCACTAGCTCCCAAGTGGCAAAGGGCGCTTTGAAACCGTTTTTGGAACGAGAAAACAACGGCGTCTTGAGAAGAAAATCCTCGACTCGAAACAAAAGCAGCAGAGAAGATGCTGGTTTATTTATGCAGACTGAATCATTAAACGAACAAGAGAAGGCTAATGTGGGCCATGTGTCTAATAGGACATATTCGCCCCCTACTTCTCCAGCTCTTGCTCCGGTACAAACTTCTACTAGAGGCCAGCGGCGACCAATTTCAAGATTTGTGAGGTTGGTTCGTGTGGGCATTGTACTTGAGAGCGCTCTAAGGCGTCCGCACGACAAAGGATATTCGCGGAACCTTCTGTCAAGCCCGGAGATACGCGAGCCAGAGGATCATATATCCGATCTGGAAGCATCTAGGAAACGTTTGGAGCTGCTTTTTAGCGAGTTCGACTCAGAGATACAACGCGACTTACAGGCAGCCTTGAAATTTGGCCAAGAGCTTGCAATGAGGCGAGTGCAGACCGAAGTTGAGAAAGCAAGGGAACCCCATGCCCTGGAAACTATCCCAGAACACGCGTCGGGGGCCTTGAGTGAAGCGAGTGAATCTCGGACATCGTCGCCGGAACTTAATACAGTCAGGGCCTACGATACACCAGGCACAGAGATGACGCGCCGGATGGCAGAATGGCAACAGGAGAGGGAAGCTATCAGCCGCGAAATCCAGATGGCCAACTCGAGCCAAGTCATCGTCATTGACAGTGACGTGAGTGGCCCCTCGAGCCCTGAAGGTAGCATGGCTTCTGGATCTGGTGACGAACATGACTGGGGGACTGATATCTATCGGGGAGATACGAATGAGCTACCGGTCCATAATCAGTTAGAGAATGTTGAAGATAATAACTCTAACGCAGAGGCAGAGGAAGTGGAGGAAGATGATGACGGGTACGAAGACATTTGGCAACAAGAAGCCAACGTTAGAGGCGAACTTTCCGACCACTCTCCTGTTCCTTATTATGAGCAGGATTATGGCAATGATAGGCAGGAATCTAGTCCTCAAACAAATAATTCGGCATCTGATCAGGGTGCTGTCGGTATCTCCTATTCCCCAGCATATTGGACAAATGCTCACGACAAGGTGCCGTTTCTGGGCAAGTCGCGAATCAAGCAGCTGCGAGAACAAAATGTTGATATATCCACATTGTTGCGTGCGGAAAATACCCCTAAACGCTCGCGTTACTACTACGGAAAAAGTAGCCCCTTAAGTTCGGAAAGCGAGCGAGACCCTGAGCAGCTACGGCCTACCGTAGATTCCCAGAGCGAGGATGGAAGGGACGACGAGTACGAGGAGGAAGAAGAGCAGGGAGTGGCAGAGATTGGGGAGGATCGCTTACCTGAAGAACCTCCGCAGCCAGAGGATTATCTAGAGTGGAGCCCCCAGAGAGCCTTTGGCGATGAAACGTTCCAACTAGATCCAACCACAAATTTTGAAAACGCCAGACAGCACCCTAAAATGTGGTCCGAAGGGAATGGCGATGAGAATCTCTCAGACGCAGTTTCACCTAAACCGCAAACCGCTCAGGAGACAACCGCCATCACACCCGAACACCCTCAGCCTTCCAGTGTCGGAAAACAAGCATCATCCTGGCTTCAAAAGATTGCTAGTCTTACGCCTGGATGGTTGAAAGCCCCCAAAAGGAAATCGGCCGAGCAACTATCTGTATATGATGAGAATTCAGAAGACGGCGGTGAGGAGCGACTGCCCAACGTTGCAGAGACCTATTACGATGACAAGCTAAACTCAAGAAACGTGGAAGAACATTATATGGAGGAAATGCCAAGACCGCGTTGGGACCACGAACAACATGGCTTCTCTAGCCCGCCAATCGACAAGACACACACGTCGCCAAATATAGAAGAAAAGGACGATATGTACCATCATCCTATGCCATTGGCCGTCTCTGGATATTTCTCTGACGATCACTACGTCCTCCTACGTCGCCTTTACCGCCTGGCGAAAAGACATCCAGAGCGGTTTCCTTACTATACTGGACCTGGCCGTTCAGACATCATTGGGGATTGGATATGGACTTCAGACGGCTTACATGGGGTTCCCATCACAGAGCGTCAGTTTGCCATAATTGACAGATTCGTGCAGGAGCTGGCCAAGGCCGACCTACAGGCTGGTGGAACAGGCCAAGTTGGCTGGACGGAAGCCGATTTGCACAGAAGACTGATTAGCATCATTATTGGTGAACAGATTCGGGAAGAGAGGAAAGCACGTTTGCAAGAAGAACAGTTGAGAGGGGCCTTTCCACGAAAAAGGCGTGCGCCTACAAGTTCGTGGTACTGACGACTGCCTAAAGTAGCAATCATTTTCCTTTTCTGTCTTTTCTTTTATTCTTTGATTCCCTCCCCCGGGCCTAGTGTCCCCTTTTGGCAAATATAGGCCCTTGATTTTGGAGTAATGGATTTCATTCTTGCTTTTTTGGTGTTACTTGGGGAGTACGGTTCGGAACTACACGGGTTGGCGAGCCAATAGGTGGATCTTGTGTCGTCGGATTACCGGCTCGCATTGATTTTGATTTCTTGACTTCCGTTGTTGTGATAGCATGTTGGCTTTCTTTTTCTGTAAGATTCCCCCCTAAGTTTCTTTAGTATATGTAGGGATATTTTGGTACATGATAGGTGTTCGATTGGGAGAATGCTGTTGTTCAGGGATCCATGGTCCTCTCTGAACTTTTGATTGGTTTATGCAATATGTACAGCTTATATCGTTTATATCGCTTATATCGCTTACTTTTCGCTTCGCCAAAGGCTCTTTTCTCCCTTGCACACTCGTCTATATCTTTTGCCTTACGAAGTTTATTATGGCGATCTGCGTGCCAGACTGGGCACAGTACATATGTTGGAAAGCCCACAGTGGTGATGAAATGCCATGTGTGAGCATCTGTTATGCTGTTCCTTTGCTGGCAACGGGTACATATGAGTTATCCAATTTCGAGGGACTGAACCACGATGATTACTGGAGCAACATCCTAGTTTCCCCTTCCCCGGGCAAGGTTTGATCGCCACGTTCCCTATCCCAAGGATGTGGTTTCTTATTGTGCAGGTATGAAACATTATGGCTTGGCCATTCGTTGCGAAATTTTTCCAGCTCTCTCCACTCTTGGGGTGAACGGTCCTGTTGTAGTTTTGACCAAGCCGCGGTCAAGTGAGCCAAACAGAAGAGCCGACGTCAGAATAGCCCCATCTAGAGCTTGAATGTCCTTGTTTCCTGAAGCCTAATCCTGAAACTTTGCCTCATTAGGCTGTATTGAAGCTGTTAATGGCCCAGCGCAGTGACCTGTATTCGAAGCCATTCCGAGCAAAAAGTACATGCTCGTATATATAAACGAGCAGAAATTCCTGTAAGAGAAAGCGGCAAGCCACATGAAAACAAATTCCTTAGTTTGTTCGCTTTTTGTGGGGGAATTAATCATAATTTGAAGATCCTGCTTATACATACCAACATGAGAGTGACCAACACCGTTAGATACATATTCCGCCTTACCACCTTGGCCAGGCGTCCAGAACGTTCCGTCTGGAAGGGTAAAGGGATCGACGATACAACCCCGATCGAAGTCACTGTGCATTGCCACGAAGATGACTCCCAATCAACCGGCTCCGAGATGGCGGTGAACGCAAGCGAGCTGGACCTGCATCATGGCGGCAGGAGCAGCAGCAGTAGCAGCAGTAGCAGCAGCCGCTACCGATCTCAATTGGTACGGGCCGTAAGCTGGGCCAGTGTCGTCTGCGACAGATGCCGGTGGACAGCAGAGCAGGAGCGGGAATTGGCTATTGCACAGAGTGAACTGGGGAGGTGTCAGAAAGCGTGGAGTTCGGAGCAGGAGTTGTGGCTAGCCTGTGTATGTATCATTTTCCCATTGCCTTTCTTGGCTTTTCTTCAAAGGGAAACTTATTTGCAATATTATGGACTCGTAATACTGATGGCTATCCCTTTGGATTACTTTAGGTCGAAGCCCTACAGGAAGAGAAAGAAGCCCATGAAGAATTCCTCTCTCATCGAGCGAAACAGCAGGATGACGAGCAACAACATTTCCGAAAGGCTTGGAAGAGGCGGAGATCCTCTGAAGACCAACATCCTATAGACGCTTATGCCAATCCCCATAAAGCCAACAGCAAGATGCGACGCTTACGGAAACGCAATACTGGTGGTTTCTACTGAAAACGACCTGGCATTATAATCTTCCCTTCTTAGCTTACTCGAAGAAAGAAGAAAGACAGAAGGACGGGGGAAAGAAGAAAAGAGAAAGGAAAAAAAAAATTTAAAAGTCGCTACGGTAATATGCGCTGAGAAGCTGAAAATTTCAAAACTATCATTAGGATGTGATTATTCGTGTTTTCTTTCTTTCTGCAGAGAGATTACTTTTGGCTGATGATATATGCCCTACTTCGAATATCTCATTGCTATATTCCTGCTTGTTCGCCTGGTTCCAATATGGATGGTATATCAGTATATGAATGATTATACCATGCTCTGTCTAGGGTCTGTTAAGTAAGGGACATGCTATTTATGGATAATGCCCGAGAGAGCAGATCATGTCCCACTTTCTATGAATCCATCACTCCTCGATCCACTCACTATTTGGGGGACTTTCGTCGCATGTACTGAATAAAATTCTCTTACCATGACGTATGCTAGACTCCGATTATCATGATGGCATCCCGAGAGAGACATGGTCATGCTCCCTACTTAATGTCGGTCTTGTGAAATGGAAGCTTCAAAAGCAACGATCTTGAGTTGATAAGCGGAGAGTTCCGCGGGGGAAGATAAGAGGGAATGACGGACAGCAGCAAAAGGACCAAAAATTGGTTTCTTGCAATTATAGTTCCATGATCAACAGTCAATTCTGAGGCTGTGTCCTCTAGGGAATTTCAAGAAGCATTTGGGTACTTTGTCATCTGGGAGCTTGGTATTGCCGTTGGTAACGGGTCCTTGGTCTTTGGGGCTTATCTCTCGGCCCATCCAGTGACTAATATCGCAAGTCAACCTTCTGTTAGAAAACAGTCAACTGATAAGCTCGCATATAAGGATGACGAATAGCTATCTGAACAAGGAATCTGACCTAGCCTGATGGTTCTAAACCCACTGCAGCTGACAGAAGGCTTTTCTAGACCCGACAATCATTTCGATTGGATTGTGGATTGCGACCTTGTCTAACGGCGACCTGAATAATAGGGACCGAAGTACTATTAATTGGTGGCTGACAAGGAGAATTGTTACTGATCAGGCGATTGCAACCCAAAGCAAACCAATCGGGGCTTAGGGTGTGTCCCGTGATCGGTTTATCTTCACAGTCCCTTTACAATGTCCACTCTCCTATCTATCTGTTTATCATTCGTCTATCCCTCCCCTCCTCAACATGTGGCATCTCCACTATCCCAAAGACTAGATCTATGCACTTCGCCTTAGAAACTTGATCTTCCGTTCTCCGTAATGTTTCATGAATCATTACCTCTGGTCGCCCATAATGCTCCCGCCGTCTCCTCAAATTCGGGCTAGTGTCTATGGTATGGGTATGGACTGTTCCCTTATATTTCTTTTGCTTCATGCACCATCGAAGATGAAAGCATGGACCACTCCCGGTTGACTTTAATGGGCCATTGGATCATCGTGGAGCCGTTCCGTTGAAGTTTCCCCTCCTCTGTCATACTCTATTGCCCTAGTGACCGGCTTTTTCCAATAATACCGCAGATATCCCTTGCGGTGCGCTTGATAAGCCTCTTGTCCACTAATGGTGGGTGACCCTATCCTCTTCACCACGAAGCGATATCTATCTTTCCCCCATTCAGTCACAATTCCCTTTTAGATATATTGCAGTCCTTTGTATGATAGCCACTTGGTGGCGTCTACGGGGAGAACTATATGCTTTACTAGGCGATGATCGAGAAACCTTACCTCGAACCGCCTCGAGTTCGTTATATTGGAGACCATTGCCCTGTCCCCGGTAATCCTCCTTACCAGCCGATCCGCCATGAGCGTACATGATGTCTGTCACAACGTCCCTCTGGTGGCCCGAGGACAGAATCAAGGCCACACTGTGCTCAGAGTATGTTTTCAGTCATCTGCCATCCAACGTCCTGCACCGTCTCGTCGAGCCCTTGCCTTGGGGAGAGGGTCTGACTAGTGAAACTTATCTCGACTGGATTATCTCCAAGGCGGGGAGACTCTTTCTCATTTTGGTCGATATTGGAATTCCGGATCGCATTTTTGCCCTGGTAGATGAATCATTTGATGACTCGGATCTGCCCATTGCTGCCCACAGCGTCGATCGCCTCCGCCTTTCACCAGAAATTGGGAATCCAGCTTTGGAATCCAAGTTCTTCCTGGCACAATGGCGATTCATCGTTCGCGGAATTGGCGAAGGGGGTTATGTTAAATACACGGAGAATGAAGGTGTTCCCGTGGAGCTTCTACGGACAGGGACGGCGCTCGTGAGAGAGGGCGTCGAAAAGGTCGTCCTAGCTGGTGCTGTCTGCCGAGTTTATTTGCGGACACAGGTTACAATCGGAGGGGCACCGCATTTCTTCGAAGAAGATGAGGTCCTTGAGGAGATTAGGTCGTTGAGAAGACTGTCCCATGACCATGTATACTCCATATTTGGGTCTTACTTCGTTGATAAAACCGTTTGCATCCTTTTCACAGGTGTATACGAGCGCACCCTGATCTCTTTCCTCACCGATGTTCCGCAGCACTTTAAACGTCTCCCCAAAGCTCAGCGTCGAGGGATTTTACTTAATTGGCCACATTGCCTTGCGAATGGGCTGTCATGGCTCCATACGCATAACCAAGTTCATGGGGCCATTCGTCCTTCCAACATACTCGTCGATGCTGATTACAGGATCTTCCTGGGTCAATTCGAAGCTCTCGATACCTTATTACCCCCCGTCAGAGTAGACGATGTTGAATCATATCAATATGGTGCTCCGGAGCGTTGGGTACGCTCGGCTGGCATTCAACAGACGGGGCCACAACGGACTGATCTCCCATCCGGTGGGCGTACGGCTCGGAAACAGTCAGCACGTCCGATGAGACTAAATCTATCGCTATTGAAGGGATCCCATCAGGCGGAGGACGAAGCGGTTAGCCCACGAACTGAATCTATGGTTTCCCAGAGCACAGCCATACGTGTTGGCTCCCCTGGGTCTCGGTTTTCCTTTGCCGCCTCTTCATCTTCGGGGTCCAGCAACGGGAGTGCTCATAAACGTGCTATAGCCTCGGTTAAGCGACCTATTCTATATACGCCCTCTATCACGTCTTCTAACTCGTCTGGGTCTTCTTCAAATAGGACCTCCACAGGGATAAATCTAGTCGGGTTGCCGGATACAAACTCTAGCGCGGCGGTAGTCCACACATGGGAATCACACCAAACCAACCCGGAAGCGTCAGACGTCTTTTCTCTTGGAGCGGTTATACTGGACATATTCACCCACCTCTGCAAGCGCAAGCTTTCCGCCTTTGCCCATCATCGTGGGGCAAAAAATCGAACCGCCGGTCGTGGGGGAGGTGTTGCTGATTGCTCCTTCCATCTGGATCGGAACTTGACCCAAGTCACTTCGTGGATCACTCTTTTGGATCACGACTCCAAGAAACAAAAGGACCCTATATTCCAGGCTGTTCGACCGATGCTAGCTGTAGTGCGAGACATGTTAGATAAAGAACCCGCCAATCGCCCCTCTGCATATCAAGTTGAACACCACTTTTCTGCGGCAGTACACCAACTAAGCGGAATAGCTACTCGGCACTGCTCCTCTGACTTGAGGCTTCACGTTAAAAGGTCGAGACAAAAGTTACACGAGGCAGCACATGCAACAACGCCAAGACTTACTGTTTCCTCGACATCCAGACCAGCATCACCAAGCACCCATTTAACAATAGCGGCCGCCGATTCACCCCTTGAACCAGACGGATCTATAGGGTTTACCCCTTCCCCATCGCCATCCGTAGTCGACTTCAACTCTCCTGGCTATACAGCAACCTACACCGAAAATAGTGACACCGATCAGGAGAGTAGCGGGTACGCCGACTCGGACACTGCCCCCTGGTATGACCCATCTTGGAATTATGGAATGGCAGTTGGAGATCGATAGAGATATTTGATCCCAGCATCTGCTGCTATTAAACCTCCATCGAGCTGTTCTTCTCAATCTGTTGGATGTCCATAGTGCCTCATTCTCACCAAACCGCCTGATTCTGTACTATTTCTTTTTAATTTAGCTCAATACCGCCTCAACTAAGGCCCCTGTATGACAGGGTTCCTTTTCACACCCTTTCATTGTACTTCTAAATTATTTTGCAGTTTCGGGTGGATGTTTCAACGATTCGTTCCTACATTAAGTTTATGGCTTCTCTTGCCTTATTCTTCTCACTGGGGAGAACAACACCTCTTTATTGTATGCTCTATGTTTGAGTTGGATGTATATGTTCTGTGCTATGATGAATATGAATACGCAGGGATCTTAAATGGATCTAATGGGGATATGCTTATAATTATCTAAGAATCCATTCACATGAGAATTCTTATCCCAGCCACTAACAATGTCCAAACTATTCATTCTAAATACACCCAAGCCCCAAGAGGATCCTTGGACCAACTACAGGCCAAATCTAGACAAATTCCGAAAGTAACAAAAAGCCCTATTACATAACCAAGCCCGTCATAGTATATACTCTTTGAGGGGGGAAAATTACCGCTCATTCACTGTACATAGAATGACAAGCATAGCCAGAGGTGGAGGAGAGCGTCTAAAGAGGTGAAGAGCGCATAGTCGCTTAAGGCGAGAAAAATCGGATATCCATCGTGGACGAGATACTTTTGACTCTCCACACCGTATGTTTTTCTCGTTTCCGTTTTTCGCCGCAACAAATCCCAAGTAAATTAACGAGAATAATTGGCAGACTATCTGAATCTTGTACAGTATACATGCATGTATTTGAAGTAAAATGTACTGTATATATAGCATTGATAAGGTTCTAAACTATCATGATCTAAACGCTTCTTGCTGTATATTGGCAGTGGACATGAGAGCTATAATTAGTATCAGGTCGAAGGTGTTTCTTTTAAAAGCAGAGACTGATTTGAATGAATGAACTCGTGTCTGCCAGGCGAGCCAGCACCTATTATGCTATTTTAGGAACTACCGAGCCTAAGATAATTTAACAGACGTACTTCGTGGACCAACTGGGTTGCCCCTGAGGCCGGAAACGACAAGAATAGAAGAAGGAGAACGAAGAGGAGGGCAGCGCTAGCCAGGACCATCCAGTGTAGTCATCAAAGCCACAGGGCCAAGGCACTGATCGAACACATGCATAGAAAAAGAGACACGCCGGTAAGACTATCAAAGTTGCTCATTCCCGAGGAGGTAGAAGATACACCATTGACGGCACTATAGACGTGATAGCCTGTGGGTGCAACTGAGGTCACACGTGCTGAACGGTAGCTTGGGTCTGATCCGGAGTCAGGCTTAGAGGCGGAGTCAAGCCCAGAACCGGAACCAGAATTTGAACGAAAAGCTGTCGCATCTGGGGGAGCTCGATGGAAATTCTGGACGAGGGTAGGAAGAGGTTGATTAGGATCTACGGCCCATCCACCGGGCGTCGAAGCGGGGCAGGATGCGGGCTTGATGGTGGAAGTGGATTTTACATAGTCCGATAAGACAACTCCGGTAGGCCTTAACGAGACCCATTGCGCTTTCAGGTTATGGAAGTCTGGAGCCACGGGGATAGGCTCTCCCTGGCGAGTAAAGCCATCTTGAACGGGGTTTTTGGCGGGTGGCGCGCCTGGGAGCGGACCGTAATTGATGAGGCCGTAGTCGTTGGCTTCCTGGATCCATTCGTACACAATCGAGCCAGACCAAGTGTTTGACATCTCAGGGCCGAAAATGGCAGCCTGGTCTTCAAAGGTCCGTGGCCGTGCCACGTTGCAGCCCGTTTCTGAGAAGAATATTGGAATAGGGTATTCGCTCACATGGCTCTGGAGAGTCTTGTAGCCGGATGTCTCGTAGGAAGAGCGACCACACCATTCATAGGCATTGAGTGAAAAGAAATCCAGCCGGTCCGCAGGATCAGGGCGACAAGCCAGGTAATTTTGCAGCATAGGACGCAGTTCTGCAATATCGGCTGCCGAATAACCGACCGGGATGTTCCGATAGCCCTTTTCGTTGCGGTATGATTTGATATCACACGCTGCGGCCAGGACATGCGGAGCGGCGGCCGAGCCTTCCCTAGTATTGATAACCTCGTTGCCGACAAACACCCCGGCGGTGTTGTTGTATTTTTGGAATTCATCCAACACGGCCTTATAGCGATCAAACTGGGCGTGAGTCCACTCTGGTTTGTCCTAGGAGTGCAGGTCAGCACGAGTTGTACCCATTCAGTGGTTTACACGAGGACTGACCTGTCTGATCGACGTATCGAATGTGTCTAGATCCACGAAAAGGTAGATCCCTGCAGCCGCCAGTGCCTCCATGCAGCCATCATGGTTAGCTTTGGGATCGACGTGGTAAACACGGATTGCATTAGTGCCCAGCTCGGCCATGCGAGCAACGTCGCGCTTGCATTGTGCCGTGTCAACCAAGGGATCTTCGGGAATGAGTTGATAGGCAATGCCTACAGCCAATTGTACCATATTAGTGCAAGGTCTGGATTGAAGTGTCTTGGAATACCTACCCTTTAGAAAGTACTGAGTCCCATCTTCGTAGAAGAACTTTGAGCCCACGGCAGATATGGTCTGTATGGCATTTACATGTAAGGCGTGGAAGCCTCCCAGCCAAGCAACGATGGAGAGAGTGGAAAAGGACCACATGGCTACTGAAAGTAAACCACTGTGCAGTGCGAACAGTATTGTATTCCCTCAGATGATTTCCGAGACGCACAGATATGTATGTTCCTGGAATGACAGTAGGTGTGCGTCGAAGCAATTGACAGAAATGATGTCTATGGATTTGAATTGGAAGGAGCGATCGCAACCAACTATAAACGCACTTGACAGCTGGACCATAGGAATGATACCGTCCGACAAGATTCAGGCACTTTTCTTTATGGATACTGTCGGCTGACGATGACTTCGCGCCACGATTGACGCCAAATAAAAGGCCAGCTAACGAAGAAAACATATCCTCTTTAATAGCCGGAAATCATACAATTAGGATTGTCTTCATTATGGTATCTAGCATGTTTTCCTACTCCCAGCCATGCGGAGCATTGAAGTCTTCCATGGATGCACATGCATGCCAGGGTCCTGAGATGTAGAATGACGTCGATGGCATTGCTTAGCCTTCTCTGTAGGGAAGCTGCTGTCTCGAGCATGTCACACTGGGTGATAGAGCTGAGAGTGTGAATTCCATCCAGTACCTGGTCTGAAATGTTTTGGCGGGGGTCGGGAATGGATGTAGAGGCGGGATGTTATGTGGGATGGTATAAGTTATCAGGCGAGAAGAATGTCGCAACGCGTGGAGAATGCAGACTAATGCTGGCGCGAATCGACGGAATGGCGGGGGTTGGGAATGAACACAGTACGGAGTTCTCCATACCCCGAGTTGATTTGATTTGGTTTGATTCCATTCCATTTGGTTTATCGATCTTCCTCAATGGACGTGCTTATCAAAGTATTGTACGGTCGGGTGATATCGCGCTCGGGTAGGATGTTTGATGGAGATAGGAGGACTATCGATGTACCAATCAGAAGGGCACACTCCGGAGATCCGAACCCCAATGTCCGTGTGTGCCCGATGTATTCCTGCCTAAGGCCAGGTTGATATAATTAATCGTGCTGGTAGTGCTTAAGTTCAGTACTATTAGTGACTTGTCTCATGGAGAAGTGGATGTTGTCTCTCGTGATAACTTGGAACATTGCCACTAATGCAATAATGGTCTGCACGAGGGGACTGATTGAGGGGGTCGGAATTCGATCGAGACCCTCTGAGGGCCCCACAAGGCAATTAAATTAGGATCATCTGTACTCCATAACTAAAGGCTCATTTCCATTAGGCCAACGCTATTCGGAGTGAAGCTGACTGCTAGAGTCAAAAAAAAGGGGGGGGAAAGTAGGAAATGATGAAGAGAGAGAACAGAAATCTGTTTCTCTACACCGGCCACATCAAACAGATACGGAGACACATCGGAGATGAAGGTAAAAGGAGGAGAGTCATGCCTGAGCGCGACCGAGTTAAGTAAAACGGTGACACTAAAAATAAGATCGACGAGTTGCTTGCGTGGATGACGGGTCTTCACCAGATTTGGAACCCCTTCCCGCATGCGTGCGAATTTCCCATTTTGACCTAAAAAGACGAAGGAAACTATTTATTATAATTAATTATATTATTCTTCTAAAGATCTAAATACCTTCAATTCCTCTCCTTTTCCCCTCAATCTCTTGTATTTTCCCTCCCCTCCCCCTTCCTCGCATCCTTTCAATATCCCGTTTTCCTGCTAAAAACGCGATTGCGCTGAACTATGCGATTCTTGGTTCTACCTCTCTCAACAATTTCTATGTTTGTCCGAATCGGTCGCCTTCCGTAGTCGGCGTCATCCAAAATAATATCCCCTCGCCGAAGTATTGATTACCCTACAATTGGGCGTATTCGTTCAATTGTTTCGGTTTTACTTTATTTTACTTTTTTTCCTTAAAATATACTTTGTTTTGTTTTTCCACCCTGTGCTCTCCCCGAGCTATCCTTGCGACACATACATTGTTTCAAAATGTCTAGCGGCATTGTCTCACCGTTTCGGATCTCCAGGAAGGATGGGGAGAAGCTTGATCGTAATGAGGCATTTATCGCCGTTCGAGAGCATCTGAGGCGCCAAGAAATGGGCATGGACGCCCCAAGGTATGTTTGGCATGATACCCAACCGCTATGCCCGGTCATCGCTGACCAGGCGTGACCCGCAGTTTTTGCGCCTTCCACCGCCATTCATGCTCCGATAAAGACCAGGACTCCTTCCGTCTGCATCGCGATATCATCCATACCATCCTGCTTCCTTTGTTTCTACTCCACCATCAAGCCTCCCGTGTCGCCGCTAGGGCCCTCCCTAGCCACCAAGGAGCGGAGTCGGAACGCGCATTTCGGGGGGAAGCACGCAGTGCTTATGCCTGGCTTCATTGCATCCTCACCGAGGAGCATGATTGGTACCTGACCGAACGATGCCCCGCTTGCATCGTCCTGCACGTCTTACACTCCGAGCCGACCATTCGTTTTGTGGCTGTGGCTTGTCTTTTGTCCGACCACCTGCAAGGCCTGGACTTGCTCCACGGGGAAAGCCGGCTGCCCAGTTTCGATTTTTGGCTTGAGGCGTTGGAAACAGCCGTCCGGGAGGACCCCTTCTGGGGCAGCGACTTTTGGCCCGATATCGAGTACCGCGCATGTGCATTAACCGACGGCGTCAAGCAGCTGGTGCTGCAGTGTCTGGAACTCCGATCGGCGCTGGATCGCCAAACCCACCACCAATCTCAGGCATATGATTCCAGCGCTCACTTCCGTCGTGACTCGTTGCGGCAGTCAAGCCATCCAAGTATGATGAGGTCAAGTGCTGCATCCCGAATGATGGTGGAAGAGCAGAAGCTCTTGTCCAAGATTGCCAGCAACCGATGCATGCAATCACACTGGAAAGATCGGCCGCAGAGAGTTCATGTTCGCAGGCACGCCGATCCCCGCAGAAGGTCGGTGACTTCTTGAGCTCAAGTTGCTTGTTCTAGATTATCTAGAGACTCTAGGTGAACAAAAAGCCAGTGCCCCTTGGTGATTTGCTTGCGTTGGGGTTGTTAAAGTCCCGCAAGCCAGGCCAGTTCGGGTTAGCCTCCGATAGAATTGGAGATACGAACTTGTGACTCATTCCCACAGTAGTCTTCGTATCTTATAAGCAAGACCGGGAAGATCGGGAGCTGGCCCATGATTAGCCTCCCTTAAAGATATCCCACCGCACTTGGAAACTATTCAAACAATCTTACGGAGATGACCTCGAACACGGTCCGTGACATCTCCGCCTCAGGCACACTTAAACAAGCCTATGCGACATCATCGCCGTTCGAGGAGAAAATCGGATATTACCGTGCCGTCCGTCACGGGCGGCAGATCTTCGTCTCCGGCACTACGGCCGTCGACCCGGCGTCCCCCAGCGATGCTCCTCAGATTCTTTTCCCTGGGGACGCCCGCCAGCAGACACGTGCGGCTCTACAGGAATGCATTCGGGCCGTTCAAGCCCTAGGCGGCAAGGGTGCTGAGGATGTTGTGCGTGTGAGGATGTTTGTGAGTCGGCACGAAGACTGCACGGCCGTTGGGGAAGGGTTTACTGAGGTTCTGGGACGTGCAAGCCGGCCAGGGGTAGGAGCGGCCGCGACAATGATCGTGGTCAATGGATTCGTGGATGAGAAAATGTTAGTCGAGGTCGAGGTGGATGCAATCTTGGAGGATTGAAATGTTTCATGCGCGATGCATATCGTTCAAATGTAAATACTAGAAACCATCGACTCTCTAGAGTGTTGAATCATAGGAGACATCCAATCATTCTATTCGAGCTGGCACACCTTAACTCAAAGCCTTAGACTGTCCCATTACTTTCAATTGGACGAGCCCTGACAGTGATGAAACGCTAATAATACCCTTTCCCATCCCCAGAATTCGTCAACCAAGAAAATATAACCTCAAGGTCAAGGAATGTCATCAATGTCTTGTTTACCCCCCAGAAAGACAGGAAACTCTAATGGAATCCTTCGCCCTCCCGGTAGACAACAAGACAACGCCTACACGCAACCCTCTGTTTACCTGAGACAAGTCATTGTGGAGACACGGCAAATCCGAGAACAAGGATATTGTGGGCAATCAGTTGTCTGCTACTTGATAATACTTCTCACCCACTTGCGATTTACTACTCTATTAATATATTCAATTTCCGGAGCCAACCCTCAAGAAGCGAAAACTAGCCCCAATCCAATTATCACCAACCACTAATCTACCGATAATAGTGAGTGGAGATGAGTCTGGATGTGGGATGTAAAATAAGGAAAATCCAAATGTGACAGGGATTTGGCCCGTTGAATAATTAATTTATTATCTTCGAAGTTAAATTTGACACACGGCATTTCCCTGGTTGGAGTTTGTTTGAGGATAAGGAGGGGATCATGTAAATCCAAGAAAAAAAGATTATCGATGGAAAGAATGGCTTGGGTACATAGTTCCTTTTCTTTCCTTAGGAGGGGAGATTAAAGAAATTAAGGGGGGGGGAATGGTATTGTGTCTGTGAGAAAAGATGGTGGTTGTTTTTGCTTTTCATTTGATGAATGAACTCAATGGGAGAGAGGATTATGTTATCTTTTGCTTTCTTTTTCCTTGGGCGTGTGGATTGTCTCTAAGGGGGATGCCTGCTTCTCTGCTCTTTGTATTTGGTTTGAGTTGTTCAAGGATTTCCTGTCTATGGTACGGAGTACACTATCTAGGCACAGTACTTGATTTTATGTACTCGGTACCTGTTCAAAAAGAGAACTAGAAAGAAACCTTCTGACAGGGAAAGTAAGCGCGACAAATTATATAACAAGTCTCTTCCGGTACTTACCACAAGTGATACGGAGTTAGTATAAGCCCCCAGAAGTTAAACTGCATGCATGTTGCCCAAAGAAGCCAACGGTCAGAGTATACATACAACTTGTACTTTTCTTTTTAAATTTTTTACGGTAGTACAACAATCAACAAAGAACAAAATCAGCCCAACAGAGACCCGTAGAATTGGGAATTCGAGGCTCAAGAGAAAGGAAACAAACAAAGAAAGAGAAGGAATAAAGCGTGGAATCCCCGTCTCCGGCTCTGCAACGTTCACTTGCCTGAAGGGGTAGGTACAAGTTACATACATACATGAAAGCCCTGAGTCTAGGGCTGGACTACCCATGGGACGTCGTGTACTGTACTGTACTTATGTCCTCTTGGCTTTTCTCTCCTGTGCATGTAGGTTAGTAAACAGGGTAACCATGGTCAAATGACAAGGCAGCCCAATAACCATAAGGCGGTCAACGATGGGACAGTGAGCAAAAGGCCAGATCAAGACGGATCTCTTCGGCAGCACGGAACAAGAGTCTAGGCGTCAATCCACCTGCAAGCGGCAGTGGAGACTTTGATCGGGCGATGCAAGCCATTGGGGGATTGACCCAATCAGAGCCGGCGAGAGCCAGAGCGGGGGTGAATGTCGACGTCAATAATTCTCAATTGTTTTCTGGGAAGGACAAGACCAGATATACAGATGTGGTCAAAAGGAAAAAAAAGAAAAAAAAAGAAAAGAGAGAGAAAAGAAGAAGGAAAAGATTTGCTTGAGAGGACTATAATACTTTAATTTTTAATGACCACTAATGTTGCCTTTCTTTTCTTTATACAATTTTACTGCTTTTCTGTGGCGCACCGACTAGTTGAGTTTGCAATCGTCGTTGTTATATTGGTCTTTTTTATTCGATGGATTTGAGGTTTTGGGAGATTCTAGATTTGAAGTGGAAGGATGCTGTGGCAGATCAATATGTAACTTGAGTCAACCAATGAGTGTTTATCATACAGCACCTTATTATCATCCTGAACTTTCCAACTTCCAGGGAATACCCGGCAGAGGTGTATTTATGCTTTTCCTGCACAGGATTTGGTAGTCAGTGTGCCGAAAGCCTAGTCAAACTATTCCACATGCTATTGACTTGTGTCCATCTGACCTTCTCTTAAATATCAACGCGGGGAGAAGGCGATTGGTTCAGGGATTATTTTCCGCCTGGGATTGTTGGTTTGACGAGATTGAACGAAACCTGGTATCAGTTGGGACTTCCCCGGTGGTACAGTCTAGTACAATTGACCTCCTGCCCTTCTCTCATGACGGGATCCAGAGTGGTGGGAAAGAGCAAGGTTACTCTCTGTACCCGATGCATACAAGACACAACTTAGGTGTCCGTCAAGGGTCCAGACAAAGAGAGCAATCCAGATCCGGACGATCACCTAGCCTTCCTCCTCATGCCACAAAAAGCTCACAACTTATTAATCCTAGACTTCGTCGCAATTTCCCGAACCACTTGACCAGTACTCGAACATTCTCCATTCCCAAGGGTCCATCACATCCCAAGACCAAGTGAGGCCAGGAAGTGGGTCTCAGGCTTTGGGAGGCAAAAAAATCTGATGTATTTCGATTGAAAGGTCCGTGTATTTCCCGTTACAGTATCGTCACCTTGAGTTGGACGCTAAGCCCCGATCAGCCACTATGAGGGCCTAGACAGGTCGGCGGCCTACTAGGGGTTAGGCGACTTGCAGTGTGTGCGTTCTCCATAATTAAACACCGGTCTACAATAGGTTAAGCATGGGCTCAATCAGAGAAGGAGGAGGGGGAAACCAAAAAGACGGAGGAGAGAGAAAAGTTATGCTTAAATATTTCCAAGTCAAGAGGCCAAATTAATTACTGGTAAACATAATTACATGTTAATGCACAAGCATTCGATGCCTCCGACCGGACCTCGTGTCATGGATTCCCCAATCAGGCCAAGCCCGCCCGGTCTAGAACGCCGGTGGAAAGTCGCAGCCCGAGGGACAGACTCTTCTTCTTGTTCGGGCTGTCAAGTCTCTTGTGTCTGGTCTGGCCTTTTCCCAAGCGTCATTATTCTCCTTGTGAGCCGCTGGCCTGACGATTTTCCTTCGTCTTCTTTCTTTCTTTTCCTCCCTTTCTGGACGGGTTCTCTTTGCTTCCTTTTACTCTTCTTTTCCCTGTTTTCTCTCACTCCCTCTCCCTCTCTCCGTCTCTCTTCCTCCTAATCTCCCTCTTTCCCCACTTTTCCCAGTCATCACGATCCCATTACCTCCACATTCTCTCTTCCTTCTTTACCTGGGCCTCGTCCACCTTTAGTCTCCCTCCCGCCCGTGTCCTTTCAACCCATCATTCCCCCTCTCCACCAGTTTCTCGCTCAACCTCCAACCTCACCAGACAACGCTCTTTGACTGAATTTCACCACCGACAAACGGCTTTAAATGGTATCCGGGGCAATTTATCCTTGACAGAGTAGCAGTCTTCGCAGTCGGGTTTAACGAGTACTCTTCCGGTTGTCTCGTTCCCGACCTCGCCAAGTATCCAACGCAGACTGGATGTATCAGCCACAGTGCCATGGACCGTATAGGCCTGCAACTGTGGTGCGAGATAACTCTGTCATGCGTTCACCGTATACCTTGGACTCCAACTTTTCCTCGAATTCCTCATCGTATATGTCTGGGGAATCCGGCTCACCGCGACAGGGAGTCGTAACCCCGTTGAACAAGCAGAATTCATCTCAACTAAGCCCAATATCTCCTCAACAACAACGACAGAATCCCCCCTTTCTTCCGGACTCGGGCTCCAGCCGACTTAAGCGGCGAGCCTCTCAAGGTTCACTCCTAACGAAGCCCTCTCCCGTCTCTCGCTTTTTATCAAGAAGCAACGCATCTCTACATCTCCCGTCATTTGAGCATCTCGGCCTCCCTCCGAAGCCGAAGCCATCCGGTCGAGTCGAATCGCGCATCCATTCAGCTGATTCTCGTCTTCGACTTCATACCACTTCTGCGGCGTCGAGCTCGCTGGCGACTCGTGCACCCCAGTCCACATCTACGGTGTGGAACTTGGAGGCCAAAGGCGACTACCCCACTGCTCCCCCAACACCCCCAGAAGACGACGAGTACGTAGCGTGGAACCCTCGATCCAGAATGTTACTTTTTGAATCGCCTTTGAACCGGGAACCTGGGCCAATGCCCATGGATGAAGGCCCTAATGTAGATGGCGCGGCCAGAGGTGCCGCCTCGGACGGTCTAAGCAGCCCATCCGACCAACTCTCGAATGTGTCTCCTTCTAGCTCTGGGAGTCCGGGCTCCTCTGGGGATATGGACTGTGATCTAAATTCTTGGCTAGGGAGTGGCATCGAAGCGGCTGGTACGTCATGATCCTGGAAATTTCGGAAATCAATATACTCACACTTCTCTAACAGTGTCATCTTTACCTTTTTCATACAATCGCGGTGAAGCTGTCAAGATTGTTTCTCAAATGCTTCCTTATCCCTGCACAGCAAATAAAAACGCAGCAGTCCCAACGAACGATGATGTATTCTCTTCGCTTATCCAGGCCGTCCAACGCCGCGTTCACAACGGACAATCGCCATATATCAACATTACACATGCAGTTCCCGAACAATTCAGTCTCTCAAATCTTCCCTACTCACCTCCTAACACCCCGCGGTCTTTATTCTCTGCGGATGATTATTTCAATTCGACTGTGTTCTCGAGTGCAGCCGTGGTGTCCGCTTACCATGACTTCCGGGGTGTGATCCAGGGGAAAACCTTACGCTTTCCCATGCCGGTTGTTCCTCCGTTTAGTGTACACCTCTCGGTCTTGGAACGGTATCTTCCACCATCGTCGGCCCAAGAATATAAAGATCTCTTCGCTCCCGGCCGCCCGTCATTTTTGGTCGATCGGATGAGTGAACTCTCGCCTGAAGGTGGGTCCTTGCTGTTTATTTACCCGACAAGAAGAGGTGGTTCAACGTTTAAATCTCAGTATCTGGGACCTATTCTTGATCCCTTGCTTCGGCAGCTAGTGGTGGTGAACGAACTATCCGCGGACATAGGCCGCTATCTGGGAAAGCTTTCCTCTGTCAGCCACATGGAAGACTTCGATACGATGCGTAACAAACTCACGCAACTGTGTTCTGATCTCAGCTCGTCGACATCGCAGTTCACCATTTCCGATGCACGCAAGGGCAGTGCCCACCTTGATCGCCGTACATGGACCGAGTGGTTCATTCACCAGGAGAGGACTCGGATGAAGGAAGTCCTCAGCCTTTACTGGCAGAATGGCCGCCGTCTGCCAGCAGCGAAGGCTGCCTCAAATATGTCCACAAATTATCTTCTAGAGGACAAAGAGGTGACATCCGCCATGTTACTAGGAGAGATCCTCGATGGCATTAGAAAGCGACCTTATGGCGAGGAAACTGAGCCTCGCGATGGGATCGAACTCGGGGTTTTCGTGATTCGTCGGTCCCACTAAAGTTTGCAAAGGCGACCGCAGCCGCCTATCTTACCTTTTTTTTTCTCTTATTTTTCGCTGTCGCCTTTTAATCCCCCGTTCATTACTTTCTCATCACGTCAGTTTTCCTTGGATGCATCATGGCGAATAAAATGGGAGGAACTGGTGAACATGGTGGCGTCTACGGTTGTCGGGTCTGGACATGACTTGTCTTTCTACGTGGAAAGTCCAGGGACATTAAACTGCATTATCTTATTGGATACGGAGTACAAATACCCAGCATGTTTGTTTTATGGTGTTTGCTTTATGTTTAGTGAAGCGGGATGATCGGCATCATTGCCTTAGATTATGGATATAAATGATCAAGTTCAAGTGAAGATACATAAGTATGGACGATACATACTCCATTGTCAAGGGCAATCCGTAGCATTTGATTCGTTTATGGTTGGTGAAAGGTATCATACTACCCGTGACCAATAGCAGATAATAAAGTAGTGATCTAAAGGACCATCAAACGCGGTGATACTATTTACCTTGAAACTTAAAGTAACACGGGTGACATATTTCACTCAATTAAAAGTCTTCATCTCAGTAAAATGAGGTACAGACAGACAATAGAAAATAAAAAGAGGAAATATACATCATGTATTGACCTTACTAAGGTTTTACTCCAACAATATTTAGAGAAACGAGTCACGCCGAGCGGTGTAAAATGTTGCCGGCACTATACTGCATCGGGTCAGCGGCTGGATTCCCGCTTTCTGCTCATCACCAGTTTGTGTTCGTCTCACTACAGTTTCTTCTCTTGTCTCTACCCTCTAATTGTTCTTTATTCATGCTTCCCTCCAAGGCCTCCTTTCTGTTCAGCTACTGCAACAGTGGCTTTCCCTCAAATTTGCACCAACTACTACGCTGAGTGATCATCTGCTTCGCTCAACCTCTGCTTTCCTCTTACTACCTCCTCACTTTGCGGCCAGCTAGTGTAGGCCTGAACTGGTCATGGCTTACTCTCCTGCACCGGCATCACCTGTGCCTGGCGGACCTGGTCCAAGTTTGGTAAATAGCTTACACTCTAGAGGCCGATCTGCAAGCCCACCGACCAGCGTGCCGATCTCTAAACGAGACAAACGGCGCAGTGCGCTGCAAGAGCGCCTACAAGACCTCACGGCCTCCTTCAGCCAGAACCGGGATACCCAGTTTCGTCAACAGCTCCATGCCTTACAATGCGATATGACCCTCATCAATAATGCCGATCCGTACTCGCCTGGTCCACTTCCAGACTCGGCGGAAGAGATCGCGCAGTTAATAGAGACTACTGTCGGCGGGGGAAAATTCGCGAAAGAAATGTCGAGTCTGGCTGGCATGTGGTATTCGCGCTTCGTGCAGGAGGTAAATCACATTAAAGCTGAGACTGATGCAGATTTGGCCATGCTGGTGGTGAGTGTCTCCCCCGTTCTTTGTCACTTGATATTTTACCCACGTCGTTTTGTTTCCATAGATTTGGCGCTTGCCCCCGCCCCCTTGAAAGGTTGCAAATGCTAATCGCTTCCGTATCAGCATCGTCATAACAGTAACTTGGAACGGTTTCAAAAGGAATACGCATTTCGCGTTCATTTTGCTGAGGAAGAATACAGCCATCTGTCCGCCACCCTGCGAGAGCGCCTTGTACAGACAATTTCGGGCAAGAGAACTCGTTTGATGCGCGAGAAGGAGCAGCTAGATATTGCAGATACTAATGCCCTGCTTCTGCACCCCAATCAATTCAGCATCACCAATCCTGCTAGCCCTGGCGGAATTCACGGGAACCGCAAAACCCGACACACCCGCCACCGTGTCGATCTGGACGAGCTAGGCAATGGTATTTTGGCGGAACACTTCAATAAGAGAAAGAGGAAGGCTCCTGAGGAGGACGTTGGATCTCCAGTCCGGGAAAGTGGCTACACCAATCCGGCTGAACGTGCAAAGGCCCAGGTGGCGCAACAGCAGCAAGCCCCATCCTATTCCATTCAATCACTCTTCACAGAGAAGGAGCTAAGTGCTCATGCTAACCAAGCCCATGTTGCCACGGTTCACTTCTTTTCTACCTCCAAGCGTGCCGATCAGCCGTCCGGTGCCGCAACGAACGGCAACAATACCGATGCGGAAGACGCGTCTGGGGCCGATGGTACGGAAGACAATGGCACTCCTGCAACCGATATGGCGCGGACTGCTAGCCAGAATTTCCACGCTACCCGATCTACCCGCGGGCATGGTAGCCATGCACTCAACCCACTCTCCGAGCTGTCGGATAAACCGGCCGTTCGCCCTAACCTTCCCTACAATATCCTCGCCAATTACCATGCGCGACCCAGCAATAATGGCGCTCCTCCGCTGCCCCCCTTGATGAACGAGGAAGTCGATGATGACTGGGCCAGAATGGATCGTCTCCACGCAAAACCAGCAGGATACGTAGATAAGGGATTGGTCCAGCTGCTCGTGGAACCAGCCCCCGCCGAGATAGACGGGGTTCCGCAGAACCCGCACCGATTTAGCATGTTGCATCCTGACTTCCCGCCCGACATGGGCATACATCTGCACCCGATCGAAAGTGGGAAGACTAGACCGGAGTACGGCAGCGACCGCGCAAAAAAGACCAGAACCGGATAGATGCTCGGCCTTGCGACTCTTCCCTTATTGGCGTTTATATGATCATGACTTAGAAATTCACGGGTAGCGGGAGAAGCTATAATACCATGAAGGGCGTTTGGAAAGGCCATTGGATGACTGGAGCGGGACGGAAATTGCCCCTCATTTTTCTTTTCTCGATTGTGAATTGGTAGGAGGATCCCTTTCTTATTTTCCTTCTCTCTTCACTTTCGTCATTTTAATTCCGGAGTCGAGTATTACTGTTTGGGGCTAGTTTTGTTTTATTAAGGGCTTTTGAGATAGATTTGACTTGTATCTGGTTCATGCCAGTCTTGACAAATGTTGGAAATAAAGGTATGAGATTTGCAGTATGTACATCAACAAGCTGTAAGAATTCAGTTTGCTCATAATGCAAACCATTGCGTTATCATTGACTGTCATCACTTGATTCTGAAGTAGTATCACATAAATCTGTATGTGAAAGAATACACCTAAGTTCCCCTCTCAGTATGCAAACTTCTAAAAACTACCTCCTAGCAATACCCCAACGGCTACTTGACATAACACAATATTTTCCTCTCAACCATAACGCCAAAGGAAAATACATAACCAGAAAAGGAACTAGCCTGCACAAAAGTCACTACTATTAATTATACCCCAACTGGATCTACATATATGATTCAGTTACTTGAACTCTTAACATATCAAAACTCTCTCTCTCTCTTTCTCTCTCAATTTCTATTTCTGACCCCGGCCCATATTTTTGTTCGTTTGTTCCTTTCCTGTTTCCACCTGCCTCCTTACCTCCTTGTCACCTCCTCCGACGGCACGACGCTTGCGTTGCATATATGACTTAGTCTAATGTCTCATCCCGGCCCAACATATCACCCTTGCATATCCCAGATACTAGTCCGCCTTAGATCGTACATACATCCCGGGATAATATTATCTAGGTTTAAATAGCATGGTCTTTCCTTGCCTATGTCGGTCGATCGAGCCCGTAACGAGAAAGAGTTTATTTATGGTCTTTGTTGTGTTACTATTTTATGTTATGTTAGGTTATGGTATGTTGTGGATGGGACATTCTCTGAGTCTGGGCGACTTTGGTGCGTGTGGACCGTGCATGGCTATGGGTCTATGAATCTATATGCGATATATATCTGAGTTGATGGTACTTGGTGTATTCGGGGTTTTGATAGGGGGTACTACCTCAATTCTTTGTATAGATTAGGATGTTGACTCTGTGCTCTGTGGTATGTTTACTGCTTCTTGGTATAATCAAAACGAGCCGCCGAGAAGTGAATTGTACTATTTGCACAACTGAATTTCCGAGAATATGGACAGCAGATCACAGCAGGGATTGGCGGGTGGAAATCCGAAGGAAAGAGAAGAAGAACTTAATACATGCATTTACTGCCCACTTTCATATCCAAGTGACTTATATCTGCCACAGCCTATTAACAGTCTGAGAAGCGGGAGTTAAGTAACATTGTCCTGGAAAGCAATTTCAAAGAACAAACAGGAAAAAATATTATGATCAGAAGAACACGCTGAAGAGAGCGGCGACTCCCACGGCCAGCCAGAAGCTGGTAAACACGGATCCCGTGGAAGCACTGTTAGAAAGGGGAGGAGGGGTCTGAGTGGGCGACGCCTTGGCCGTGGAGCTAGGACGCTGGCTGGACACCCAGGTTGACGACGCTGAGACCCAGGGGTTCGGAATGCCTGACGAGTGACCTGGGGATACACCCGTTGGGGCAGGGCCTGGAATCAAGCCGACAGTGGTTGAGTGGCCGGAGGTGCCGGTGGTAAAGGTAACCTGGGGCACGGTCACTGTGTAAGTTGAGTAGGTGATGGTCGTGGCAGGAACCGCTGGAGCAGCAGTGGGCTTCGGCGGGGCGCTGGTGCCGCTGCTGCCTACAGGGGCAACGCCCGTTGGGGCGGGAGCGGGGATCAGGGTGATTGTGCTCGGAACACCAGTGACAATGCCGGGGTTTCCAGGAACCCACGCAGCACAGATACCAGTGAAGTAAGACAACGCGGCCTGAATCTCCTCTTTGGATGCACCCCACGCCTGAATGCAGCTAATGACTTTGTCCGTGAACTCGGGGTTGGGGCAGAAGCACCCGGGCTCCGCGTTTGATTTACACTTGGGCAGAAGAGGGAGCCAGGTGTTGATACACTTAGGCACCGAGTTGGGGCACGAAGCGGATGGAGCGGGGGAAGAAGGAGCCGGAGCGGCGGGAACAGAAGATGTAGGAACCGGCTTCACGATAGCGCTTGATGTCTTGGTCAAGGTCGAGACGGTAGTGAAGACGGACGTGGTTGTAGAGCCACCAGAAGTGATGGTAGTAGTTACAGGGCAGGTGGTCACAGTCTCGTATGTAACAACAGTCGTTGCACCCTGGGCTGGGGTAGTAATAGGGGAGACACCGGTAGGGGTTGGGGTGGCCGAGCACTTGGTGCACACAGTGGAGGTCGAAGTCAGCGTAACGGTGGACTGGGTCGTGTAGACGGACGTAGTCGTGGAGCCACCAGCGGTAGCAGTCGTGGTTACTGGGCAGTCTGTCACGGTCGTATAGGTAACAACGGTCGTGGCCGACTCCTCGGGAGGCTCTTCAGGGGAAACATCAGTCGGGTTAGGAGAGGTACCAGTAGGAGTGACGATAGGAGTACCGGTCGGAGTGCCAGTAGGGGGTGTAGCAGTGCACTTGTTGCAGACGGTAGCTGTTGATGTAAGAGTGACCGTGGACACAGTGCTGTAGACCGAGGTGGTGGTGACACCGCCAGAAGTAGCGGTGGTGGTCACCGGGCATGTGGTCACAGTTTCCCATGTCACCACGGTAGTTGTAGACCCTTCAGGGACCGAAGAAGATCCACCTCGGCTGGTGGGAAGCACTCCCGTGGAAGTACCAGCAGTGCCTGTGGGAGCGGGGCTGCTTGGAGAGGAACCCTTGGAGGTGCCGCCAACAGGAGAGCTTCCAGTAGGCTTCACAGGGGTCACGGTGGGGGTGACCGGGCAGACCGTGGTCGAGATAGCAATGGTGGAGGTAACCACCGTGGTCGAATCTCCGGGACAGTTGGTTACTGTCGGAGCACAACTGGTGATAGTGACCAGGCTGGTGGTGTACACGGTCGAGGTAGTCATGCTGACAGGAGTGCTAGGAGCAGGGGGTGTGGCTGTGACTGCACCAGACGACGACGGCACCGGAATCAGTGGAGTAGACGAATGTCCAGTCTCTGTTGGACTCGTGTGGTGGTGAGAGGGGGTCGGGGTCTTCTGGCCAGGGGAACAATCGAATTCGATGTTCTGGATGCCCAAGACTACTTCTTCCACGGCAGCCTCCTCAGCTAGTTCAAATCTGACGGAGCTGGCGCCGCCGCACTGGTCGTTGGCGATAACATTCCCCTTCGGAGAGCAGGGAGCCACATGCTTGCAGGAAGAACCATCCGGCATGTCATAGATGATCTTGATATCAGCCTCAGCGGCGGTCACCAGATGAAGTTTGCTGATGGAGAAGGTCTTATCGCTGCCCGAGGAGATCTCCGGAGACGTCTCGCCGTCCTTGGAGAGCTTTGACTCAATACATTGACCCTATGGACATGAAGTTAATATCAAAGATATCGGTGTCCCATGATCTGTTCCACTTACGGCAAATCCGCCGCTGATAGAACCACTGAAGCTACTGCTGAAAGAGAACCCGGAGAATGCGAAGCCAGAAAAGGCCGAGAATGAACCAACGGTAAGGCCAGCCCAGTTGAATCCACCCCGCATCTCATCAGAGCAGTCATTATTAGTGTTGTCCGGGCTGGTATAGCAATCATCTGTGCCCCACCACTAGAAAGTGATCAGTCCGAAGTTGCGGCGGGTCTCTCTTCACACAAGAACACTTACTGCGCCCTCGGGATGGGCCTGGGCTAAGGCCAGGAGAGAAGCGAGTGTGACTGAAGCAACGATCCTCATGGTGACTGAGGTCACTGACCAACAGTGAAACGAATAGAGAAGAGATCAAGAACGTAACAGACAGGAGCGATGATGAGTTAGTTCAGTATTATTATCCTTGGCCAGCAATAACAACAACACCGCAAGAGTTAGGTAACGAAAGACGAGAGGGGGACACCACAAGTAATCCCACAGATAAACGAGTGGATTGGATATCAAAGAGAGACACAATAGCACAACAGCAGCATCCAGAAGAAAAAAGAGAGGGAGAGACAAGAAATAAGAGAAAGGATGGGATTCAAAAAAGCATTTTCGGGGAAGGGGCATCGGCTTCTTTAAAGATCCGGGGATTCTCTTTCTCTCTATTCATCCTGAAATTCTATTCGATCCATGAAAATAATAATAATTATTATAATAATAATGTGATGCCAGTAGAAATCCAAGAAAGCCTTTTATTTCTATATTTTCATTTTCTTTTCTTTTTGATGCCACCCAATAAAGTATAAACTGACCGGCCAATCAGTGGCGGCGCTAGTGCAGGTACCTGCAAGACACGACAGGGGCACTCCACCAATCACGGTCGCCCACCCAGGCTGCATTATTTCCACATGTCCTGCCAATTGCCATGATTCAAGGGATGAAGGAATCTCCATGAGGTGGTATGCACCCAACTCCTGATACATGCTTACTCTCTTGAAGTCCAATCATGCTCGGAATCTGGGACTGAAAGACGAAACAATAGCGAAAGGAACAAGATCTAGCCGTGGAATGGAAACGGTGATGATCGCTGGACGGCCGCCGGATCGGCAGAAGGTGCTTCCAGACAGGGCCCAGTCCCTGATGCAAAAGAAGAAAATAAAGAAACAGAAGCAGAAATAGGGAAAAGAACGGGAGCCGAGGTGGCGAAGCGCTGAAGCGGCCTGGAATAAAATTGACCACCAAGGGATCATGAGAAAAAAAAATATTAATGTGAAGTATCGGGTGATAGATCGAAGGTCCCCGTTGTGGAAAGAGAGAGAGACGGAAAGGGTACAGTCCAGACCTGGAAGGACGTATGGATGTATATGCTGTACAAAGGTCACTCCGCGTCAATTATCAATAGTATCAACAACTGGTTGCCCGTGCCCCTCCCCACTTGGTAGCAATGTACGTGCATTGTATTCTCCCTTTTCAAAGCCCTATTTCCTGCAGAAATGCCGTAATGATGGGCACAGAAACATGATGGTTCACAGCAGGGCCAGAATGGGCGACTGCAAGTACCCCCCACAGGGCGTCTCGCTGAAACGCAACCAGTCTGAGAAGTTTACCAACGCCTCTAATTTCACGGGAACTAATTATAGGGTTGTCGGTCCTTTGACAAATTCTATGCCTTCGGTCTCACCTCGCCCCCAGCGTCAATTAACCGCCGGACCGGACGAGGAACCACCCAAAGAACCGTTAAGAAACTCTCTCGCTGCCATTAGACTTCAATAGGTAAAATCACGCTGAAATAGGCAGAGTGATGCCAGCTAATGAATGAATGAAAGAATGAAACCCTCCAAGGAGAAAGGAAAAGGGCACAAAGTTCGAACCTACAGGCAGGGTCTCTTCCCCATTCAGGATTAGGGCGTGAACGAATCAGATGATTACTGCATCAGCCACACGCGGTTTGGAACCTATCAACTATCTCTTCCCCCAAGGATGGGGCAGCAACAACATCCACAATTGTCGAGGGGGGAGGATGGTGAAACCAGCTAGGAACTTTCTTATTCATCATTAGAAAAATGACCTCGATGATGGAATGCGGTCTTCCCATTCGATCGGTGTTTGGCCCAGACAAGATGTTGTACTGCCAATGCCCTCCTGAGAGGTATGGTAATGCATCATTTATGCTCCGGCAGCGTAGCACGAGATTATATACTAGACACTTCTCCAAACGTAACTTAACCGACTGGGCCATTCAGGGCGTTTGCCATGTCCCACTATGCTGAACGGGTCGATGGGTTGCATCCAGACAAGCCAAGAGCAAGTGCGGTGGCTTGCATGGGGTGGTATCTTGTCCTCCGAAGAAAAAGCAATACAATGGCGATGGCTACATGAACTACTGACGTTGTACGTAGTACCAAGCTGTCTTAGCTCTCTTATTTCGACGCAGCAAGGTTCTCTTTCCTCCCCATGTCTCCGTGGTTTTGAGCCACAATGCTACCTTAGCAATTCCTCGGAGCTAAGCCACTCACCCATTTCCTTACTGATAAGTTCGTTTTGTGGTTTTTAACCTTTTTACTTTGAATTGAATTGGTAAGATGTTATCTATGCATTGCTTGTACCGTCATCGACCTAGAACAAAGAAAAAAAGAAAGGGGGGAGACGTCAGTCAAACAATTCGAATAAACCCCCCTTCGCCAAATATAGAAACACAACCGACTCCCAGTAATAGGAAAATCACGTAAACTTTTGGCCATCGGACTCTTCAAACTTCATCACCGGTTACCTCAACCTGCATTGATTTCCTCGCAGAGTTCACAGACCGCTCCCAGTATGGTCTCGACATCCGCTCCATCTAAGGGGGAAAAAAAGGGCCCCGCGAAATGGTCATCAGCTGAAACGGAGCCGAAGTCAGAACCCCTGACGGGACAAAATCTATGCCGCTAACGCAGACTCGCAAAAGGTTTGGGAACAAAAGGAAGAAGATGTGATAGCTCTTCCGTGACAACGTGCCAGTAAATTCGAGACGTAAGTGGTCATAACATTGAAGGGTATCGCAAGGGTAAAATGGGCACGCTCTACATTAATGTGCCTCCTGTTGATTCTTAAAATGGAAGTTGACTACGACGTTGGGCATCCATGAGCTTCCGTCGGACCGCCTCGCCGCCACTGTAACCGTTCGCTTTGCGTTTCCGCGTGGGTGTGCGTTGATCTGCATGCCGTGCATGTCTAAAGACACTGGCTGGTCGAGATGGCGAGTTCGCTGGCATAAATTCCCGATGTTGTGGAAGTCGTAGTAGTGCCTGGTACCTATTGTGATTACGACGGAAAGCCGTCACAATACCACGGTCTAGATGGTTCAAGAAACGCTCAGCACTGTTGGTCTGTACTTCCCCACTGCGATTAGGGGTCGGTGTGCCGGCGCCAGCTGGCATGGTTGAGGCTGCCATTGGTGAGGCCAGTGCATCATCGTCGAATTCCTTGTCCATGTCATCATCAGACGAGCCGTTGCCAAAGTCGATAAAGTCATCGACGTTCAAAGCAGACTCTGGATCTTCGTCGTCATCATCCTCAAATGAACTGTCGATGGCGAAATCGCGGGATGGGTAGAAGGCCTCAGGAGGGCCCATAACTTGACCTCCGGTACTAATCTCATTTCCAAGGGCAGTCATCATAAGGTTAGCGCTGGAGGCCAACATCGGGCTTAAATCGACGTGATTCGGCGATGCCAGCGCATCCGTATCACTCTCGTCAACGAGGTGCATTGTGGTGGCCCGCGGGCTATTGTTAGCTGTGCCACAAATACTATTTGTGGCAGATTCAAGCCAGTCATGGCGAGAGGAGGCATATGCAGGAATGATCACCAGATGCTTGCCAGTGCAGTCGACAAGTGCGACAGGCTTGTGGGGATCCGCAACGAATGTACCCATTATTGGCCCTCGCCGCCGCGAAGTTGAATCACTCTTCTCATCCGCGGTGGTAGCTTGGAGGGAAGCCGAGGAGTCGCGACGGAGGATAGATCGAGGATGGGTAATGGTTGCGGGTGGTGGAAGGTCTTCATCTGTAGTCTCGCCATCGTCGGCTTCAAGTCTGTCAGTATAAGAATAAAGTTGGTTTCCATAGGCATCTGCATACTCTCGTATCCGCTTGACTCCGATCCTTCGGAGACAGCATCCGACTCGACGTGATAAATGTTTGAATGACCATAGTCTGACTCAGCGTACATTTCATCAGACTGCCGGCGGCGTTTGGGGTAAGTTTCGTTGTCATTCTCAATCATGCGGCGTAGCTGAGGATCAAGACTATCCTGCTGGAGGAAGTCACTTGGGATTTCATCCTCTGTATGTGAATCGCTGTCGGAGGACGAATCCGAGTCTTCCTCAAAATGCACCCGACGAGGAACCGGGGTTTCTGCAGCTGTTTCACTCGCCAAGTCGGTCTCCCCGAAGGTTTCCATGGTATTATAGAGTTGCTCTTCGTCGAAGAACGAGGCGGCTGAGAGCAGCATGTGGTCATCAAACACATTGGGACCAGCCCAGTCGTGAGAATTGGTGACGGCAGAGGCCGTCAGGATGCCAGTAAGATCGTGCTCATCCTCAGACTCCACAATCAGGAGTTCTTCTAGTTTTTCTACATCTTGATCTTCATCGTCGTCTCCGTCGCTAATGTAGTCAACCGCAGCGTAAACATCATCGGAGCTATCATCCGATTCGTTTTCACCACTGCTCTTTTGGCCGTCGTAGCCGTCGTCGTCCGATAGTCTCATCTTCTTTGTCCTTTTGGTAGATCTCATTCCCGCCTTATGAGCCTTGTCACGGCGGCCATAAGACGGGCCACGGACAGCAGGTGGGTCCTCTTCATCATCAGCATCGGACTCGTTTGCATCGTCGCTGAGATCTACGGATGAGACTGATGACACGCTAGAAACGGACGATGATGCCCTTCGTTTCCTGTCAGCAGCCAGTGACCCCAGAGAGACTGCCTTGCTCGATCTCCTCGGAGAGTGTTGCCCGTTGCGGGACATGGGACTGGAGTTTCGATGACGGTTTTCTTTGCCGGCATCCTTTGGAGGCCGCTTGGGGGAGTGGCTGATTGGCGACATTGTGTTGAAGACAATAGTATTGTTCAAATATGATAAGTGGAAATAGGATGGTTCAGAATTGAACAGATTCGGGTTTCTGAATAGTCAAAGTTTTGTTACCCGTTCGCAAGCCGCAATGTATTGCGTCAGAGGCTCTAAAGTAGGTTCAAAATGATGATAATGGTAGATGATTTGTTTTTCTTGGCCGTCAATTCGTAATAGCGTAGGAAATGTCAGGTGAAGGATCGTTATTGTCGAGAAAAGTGCAAGTTCAGGGATCGGAATGGAAGAGGGGGTTTGTCGGAACAATAGGAAAGACTTTTCGGATGTACAAACACCTCACCGTCCACCGCGGACGTTAATGTGCTTCTTCTGTAACTGTACTTTGGGGCAATCCCGACGCTGGAAGACCTGCGTCGAAAGAGGAAACAAATATCGTCAGATCGATTGAGAAACTCGGAGCTGCTGGACTGGGGAGCAGGAAAAGACTGTCGTGCCCCCCAGCGAGGGATCTACAGCTCAACGAAGGCCATTTTGGCAACGAACTTTTGACGATATTTGTTGGTAAGGACAGTGGAAAGAATTCCTATAACAGTTTGGAAAAGAGGGGTGAATCTGCGACGTTGGATGGCAGATCGGAATGAGGGGTGGATTGGGATGTTTGGAAGAAGAAAAGGCCGGGAGAAAGAGAAGGGAGACAGAAGATCAGTTAGCGTCCTGTACCACCGCCGTCACTGGCCTGTTACAGGACGGAACGGCCTTGGGGATGGGGCGGGCCAAATTTTCCAATCGGAGTGGGGCTTGCATCACCCAGTCGTAGTATGCTCAATGGTGATTGGTCAGGAACCACTAAAGCATGCACCATTATTGGCCGGTAGGTGTTCACCGCATCTTTTTCTTTTTATCTTTTTTTTTCTTACCTCAGGTGTTTCTCCTAGTGGCTAAAATGTATGAATGGGATCTGTACAGGTTTTTGATTCGAGGCGATCCCTTGGATCTATTTGGCAGTCATCGTCACTAAACAGCCAGTGACGAAATAAGAATTTGATCATACGGTCAGATTTTGATTAGAGTCACTGACAGTAGTGAGTCATGGCTCGAATACCTAGGTAGTACACTAAAGAGAGAGAAAAAAAAGAGCTCTTAGCACTCCATATTAAAGACAATCCGACAGGGTTTCGGTTGGGTACCTTATTTTGCAGCTTTGCGTCGATGATCCATCAATAACAATACTGACTCCGTCCCAGTTTTGCGTTTGCCATGTCAGAGATACAGGACGCTTGGCCCGCTCTTTGACCTACTAAATGAATTACAGTTCCATCCGAAAAATCATCGAATGGTCAGACAAGGCAAAAAAGGAAAAAGAAAAACGGGGTGCCTCAACTATACTGGGTTTTTCTTCCGATACACATGGCAACGATTATTGTGAAATCTCCTACATTTCCGACATACGTATATCGTACTGAAACCATTCTATAAGCCAAGTACGTGTATACTCAATTTACCACTTGAAGTAGGCCATGTAGGCTAGAAGAATGTAGATCTCCCCTGAGCCTCTCCATCTCCAAGGAGGGGTCATTGTGGAATGCGATATCAAGTATGTAGGTAATGCGCAAAATCTCCGTTAAATTACAGCGCAACGGTCGACAGAAAAAGCATTGCCTAAACGACAATACAGGATATGTACATACAGTACTGACTGACTGACTGACTTACATGCCCCATCAAGTCAGGGGGCTTTCTTTGAACCGTGCTTCCTGCACGAGCCTGCAGACCTACATCATCAACCTCCAGAACAAAAGTGAATTTACCAAAGAAAATGATTCATCATATGTGTCAAGTACAGATCGATAAAAGGTCAGGCATAGGCCTCCTTTGTCTATGTGAGCAGGAAGATTAAAATAAAAAAGAGTTTGATAAGGAAATGGTTGTACACCAGAATTACATCGTTTTAGGATTGGCCGAGGTCCGCCACTAGCGGCGGCCATCTACCGCGCCAACGATTCAAGTAATGAATCATTTGCAAATTCTAATCCATCTATTTTCCCTCTGGTCGGACGACTGTCATCCCTCTTGCTCAACTTTTTACGAAACCCCCTCTCCACAGTGGCGAGGATAGGTTTAGAAGAAAAGAAAATATCACGGGAGGAAAGCTATAGCGCGGCCAGTAGAGGCAAATTCCCGCCGTTGCCGCTACTGGAGCACGACATTTTTCATTACCTGGAAGTAGGAAGGATTAGGAGTTAGGTAGCTACCGTATGGAGTATGAGTACCTACTATTGCCTAGCTCGTACATACTTCACCTAAAATAATTCTAGTCTCAGCATTCGACGCCGGCACGCATGACGCATGGCCTGATTGGGTCAAAGGGGCGGTAAAGGGACAGCTGGCTGCATTGGAATGGATGCCGAATCGTGGAACAGATTATCTATATGCAGGATGAATGGGTCATGCAGCTGCGCTATTTGGTATGGCTCAATCCTTGGTGGTCGACTCTACAATGGGGTACGCTAATTAATAAATGCTCACATGGGCCTCAAACTAGGAGATTAATTCCAGCTACGGTTGCAGCATCATCTCGTGTGTCTTCAGTCGATTGGGTATAGTCAACCTTCTATATACAGAGTCCAGGAATCGCCTGCACTCTTAGTCCAGAATTTTCCGTATGCATATATGTACAGTTGTCTGTCTCCACATCGATGGTTCGGTATTATTACGAACAACAATGCCATTGACGTCCAGTTCTACAGAGGCACCCCACAGAGATCAAAAGACATCATCCATTACAAGGGATAGGCCGCCATCATATGGTCACTCCAATGGAAGGTGCTTTCTATCCTTGGTATATCGATTCTTCACCCAGGCTGCTCGCAGGTGTCAAGACGGTAATTTTTGGTATGATACCGAATTCCTCTAACTATTTCTGTCCATCGAGGACCCATCACTTACTCATGATCGGCAATCCCCGTTGACCCCATTGGCCAATGCATGCTCATTCTCTGCACCCCGCACCCGTAGATTTGTTTTCGAAGCAACCATGCCTTAAAATGCCTTACAGTCAACCCCTTTAGTACGGGCCACTAGAGGAATGTTTACTAGTAGGTTTGAGGCATCTTGGCCTCATGTGCTCCATGTGGTGCAGACAGCCGTATCTTCTACAAAATGAGTCCACCTAGCGTAGAGCCGATCTTCCAGAAAATTCCGAGAAGTGAGGATAGGCCGGACTGATGCCGACCTCCTAGAAAACCTCATGGAACCCGTTGAATTGCCACTCGGGACCGCAAATCCGCAGTTTATGACCGGTCCGATCGCTTTCCGTGGTTCACCGGAGATTAGGTGCTCTCTTTGAATAGAACAGGTGGCCAACTTTGACGTCCTCTCTTTCTAGATTTTTTATTTTTAAAACTTCCTATTGCCCATCTTATTCCCGATGCTATCTGACTGGTAGAAGTACATGGCAGTGAAAAAAAGTTGCTCACATTGCTAGCATGAATTTATCATAATCATTTGAATATCATCCAAAACCATAGGGTGATTCAAAATAGTCAAAAGACCAGAGAACTAATTCTGCATCATTATCTTGTAAGTACAACGATTATCAGAAGTAAACATAAGTGGTATCAAAGAAAAGCTCAAGCTGCCAACCCAGGCACAAAAGGAGCAAACGGGAAGAATTAAAAACGAAACAAAGGGTGAAACAACGATGGGGTATTCACGTCCCCGGATACGGCTTAATTTTGGGCACTAGTTCTGCCTTAGGAGCCGATCTACCCCAGATGGACAATACTGACTTCGACCTCGTCGGCTTCGAATAATTCTCCTTAGCACCGTTCTCTTCTGGTTTTGAATTTTCGGCCGCAGCAATAGCTTTCTCGCGGGACTGTTGTGCGTCTTCCACACCTTCCCGAATTTCAGCCACTGAAGCGCCTTGGGGTGCAGTTGTAGTAAGAGTCTCGGTCGTCCGAATTCTTTCGTCGGAAGAAGACTGTTCGTTCAACTTTTGGATCTCCTCCTCGGTTACGAGACGTTCGTTCTCAAGGCGAACTTCGCGACCACGCTTATGGCAGTACCAAAGAATGAACAAAAGGACTGTGTGATGCCACTTTGTCAGCAAGCGTACAAGGAATCGCAAGCTAAGTGTAGATCCTAATGTTCATCACACTTACTGAATAAAGCTAATGACCAAAGCACGTTCATTCCTAGCACAGCAGGGAATCGAGCCCGCAAAAAGGCCATGATCGATCGTAGCATACCGACAATAGCTGCCGGTTTCCCAACTAGTTCTTTCAAGCTGGGAACCTTGATGCCCATCTTATTAGCTGCTGCTGCTGCCTTGCCAATGTTATCCACATTAACACCGCTCTTTGCAGCCCTCTCACTTGCCACGGCAATCATCTCAGGCGCCAAAGTTTCTGTCCATCGCTCCGGAAGCTTTTCCACGAGTTTTTGCAGAGGGCTTGGAAGCTGCGAATAAGCACTCTGCAATTGCTTGTTGCCATTAGTGAGGAGCATCTCAAGGTCATGATAAGCGGTTGGAACGCCGTTAATCAGGTCCCGGAATATTAGCTTGAACTTGCGCAGGAGCTCCTGTGTCTCTTCGCTGATTGAGAACACGCGGTTATTATCCGCTGCGAGATTCAGTCGTTCCAAAATTTGGGTCATATCCTCGGTCTCCTGCCTTACCTCATTGTCATCCTTGGGATTGGCGGGTAAATTAGACTGCGCGTCGACAGGGGTGTCGCTCTTCACTGGTTCTTTATCCTGTCGTCGAGTAAGATTAGAATTGAAAACTATAATTAATATAGAGATATTTTATCCAAAAGTTAAAAAGAAAAGAAAAGAATTAAAGAAGCTTCTTTGAGGAGCTCACCTTCTCGTACGTGCTCTTCCTCCGGATCCAGCTGGTCCAGGATGATTTCTTTTTCTTCTCCGCCTGGAAGGAGCTGGTACCCTTGGAACCCTGTCTTTGAGGAGCAACGTCTGAGCTTCGCTCCTCCTTCTCTCTAGCCTTTCTTGCTTCTTCTCCTAACTCCCTGAACTCTTCCAAGGGCGACACCGGGGACTGGAGGGTATTGGGCGCATCAGCTGCAAGAGGACTAACAGGTGAGTGGCTATCATCATCTGCGCCAGCATACGAGTTAGGTGCTTTGTTTGTAGGCTCGGTCATAATATTTCGTAGGAAGGCTTCATCCTCGGGCGTCAGCACAGGGTCTTGTGATTTGCGCTGTGACGGGCGCCGCCAGTGTTTGAATTGTTGCATTTTGGGTTTACTTCATCTAGATAAATAATGTATAGATGATTATGAGGCGAAGAGAAGCGAGCGCAGTAAGTATAGTCCGCTAGGACAGCTTAAAAGGTAGTGGCAAAGTTAAAGGTAGGCTTGGCCGGCAAGGATATAAGATGAAGCAGGTCAGCGGAGGGGTATTAAAGTACACTAGGAATTAAGTAGTCGGTGATAAGCTGTATGAATGAAATCATTAGAGTCACCCTAGAATATAGCGGTATATAAATATATAAACCACATAAGTCGCAGACAAATCTCAAAGGATCAACAACACTCAGTTTCGGAGGAAATGAAGAAAGGAAAGATAATCTGGAGGAATCCAGGAACTCATTCAAGCTCTCGGGGCGATGATATCACTCCCATTAGCCATGTGAGGGTTTGCGCCACTTCATGCACAGCCACTTCCTTATCACTCAAGGATCTATCTTACTGAGCCGTGATTGGCGGGTTGCGAACAGCACTGATGGAGCGCTAAGATACATGATATGGTTTCCACTAATGTATGAGCATTGATGTGAGATTATGATCTATCACCTACTTATTACCAGAATGGAAGGATACCCCCCGCCCCTCGCGTCCGATGGCGGTTGAATCGGGTTCTGGCGAAATGTTTGCCTCTGGGGATTTACCTTGTAACTTGACCCTGTGTTTCATAGCAACTCGGTATTTTCAGAGTTGCCAACTCCTTCAAAAATATATGCTATATGGGAGTGAACTGCTGTATGAATAAAAGAAGTTTGTATATGTATCAGCGTGTCTGGAGTATATCCGCTTTTCTTGACTAAAGTGGCATGTAACGGGATATATATCTATCGTTTTACAATCTGGCCGGAGTTCAGCAACCTATTTCGAACACCTATGATTAACCCCTGTAACCACAATGAAGGCCATGAGATCGATCTACTAAAGCGGTAAAGAATGGTACAACACAGGTTAGAACTAATCCAAAATTTTTTAGAAGATCTAAATAACGTGTGATAGAGTGAAACCCCGGAGAACGGAGAAGTGATACTATACAGTATAGCGGAAACTTCAGTCCCCCGAAGTATTGCTGGTATCTTGTATGATCTCTCTCAACCGCTCACAGCACTCGTCCATCTCTTCCGCACTAACCTCACTTGTATCAAAAACAAGAGTCTTTTTGGCCCGAACTTGGCCCAACCACTTTGCATAACGACTTCGATGGAACTTTACAGTACCATTTCTCAATATACCCGGCTCGGGGTATGAAATATAGACTTGCCGAAGGCCCGGCATATCCGCAACGTCTGCACAAAGGACGGTCCACGATAGCAACTCTCGTTCTTGTGTAATTGATTCGGAGAGCAGAGGGGTGGGGCTCAGCTGAACTTGTTGAATATTGTTTCTTGCAAACACCGACAAGCGATCTTTCATATGCATCAACAAAGTGGGGTTCAAGGAGGTTGCGAATATAATATTCGCATATAAAACTGGAAGGGCTTCGCAGTATATCTGTCGGTTTGTCTGAAGCAAGGCTACTGGTAGAGACACGGGTGGTGTACGAGTGTATCTGAGCTCCGGAGCGGGTCTTTCGTTTGGGTCATCGCTATTTATCTGTGGACGACTCGCACGTCTGTAACGGTGAACGGTAACGAGGATAGGATCGCATGGAGTAGCGAAGGCAAAACGGTATATGAGCAGACGAATCTCGCTCGGAAGATCCAGGAGATTCAGGAAAAAGGTGCGCTCATGCTTCGGTGTGGGGCGAAACAGCTTGGATACTTTTGGAAAGGTCTTGCTGATTTTAATCTCATAAGTTGTCAGCTTGATTTTCATAGTATGAAAAGCGCGCCGCTTGAAAGGGTTCCGAGAAGTAATATTGCTGTTGATCTTTTGGTTGTATAGGATATCACAGTGGAGAGCAAAGGGTGGGCAATACTAATTATATATGTAATAGTTCCAGAGACTGTAAGATGTGGACTCAAGGAGCCTGACCATTTACCCAATCCAGAAAATTGCTGCGAGGATCAACTGCGACTCAGAATGAAAGCATCCGCCTATTGGAGTTGCAAGAAGTCCAAATTCCTGTTGGTCGGTACTTTTGTTCTCAAATTATCGCCATTGAGTCATTTTGTATGCTCATAGATCCTTAGTGGGATGTCCCACTAATAACCTGAATCCGCCCATGTTCAGGAATTTTTGCGTAAGGAGTACAACGGCTTATCGGGCGTACGCTCCTTGCTTTGGTTCTGCATACAGGGTTAAATCGAGACTGGCCGTAGGATGATAGGAATACTCTCGCAACATTGGGCGATAAGAAAATGACATATTGGGGCGGTATTTGAGGTCTTACACCCTGAGTGGAAAGCTACGAGGGCAGACGAAAGACAAAGAGAAATGTGCAGAGGGAATGGCGGCATCCACCTACTGACCAAGTTATAAAGATTCAGGACAACGTGCGTTTAAAGTATGAGGTTAGAATTATTCTAACCAGGTATGGTGCTCCCACATATCTTTACCAGTAGAGATGGAGCAAGGGAGTCGAGTCAGCAAGCACATTGTAGGTGCATATAATCTTGGACTACCCAAACATCTCTCCCACTGCCTCTGAAACCACAACCCGCAGAATCACTCCTTGTAAACTGCCATCCATAGACCAAACTAGCATCATGATCTTAGTGCTGTAAGTAGCACTAATGATGTCTGTCAAATCACTGTCTGGAAGGCCACTATGCGCGAAACCACCCTCCCTTTGAGCTCTAGCAGTCTCCAACCATTTCTCCAGCTCATCTGCTTGAAAGTTTGCAGTGTAGTCAGCCAGTACGGCTAACACACACATTCCATACAGCTTAAGCAGTGTAAGCAGTGAATATATTAACATAAGAATGACCCCATCTCCCCAGATATGAATTCCTGCCAGCATCTAGCTCATTATAGCGGCCTGAAGCTGCTTAAATGGATATTAGCAAATGATATAGACATTGAATCTTCACACAACAGAGCTTAGGGATTCGACAAAGGACTGGTTCAATGGGAGTGTAATACAGATGTTTCTTTCTTTCCTACCTTGCTGATTTAAGAGGATCTGGTTTTCATATACAATAAGTAGATAGCCAGATGTGCCTTAATGGCTCTGGACACCGCATGCTCAGTTGTTCAGGCTTCAACTCGACTATTAGCGAAGTTCTAGGGATGATGATAGCGGGTCCTGAGGGTGTCGTGTTTGTGCTGATTGCTGTAGTAGAAAGTATTTCTGCCTGTGAAGATATAGATGTAGAATGACTGATATTGTTACCGCTTAGAAATATGTTATTCTTGATGTTATCACCATCTCCCCTAAAAAATGAGAAAGCATGTAGTATTCAAAATATGGTACTTTCTGCTGACGTAGGTGGGAGTTATGATAACCTAGGTAGCTTGGCTTATTCAGGCCCACTGCACATCGTTAGCGCTTGTAATGAATATGATGATAGTTGCACTTGAGGAATGTGAACTGATCTTTGACTAGGAGATTTTAAAGCGGTGTCCCTTCTATATATATTCTGACATACAATGTTGAAACGCATATTATGAGAACTAAGAATATCATGAAGAAACCTTGACCTAGACCGTCATGTGGTCAATCACCAATCTCACCATCACATGATTAATTCCCCGCATCTATATAAGACACCTACTCTCACACTCCATTTTGATTCTTTCCTTCCCTTCTCTTCCTCGCGCTCCATAGGGTCGACTAATTCTCGCTACGTAAATCTGCTCCACAGAAGTGGATTTGCGTGGGCGAAAGCCAGCTCCCAGGAATTCATCACCATCTCAAACAGACTGGAGGCTTTCATTTTCATTAATGAAGGCCTGCGATTACGAGAGGGGTTTTGTCTTGGGTAGGCTTCCAGGACTCTCTGTTTCATGCAATGCGCGTGAGTTGGTAGCGTCATTCGTTTAAATCGATCACCTCGTTCGGTTCTTTCCCTTCGTTTGGCTTTTTCTGTCGATCATTTGTCTCTACGTCTGGATGTCTCTCGTGTCATTCTTGGCCAAGTTCATGGGCATGGATGACAGGCTTAAAACCGTGAATCGCTCGTTTACTCGAAGCGATCGAGTAGGGAGGTCCCGAAAGTCATCAAGGAAGACACATAACAGGCAAGTCAAGGCGAAGAAAATGCAAGAGAAGGTGGAAAGCCCTTCACCGGCTACGTGAGTAACTAAGGTCATCCTTCGCCCCTAAGAATCTTGTTCTGCTCTTTTGTTGTAGAGAGGCTCTTCCGTTCTATCACGATGTTGTGGAATGTTTATTTGAACTAATTGTAGGTCACTGCTATAGTCCCCTTATGAGCCCTATAGTCACCATGATTGTGGGCCCTGAGCAACGTGTCTTTGTAGCCCATGAGGAAGTCCTCTGCCGCTCGCCTTTGTTCCGTTCTATACTGAAAGATGAGTTCGCCGGAAACAGCACAAACAAGGCAGTGGCTCTGCCAGAAGAGTATGTCTTTAAACCAAGGACCCCCACTAATACCACCCCCTAACCTGTCCCAGAGAGCCGGAAGTTTTATCCTGCATTCTCGAATTTCTCTACAAAGGCGATTATTTCCCTCGCCTGCTACATAACAAGGGCATCAACGCATGGGAGCTCAAGAACAGCCAGAATGTCACCACCCTCCCCGGTGGCCGCGGGTCGAGCGAAGCGACTATATTCCACTCCGCTGTAGGCGACATTGTCCTCAGGGACACGGTTGTGTACTGTGCAGCCGAGAAGTATGGACTGGAGGGGCTCAAAAGCCTTGCTCTCCGGAAGCAGGGTCTTCAGAGCGGAATCCCCATCGACGTGATTTTACGATCCGCTCGGTATGTCTACGACAACACGCCGGATTCGGAGTATCGTCTCCGCGCTCATTACTTGGCCATGATCATTCGGACCCGACAGATTTTCAAGACCAGTGGGACCATGCAATCTGAAATGGAAATGGGCCACAAGTTCTTTTTTGATCTGTTTGTTGCTATGTGTAACCATATTGATGATCTTGAGGAGATGAGGTTGGTGTTACTCTCTTCTCTGTCTATTTGAAGTGAAAATGGGTGCTTATACTATCATCTAGTAACGACGATTCGCCCAAGATGGCCTAAAGGTTTCACGGCTAACGCAACTATATAAAAAAAACACGGGAAAATGACTTTCAAGCCAGTGAAAGAGTCAAACCAGAATGCCTGAACTCGAACTATTCGGTTTCCTTTCATGGCTCATGCTGAATTCATCTTCGTTTCTTCGAGGTTGGCCGACCCTATCTTTGGATATGGATAGGAACCATATCGATATCACCTTTTAATAAGTTTTGAGGCATAATTTGTTCGTTCTGTCGCCACTTAATCCGAGTTTTGTCAACATCTTTGCGAAAGTCATTGGTTTTTGTCGCCACTATAGGATGCATGGTTGATGTCGAAAGTTAGAATGACCCAAGCTAGTAATTGAGAGATTCGGCCGCCTCATTCTTTTGGTATTTTATGACTGCTTAGGCAGTCTACAGAGTCTACAGAAATAAGTGGCTGTAACTTGAACACTTGTAGCATCGAATACGGCTTTGTATTGATACAGAGTAATTAATCAATTGAGAATACCCTTTCACCCCGAACAGACCGTTATTTTTCAAACATACAATGGAGACGCTTGCTCGCTTTGCTCACATACAAAGCCTCAACGTACTCCTATAGCAACTACGCAGAGCGAAACAAGAAAACCGGGAAGGAAACTGGGGAAGACACAGGAATGCCATAGAACAAGACATTGAGCCTGGACTCAAGTAAAGAAGGGAATTTTTGCTGACAGAAAAACACCCGTTAAGCAATACTCTTCCCCTTCCGGCCTCGCTTCGGCTTTTCAACAGGCTTCTCTTCCACCCGCTCCGCTTCATCATCTGCCACGGCTGTCTTCCGTTGGCGCCTTGCACTCGGCTTAGCAGCGGTCTTAGCAGGAGCTTTCGAGAACTCCTTCTCCTCAGTGTCGGTTTTAGATGGACGACCTTTTCTTGCTTTCTTGGGCTTGATTTGAGCAGATGTGTCGTCGTCTGTTTCTTCCTTTGTGGCCTTGTCGCCGTCAGATGGGGTATGCTTGCTGCGAGTTCCCTGTTTGGGCTTTTTGGCTTCGGGGGTCTCTGGGGCCTCGTCTTTCCCCTCATCTTTAGTAGACTGACGGCCGCGCTTTTTGGTCTTTGGCTCAGGCGACTTTTCTTCGGCTTCGCTATCCTATACATATGGTTTAGCATGTTGGATACGGGAACCGTGGTGATGCTAGATATAAATACCTCAGCGGAAGCGGCCTTCTTCTTCGAACCACGTACGCGGAAGCCTGACTTTCCAGGACGGTTCATTTCAACATCCTGTATCCGTCAGCACTACCAACCAGAAATACAATGTCAAGCTAATGAAAAGTTGGATAGAAGAAAACAATAAGGGACAACGTACACCGTTCCATTCCGCATCATCGACATGGCCTTGCTCAAGTGCCTTCTTGATCTTCTCCTGGTTTTCTGGGTCAAGATCTTCAAAGCCATCTAGCTGGTCGTAGTCCTTCTCTCCCTCGTTTTCAACAATTTCTTTGAGACTAGTGATGATCTTGGGTGTCACACAGCCCCTTTACAAGTGTTAGATTGCTAGCTCTGGCAAGGGGCGTCCATTTAGCTCAGGCTCACCAGTGTCTCCAAAAGAAGGCCTGGATGCGCTCGGAGTCAACCCAGCTGCCGAGTCGAAGCTCGCCTTTGGCGATCTTGACTTTCTGGTCTTTGCATTCTTTATTCTGGCAGCCAGCTCTGCCGGTGGTGGCTTGCTCTGTTTTCAAGGTGAGTATAGCTCTATATATGCCAAGGAAAAGTCTTATGTAGTAGTGAAAGATAACAAACGTATAAGGGCGAAAATGAAAAGAAAAAAATCAGCCAAGAAGAATAGCAGTGGCTAACGATAATAAAAACACAGTGAATATGAGAAAGGCAGCTGTGCGACAGCTGCCTAGTAATTGCAGGTAGGCACCCAGCGCCGCTGACATGGCTGGGAACACAACTCCCAGTTGCAACCCAAGGACAAGAGCAAATAGATCCAGGATCACACTGAGTAGGATCTATCGCGTCAGAGTAATAGTTATAGCACTGATTTAACTCCTCAAGTACAAGACAGAACAGAGAAGAAAAAGCCAAAAAAAAAAAGACACTCACCCAAGCGATAAGAGGGCATGATAAAAACCAGCGACGCGGCTGTTTTTGATTTAGCCGCAGTGTCAAAAGAACAATAAAAAAAAAGTCGCGATTATAATTAAAAACGCCGATTTTCTGATAGACAGTTAATACTGATCAGGAAAGCTATGCATGTATCATAGAAACAGAGGAGAAGCAGACGGAGAGAAAAGAACAAGAGGGGAAGAAATGGAGGACGAAACGAGGAGCAAACAAACAGACAAAAGACAGCCAACGGAACACGCCACCGACCAAACCCGCAGTGCTTTTCTCTCTTGTCGCAGCTCGACTCCTCTTTCTTTCTTCTCCTTTATCTTCTCACGCATTAATGTATTGTTTGTTTTGTCTCTCTAATCGTGACTCTCATGCTTCAATTTGATTTGTTCGCGTTTACTTTTCTGTTCTTGGGCCTCTTCTACTTGTTGATTTAAGTTACAGAGGGTTCAGGGTCCGTAGTATACAGTCGGCTGTCCATTGCCGCCATATACTCCCTTAATTGGAACAGATATGCTCTCGAATTTTCTTCGTACTGTCCAGCAATTGTAATGATAGATGACAAATATGGTTATGGAATATCAAATATCAAATATCGGTTATGCCCTAGCAACTGTCAGGTTGGCCATATGCCCAAAATTCAAGTAAGAGCTCCGGTGTGGATAAGAATGCAAAGGAACAGTCATTATTGGGTCTCACGACACCAAATAAAAGCAGATCAAATTAGGTACACAACCTATACAGCGCAAGATCGAAGAATTTTAAACCTTCTCTCGAGCATCTGCGGCTGATTCAATCCTTTCCAGAGCAGTGATATGTTTTCGTAGCATCACTACTGCCCCCAAGCTGAGACGAGAGACAAAGGCCGATGCTGCACGCTCCTCGCTAAGCTTTTCACCTGCTGGTGTACTGTTATGATGTTCAATCATGCCAAGAGCTTCATTAATAGCCCGACGTAGTAGCCGTGGGCGATTGCAAAGATCCGCCTGCTGTTGCCTGGGGTCTGCGAGGTAATGCCAGGCCAAAACATCTTCCAAGCCAGCAATATAATTCTCGAGGGCGTGTTGAATAAATCGCCGCGTTAGCAGAAAGGCCTTTTCCGTGTACTGGGTCGACTCGATGCGCCTATCATCGTCAGCAGCAAGTGCTTCGTAGCCAGCCTCATCTATAATCAAGGTTAGTACTTGTGCGAATCCTAGGGCGTAGATGACTGCGTACTGTAGAACGGTGCTTTCACCAAGACGAGGCCCATAATTGAGACTAGAATCTGCAATACTGTCGAGTTGGTAGGAGACCAGCTCTCCGCAGGGTTCTTCCCGGGCCAAGTACCTAGGAGGCTGAGACAGATATTGCCATTTTCTCCCAGATTTGGGTTGATCGTCCCATTCGTATTCGTCCAAGAATGAAAATATGCTGCTGGAGGCCGAGTAGGATAATCATCTGGGAAGCGAAAATCTATTACAAACGGCGCATGTTCATATGGCGTTCCTTGAGGCCCAATTATCAAAGCCCGTAATAAGTCCACCCTAGACTCCCATGTCCGCACAAAAATTCCACAAGGTAAGGAAGTCCGTAGAATTCCAAATTCTTTCTGAATACGCTTGATACGTAACCTGGAAATTCCTCCTATAGAACTAGAAAGAAAGTGGTGGTCAGATGGGGGGGAGCTTTCTAGCAGAGAGAAGCCTGGAGGACATGACGATGGAAAGGGTGATGAGAGTATGAATGGACTATCCTCCGCCTTGGATACTAGGGTTTGGACTTCAGTAATATCAGATTGGTCCCGCTGGTCAGAATCGAGCGTCTCAGGGGGACTGATGATTGACACTGCAGGCGCTGTGAGCCCTTCAGCGTCATAGTCATTGTCTTCCACAATTTCCTCAAAGCCCTCATCGTCATCAAGCTCAGATTCGCCTTCCGTCGTCCAATCATCATCCTCACTATCGTCATCAAGGCGTTGGCCGCCCTCGTATTCAACTGTGTCTGTGAATGACAGCTCTCCAGATTGTGCCAAACGATTGATTCCCGCAAGGGTTAACAGTTCAAAAGGCGGGAGCGGTACAGGTGGAATTGAATCTTCATTGTCAATTACCATCATGATTCTCTCCCATGGGACACGGACATCACGGATATTGTCAGCGCCTGCAAGTCGCACAGTGATGGTGCCATCAGTATCCATTGAAATGATCTTGCCAATGAAATCTGTCGGTGACTTGAAATTAAATTCATCGTGGTGTACGCTGTACCTGGAAGGTACAGGCGATGTGTCAATCTTAGTCGTTCTTTTGAACCATTCCTTGTCTACCATAGCTAATTTCATGGATTCAAGATATACAACCGTGTCAAGGAAAGTGGCTGGGGACAGGATGCTGAGCTGACAAGGGCCAGCGGCTCGGCTAGGCTCATGACCAAGTACCGGTATTGATGACTGATGAACTACTCCAGGGGCCAGGAGTACTAGGTCATTTAGTACCCTTTGCACGCTAGAATATGAGTGAAGCTCATAGATAGAGACGTCTGTGACGGCATCGCCGAGTTCACCCAGGAAGGACCCAGGTAATACCATGTTCCCCCGATGAGTCAATCTAACTTCTGGATCCTCATACCAGCGGACTGACGCTATTCTTTCCTGACTGTCCACATTCTGAACAATCCCAGCTTTACTAACAAATACTGTCTCCTTCGTATGGCATCCGAGAGGCCCCGGGCTGTGCTTGCAAGTTTCACGAAGAGTGTCAACTCCATCTTTCAGGAAAACTAGATTTCCAGGCCAGAGTTCTTCTTCAGTGCCATGGAATCTGTGTAGAGAAGTCGCTACTTCGGTGGTGGTAGTCCCATTTTGCCATTGAACAGTGACCTCCGTTTTCATAGAAGTAATACGGAAGATGTTTATATCATGGCCAAAGGACTGGTTAGTTGGGATATGTTGATAGGCAGAATATTTCGCACTTGCAGACGTGACATCCCGGAATCGAACCCTGTCCCCGATACTAAGCCAGGTATCTGAACAGACAGGCTTCCCACCTGAGACATCCTGGGGTACTTGCCCAAAATCGCATACCACCGCATTTCCACGGAGCTTAGATGCTCTTATAACCTCGCTATTTGTACCACTATAGGGTGTGCCCACGGCAAACACATTCGGACAGATCCAGTCCACATGAATATCCATGGCTGGAGTGGCTATAACGTAGCCCTCAGGCTGAGTGACTAAGCCTGCACTGGAGGATAAGTCACCCCGGCTCAGATTGTTCCTAGGTGTAAAAATAAATTGGCCGGGGAACACAAATTCTGAATCTGTGGACCAAACTGATCCACCATTAGCTGAGGCGTAAGATCGCATAGCACTCGTGTTGCTCGGCAATGCCACAAGATTATCAGCATTAAACGAGAGTGGAATCTCCAAGGCATCGGGGTCGAGAGGACAGACAACTTTCTGATCTGGAAGGAGCAATATCGCATCCCGATCAATTCCCTGAATAAGTCCCAGTTTCTGCCGGAAGATGATATAGTCGCCTTCGGAAAATTCTTCGTAATTTCTGAGTTCCGACAATGGGACCCCATGTAGCAGGGGAGGACTTGTGGCACGGTTCTCAACTACCGAGGAGCCTTCACGTTCGACGGCCTTTGCCGTGAAGATAAGAGAACTGTATTCTCCAGTTTCCGGGTCGAGTGCTTGATAAGCGATAGGCTCGAGGCTACATTTTGCAGAGGCACTGATGACTGTACCACTGATCGTATCATCTGGGTGGCACTTGACAGTCTCACCAAGATCGAAAGTGCGGTCGACTAGATCAAGGTCGCTCTCGTGTATGAGCGAGGTTCCTTGAGAAGGCTCTGTGAAGCTAACGAGAACATATCCCTTCGGCGGCTAATGCGAGAATTAACTTTCAGCGAAGTTCATTTGATCGTTGGGAAATGGTTACATACTACACCGGCTTTGAAGAACTCCACTAGGGTCATAGGGGGAACGGGGGTATAAGAGAGGATTAGAAGCTCGCCCAGGGATTCGTCGTTATCAATCTTGGACAAGACGAGTTAATTTGGGACTGTTCCAACCGTTCACAGAACGGACGAAAGGGAAAAGAAAGTGAATACATCGTAAGGAGTCCTCTGTACACCTAGAGTTAGCCAAAAATTGACCGATATCAATTCACTGGGTCTCACTTACGCAGACATGTCCCACGAAAGTAGGATTGGACTTCAAGCAGCACGTATCGTCGATGTCAAACTGCGAATGGTATATTAGTTACTTGCCGCAGAATCATGCAATATCTCCATAACTCTAGTGCTACCGACCTTTCCATATTTCTCATCTCTGGCCCTGGTCGCGGCACCAGTCATGTCGGATCGCACGTCCATTGCGCGATAAGACGCGGGGTTTGCGCGGAGATGGTAACGTTGTTAGAGATGTGTATAGTCGAAATGATAGTGCACTAAAAGAATCGGAGCATGGCTGACCCCAAGACTAGAGATACGCATAAGTGAAAAGGACAGGGAAAAGGGAGAAATTATAGAAGGCTGAGAAACGAATGAATGGGTAATGAATATAGATTCTAAACAAGTAAATAGACTGCGGTCACATGCACATCTGAAGGTGCGACAATGATTCAATCCTTCGTCCATGAAAACAAAGCTCATTTCCTTCGTTCAGCTTAGTTAGATAAATTACAGTAAGCAAGGCTAACCCGAGAACAATTCCTTGTCGTACGACGTCCAAGAAGCTAGATACCATTCAAAGGATTGATTGAAGTGATCTGGAGCTAATTTTTTCAAAAAGATGGATATATTGATGATAAGAGAGTAAATATTGGTGGAAACCCCACGCCCTGACCGCTTTAGACAAATTAAATGAACTGATTAAATCCAGTAAATTTATCCGAAAATCTGCCAAATGGAATCCACTTTTATCCAACGTGAGCTTCCAGACAACTCCATCTGGGTCTCCAAAAAAAGAGGAAACAAACACCAGAGTGTTTACGCGAATTCCAAATTAATCTTTCTCAAATATCACGTCAAGATCTCAAGCTGCGATCACCTAACGACAGAACTACTTCGCCTCTTGAGTCCACCAATTCCTACATCCGTTGCGTAGATCACCGCAGAATACCTTTGCATTACATATACGCACATAAAGCAACGCAGAGCCTCGAAAATGTCCGAACCCGGTCCTGAATCAATCCCTACGAGCGCGGACCCGCGTAGCCACCGGCCGGTCAAACGTCGCGCTGTTACCGCGCAGTCGGAACAAGCCTCCCAGATCAACTCTCTTTTCCGAGACCCGTCGAAGGAAATTAGACTTCCCGACTCTTTCAAACAACGATCATCGGCGTCATTACCACCTCCACCGGAAATCGTGGCAAATGTTCAAGGGTCTTCTGCCGGTGCGGGATCCGGGGAGTTCCACGTTTATAAAGCCAGTCGCAGGAGGGAATATGAGCGCATACGCATGATGGAATCTGAGGTTAGTAAGGAAAAGGAGGATCAAGACTGGGAGAGGCAGAGAGAGGAAGCTAGGCGGAAGGATGATGAAAAGACGGCGAAGAACCGGAAAAGGAGGGAAAAGAGGAACGCTGCGAAGAATAAAATCAAACCTACTTCCAGCAATGGTAAGGGACCTGCCATGCTGGCAGGGGATACTCCGACCAAAGGGGCACTCAGCGGATTTGACAAAAATAGGGATGAAGATCAAAGCCTGCCGGTAGATGCAGTCGAACAACCGGGAGTGATAATCCACGAAGATTGAGACTACGGTTTCAACCAGGGATTGTTATTAAGATATTGCCCTGCCCACAGTAACTTTGAAGTGTACGATATGAAGATACCCGTGTAATTTTTAGTCTAGGATATTCGTACAATATCAAGAATAATCGTGCAGCATTATGTACGCATTTTTAAACCAGTTCCTACTCTTATTCATCTCCACCAACGTTGGCACCCGCCTGCTGTGCAGATTTACCGCTGCAAATATCATCAACACGGAGAAGTAGACATGCGGACTAAGTAAGTTAGTAATTGTACTAGTACCATGAGATCCAATCATGCTTACCTCAACAGCAGTCTTAATACTCTGGAGTTTCACTGCTTCAGGCTCCCAAACGCCATATTCCTTCATATCAACCAAAGCACCCGAGTCGCCGTCGAGACCCCATGTAAAGTGGCCTTCGGCATGCTTGGCCCTCATGCGAGTCAGAACGCGGATAGGGCTAGCCCCCGCATTTTGTGCCAATGTCCGGGGAATAACCTCCATAGCGTCAGCAACGGCCTTATAGGGCCATTGCTGAACACCCTCAATAGACTTGGCCAGCTGGCCTAACTTGACAGAAACTGCCATCTCAATAGCACCGCCACCAGGGGAAAGTCGTGGGTGGAAGATGACATTTCGAGCAACAGCCATGGCATCCTGAAGGTTACGCTCAACCTCGTTGATGATGTCCTTCGATGGACCCCGCAGAAGAATCGTGCAGGCCTTAGGGTTCTGGCACTTCCTGAGGAAAGTGAAATATTCATCTCCGATCTTCTCGATTTCGAACAGCCCACAGGCGGTTCCTACATCGGACTCCTGGAGGTCATCGACACGGTTCACGATTGTAGCGCCAGTGGCACGAGCGATACGGTTGTTATCCGTCTTCCTCACCCGACGGAGAGCAGTGATGTTGGCCTTCATCAAGAAGTGCTGCGCGAGATCTGGAAAGAACGTCAGTAATGAATCATACCTGCTATCTGGAACAGAGGCTTTTTACCCGAGACACCCTTTTCAGTGATCACAACATCAGGCTTGACAGCCAAAATGGCATCGCACATGCGCTTAACTTGTTCCTCCTCAATTTCCAGAATCCGATTCCAGTCATCCTCCTTCGAAATCTCAATGTTCGTCTGAGATTCACCCTTTTTGTATTCCAACGGGCAGTCAAGCAAGAGGACACGGGGGTTCTCAATTCTCCTCCGCATCTTGGGGTGGGTAATATCCTTGTTCACCATCACACCATCGATAACCTCACTGTCCTCGATCTGGCCACCAGGTATCTTCTCAATACGAGCATACCGCTTAATGTCAACCTCTCTCTTTCCACCGCCAGCATCGAAGGAAACGGTTCGTACAGCCTTCAGGGCCAAGCTGCACATCAGCTTGGACCATCTGGAAACGAACTTTGTCCCAATGGACGACTGAATGAGAGTGTACATCGCTTGGTCATCATCAATATCAACCGGGATCGAAACTTCTTCCACGATGGAAAGGGCGTCTGCTAGAGCACGCTTGAAGGCCGAGATAATGACGACGGGGTGAATGTTGCGTTCGAGTTGGGGGAGGGCCTGGGCGAGCATTTCACCGGCTACCGCAGATTAGCATGCTATGCCCAAACGGCATATTGAGGGGAGAGGAGAAGTGATACCTAGAATGATAACGGTCGTGGTTCCATCTCCGACCTCCTCATCTTGAGTACGGCTGAGCTCAATCATGCTCTTTGCTGCAGGGTGCGACACCTCGATTTCTCTCAGGATAGCATGTCCATCATTGGTCAAGACGATACCGCCCATAGGGTCGAGCAGCATCTTCAACATGGCCTTGGGTCCAAGACATGACCGAATGATGTCCGCAACACTGCAGGGTATTTTTCATGTTAAAGGGGAAATGACAAAAAGGAGGATTTGCCACGTACGTCTTCGCAGCGGTGATATTGGAAAGCTGAGCCTTGCGACCGACCTGTCGCTCACCAGAGTTGGTGTCTATGATTGTTAGCTAAATAAGGTCAAAGCCAAGATGAATTCCGTTGGCAACATACTCATTACCACCACCGGTGCCTGCATTTTGGCGGTGGTCTTAACGTACTGCGGAAAAGGAAAAGGTAGAGTTGGGAGATTCCGAGAAATTACAATGGGGTTCCTCAAAAAACCACTGAAGAATAAGATAAATGAGGGGCGCGTTGGCTAGGGGAATCTGGAGTGCTGTGCCCGCCTTCACCATCAAATTTCCAGCGAACCTCGAAGTGGGATTGCGGACTGGAAGCTCACCCCCACTAATCCACTTCGGGCCTAGTCCACCTTTCCTCCTGATTAAATCCACTCCTATTAGTTATTCGTTTCAGTCATAACTGTACATACATAGAGAACCAGTCATTTTTCTTGTTTGCTTGCCTACAGTGTTCATTCATATTATTGTTCCACGAGAAGGTATCCAGCCATCCCGTGCCCATTTCCTGTCATCAGTTCAGAACCCATTAACCGTAACAACAAACAACCTTGACAAGTAATAGCTGCGCTATAGACCAACTCGAAGTAAAGAAAATTTTGCATGTTGGAGCGTGGTCTGAGAAGCTACATTATTTTCTGAAAACTTTGCTCATTTTTTGAATACTTTTTCGTACGCGGCCACGCATAGCGGACACTATTGATGAGCCTCTCTCACGAGACCGCCCCTCGGCCCTAGGCCTGTCTCCATGGGATGCTCCATTGCCTTCAAATGTATGAACTACATCCGCATGAGCTTCTGCGCCCATCGGCTCTAGTAGATATCTGCTGCTCTCCTTCCGATCACTGGCAAATTCGGCTTCTGTGCCCCCTTCCATTGATGTCGAGCCCTTTGAAAAGAACGGGTCGTTTCCAGAACTGAAGAACGAACTCGATCTATGGGAATAAGGATTTGCCATCGCTATCGTGTCATACATGGTGAGCATCTCCTCGTCTATGATGTGGCTGCTCCGGTGCAAGTACCATCTAGCTTGTTCCGAACTGGAATCTGGCAACACTCCATGGTTACGCTTCGCCATGTCCTGGCTTGCTGCCATCCTAGCCATCGAATCCCTGCACCAAATTGCCGGCAGGCTTGCATGGTAGGGTGATTTGAAGAATATTGTATTGTTGTTCTCTTTTTGCAATCGTCGCACGCGCTCAAGATGTATCTCGCGCATGTTGTCTTGCAAATGGAGCGGTAGTGTGGCGATGGCTACCTCGTCCAAGTCGTAAAGGACCTCTTCTTCGCTCTCTGTAAAGTAACCGTCGTTTTGGCCCATGCATCGTTCCTTTTCCCATGGGTCTACTTTGTAGTGGAAAGAGAGGGGATCGGGGATAAGTGAGTTTAGATCGAGGGAACTTGGCATCCTGATTTGCGTTGTGGCAGTGCTTCAATTGTAGGTTCAAAGACCAAGAAACCACTAATCCTTTGAGAAGGATATCGCCTAGATTAATCTAGCCCTCCAGGGACCGGGATGCTGGCTATGGGTCTCTTGTGTTTGTTGTGGGTTGCGCAGCGCAACGTGTTTGCTCGAGGCTAATAACCTGATAAAGATGTGCGACATCAGCCTTTCTGTATCTATATTTGCTTTTTTTTCTCCCCTTTAATGTTGATTGCTTGTATTCCTTACTATAATCAACCTGGTCAGTATCTCAGGAAAATTTCCACCATGCACGGTTGTTAATCATCAGGCATCACCAGCTCACCAGCAGAGTGATAGACTAGGTGCGCCGAGAGTTTGGTGAGGAGAATAGGTCATTTACAGGAAATTTAATCTTTTTAGTAAATTCTACATATTCATACCTATCATATTATATCGGTAGTGCAGCGCCAATTCACTGCTCTGTTCCATACTTAGAAGCAATGTGCCAGCGCTTACATTCTGTCAGTATGCGCCAGTCAGTTCTATGAAAGATCTAGCACTCTAATATCTACCAATAAAAAATCTAGTGGAATACGGTGCATATTGAATAGTTCTAGATTATATATATTCCCAATGCCTTCTATACATTCTCAGGCCTAATTCACAAATGTGGCATTTAGTTCCAATAATGCTCCTCTCAAAATTCTCGACTTTCCCCAATCTCACAAATGTCAAAAACTCCGTCCTCAGGAATCTCATGCTTCTTCAGCGCATTTCTCAACTTTTTAGGCGGCTCAAGTACGTCTTCCTCTGTTAAAACCCAGGTGCCCCAGTGCATAGCCAGAGCCTTTCTGCATTGGGTATCCTGAAATATCTGGACTGCATCGTGAGGGTCAGCATGCACAGGGCTCCAAACAAAGCGAGGTCCATAGGCTCCAATTGGTATCAATCCCAGATCAAACGGTCCGCGGAACTCGCCTGTCTGTTTGAAGGCAGGGCAAACCGGGAAGTTGTATTGCGGTACATGGTCATCTGTACTCTCAGGTAGCTCAGGCACACTTCTATAGCCAGTATCTCTAGAGATCGCATCATAAAATTAGCGACGAAAATTATACTCGCAAGTAGCCGCCATATGTCTACATACCCGGCAAAGTAGACCTTGCGCCCTCCTGATTCAATATACCACGAAGCCCACAACGTTTTTGCTCGGTCGAATACGCCCCTATTGCTGGTATGCTGGCACGGTAAGCAGCCAACTCGCGCTCTAATATCAGCTGGGCTTGACGCAACATCCCTAGCAGATTCTTGGACCTTTGTCTCTGTGGGTTGCGACGGCGAGAGAACAATGTCGCGCTCCTCCCACCAGTCTAATTCGGTCACATTGGCGATCCCAGAGCTTTCGAACCACTTCTGATTGCCCAGAGGGACGAAGAAATGGCAATTTGGGTGACGCTTGGAGATTTCTTTTACAGTCGGGTAAGACAAATGATCATAATGGTTATGGGAGATGACCACAGCATCGATAACGGGGATATCCTTGATTTGGCAGGGCATTTCCGTGTAACGCTTGGGACCCAGCCAAGAAAATGGCGAGCAACGGTCCTCAAAAACGGGGTCAAACAATACTCTCAGACCACTGGGGTACTCGACATAATAGCAGGCATGACCCAACCAAGTTGCCCGTAATTTCGGGGTTTCCCTGCTAGGCAAAAATTCTGGTTTCCGAACAGGCACGGTTGGGGGCGTGGTGTCAGGTCGGTTTGCTTGACCATTTATTTGACGGCTTTGGCCCGAAGAAAAAAAGAAGCATGCGTTAGACTGAACATAGACCCCTAGGGCCGGGTCTGGTAGCACCTACAGGAAAAAACGCAGAACAGCGGGCGACTTGTATGAACTACATGATCGATCAGCATGGGGAGTTTTACAGGGAGAATGCTGTAATGCTTACTCCCACGGATTCGTGAAGCCTCCTGGGACATGGTGCTTCTTCTCCTTTGCCTCTTCAGGACCATCGGAAATTGGAGGTACCGAGAGTGTGAGGGCGTAAAGAACCGCTACAGTAGTGGAACTCATATTGCGTCTCTCGGGTGGACTTCGGGATGTAGGGTGTTGACGAAATCTAAAAATTCGTCGGAAGAAGTGTCGCATACTTGTTGCGCAGGGACTTAGACGTCTCTTTTCAATATAAATGTATGACACCGAATCCGGTGGCGATCAGCAACAAATGTAATAAGAAATCTGGAAGGTGTTAGGGATCGAATAAATTCGCAAAGCCACGCTAACAGAGATGAAACTACGTACCTACTGATCGTCAGCTCGGTGCCTAACCTATTGTGGCCAATTGTTTCAAGTCTTACTGGCTCTTCGAACATAACTAAACCTCAAACCCTGGGCGCTAACAGCGATGTTTCCATTAAGTCCGATATCTCCGCTGTGAAGTATACTTTGACGCCGAGACTTTGCCTAATGGAGGTACTGCAGAACCGGTCCGTCGTAACTCCGGGGCTCCGATATCACTCGGAACATTGAACCACTTGTTCGCCCTAAGAAAGTGTTCGACTGACTGCCAGATATAGTAATTAATTGTCCCTCGGTTGGCATGGACCCGAATGGACCATCGAGCACCCCGGGGCTGCCTTCGCCTGTCGATTTAATCTCCCAGCAGAAAAAAGATGCTATCCAGGCGGCCGCGCAGCCCACAGGAGATGGCGGGCTTTTCGCCCAGCTAACCAGCAATCCTCTCTTCACCGCGGTAAGGTGTTTTTGGACCACATTTAGATTCACCTTCAGCGTCCGACTGATCTAATGGGTTTTGTAATGAATAGGGTTTCGGTCTCGCCGGTCTAGGAGCTGGATTGAGTTTCGCCCAGAAAGGCGTTCGGCATGGCGCTGCACTCCTGCGACGGCGCATGCTCGTGGATGTCGAAATCAGCGTGAAGGATGATTCGTATCCCTGGTTCCTTCACTGGATGACTCTATATCAACGCTCGCAGCTCGATGCGGCTCAATCGGCAGCCAGCAGGTCTGGCTTTATGGAATCCTTGCTCCAGAGACTGACCCCCGGAATGCGTCACCTCTCGATCCAAACACAGAAAGTCGAACACTCCAATGGAGCGATACACACACATTTTTCATTAGTACCTGGCCCAGGAAGGCACGTGTTGCGGTACAAGAATGCGTTCATCTTCGTAAATCGGATGCGCGAGTCGAAGTCACTGGACCTTCAAACTGGTCGGCCGTGGGAGACTATCACCCTTACTACCCTTTATTCGCATCGTCATATTTTTGAGGAGCTTTTCAGGGAGGCTCACGCATATGCGGCTAAGTCACATGAGGGCAAAACGTCAATCTACAATAGCTGGGGCACTGAATGGAAATTGTTTGGGCAGCCAAGACGGAAGCGTCCTTTGGAGTCTGTTATTCTCGACGAAGGCGTCAAGGAGCGGATTGTGGACGATGTAAAAGACTTCCTTTCGAGTGGAAAATGGTACCATGATCGCGGGATACCGTATCGCCGAGGCTACCTGCTCTACGGTCCACCGGGCACTGGAAAAAGTTCATTTATCCAGGCTTTAGCAGGAGAATTAGACTACGACATTGCCATTCTCAACCTTAGTGAACGGGGACTAACTGACGATCGACTTAATCATCTACTCACCATTGTCCCTAATCGAACACTTGTTCTACTGGAAGATGTAGATGCTGCATTTTCCAACCGGCGGGTTCAAAGTGATACGGATGGGTATCGCGGTGCTAACGTTACGTTCTCCGGCTTACTGAATGCCATGGATGGAGTTGCGAGTGCTGAGGAACGTGTAATATTCCTCACGACGAATCATGTTGAGCGGCTAGATCCAGCTCTGGTTCGGCCTGGCCGAGTGGACATGACGGTTCGTTTGGGCGAGGTAACTCGCTATCAGGTTGCATGCCTCTGGGATCGATTCTATAGTGAACGGGATACAGCTGGGAAGTATCGAAAAATATTCCTGGATCGGCTACATGCGCTTGGACTAATAGAAGACGAAAATGGTCGGGTGCCCGATCAACCGAAGGCCACTAGTGCGGCCGCCCTGCAGGGCTTATTTTTGTACAACAAAGAGAATATGGATGGGGCTATTGCCATGGCCGATGCGCTCACCTATTCAGTTCATGATGAAGCTATGGGGCATGATCGTCCAAGTGGCAACTAACTGTATATTATTTTTTAGACAACTTATGCACCGGACTCGACCCTGCAGTGTATTTCTATGTGATATAAGCATTCATTGATATATATATATATATATACCCCACTTCTGTTTCCCTAAGACGTCAGGGTTATTTATCAGAAAGCCATTCATCGCTACTCGCGCCTCTTATTAAGGATGCTTGTCATTTGCTTACTACATATATTCTTTGCGCAATCTTATAGCCCCTCTCTTTTCGAAAAGGAAGCAGCGGAACCTCAGTTCGATTAATGTACAGCATAGTTCTGCTTTATGAACATGAGACCTCAATAATTATATTCTCAGATTTACGACCCTCTATGGAGAAATCTCTAGCATATCAGAAAAATCATGACTCCGAGCCTGATTGTTTGTCATCAAGATAGAACAAGTGGTTACAGGTCGGCCGACATCTTCGAAAAGGTCCATATATTACATCATTTAGGAATCTATGAAAAAATCAGAAAAAAAAAACGGTTCACTTGAGCTAGTATAACGGGACGGGTCGTGTGACCTGTGTACACAGAAAAAGCTCCATAAGGATTTCTAGCCTAAGTAAACATTTAGCGTGTGCGCTATTTATATGTTTGAGTCATCGCAGGTTTTTTTGGCCTGACAGTTGTGACATTTAAATATCTCCTCATATACGTCTATCCTCAAGGAAATTGATATACCTAGTGTGTATAGTAGTCAAAATTGTACCATGCCGATCAATTGGTTTCGTACTCTCTCTCGGGGTCCATTCTTCGAATCTCTCCGTCAATCTCAGAAGAACCATCTAGTTAGCGCTGGATTACTACGTTCATCATCATTCAATTTTATCAATCCACGACACCATGTTGTTACTACATACTGTGTGACACAAAAGCTCCTAGAGTCGGACATCGCAGGACTAAGTGACGAGGAAGTATTGGCGTTTTTTACCACCGGGTTCTTCGGAGGGTATGTCTTTGCTTGCGAGAGGTCTATCCTCAAAGCTGGAGGATGGAGATATCTCCCTGCTCAGTTCTCAAGTGAGCACGCATTTCCCCTAGCTCTGCTTTATCATAAGCAGATTCTAATATAAATGGAGACTAAACATGTCTTAGATTTTGAAGATGACCCGGCGGCAAGAACCATCTGGGACAACGCTGAGATCCCCAACACCAAGCTGTTACCCCTCGGTAGCTGCTTATATGGCTCCTTCAAGTTGATAGACAAGCATGTGTCAGCATCTCCAGGCTCGGAGCCTAGCTATGTGGATTATGGCTTTGGTTCTGACCGGTTTGCATTCGGAGGATGTCACCGGGTCCAAATCACACGGTCACCTCAGCTAGAGGTTCAGTTGCAGCAGTTTATATGTAATCCGACAAAAGATACTCAGCCTAGGATGGGAGAATATCTCGACAAATTTCACATCGTTTATGTGAAACTATTATTTGCTGATGGGATTCGGTCTGTCCTGGTACGAGGTTAGTATTACCCCACTATCATATCAGCCAATGGCCTACATGACCATGTTGCGATAATTGGAGCTAAAGTTCGAAGTAGAGTAGAATAAATCATTAGATAATAATCTGGGCACATATACTTCCCCTTAGAATGGTAAGGTTTACTTCCATCACGTCCATGCTGAAAATCTTAACCGCCTTTGCCAACCCTGAAGGCCACACAGCCACCATGTCACAATTAACAAGAAACGGCCAGTTGCTATTTGTTTCTCGCAGGCGATAAACTTCCATGGGGAAGAGCCAGTCATAGAACGTATTGACTACCGAAGCCAACCAGCTTTTGGCGGCTCTCGCCGTACCCCCGATGCTCCTGCTTCTTCATGCACAAGACATCAACTACACGAATAATACTGGCTGGTTATGTTTCTTCAGCACTAGGACCGCCACAAATCATACCTCATGGGCTAATCCTCGAAGCGCCGCGACTGATGTCAGACTTGTTTTGCGCCCAAACTCCAACCTATCAGCGGACCCAAGAATTCGAGGTTAAGCGCCGGCCACGACAATTCGGCACTCATGCAGGACAATGCCCCTTCTTCACATTAGTGCGAACCTCTCAACGTTCAGATCCTTGACGCTGAACTTAACTAGTCTTCTGAGGGATCCTGCAGTCAGGGCTCTACTCCACAAGGCGAGAGGTATATGTCGCTCTGGATCCCACTGATGAAAATGGCATTTTGTGTCTTCACAGTTCAACAATATACCTTATCTTTGTTATCTGCTCTAATTTTCCCAGGATACATTGAGATTGGAGTGCTGGGGCTCATTGGTCTTGTGTTTCTGACTTTGCCCTGAGGACGCTTGCATCGAAGTGTCAGATTCGCAGATTGCTTGTTGTCATCTGCCTATCTTTTTATCTCCACTTTTCTTTACTATCCTAAACCTATAACATATTTATGATCATTCACACAATGAGCCAATTTCAACTCTTTCCTTCGCCTTCTAAAGTCAAGGCATCCAAGAACCCTTTCCGTCCAGAATATAAAAGAGCTGTGGGAACACAGCCTGCGGGTTCAGTCCCTCTGGAAGATCTCAACGGCAAAGACACCAAAACGGAAGCACTGCTTTTGCATATTATCAATGACACAACGAGCATTAAACCGCCTAAGAAGACTAAAACCCCCAGACCAACACCCGTGCCCATTCCAGAGACTATACGGGAACTGAGATCATCAGAGCCGTTTTCTAAGGGGAGCCTAAAGGATGACAAGGAAGAGCCATGGAGTTTACCGGTCCGTAAAGTCGGCCAGACACATCTACCTGAGAGCAGTAGCATCCATACAGCTGTTCGCGCGGTTCAGAAAACCCCCGACAAGTCTATCCCACCTGTGGTTCCTATGAGATCGATATTCCCTCCGTATAATGCAAACGCGCCGCTCAGTGAGCAACAGTACTACTCCCAACTTTCGGCTAATACCCGAACACATAGGCCTAGAGAACTTTCCTTCACACCACCACCTGAAATTGACCAAGTTCTTGGGCCCAAGACCGTCCCAGCCAGTGTGATGAACTTTCCATCAGGTGTCCTCGACCCAGTTGAGATGCAGTATTCGTCCATCACAGAGCTCAAGGGCCTATGGGAGGCAGCTAATGGCCAGCGCCCACAAGATCTATCGGGAAACTTTAACTTGCGTGTGGCACGGTAAGCCTACTTGATGCCATCCTCTTATCGAAACTTTGTGCTAATGACCCAATCAGGACAGATGCTGAAACATACACGTTTGGCGACCCCCAGGCGCCATTCTATAGAATGCAAACATATTTGACCAACGAATTGTCCGTTACTCGAATCAACCCAACGAAGGTAAACAGTAGTATCCCTATTATGATGGTGAAGCTTGAAGATCGGCGCCGTCGTGAGCCCCAGAATGACGGACTCGTCTCCATCCTCTTCTCCCGACTAGCTGCAATGCTGGCTATCGATGAAGCGGAAGGACTGGCTCGAAAGCACCGCATGGATCCCTCAGAAGCTGCAGAAGTGGAAGGCAAAGCCCTAAAGCGAGCCGCAGCCCAAGAATCCTGCAGGCTTTCGTGGAACAGCACCAAGCAGCTGTATGAGCTACATCATCCATCCCTTTCCAAGCTTCCTCCTCCAGCCCTTGTTGGTGCGATGGGAATCCCACTGTCTCCAGTAAGATCGAAATATTCCGGCCTTCTGCACGTCTCTGTCTCGACGCCCTCAAAGGGGTCAAATTCAAACCGACCTCCGACTATATTTATAACAACTCCTGTATCGGCTAATGCCGTTGAAAGCGCCAACATGGTAGCCACGCCTCGAACGTCCACTCTTCCTTTGACTGACTGTGATGAGCCTTTAGCATCTTTGGATTTGGGTACACTGACTCTCTCCATCTCGGCGGCGGCTATCATTGCCACAGTTCCTTCGTTATATGCAATTGACTCCCTTGTCACTGCGATGCTAGCTGTTGCAGTCTCGGACGAATCCACCAAGACCACCTTAGCGGAAATGGAGCTCTACGATCCATACAAGGAAGCGTTGTCCAGCCAGCTATCTACCGGCGCCAACGTCCGAGCTGACACGGTGGCTGGCCTTGCCTCGCGTGAAGACGCCCAGGAAGGTACTACACTTATATCGAAGATCAGGCTCGCAAAATCCCACTCCGAAACCGACTCTACTCAGAGACGATGGTTCCACTTCTGGTGCCGGCAGAAGTCAGCGAAGCCCAAAAACAAGAAGATCGTCATCGAAGAGTTCGACCTAGAAAGGTATGGGCGGTACGGATATGGTTCCTCGCGGGAAGGACAGAAGCTCCCGAGCGTTACGCGGGGATGCTTACGAATCCTCTTCTGGGGGTTGGATATGTTTGTGCGCGTGCTTTCCATGATGGTAAAGATAATCGCTTGGTTGCTGGTCAGCGTCACTCGATGTGCCACTAGTCCGAAAGCTTAATGTCACGGCCCTGACTGAAAGCCCTGGTGGCATTTAGATGGGATGGGTAATGAGAATATGTTTATGATTGATTGGCTTTTTTGCTATGTTTGTTGACACTATTATACTTCTTGTGTAATTCTTTGCAGCATATCTTTACCGGTTAGAATGGATCAAGATACCTCCCAACCATTCGGAAAAGGGTACCAGAATTTGGAAACAAGCAATCAAGGTGTACATATTTCGGCGCTGTAGGCCACATTACATTCCTGTCACAGATCGATCAACTGTGACGGATACTCCTCTCGATGTATTCAGCCTTTAATCTTAATACCCAAGGGTCCTGAATCGTTAAGCTTTCATGGAGAATGCGGGTGCCAGTACTACATATATGGACAATATTGATATCACCACAGAAGGCAAGTCCGCTGGGAAATACTATACCTTAGAGCAATAAAAGGATACAACTGCTGTCTTTCAACATGGGTATGCATTCAATAACAATTCTAGCCACCAACCAACTAGTTCCATAACCGAACCAGTATCATTCAACCACTGGATAAATATCTCAACAGTAACCCCCGATGGACTCCAACATTCCAATACATCATCGGTATGCTCTTTACCTCCACCGTTTCAAGTTTAGAAGCATGTAACCCTAACTGGTCCCATCCTCAGACACAATAGCATTATACACAGGGCAGACACGCGTACCAAACTGGGCATCAGCACCGTAGTAGACTTTCGTCATTCACAAGGGATGGGATACCAGCCATCCATCCTCACTTAACCCACTGCCTTAGATGTCGTTACTAGGCAGTACTCCCTTTGAAGAACTGAGCTATATATTCGACACCTCCTCTCCAGTCACCATCCCTTAGCAAATACAAAATCTACAAAACTCTAAGCCCAATCCACAGAAACCACCTCACCTCATACATACTTCCCTCCCACTCTACAACCCTCTGTTAGCTAGCAATCTCCATAAACCAACACCTTAGCAAGACCATACCAATCAATCAAGCCAATAAAAATGCGGCCAACACCCGTCCTCCTCCTAACCCCGCTCCTCGCAACCCTCGCCTTCTCAATAACCCCCCAAAGCCCCAGCCCCAGCCCAAGTACCCCGGAATACAAGGTCCATATCCACCCCTTCCTCCCCATCCCCCAGAGCCCAGTAAACCAAAACTAACACCAAACCTAAACAGAACATCCTCCCAATCTCAACACCCACAAACACAAACCTCTTCCTCCCCCTCCTAGCCAGTAACCCCATGATGCGCGTCAACGGCGGATCCACACCTTTACCAACGGCAACTCCAACCGACTCATCGGAACCCAGAATAATGTACGAGCTTGTCACGGAAACGACTAGCGAATGTGACTGTGAGTCATCGTCGGCATTGGCGCATATCCCGCAGAGTAGTGCTGCTTATGGGGCGAGGTCTTCGGCGTTGTTTCGCGTGGAGGCGTTTCCGAGCGGTGTTACTGCTGTTGCTGCGAGTAGTATGCCTGGGGCTAGTAGAGTTCTTGGAGCAAGTGCGACTGCGTCGCGGTTATTTGGGACGGCTGGGGCGGTGCCAAGTGGGGTTGATGCTGTGAGGAGTGGTGCGCCTGGGGATCAGGAGTATCAGGCGTTTGAGGGGATAGGTGGGAAAACTGGGCCTGGGGTGCAGACCGTGTGGGGGGTTTCGGGGTTGTTGGGGGTTTTGATGGTTTTGCAAGGTCTTTGAGTATTAGAGGAGTAGATATGTATGGGGATAGATGTTGACGTTCATGTTGATGTTGAAGAGATGATTGTACTTATGAGTTCACTGTCTGTGATATATCTAGTGAAGTATACGATTTTTTTTATGAGAAGTTGATTGAATTGATATGAACTGGATTAGGGCTAAATAACGTTCGCAATCGTGCCTCGTTCCATTACTTTCGTCGTACCTTATATGAAGTTCTTTATTTCGAATATTCGAAAACTTGAAAGGCGGATACATAAAGGGGAAAAAAAAAGAAGAAGAAGAAGAAGAAGAAGCATTCTCCAAGTGGGCTCGATCATGCATGGATCGCCTGTTGCACCTTCGGGTATAAGTGGACCAATTGTTGGTAAAGATCTGGGTGGTTCTGGATCATCGCCTGCGGATCCCATGCCATGGCCGCGAAGATCGTCTCGATTCCACTGCCCACCGGCGTCATGAAGATCTGACAGATCTGAAGGCCGATCACGAAAGCGAACGCCATGATCACGGCCGTGAATTCTCCGCCGCTGTTGTAGCTGGGGTGCGTGTATTGAAGGTACAGATATGCCAGCAAGGCGCAGACATACGACACAGCGATTGAGCCCATGGTCAAGACCGGTCCGATGAGACAGTCAGTCACAAGTGCGTCGATGCCCCGATCCTTCATCATGGTCCATGTATCTTTCGCGGACTGGATGTACGGCTTGCCGTACAGGGCAATGTGGCAGAAGGCGTAACGGTTGAAAAAGGTGACTAGCCAATCGAGCGTAGAGATGAAACAGCCAAGTATCCAAAATCCAATGCTACCCGCTAAGCTGCCTTCTGCAGCCTCGTGGCGCTGTGCGACAGAGCACGCTTGCCGGAGCATGTTGATGATGGCAATGATCAAGCTACCGAAACTGATGCTGCCGAACGAGTAGGTAGTGGCACGCTTAAATGCCCCGCGAGTGGCTCCCTTCGGCATGCCGTCTGGCGAGTTGCTCCAGAAGTACCAAGTCCCATAGACTCCAGCGATGGTCGTGTGCACGGTATTCTTCAACCATTCGCTGAACCAATACATGGCAAATGTCACGTAGACGACCAAGCCTATGACTCGGCCTGTGCTGCAACCCCCACCGTCACGACAAGCCGGGTTAGTCCCGCCGCCATTGGGCTCATAAGCCACATAGATCGAGACCAGGGTGACAGAGAACCAAGCGCCGAAAGCCACGGCAACGATACCACCAATTGCGCTAACGAGAAGCATGTGTCCGTATTTCCTGGATACGTCCATAGAGGTTTGCAACATGAATGCCGTGAATGGGATGCGCGGGATCCAACTGATGAAACAAACAATGGCGAAGACACCAAAGATAAGAAACACAATGCCTCCGCCATATTGCTTCTTCACGAGATAGTAGATCGCGGTGGCCAGAGCGAGCACAATATTCAAAATTCCGGTAACCCAAATAAAGAGCTTGGGGAAATGGCGGGCCCCGAGGAAATATGCCCACGAGAAGGCAAGCGCCACGCACAGTACAAACATGAACAACACCAACGTATTGGTATTAAGGGAGAAGGCATTGGACGAGTCGTAGATGCCCCCGCCATTGAATCCTTTGTATTTTGCGTATCGGTGAATTACTACTCCAGATACTGCGACATATCCCAGGAACACCGCGATGAGCTGCGCTATCAATTAGCTTCTATCCGGAATGCTACTCACCTGCGTGGATGTACAAGTGCGCTCGACAGAATAGCGAGAGCCGGGGAAGACATACTAGAAGGCCAGCCCAGATATCGTTAAACTTGGGTTTCTCAATCTTAAAAGCATCATCAAACCCATACACGGCTTGATTATACGTTGGCGGCGGTTCGTGAGGTTGCTTGGGCTCCGGACCCCTTTGATAGCCGGGATCAGCGTACTGGTAGTTGCCGTTGTTATTGTAGATGGGCTGTTGCTGAGGCTGGCCTTCGCCAGAGCCCTGGTTTTGATTGTAGTAACTCGCTGCTTGACCACTCATGACTGCATGCCGGGAGGACGGACGGAAAATATCGAAGAGATCGCCAGTCGTCAGGAAGCGGCGAAATGAAGAAGAGGGACGCAAGGAAGACAAAGCAGAAGCAGAAAAAGAAGGCGATGTCACACTGGCAGGCACGACTCAAGACCCAGCAAGGGGGTGTGTTTGTTGTTGCATCCCTTCCGCATGCGGTATTTGGAAGCCCCATAAAATCTCAATCTTCCAAGAAATCGATGATCCAACCAAATCCCTTCAAGGCTTTTCCTTCGCGTCATCATGATATTCGCGAACTGGCCCGAGCCAATGATCGGCGTGCATTGCCGTGGCTCCAAGAAATCCCTGAGATCCAAGTTCTTCAGCCCTATTCTTTAGTGTCCCATAGTGTCGAATAGTGTACCACAAACACTGCACAGCTATCTATCTACACTGTACTAAAGAAAAAGAAACCCAATTTTCATTTTTTTCCAATTTCTTCATAATTGTTCTGTTCTATGTACATGATAGTAGTAATGGTGGTATCCGAATTCTTAGGGGAAGAAATGCTGCAGAAGCGTTGAAACAATAAGGAAAAAGAAAAGAGGCGCTCATGCAAAATATGTACAGGCACATACATAGAAAGAGATCATCACGAACATTTGTCCGCCCATTTCACGATCAAGAAGCGATCCAATTCAATCCAATGCGCGAAGCAATGTAATCAAAGGTCTGACCACAGATAAACAAAACTCCACATTCCCAAATCCAACCGGAGAACGCCCGGCTGACGGCCGTCGAAATGCGTCAATCAGTGAAATTACAGTTGTAAACATTATAGAATGAGATAAGTCGCAATCACTCTGGAAATCCAGGTTCCGCGAAGGTACAAGGAGGCGACGGGAGTGTGTGGGCAAAAGAACACAGCAGATGACGACGTAGAGTACAAACAATATCCCAACGCAATTTTTTTTCTCGGGTATCAATAAACAGATTTCGTTACAAAGCAGCGGCGATTTGGCAAGATATCGTCGGAGACATCTTACCGGAATGCATCTTTCATATGGCGCCATGAATCGACAATGCTGCGCTCAACGCCAGGAACGGGCGTCCGCGATCTCGTGGTGGGCCATTCATCAGTGGCAGCTTGGAGGTATCCCTTGCTCAAAGCCTTCGAGCGTCGCAGCTTTTCTTGCCGAACTGCAGTCCGCCTAGCTGCTCTTAATTCCTCGATGCGGCCCTGTCCAACACGATGCCGCCGCACAAAACACTCATCCAGTAGGGTGTTGGCGTCCAATAACCTCTTCGGAACCGCCTGGACTACCTGGAAAACTTCCATAGGGTCGGATACGGTGAGGATGTCCCTCTCGCAGGCTTTAAAAATAGCCAGTGACGCTCGGAAGAACGTCTTCGACCCTTCGTAGAAAAAAACATCCCAGACGCGTAGAGTCGTCTCCAAGGGTAGGGTTCCAATGAACAATGACATGAGCCAATTCGTCAAGCCGAGTGTGATATCCGGTAACCGAGAGTCAACTGTGAGCGGAGGCGTCTTGGATTTTCCGGGAGCAAACCCTGTTATTTTGTTGTAAATATGTGGGGTGGAATCTTTCAAGAGAACCATAAGAATCCAAAGGTCGATATTGGCGCCTTCAAGACTGATTTCGTGAGTGCCGGGAAGGTAGACGGAAGTAACAATATGGAGCATCCAGAACGCCTTCTCTTCAGGAAGAAATAAAAGAAGTAGACCTGTGATGAAGTTGAGTGACTGCGTGTAACCGACTTGAGGGTTGTGCAGCGCAAATGCATACAGCACCCGCCGGAGCGACTGAATCATTTGCGTCTCCACAGTGACCGAGCCGTGCTTCAGGTTGCTGCTACCAGAGCTAGCGACTGAGATTCCGATCCCGTCAGTTGATTCGGGCTTGAAATGAATGTTATCAGGGAACGTTCGGTGCAAGTCACGCTCGATGTGCTCCTTGTCATCGTTGCTTGGAGTCTCCATGGCTTGCTTGACGAGCTGGTCATACAGCCCAGGGTTACGATTCAAATGCTCATACCCACCGGCATAGAAGAACCAGGCTGCCCCTCGATATTCGGAAGGAATACCCTTTCGGACAAGACGCTTGATCTTGTTCGATTTTGGTGGGAAGGTCATCGGATCGCCAGTGGGTAATCCATTCTCCTTCAAGAGTTCGGCCCATTTTATCCTCCGGCTTTTAACAACGGAAGTATACGGGCCATTCCAGGCTTCGTACTGTTGTAATGTAACGTGGTGGCTGGACTTCCGAAACCCATAGCGGTCGCGAGTCTCGGTAGGCGTCAGAAACGGAGGCGGGACGGTGCCAGGAACGAAAATTTTCGTATCTAGATGACCGCCGCCAGATTTTTGATCCGATGCGGTCTGGCCAAGGGGCTCGCTAAATTGCTTTTCGTTCAATTGTGTATGGCCCAAGAACTGTTCATCCAGCGTATTCTGGTCGGGCGGGTTAAGAATTGGGAGCGGCGGTACCGGGGGCAGGTCCTTGGTAGTATCTAGCTCGGGTGAGTGCTCATCGGAAGTGTGCCCATCGTCGATCGTCAGCTCTGTTGGTGGGCGGGGGCTGACAGGCCTAAGTTTGCTATCTCCACGTAACTCGGGCGACCCGGGCTCTTCTGTGACGTCACTAAACCCGTCGAGGTACATCGATATTGCATCTTCCACGCTCATTCCTCCTTCCTTCTCATACGGTCCATCTGGTGTATCAGGAGAGAGGTCGGTGATAGAGCTACTCTTTGTCAGAACACTACTTCGTTCCGTTCCACTCGCCTGTTCGACACTAGAGCGCGACGTCATGGCTGAGTTTACACTGGAGCGGAGAGCATCGTCCCCATTAGCCTCTGTCGATCCATTGTGATAGAAACGTGGTAGGCCCAATCCTTGATGTGGGGTTTCGTGGGACTGGCGTTCCAAGGTATATAGAGTCTTAGGAGGTCTATGGAGTTTTGATGTGGATTTGGAGGTTCTCAGTTTTGGCTGAGGAGGAGGGGTCCTGTGGCGATATGACGGACGGTCGAAGTCACTTTCTCTCGAGGGGGCTCTTGGAAAGCGTTCAGCCGTTGTATTTGCGGTAGCAGGCTTGCGATATGTCGGCCTGCGTGCGGTAAAGTCCGGGCCCATTCCAGGTTGGGGGGACGCTGAGCGCAAGAAAGGGTCATCTGGAATTGCAGGGGGTCTTCGAGGGGAGCGAGGGATCGGAAGCGCACGTGGAGCTCCGGCGGTCAACGGTCGAGATGGCGGAGAGGGGGGATTGATTCTCAGAGGGTTCAGACGAGGAGGATTGGGCACTCTACGTCGATTGGGGAGATTATGTTCGCCTGCAGACGGCGGATACCGAAAGTCTCCATTTTCTGTGACCATGGCCACGATTAATAACCCAGTTCCCGCTGGACATTTGTCGATAAAGGAAGTCAAATGAAAAGTAATTAAAAGCGAATTGACCGCTTGAAAGACCGAATGCAAGAGGTCAGAGTAGTTTTCGGCGAGTAGCGAACAATTGAACGGGAAAAAGAAGGGCTGAGCGAGCTGCGGACGGAGCTCGGTGGTCGTAGTTAAGAAACGAGTGATGGGATCTCGAAAGTAGTCAAGCTACCCGACAATCAATCCTAGTAAACCGCAAAAAAGGAACGAGTGGAGGAAAATATATCGGAGAAGTTGCCCCGACAAACCTCACCGGCGTTTTCAGTCCATTAAAAGTCTCACGATCCTACCAGAGGGTTAATTGGAGACTCCATCCCTCATGAGAGATGGTTCAGAATATAGACGAAAAAAATGAGAGCGGAAGAGAACAAGAGTTGATTGAAAAACCCGAGAGAGAGTGAGAAGGCGCGGAAAGCGGAGCGCCTCAAGTGGGCAAGAAAAAAAGGGGATTTTTTGGTACAAGACGAAGCTAACAGCTTGTTTGAGTCTTAGCGCCGTATGAAAGTTGAGACCCTGGTGGTAATTTTTCTTTTTCTTTTTCTCTTTTGTTTTTTTTTTGTTTTACTTGTAGGATAAAAAAACATTGTGATATTTCCATTGCTTGTGGTTTCCGCATGACGATCGCATGATCTCAACGGCCTTGTTTGATTCGATCATTTCCTTGTATCTTTGAGTAGACTAATATCTATATCCCGTCTAACCGCGGCATCAAAACAAGGAAACTACCTTCTTACTAAGTAGTAGACTGAACGGTTGTATATTTGTTTTTTTTTCTCTCTTTCCCCTTCCCCCTCTTCTCTAATGCTCCTTATTTGGAGCGCCTGACCGTCGCGTTACAGGGGAGTACTAAGCCATATCACCAATCATTATAGCCAGTGTCCTATTTCCCCCTCTCGTAGTAGTAGTCAGTTAAAATATGATAGATCATTCCTCTGCATAATAATGACAGGTTCTATGCACGGAGAGTAGTGACAGCCATGTCTGTCCCCGCAGCCACCAGAACCTGACCCCCCAAATGACTAGACTCTGAGGCAGTACTTATGTATCTTACCTTTTGTATGTATGTATGTACATACAATTGTACACACATACATCCATACGTACATATCGTATGTGGGGGTGTTCGTTCCGTTCCGCCTGGAGACTTGCATGCATCTCTTGAGAGAAGTCTACTCCTACCTAGTTAGGTAGTATGGACTGACTTTCAAAACATATTGGGATGGATTTCTAACCTCAGTTCGTTTCAAATTGACGATAGAGAGAGTTTGAGCTTATCCATCACCCTCTACTTCTCATGGAAGGTTCCTAATTCCCAACTCCATTCTCAGATAGTATCCTAATTCGGTGTAATAGCATTATACGGGAGGTGCTCCCGTAGTCCCCGACTCCCTCCATTGATACTAGCGAGGGCTAAAGAATCCCGTCTTAAATCTTATTACTCTAAGGATTCCATGGCCCGCAGCCCATTTCCCAATCCCGAAAAGAATAGTACAGCAATGCCTTTTTCTCAAGTGGAGAAGTGCTGGATTCCGTTGAGAGTTGGCCTTAGCCAGTCTCAGATTATTAGCATCGTCCTAAGAGACTTGGTTCTAATCTCACGCTCCACCCTCAGAAGGCACCAAGAACACGCCGGCGTCTTCCTAGTCATTCCGAATTGTCCAGAAATTGGTGCTTCTTGGTGATCCTTTCCGGTCCTCGACTCGAGGACGCGAATCTCGCGGCTCTGGATTTGTGTTGGTTGGTTTATTGTTTTCTTTTCTTTTCTTAATTTGCACTTCCCCTGTGAGAGATCATTTCGCCGTTTAAAAACCCTTGCGTCGTGCCGAGCGGATGACCATCGGTGGTCACTATAATTGGATAAAGGGGTGAGTTGATTGACTCCTCTCCTCGCCTCGTTCAATTGACTTCCAGGAAGCGACTACTTAATTGACTTTCACTTTTATTTTTTATTTTTATTTTTCTCTCTCTTCGTCTTGGCGCTTCATTAGATTGCCTTTCCGCGGTCTCGACTGGAAAACTCGGAATTTGCGTAATGCGCAAAAAGCCCAAAAGGGTAGAGATAGTCGAAAGTAAGATACGGAGATAAGAAAGTCCACATAAATGGGACTCTTTGCGTTTGCCGGGCGCGTAGTAGTATACTAGACGACATTCTAACTTCTCGTACCTGGATTGCAACAGTTCGGTGGGCCGAAGTTGCATTGGGCGATTCGCTGATACCCCAACAAACCAACGACGCTTTTCAATATAACTAAGAGTGTCATGAGGGCGCTGAGATACTTCCTGGCCTTGCATCCAAGGCACATTAATAGCTTTTCTTAGTTCGAATAGTGCGGATCTTTCTCAAGTTGACTTGACGCTCATGTTCTTCTGGGGAACGAATCGAGCGTTTCCTTCTCTGTATTTGGCGGGTGCACTACTTCAATCTCTCTGCATCGTTAGCAAGGGTACACAGGACAATAGTGTACGCACACGCCATACGCGCCTCTGAAGGAGGAGGGAGAACGACCCCATTTGATATATATGTGACAAACTGATGTTCTTCCAATGCATTGTGTCGGCGCTTTGTACGACCCCGTGTTTTAGACGTGCATCGTGGATTCGCTGTCGTCTTGAGACCATCGCTCCACAATGATGGATCTTAACGTCGCTCTCAAACACTGAACAACGATAGTTACATGTCGTAGTCCCTGCCCAGTTTTTAACAGCCCCGTTGGGTAACTGGACCCCGTCGTTCGCCCAACACTGAGACACTGCCTCGCTCATGAAGGCTGAGGGTGCCAGGCTGCGTCCTCTGGTGTCTAGAGAAGGAATGCTTCCAGCTTGGTTGTCTATAGTAAACCCACGTCTCTAGGCAATGATCTCAATGTCTCAAGCTGTGCCTCTTAACGGCTCCCAAGGCATGCATTGTTCTATAGCAGTCGGGGCTGAGAAATTCGGCGGTTATATCTGATCCACTCTGGTTCCTGTCATCGCCACTACCCTGCCTGTCTGGATCACCATTCCCGTCAGATTATACGCAATCATCAGATATCTAGAGAGAACACTCCATTCATTCGGCGGTAAGTAACCCATGCAGTAGATCATGTCGATCCGCTGTCGGACTCGGTTGTTTCAAGTATCATCGACGTAATCCCGTCGTGGGTTTGACCATCTCTGAGAGCTGATTATTACATCATGGGTAGATCTGCTGATTTATAGAAGGGAAGTACTAAAAAAACTGTTCGCGTATGCTTATTGGAAGCGAAGCAAGTATGAGTGTATTGTTGTATACTGCAGGGACACACCAGATAAACACACCCCGCACGCTGGACACCTCCCCCGCATGGCTTATGAGTATGTATGTATTATGCAACTGTTGAATTACAAGGGCGTAAATATGAGCCGCATAAATCGTTTTTACAGATTGAAATGTACGTAGAATCTCTACCTGAATGCGCAAAGTAAACTTACGTGATGATCCTTGTTTCCGTTACACAGTTCTATATCTCTAAATCAAATTATTCACATGCGGAGGGCGATCTTGCCCTAGAAATGATTTGCAATGCTAATGAATAGGTTAGACATCAAGAAGACCGAAGTACCTGACATGCTCCAGCATTCCCTCAAGTATGTTAAAAAAAACAACGGTAACGGCGGCAATGTACTCTTGCGTCTCCTTTATCCTCCGATCATACGCGAAGCCAACTGGGTGTCTCGCTGTTCAGAGACCAAGTAGTGACCGGCCCAATGAATACTTCGGCTAAGGAGCGGTGCTACAGAGTCCCCCTTCCTGACAGAGCTTCTAAGTTACCATGCTATGCCGTCGCATACTTCCTTGTCCACTCCCGCGCGATCTCATCGTACCGTGCACGGTCATTCCTATATTGTTCCGCAATCCGCCCCTCAACAGCATCATCCGGCATCGGCTCTACGAGCAGTTGACGCGCGAACTCGAGCACCGCGGCGATTTTGGAGCTGGGCTTCCATTCGTCGGCCCGCAGCATGCCCAGACACATGCTTCCCTTATCATCGTTGGTCACATTAGGGTGGTAGATCTTGGTGCCAAACGAAACCGATGGCGGCTTAAAGGGGTATTCGGTGGGAAGGCTGAGCTTGACCAGAAATCTGCCTTTCTAATTTGGAGAAATATTGGGTCAGTGTTCCGCTGCGCTAATGGCAAAACATGGGAAGAGACTTGTCTCTGGTCTTCGTGACTTGACTTACGTGGTACGGCGATCCTTCTGGTCCGTCCATGTAAACCTTCCATTGATAGATATCCGACTCGTTTACTAGTTCCACGGTGATACCTTCAGGAGGGGATTCCGTGAGCTCAGCAAGCTCCTGTAAATTGATTGTTAGCCCCTCTTATAGGCTAACAGTCACTGGGAGCGCTGTCTAGCAGGATTTGTGGATTTCTTGTATACCTTGGCTATCCTTTTACTGCCCATCGGTTCAGATTCTTTTTTTTTTTTTTTTGAAGGATCTCGAAAGCAAGAGTGGGGGAGGAAAAATTAAACAGATGGTAAAGAGCCCTAGGGAAGACGGGGCTCTATTGGGTCAGACGACGGAAGTTGAGAATATCTTTGGTGAGAAGAATAAAGAATTGCCAACACTGATACACAGTCAAAGAAGTAGTAACACCAAAGTCTGATGCAGGGGCTGAACGGACAAGCGCTAAAGAGAGTGTGTTGTCCAAAGTCGAGTCATCCACCTTGAGCTCAAGTAGTCGGCGGGGCCGCCGAGCGGATCAGGCGGGGCGGAAAGCTGAATGAATGGACGACGTCAGAGCGGCCTTTTGCATGTTTGCTTTATTTAGCACTTGCATCTTTCCTTCCCCCCTTTTTTTGGTGTTACCGCCCTCCACTATTGAATATAACATGGCGATACAAATCTTAATAGGATAGCTTCTCGCGGCTAAATACTTTACTTCTACGCGCTCTTTATTAATTGCCGCAACGATTATCTATATATACCTGATCCAATTGGCTGCCTTATTCCTTCTTTATTTTCTTGTGCTTTGCTCCATGGTTTCGGAGCTCGATGGTCATAGGGTTGCATCGGGCATGAGTATGAGACCTCTGAGTACCCACACAGCCTATGGCAGGTCCTTGTCTACTATGAATCAAGATAGGGCATGTATATGTGTACGTGACAACGTACGGTTCCAGGAAGCAACAATCCAGTAATCATTGCCGAACTCCAAAGGTAGAAAAGTGCAACTACTCTCTTTGTAACATAACCATCAATCCCATGACTCCCAGAAGGACTGTCTTGAGCCATGGGTGCTCACTGAGCAAGATAGTCACATATCCCACCATGGGGATATACCCTCGCACACTACCAACAATGTCTTCTTCACGGTTGAGATAATCCTGGCCTCGCGCATACAACTCAGTATCGTCTGCAATATTGTTATCGCCCTTGGTAAGAAGCATGTTGTTGGGAGTCGATGAGGAACTGCATAGACAAGTAATGGTCTGTTAGCGATGGAGTTGTGATACTCGACGCATCCAGGGAAACAAAGGGGTAAACTTACTCGGTGATCTCCTTGACTTTCTTCGCCTTTCCTTCAATTTCTGGGAATGTTCTCACGACGCGATGCACAATAGGGATGTCCTTGCCCCGGACATTATAGACGACAATTTCGCCTAGCTCAGCGCGCGGGCTTCGATTCCATAAGAACAGTAGATCTCCTCTTTGAAACGCTGGCTCCATACTCCCGGACAAAACAACTACAACGGGGCTGGAGGAAGCGGTGAATACGGAGAGTCCTTTCCACATCATGAACGCAGTGGAGAGCACCAGCGCGAAATTGAGTGCCTGGGCAAGTGACTGCCGGGTGTTTGATAGATTCGACGAGAGAAAGGACAACATTTCTGTGATTTGAACTGGAGGAACAGAATCAATTCAAATATAGTAGAATGGAGGATGAGAAGGCTCTTTGAACTGATATAGCCAGGGTTGAGGGCTTCACTCGGTGGTTGCGGCGGAGGAAGCTTCGGAGGTTCGACGGCGGGGACGTTTGCGATCAGCGGTTGTACGGTGGAATAATACTTCCGATATTAATGTTACTCCCTTAATTGTATCTGCTGCGTCGTACTTCAGCCAACATACAGCTGCTAGTGGGTGGTTCTCAGCCGGGTGACCAAAGGGCGATGTGTCCTTGGATGTTGTCCGAAGCAAAAGGCCATGTGGTTCCTCGCGGTAGCTTTTCCGCGCAAGCCCAGCCAATCAAGTGTGGGGTTTGATTGGACCAAACACAATCTATACCACAAGGCTCCAAATTCACTGTATTATACCAAGTAGTGTTTGAACTACTCATATCTATAATGTTCATAACTATAAATAAGTCTCTATACAGAATGGTATATATTGCGCGATATAGAAAAACAAAGAGGATCAAAACTGAAACAAAACATAAACCACCAAGCGCGTCCTCACACCTCAAACACTAGCCGATGGCTGATGGTCAACTTCCCAAAACTTCTCCTTCTTTCCCTTCTTTGTGATCATACCAACTATATCAAAAGGATCAAACAAGGTGAGTAGGAAATGCCGAGGATCCTCATAGCCTGGCCCCTCCACCTCAGTCACGCCATCCGTTGCGAGATAGATTCTGTTCGATTGTGGAAGCCACCGCATGGGATGAAAGACATTGAGAAGCGTAGTGTTGGAAAACATGATGACTGTCTCGAAAACCCAGAAGAACCATTCATCCTTGATTATGGGGCTTATTTTATCGATATTGCTGGTATTCAGGCTTGCAGCTGTGAAGTACTCGACAGTTCGAAAGATGGTACGGATGGTGATCAGTGTGCAACTGCAATATAGCACATAAAGCGCCCTCTTAACTTTTTTGTTGAGAACACCGCCGCGATGGCAGTTGTAGTAAAATTTGGTAGCCAGAGCAACAAATCCTACCATCAATGCGATTTGTAGAATCAGGGCAGCTTTGAGCAATGCCTTGCCTGTGTTCTGTGTACTCTCGGGGTTGCTTGTGTTAGCAACCAATGATGCTCCATTGGCGGTTATCACCTCGATCACGACACCCATGGCAATAAATGTGCTGAATACACGGCCTGGGTGCATTGGAGAATGATACGGGATATAGTAAAGGATACGGCCCAGAGTGAAGAAGTTAGCCCCCTCATAGACAGGTCTAAAAGTCGGTCAGCTCATCTCGTAAGTCCTCTGTCTGATTAACACATACGGCCCAGCTAAAAGGAAGACAGTGCTCGAGATAAAAACGCCCAGGTTGTCCCAGTGCCCGAAGGCCCCAATAGTGCGCATCACGAATCCTAGAGTGAACAGCAAAGCAGACCAAGGAAGTAGTCCCGTCACTTTCCATGACTTGTATTTGCTTCATAGTGTTAATTTCAGCCTTCAATCTAAGGATCTAGACGGATCGGCATACAAGCATTGATAGCCATGTATAATACCGGACATGGTGAACAGGATCGCAAAAGCGATCGGTGCGCCTTTATTAGGTGCATAGTACCAGAGACTCCCCTCCTCTGAGTCAAATTAGCGATCATTCAGTTGCCTAGGTTAAGTGAGGTGGTATACGTACGGTAAGGCGACCTTTTCTCGATCATTCTTATAGCTAATGAGAGTGTATAAATTCGGATAGTGAGATATAATTCACAAATGATTGACAACGCTTAAAAGCAATAAGAAACAACAAGCATGTTATAAATTATTGAAAATGATCTTGTGAAAACAGGCTTGTATATATACGAACGCATGCCTCGGAGGAACTACCAATGTAGCATATTAGCGAAAACGAGATGGCCGAGATAGGAAAGTGGAAGGAGTCATATTGAGGTTCAGACCAAATACAAGCCTTAATACAGTGCCCAATGACAGTAACAATCATGTTTGTACGTGGTAGCCACTCATTGACTGGTAGTGGGCACCATTCTTTTATTTGGTTCAAGCCATTTCTCCTTGCCGAACCGGATCGATTTCTAGAAACAAGGCAGACATTCTATGCCGTATTTGCTGTCATATGAATTCGGCCTTGAAGCTTCTAATCTCAAGGATCGCCATCGATCACCAATAATTCTACCTGGAGCATGTATATTGGTGTGGACTTGCTGGCCACCATCCAATGTGTGGTTCGGCCTAGCGAATACGAGCAGGGCTGAGCCAACAGCCTAGCCATGATAGCTGCTACCGCGGGGCAAGACCTCGTATAGAGTTTCTCAAGTCACAGGAGAAACCCCCTTGACCCTGACAACAGGGTGCAAGTACTGTACCGAGTGTATGATAAATTTGAATGTTGGTTAGGGCTGTACAGATGGACAGCAGGGGCCTGAGGAAGAGGGCATCAACCCGATATGAGGGCGTTGCCTGGGCAACATTGGACTAGCCCAAATGGGAATGGCTGGCTCAGCGTGACACCCGAAAGTGGAAACCCATCAACTACTTCACGTTGTCATAATCCGACTAAACCAGGGCCAACGTGGAGACGGCGATTTTAATCCACTTCTTGCTGTTGTGCATCCTCTTATGTGAACAACCAACAGAGAAGGACCCGCAGCCATGTATCCAGCGAAACCCTCTCAAGCATCCCTGTTCCAGGTGTACCTCCGCCTTCGTCCACCTATCTCCCAGCAAGATGACCAGCCCGAACGATGCTTAACCGTCGAGTATCCCGAACCTAAGGACGTTGTTGATAATGGCCAAGGAAGCCCTATCCCTACCGCAACTCACATTATCTTGCAACCGCCAAGTGATGCTAGGAAACGCGCAGTTGAGAAATTTGGATTCACCAAGGTTTTCGAAGAGTCGGCTTCTCAGTTAAATGTGTTCGAGGACACAGGACTCGATTCCATTATAAAGGGAGTATTGCTAGAAGGAAGAGATGGACTGGTCGCTACATTAGGTGTGACAGGGAGTGGAAAGGTGGGATTCTCACGCAGAAAGGTATGCAGCGGCGCTGACAATGACGTACAGAGTCACACCATCTTGGGCTCAAAGACCCAAAGAGGCCTTACGCAGATGAGTCTTGATGTGATTTTCAAATCGTTGGCCTCGACAATCAAGCCGCCTGACAACTCAATCAATCCCATTCTCCTGTCCTCGGTTGCGGCATCGGACCAGTCCGAATCGCAGATATTCACGGCGCAAGCGTTTATTGAAGCTGTATATGGAGACCAAAGCGCCGACCGTGGTAGGAATTCTAGAGCACAAACCCCAATGAGCTCTGGAAGAGCTCAAACTCCCCTGACGGTATGGTACCCTCCCCAGAGCCAAGTGCTTAGGTCCCCGTTGCTACGCTCCCAAGCTTTTTCCCAAGTCGTCCCTTCGTGGTGCATGTGCCGCGCAAGGAAAATTCCCCAGCTCCAAACCCTATAAGTCTCCTTAGCCCAAAGCCTATCTTCAAAGCAAGTCCCAGGCCTCTCACTTGCACTTTCATACATTCAACCTACCTTTGTTAGTCTGAATCGCGCTAAATAATCTCAACAATCAAAGGAACCGGCTCCCGCAATTGTTTTCCCCCGTCGCAATCTGCCGCAGCGGCCAAATGTTCCACCTCGTTCGCCTGATATTGACCACCTTACACTGGAATTAAACCCGAATTCCGAGTATATTGTACTGGTATCGATGTATGAAGTCTACAATGATCGTATCTTCGATCTATTGTCACCCACTATAGTCCCAGGTCAAGGGAGTACCATGTCACGAGGAGGAGCTAGTCAGAAGGATCGACGAAGACCCCTTCTTTTCAAATCTACTGAAGGGTCCCCCGACAGAAAGGTCGTCGCGGGTTTGCGCAAGATAGCTTGCACTACTTACGAGGAGGCACTAGCGATCCTAGAAGTTGGGCTGACTGAGCGCAAAGTCACGGGTACTGGCGCAAACAGCGTGAGCTCACGGAGCCATGGATTCTTCTGTCTTGAAGTCAAGAGAAGGATGCGTAACAAGAGAACGGGAGAAGAGACATGGATGGGAAATACACTTACAGTGGCAGACCTTGCTGGTAAGTTTATGAGTCGATGCGTATCCTACGGATGCTAATCGTGTTCTAGGCTCTGAGCGTGCAAGAACCGCCAAAACTGCTGGATCTACTCTTGCCGAGGCGGGCAAAATCAACGAAAGCCTAATGTATCTCGGTCAATGCTTACAGATGCAGAGCGAGATACAAGAGGGGAAGGTGCGATCTACATTGCGCCAACGGATGTATAGCTATGCCATGCTAATTATTATAGACTGCCCTAGTTCCATTCAGGCAATGCAAACTCACAGAGCTGCTCTTCTCGAACTCTTTCCCGTCATCTAACCAGGCACCTGGTCCCAGTCGTCATCCACAAAAGGCGATCATGGTAGTCACGGCGGACCCCCTTGGGGATTACAATGCAACTTCCCAAATCTTGCGCTATTCAGCTCTGGCCCGTGAAGTTACCGTGCCTCGAGCCCCATCTGCGACCGAGTCTGTCTATTCTGCCACTGTTGAACCTCGTATATCTTCCACTAGCGGACGCGACACGCCAAATATGGCTACCAGTGAAGAACTCGAGAGAGCGCTGGCCGAAATCAGTAGATTGACGAAGGAGAATGAAACACTTACTGTGAGACTAGCAGAAGAAGAGATCATGAGAGCAGAATTAGAAATGAGGCTTAGGTCTAGTGAAGAAGCGTGTCTCATGGTTGAGCAGGAAGTACGCGAAGAGTGCTGGGCTGAAATGGATGAGAGAATGGAAGAAGAAAGAAGGAGATGGCAAAATGCTCTAGAAGAGCAGGTAAGCAGCTCCTTTCGGATGACTCTAAATATTTTGCTAATCAGTGTAGGCTGGTCATAATGATGATCATCTTGACAAGAAAATTGAGCTACTGTCCCGTGGCTTTCAAGGTACTGCTCTCGTTCCTCTCGTATATTATTGAAATTTGTCAAACTAACAGTTGTGATTAGTCCACGCAGATCCTGAGCCTTCGAGGGATGAGAAGGTGGAAGAACTGGAGTTTGAAATTGACCAGCTTCGCAGTAAAGTCACATCATTGGAACGTGAACTGGCGTGTCGATCCCCTACAAAGAAATCCAGAACTAAGAACACACTTGAACCATCTCGCAACTCCAACATTCTTGGTCGCGAAAGTGATATTGAAACGGCACTCCAGCGGATGGATCAGTTGAAACTGGCAGACACTATGTTCTCTCCTGTTCCACCGTCAGCCTCCCCGGGCAAGCGGCTGAGAAAGATGACCACCAGGAAATGGGATTTCGCTCCCGAGGAAGATATCTAAACCCCTGGATACCTTCCAGGAAGCTGGGGATTAAAGATTTGACGCACTTACTTCTTTTATCCGTCTTCCTTTACCCGGAATGTTGAAACGCATGCTCACTGTACATTATAAGAAGATGGTCATCGGCGTTGTGGGTTGATAAATGGTGGGGGGGCGAGGATACGGTCTTTTATGTATAAATATTAATTTATTTTGTTTATTATGAAACTAACCCTAAACATATGTGTCCTAGCATAACACCTCTTACCAAAGCAAAGCAGATGCAAATGATGGATATAGTACAGCCATTCAAATTTGCCTTATGGTAAAAAAAGTCATTAAAAGCTTCCCGAGCTTCAGTATCTCAGACATCCATAGCCTCAGAATCGGAGACATGATCGCTTTCCTGCTCAGCCTCAGCAGTGGTGGGTTGCTCAGGTTCTTCAACCCCGTCATCATTGTCCATCTCGCCTTCATGCTCGCTGTCACCTTCCCCTGCTCTTTGCTCCACAGCGGCCTCGTTATATTCTTCGCCTGCGACTTCTCCCTCTCCATCACTCTCAGCTTCATCGCCATCACCACCCTCTTCGCCTTCCTCTACCATAGTTTCTTCTTCTTCTAACATAGTCCCCCCTTCCTCACCAAGATCAGCCTCTTCCTCCCTGTCTCCATCTTCTTCCATTTCGCCCGCCCCTTCATTAGCCCCGTCCCCATCAGCGCTAGCTTGAGCCGACCTTTCCAATTCCGGATCTAAAAATCCTCTGTCCTGCAGATTGGGAAACAATAGGCTGCGTTCCGCCGCGAGCTTGGACAGCTTTTCATCATCTATCTCGCTCAGCTCGCTTTCATCATCGGCGCTGTCGTGCAAGCTATTAGGGATATCACTCTGCTGCCCCGAGGCCAACTCATCAGCCACAGCGGCGGACGTAGCAGTATCATTCGGTTGTTCGGGAGCGGAGGTGGCCGTCCCGGTGGGGTGAGATGGTTCAGTCTCTGTAGTGGCTGGTGCTTTGGCGACAGGAGCACGAGGCGCGACTTTGCGTTGGACAATTGTCTCGGCCCGTTTTTGGATATCCCGTCTTGCAATCCCTTTCGTGCGGCCACGGGGTGCTGGGGCTTCGGATGCAGGCGCGGAAGTTGGGGGTGTAGGGGTGTCTGCGGCTCCATCGCTGCCCATGAGAAGATGGTCTACTTTCATTTTCTCTTTGTTTTCTTCGTTCGCTTGTTCGATGACGTTAGGCATGTTGACCTCGTATAGGCGAGAATAGATGTCGGCGATGAGGTCTTCTAGCAAGGAGACTTTCATGAGGTTGTTGTTTAGCTTTTTAAGCTCGACGGCATCACGGAGAAGCTCTAGGAGCGTTGTGCTCTCTGGGGCTAGTTGGGAGAGGCTCTCTAGACGAGCTGTGTTTGCAACAAATTCGTCCCATCCGATGGGCTTGAATACGCTTTCGTCATGTCCCTCGTTGATCTTGCCCGCTTTGCGTATGACTCGTGCATAGGTTAGACATAGGTCTTCCCATAACTTGGTATGGTTGATGAAATCGCCCTGCTTCTTTCTGACGCGACGTAATAACTGATCAAGGCTTGCACGATCATCCAGTTGCTCAAGTAGGGCCACGAAGAAATACACGTATCGAGTCGTATAAACGAAATGTCTTCCAGGGCGCTCGTTTTCAGGCCGCCACACCTGGATCGTCATAGTCTTTGTGAATATCTGATGTGTAAGTTCACCCTTAGCTCCTGCAGCTGCGACGGCGTCCCTTTCATCATCGTAGGTGATATGTGCAGCCTAATTCAAGTAAGCTTCTGTTCGCTACGAGTAATAGTGTAACTGGTTAGCTTACCCTGACAGCCATGCGGTGGTGCCAGTTTGATTTGTCCGCATGCTTCAAATTCCGAATGACAGCCATTATATATGGCTTCCAAGGCGCCCCTTCCTCTGGAGGCGGCACCTTTCGTGCCCAAGGAGCGGCCACGAGAGTCTTGCTTCCTTCAGCCGGCTGGAAAGAAACGTTAGCTGCTGCTCACATATAACCAAAGCAAAAGTTTGGAGAAGATGTACGTACCGTAACCACTCCCCTATGGACCAGTTTGTGGACGATAGACACAAGCTTATAGTGAGGTTCGAAGATTGGATCCGATCGAGGATCCCTCTTCTGCGGCAAAGCATCAATAGAATCAAGCAGGGAGTCTAGAATATCGTCAAGGTGTACACGCTTTGATGTGCCCCTCACAGAGTCATCGCAGCTGAACATCTTCCAGAGACATTTGCTTAGCATGTAACGAATCCTATGTTACGGTTAATGATCACGCCGCCGAAGTATGATTAGAAAAAGACATACATCCAATTCTTGGGCTTATCAGCAGCCGCACGCCTAAGGAGGTAGCTCGCAAGATTCCAGACTGAATACAGCCTCATCTCCTTGTAGGGAAGCGCTTGATACATCTGCTGGTTATCTTCACTATTGTAGTGTCGAGTGAAATCGGCAAGGCTAAAAGCGGCCATAGACAAGGGTTCCCGAGAGGACGAGTATAAACGAATACCAAAATCAGTGTAGAGGTCAGATAGGAGTGCTCGAGTTTCCGGTGTAGGATCTGCATTTCTGGCTGCTGTTGCAACGGCCATAGAATAGCTATGGATTGCATAGCGTTGCCAAGTCACCAACTCCATGCGGTTATTGTTAATTTTGTCCGCAGACCATGTAATGTCTTCCTCCAGCTTCGAATCATAAGTCTGAGCAAGTCGATACCACGTTTCCCATCTCTGAGTGTTGTGTTCCAAGTCCTGTCTAAACCACGTAATAGCTTCGTCAAGGTCAGTGGTTGGGACAGGGTTCAAACGCTTTTGAGAGCGGAATTTGGTCAGCGCTGCATGTCCTAAAAGGAAGTACCATCCATTCTTCGCAATGATTGCGCTTTCAGTGGACACAGGAAGCAATGGAAGGTCTTCAACTCCACGGACGGCACGGAAAATTTCCGTTGGATTTAATGGAGATTTCAAGTAAGCCGTCAGAATGCGTTTATTGTATGATAAAGGGGGTGATGATTTCGTAGTGCCGATGGCTTGTTGCATCTTCTCGATTGTGGACTTCAACTCAGACTTCGATAGATCCTTGATGTTCATTTTCTTAGCCTGCTTCATGACAAAATCAATCATCACAATAGCAGTAGGGCGATCTAACTTCTCCGATGGACATCCATGGTCTTCCAGATAACCATCGACAGGCGACAATTTAATGCCGTGTATGTCGTACAGTATCTGACAAATATCAAACTCATAGTCCGCTTTCTCATCTAGAGTGAAAAGTTCGGACTTGACAAGCTTAAGGAACTGCTTGTGAGAACGTTTGCACATCTTGCGAATCCCCAAAGCATTGTGCACAGAGCGCAAGTAAAGAATACGATCCTCAAAAGGTGTCTCGAAGAGTCCCGGATTCTGTGCAATAGCTTCTCTTAGAAGGGTGTAATGGAGGATCCAACAACGGACATGCATCTCTCGTAGTTTATCCCTGAAGCTTTCCAGCGACTTTCCCAAAGCTCCACGTACAGATGAGCCAGATAACTGACCCACACGAACAGAATCTTCGTAAAGTACAAAACTGTGAAGTAGTTTTAATAGTAGGGTCACCGCAGATAGCGAGCTTTTGACGTGGTCCATATCAAAGCATTCGTACGCTTTCTCTGGCGCTTGTAGAATCGTTGTGATAGTTTTACTTAATATTCCATCGAGAGATTTTAACCAACGGAGCAATGTAATCTGCCGGTGCTCACTTGGCTCTTCCAGATGTGTAGGGTTCCAAAGCTCTCTCACTATTGTTTCAATACTCCGTAGGTAGCACGACACGACTTTGGGTGAGTAATCGATCTTCTTATACGCGTCCTGTAGCCTTTTCCACAAGAAGAGTCTCAGTGTGGCATCCCCTCTATCTAAGAAAGACCTCATTTCGTGGAGCTGTGATGTTGGCTGGGAATGTCCCTGCTCCTCCGAAGTGCTTCCCTCAACAAACTGAACCGAAGAAGGCTCTAGAATGGGTTCGATTGTTTCGATGAGTCCCACGGGGTCTTCCGATTCAGTATTGAAGATTCTCATAAAGAAATCCATAGACTCCAGCTTTGAGATCTCTTGGTCAACGGCTTCAATTGATATTTCCGGCATGATTGCATTGTTCACAAGGCTTATCACTGGGTCCTTCAAGTCGCTAAGGAGCTGTTTCAATTCCTGCAGACAGAGCAAAACGTGTTCCCGCTCGGCGTCCGTTGTCATATTCGAATGAAATGTCGATGCCCATATATGGCGAAGAACAAGGTTATCCTGATGACTTCCAGGTCGAATGTAATTCATGAAGTGAGTCAGTGAAGTGCGCGCTAGTAAGCTCCATCTTGCTAAACGATCTCTTTGCTGTATTCTTATCGTTCCATCCACCTCACTGTTTGGGTTGTTAATAGAAGCGTATATGTCAAGATGGAGCTCAAACAATGCCTGCATCATCTCGAGGTTTGCGAAGTGGTTGGTAGTGTATTCAAACGGTGCCTCAGCGCTAGTGGAAAGAATTTGGCGTTCGAGTGTTTCGACGTGTTCGCACATTGCTCTGTGGATATTCTCATCTTCACGTATCAGGATTTGCACCACAGTCTCTTTCAGTGTATCTGGCCACTGAAACAAAGTATATGTAGATCTCATAATGGGGAAGTTTGAGGTAGTGGACACGCTATCATCTCCAGAATCACGCCCATATTCTGGCATAAGCAGACACTTAAGCCACTCGAGAGCGGCTTCATGGACGGGGAACCATCCTTCATTGATGGTGTTTTGAAGCGTGAGTAGTTCCTCGACCCCGGAGAGAACTTGTCTCATCCCTAATTTGTGGGCAGACTTTCTAGAGTGCTCCAAAAAAATAGCCAGTCCAGACTTGCCCATTCCTTGGATGTCCTGAAGTGCAGAGACATTATCACACTGAAGTGTTGCCTGAGACTTCCCTTCGTCCCAGCTCTTCATGATGTCCCTCAAATCTCGAGGCAGTACGTACCCAGCCTCCTTGTTGACTTCGCTATCCGGAAGTTCTTTTTCATCGATGGTGGGGGAAATCTGTTTCCTCAGCTCCTCGATTGATCCAAGCTCTTCAATCCCAAACTTAGATAACAGAGACCCAACTGTGCCAAACATCCATTCATCGGCTCTGGTGTAAAACTCTAGGCGGTCCTCGTAGTATTTATTATGGTCAAATGAGACCTCATCAGCTTGTGATGAAGCCTCTACATGTGATTCTCGGAGACGGGTCCTTCTGCTCTTGGATCGAATGCTTTCTGTCTGGTCCTCCGTAATGGCCGATGCAGAAGAACGTTTTCGTGCCCCGTTCGCTGAGGATTTGGGGTCAGGTTCGTCGGCATTTGCGGTTTCCAGCTGATTGGCTAACTCAGGAGAACGTGATGTCTGAATCTCCAACGATTCCATAAGTTGCTTTTCAGCCCGTTGATCAATGGATGAATGGTCATCCGCGTGCTCGGCAGTAAAGTCAAGCGCTTCATGCTTTATGGGTTGCTGAACTTCAATATTGTCTTGATTTTCTCTAGACATGCGAACTCTTGGCTTCTGATCATCCTGACCTTCATCATCCTGAGACTTTGACGATGGGTCTTGAAATTGAGTTTCCCTGGCGACTGTAGCTTTCAATTCAGGACTAAGAGCTGGTATTGAAACACTGATTGCAGTACCAGGACCAACATCGATAATGCCTTGCCCCTCATCTGCCACCGTTTGAAGAATAGCCCTGCCAAAGTCGGCCCATGTTGGTGAAAGAGGCTTTAAATCATGTCGTGCAATGCGTAAGGCGAGCGGGTTCCTCGACGGAAGCACATCCTGCAGGCTCTTGGGCAATGCAGGTAGATACGGATAAGGGTCACTCTGGCGTTTGAGAAATTTAAGAAGAGCTTTCTTGGGTTTTTTAATCGGAACCTGAGAAACCGATATTCTGTCATGCAGTGACAGCAGCGTTTCGCGAAGATGGTCCTCCGCAAAAGTTTCCTCTAAGCCTAGCTGCTCTGTTCGAACCTCTAAACGATTCTCATCGTCCGCCAGAACGCTTTCCAAACAGTAGCGGGCTAGCCGATAGCTCTGCAGAGTATTGCAGAGCCTTGCGCTCTGTCTCCAGAGGTTGAGATCCGTGTCGTCGCGCTCCAAGGCTTCCGCAAAAGACGTTAGTGCAGCGTTCACACGCTCGGCAATATTAGTAGCGAGATCTTGGGATTCATCTGGTGCCTGAACAGCGTTCGTTATGACAGCACGCAACGAGTCTAGAACGAACTGTCCATGGTTCTTAAACGAAAGATAGATGGTTTGCAGCAGAGTGCTAGAAGTGGAATCATTGACATCATAGTCTCCCAGCGGTTCAGCGCTGTCTGCGTTAGCGACATAGTCGGAAGTCCCTGCAAATTGAAGCTCGGAGTCCTGCAATGCGATCCGTTTGTAGTCGGAGATAGATTCAGGGTATTTGAATATTTCCGAACCAAGAAGGGCATCATATGCCTCCGCAGCTTGCGCATAGAAATGGGGGCCCTGTGAGTGAAGCTTCAAGGCATTCTGGTATAGTTTGAGTGCTTCCTCAATCTGGATTTCCTTGGTGTCGTCAACCTCTTCTTCAACGGCCTCAGCGGGCTCGATGTTCAATGCCACCCAGCTGGACATGATGCAAAGTTATAGGCTTCCAGGCATCGATAATGGGTTAGATTTAACAGGGAGCATCTCCCAAGAAGGGAAGCTAGTCCCTATAGTTGATAAGCCTAAGCCGTGGGGGATGAGAATTAAAGGGTCTAGCCCGTGACTGGAGACACGCCTTTCACGCGTTCACGGGTATTGCATTACTAAAAGGGGAATAGGCGGGTGCCTGAGGACCCCAGCCCGTCCACCCCAGGCACTTGGTTGACGACGACTTGTTTGCTTCTGCGCCATCTGTCCTTTAAACACGATTTATGAGTCGCTTCTAGTCCTTGGAGCCTTCTGTTACTCTGCCTTGATTTAAGTTCGGCCTGCGCTTCTCCATGCGCCATGGTTGCGCCCGCTGTCCCAGAGTATGCATTTCCCCTCGCTTTACGTGTTCCTGAGACATGTTATCAATTGCACTCAGGCCACCATTAGCCTCGGACTAACCCTTAAATTACAACCAGGCTCTACGAAGAGGATGACCTCTTTGCCGCTGTCGATGCACGAACTGAATCTTTACAAAATCTGCGGGAATTAGGTCCCCCGGACTTGGTATATTTGGTCAAACAACCGAAGACCAACTCAACTCGTCAGGTGTGTTCTTGGGAGCCGTCGGTCGTTCAACGGGGTTTTAAACTAATTGGCAATAACTACAGACTGGAGTCTATCATCATGTCACCGGAATCGATGCTTCATCATCCGCTAGCTTGGCCGCCTATGTAAATACGCTAACCTTCTCCCCTCTCGATAAGACACACAAAGTGGTTTCAGGGATCTACTGGTCAGGCCATTCGCCAACGAATTCCCTTGCAGTTTGAGGTGTTAACGGATCTGCAGTTGCTACAATGCCTTCTCCCACCTTGACATGCGCGTTGAAGTGAAAATCCCCGGCAGTCTCGAGAGCTACTGCATCGACGAGCGCGGAGATAAGCGTGTTGCAACGGACGCCCTATGGCTCGAGACGTTTTTGTGCGGAGTTCTGCGAGCCTATACCTATGCAGATGACGGTAGCGGAGACGCAATCCGAAAGATCATCGGCGTGCGTCGGTTCAACCCGGTGACAAACACAGAGATGGAACACAAATTCCTAGATGCTGCAGAACGGCTCTTCTTCTTGGGTATGATGCACCATATCTTGAATGTACCCTTATATTAACAGTTCAATAATAGGCAGGCAGCTCAGCTCCGACCCTGAGACGCAAGTTCCAAACACTGTCAGCAATCATCTGACCTCGGGCCTTTTGAAGTACATTCGGACAACAGGCCGCTACACATCTGGAATAAATCTTCTAGAGAAGCTACGCATACGGGATGTCGAGATCTCTTCGCTCCTTGCCCGAGTTCTCATAATGGCAGACGAGGAGGTACAAGCGGTACGGCTGATGTACGACTCTTTGCAGGACGTTCCCATGGACTATGCATTGCTCGACTGCCAGGCAGCCTTCTGTCAGAGTAAGGGGGAGGGAGAAATGGCTCTGGAATGCGCCAAGCGAGCTGTGACCGCTGCGCCGAGCGAATTCAGCACTTGGGCGCGACTAGCCGAAGTATATGTGGGCTTGGAACAATGGGACCTGGCGCTTTTGACGCTGAATTCATGTCCGATGTTTACGTACCAAGATAAGGACACCCCTCGTATGCCGCCCGCGTCACGCATCATGCTCCCTATTCTTGCAGAGAGCCAGCTGGATGAGATTGATGAGGGTCAGCCAAAGCAGGGAGACCCACACGACTATGTCCACCCGTCGCTGCGCAGACTGCACGCTGCCGCATACCAAGGGACGTTCCTCAAGGCGTATAATCTCTTAACCAAGATTGCTTCCGCGATTGGCTGGGATCAGCTACTGAAGATTCGCAGTGAAGTGTTTGTCATGGAAGAGGAGTACCGGGTCGAAAGGCAACATTCAACATCGAAGCCTGCACGTCGCAGCACTTCTATAGCGACTAACGGGGATGGGGAACATGAAAACGGCACCAATGATGAGGGAGACAGCGCAAACCCAGAGGACACCCCTAACGGAAACCAGGAGGAGCAAGCTGGTAACTCTATCGAAAAGCCGGAGCAAACGATGGCCTCCGAGGTTGTAAAGTCCGGTAATGAAGAAGTAAGTGAAGGATTATGCTATACTAGGAGATCTGAGTCTCATGCTAATTGTTGCAGCCCGACCCGTCGCATTCATCATACGCAGAGTTCCGCAACAAGCGTCTCTGCGAAAGGTGGCTTGACAACCTCTTCATGGTTCTCTATGAGGATCTTCGCATTTACACCATCTGGCGCACAGAGATGGCTCAGTACCGCCAACAGGCCATTGAGTATAAGAAGTCTGCGACGGAGTGGGAGATCCTGGGTGAGTTGGCAGAGCGACTACATCACTTTGATGAGGGAATCGAAGCCTATCAACACTGCCTGGCCATTCGGTTCTCTCCTAAGGCTATGCGAGGTATTCTGAAGCTGTACGAGAGTAAAAATGATACTAGAGGAATGCTAGGTGCATTGATTAGACTCATTGCCTGGCAGTACCGCTGGTACTCCGAGGTATGTGTGCTTGGGTTCGATGATTACGCCGTAGATCATCAGCTAACTGTTCACAGTTCTCCCCTGATTTGCTCTATCTGATCCGCAAACTCATAGAGGAGGAAGGTGCCGTTAAGGTGCGCAGCATTGTCCAGGCGACCAACCTGCCACAGCCCGTGCTTGACCTCACCCATCAGTATTGTCAACTTTGTGCCACCTTCCGTAGCAGCGGCAGTGATGGCTAAGTGTAACCGTAAATGTCTGTGGCTGGGGAATTCCCACTGGCGGTGAAGACTTTAGCAACGGAATTATATTTACGTATCCATACAAAAGGCATCCGTTGGTGGACGGTACTTGGTTGCCTCCCTACTTCTCTCCTATGCGGTTCCTTTTTAACCTCCTTTTTCTATGTTTATTTATCATTCTATTCCCTACATCGGACACCCCGGTTTCGCCAACTGATTTCCATAGAAGCAGTTTATGCTGAAAGATTATCCCTTTCCGATACCTCGTGAATATCCTGCTTTAACCTGTAAGGATTATAGACTTTTAGCATTGTACATCAAAGATCATGGATTTCAAGTCTCAAGACTTGGCCGAGTGCTGCCATTGGGCACGTCTTATTGATTGACGCCCGGAAACCAGGCTGTCGATCATAAGGTTGGATTGCACAAAGCACAGCAACATCAATAAACACAGCCCATAAGAGACAGTCCGATTATCTGGTTGGTTCATTGACGACAAATATGATAATCAAATGGTACCTAGATTCTAGATACAGTCCTCACCAGATTATTAAATGCAAAAATTACAAGTCCTCCAATCATCATAGTAGCATAGATCCAAACGACATTCACTCATCTTCCTCTTCAACCCCAGTGTCGACTTCAGATTCCTTAGGAACAGTCTCACCCTTGGCTTTGGCCGCAGCGGCAGCAGGACCACTGCTTTTGGCCGTCTCCTCGGGAGCTTCCTCTTCCCCTTCATCTTCTTCCACCTCTTCTTTATCGTCCCCTCCGACTCCATTTTCACCGGCATCTTTGCCATTCTCCGTTCCCTCTTTCTCACCTTCTTTTTCTTCAGTTGAGGCGGCTGCTGTCTTGCGTTTCTTGGCGACAGGCGGGCCTATGAAAATCTCCATGTCAGCTTATGCTTCTAGATTCAAGGGAGGTGAAAGCCAAGGAGACAGAGGCAAGGAGTGAGCGAGCGAGGATAGATAGTAAACACCTACCTTCTTCAGGGGCTTCTTCTTCCTCTTCCTCTTCCTCCAATTCTTCAGAGCCAGGCTCCGATTCACTTCCCTCCTCCTCACCACTCTCGCCTACTTCAGAGTCCTCATACCTATTTGCCATCGAGAACGTCAGCCGATGCATCATCTTCAAAGGCAGATGTAACCCCAAGACTATTCATCCAGGCAGCAAGATTAATGCGCCAACGAGTAGGACATTAGGTAGAAAGCAAACATGGAGATGAACGGTAGCCATGAAGCGCATCAACGGCGATAAATACAGGAATAAAAGAGAAGATGATAAGAAAGGGAGAGTAGAAAATGCGTTGATGAATGCGCCCCGGCGCATAGACGTGCCACTTACTCTTCTTCCTCCTCGCTCTCGTCGCTGGGGAGCGCCTGGAGCTCTTCCTCTTCTTCGGCTTCTTGCTTTCTCTTACGGGTGGACATGATGTCTCAAGAGCTAAGTAGGTAGTGAAAATGGATAGAAGAAATATATGCGATTATGCGGTAAGAGGGCCAGTCAATGGCGCGTATCTATACAGAGAACACGGCTGGTGCGCCGTGGGAATAGAGATGTAGTAAGGGAAGAGGGAGGAGAGGACGATAGGTATGAGAGAGAAAGGAAAGAAATGGGTGGGGAGAGGAGGGAGCGGGAGAAATAAAAGGGCAGAGGGAGGGGGCAGGGTCAAAGTACTACCCACAGCAACAGGAGAGAGATTAAAGCCTCAGTCCTTGAGGGAAGGGGGGAAGGGGACGGAATGGGTGAGCAGGAGGAGAATTACTTCAGCTATTGGAGGAAAGGAGGGAGCGAAAGGGGGGGGGGGAAGCAGCCAGAGCTTTCCGGTCAGCAACAACCAGGACCAGGGCAAAAAGAAGGCCCAGCTTCGGCGCAGAGTTAAAGAGAACTGGAGCTAGAGCTGCCGCATTTGTCGCATGGGGGATTATCGGAGGACGTCGGTTTAGGCCATCGATGAGGTGCGGATAAGAGGCAATCCCTTGTGATGATCCAGAGGCTGGTGGAACGAGATTGGACTGTGTTCCTGCGGCGGAGTCTGCATGTCAATGATCCCTGCAGTTTCAGGGACCCCTGGACACCATTAGCGAAATGTAAACAAATATTCCATGGAGTATTACGAAGCCGCAAGAGTGACTGTAAGATGATGGGCAAGCGTAGGGAAGGTGAGGAGTGTTTGGTCACCCGGTACGGTAACCGTGTCGTGTTTGCCTTTCCTCGGTGAAATCTTACAGGTATCGCGTGTGTTCGGAGAAAGCAGTCCGTGGCAATACGATCGCATTCGCTGAAACAATGGCAAGCCAAAATCATGATGTCAGGAATTGAACTCACTTGCATTCCCAACAGAGACTAACCCCAACATGGCAGCTCCGGATCTTAACCCATTCGAGCACAGTTTCGGTGCGCACGGACGGAAGTGCTATTTATGAACTCCCCCGGATTATTCGCGCATCAACAAATAAACAGAGGCGGAAATGCTTCTAGATTTCTAATGCGTCCGAATAAGTATGCTTCGTAATAGTATATACATTGCCATCCAAGAAAAGGTCACCATGTCAATGTGCCAAAAACTCAAAGTTGGCCATGCTAGGGTCCAGCAAATTTTCATCGAGGCCAAATCCGTACGTGCCTACCATGTCGTAAATCAGGTCCGGCGGTGGGAATCCCTGTGCCATAGCATTCGCGCCGCCCGGTACTTCGCTGCTGCTCCGGTCAACTGGCGCTCCTACCGGCGGTCCGCCACCCTGCCACGCGGTTTCCCAGGAATCGAAGCGTTCTAGCATCTTTCCCAAGCCGCGTGCAATATGCCTCGTCAGATGTCTATCCCCCGCAGAAACACAGTTCAGTAGCTCAATCACTCGTTCCACTAGGCGCCGCACTTCACGTCCATCCAGGCTTAGATAGGCCGAGTTCCAATTTACCGCAACCTTCAGAAGGAAAACCGCTGAAAAAGTAACCATCGTGTGGGTGAAGATGGGAACGCCCACGATAGCATCTCGAATGTCTGGCTCTTCCAGTACCATATTTAAGCAAGCCATTGCGGATGAAATGGCAATATTAGCGGACTCTTTGCGGTCCATGGAGAAGACAGGCGTGTTTGACGGTGACAGAGCACGAAGGGAGAGGGAGTTTAACTGAAATTTTGCAAAATGGTAGTGGAGCACGACCCCTTTCGAAGGATACGTCCGCACGTAAGGACTATCAGCTAAAGCACATAAACATAGGAAGGTTAGATATAGTCGAGCCCCAGTAGTAAGGATGTGTTATGACTTACCTGACCGCGGTTGCCAAAGAAGCCGCCACTGATCCACCGCCACATTGTAGACTCGTAACTGACCAAAGTCCTCTTCGGTCAGGGCCTGCTCAGTGTCACTTCCAAACATGCGATAAGCTTCCGTCAGGATCATGAATAAGGCTACTTGTGCCAGCAATCGGATATCGCCAGGAACCACCATCGAGGATTGTAGGAAGGTTTCATAATTCTTGATGGCTGCATCTTCGTGTATGACCGGAGGTCGTCCATATGCAATACTGAAATGATGATCACAAACATAGAGTAGGTACCACAGCTGTGCACGTTCGTACTGATCACTATGGCCACGGGTCATTTTCTGATAGCTCTGATGAAGACCAAGCTCCGTGGCAATACGGACAGCATGCCCAGAGAGCTTCCAGCTTAGCTCCGATAACCAAAACGCTCCGACGCAAAGACCACGAACATCATCTAGTGTGTGAGCGCGTGTCAAGGACATATTGGATACAAGCGCTACATATTCGTGATAGCATCGGTTCAGCGTTTCGGTCCGGTTGGGTATATGAAGTGCAGCAACAGTGAGGACTGCCGCGGACAACAGAGTTGACGCTCGTCGCACCGATGTAAGGTCCCGGTGTACTAATATAATCCCTCCCCACAGAAGTTGGTTCATTGTGCGGCTAAAATATGCGAAGAGTTCTTCGGCTTCGCGGATAGAGAGAACTCCCCGGGAGATGAAGTCTTCCTCCAACAGGGTCAATTTTGGTTGTTCCACGGGGTTGTTCCGTAAGTTACGCAGCTTAGTGACCTCGTAGAGACTACGCATAGGTGCCGGTACCAGCTCCCGGTCTTGTAGATCTGGTTCTTGGGACGGCTCTCGAGTCACGTCCATAACGACGCCCAGGCCGTGCTGACTCGTGTGATTGGAGATTGACTGTACGTCATCGAGCGAAGGTCGGTGTGATGCGACTGGACTTGGGCCATTCTGGGGGTCGCCTGTTGGGTAGGATGAAAGTTCGGGTAGGCCATCATGACGAAGGAGATGCGAAACAGCTGCCTGAAGCTGCTGAATGGTGGCGGCGGCCTGAGATTTCCATCTAACAAAACGATAAGAAAGGACTCGACTATGAGTCTTTGCTAGGAGTTGGATATACTCACACGCCATCATCGTCAACAAACTTTTGTGAGAAATCGTTCACTACGCATTTGATTCCGCTGCGTGTACACTTGTTGCAGCTGGTTTCCCCTGCTTTGAACTCGCAGCGTATCTTATGACGTTTGCACTCCGCGCCTGCAATCCATCGTGCTTTAGCATATATACTCTCCTAAAGCCTAAGCGGAACTCCGCTATGCCTCATAATACATTATCTTTTCCATGATCCAATAGGTACACTCACAGGCGCGGGCTTTGGAGATCTTCGGTGGTAGTCGTCCATCGCGGACGATGGAAGGATGGCGGTCATCGCGTCCGGGCGATACCAGGCCCGCATCAGAGGACGAGCGCTTCATGTCTGATAAATTATCGACTTGTGACTAAGAGCGAAGAATGGGCAGGTCGGGGATGCTCCGGCATCATGCGGTCGGCATGCGACGCGACTGAGATCGGCGGAGTAGGGCCGTTCGAGCTAATTATCGTTCGATGAAATTGTCGTCAACCGTATATTCATAATTCAATTAGGTCTGTGTGCAGATACATCTAGAAATTGAAGTAAACTATGTACAAAGGCAGGTGTTCCGGAGTGAAAGAAAAGGAGAAAACGTGGTGTGATTCTTCCCGTGCGAGAGAAAGCGAGGTCGATACCCCGCTTCAGTGTTCATCCAGCGCGCGGGAGCAATCGCATTTCATTGATCTCGTATCATAGAATGATCATATCCTTCGCGACATATATCATCGACAAGTCCTCCGTTGACTCATAGGTGGGGTGTGACTCGGAATTTTATTCTACTATATTGTCTAGTCAAACATATAGCGACTCAGTATGGGGTAGCCAAGATCTGGGGAAACTCTGGGGAAGGCAAGGTCCTATTCAGCTGGCCTGCTTGTCAACTACCCGAGTCATAGTCAATAAGGAGAACTTAGGTATTTGAAGTCTGAGTCTGCATGAGAAACTCTATGTTTCTCTTTCTTTTTCTTTTCCTGGTTGTTGTTGTTGTATCCACCATCGGCATATTGTGTGCACAAAAACGCAGAGCCATTCATATTGTGGGTACTACTATTATTCTGTTTGGGATTCAATTAATGTTGGACTAACTTGAAAATTTCCATTAGGTCCCAGCCATCTGTGCGTGGTATCCAATAAATTGCTTTCAACAAGCCGGCCCAAGTCCGGCTGTGGAGAGATTGGAGTGTTCCTGAACCTCGGACTTGATGCGAGTGTGGAGGTCATTCCGAACTCCACCATAACTTAGAGAGAGCTACGTGATGTTGAAATGGCCATATATGGACCGCTTCGCTCAATAACGGATGAATTAAAAATACATTCGTACTCTCTTCAGGGCCCTTGAACAAACTGATACCATGCAAATCCTCATCACCGGCGGCGCAGGCTTCATTGGCCAATTGCTAGCAAAAGAGCTCCTCAACGACCCCTCCTATCATGTCACATTAACTGATGTCACTGAACCTCCCATTCCAAAAGGCGTGAAGTATCCCCAAAATGCACGCAGAATTACCGTGGACCTTCTCAAAGGCGCAGATGCCGTCGTGAACAAGTCTCTAGACGCCATCTATGCCTTCCACGGTATCATGTCGTCCGGCTCCGAAGCCAACTTTGATCTCGGTATGAGTGTCAACGTCGACGCCACTCGTGTTCTACTCGAAGCTCTTCGTCGAACCTGTCCGGGCGTCCGAGTGATTTACTCCTCTAGCCAGGCTGTCTACGGCCAACCTCTTCCTGAAGTGGTGGATGACAACGTCATCCCCACTCCCCAGTCATCCTACGGTGCGGAGAAGATCATCTGTGAGACCCTTATCAACGAGTACACAAGACGTGGGTTTATAAGTGGCTTTACTCTTCGCTTCCCCACGATCTCTGTTCGGCCCGGTCGTCCCACAGCTGCGGCCTCCTCGTTTCTCTCGGGAATGATTCGTGAGCCGCTGAACGGAGAGGAGTGCATCATTCCGCTCGAAGATCGATCGTTCAAGTCCTGGCTGTGCTCTCCACGCACCCTCGTATATAACTTAGTTCTCATGCTCTCGCTTCCGATCGATGCAGTTCCCCCTCATATCCGCCAGATCAACGTTCCGGGTATCTGCGTTACTATACAGGAAATGATGGATGCTCTAGCAAAGGTGGGAGGGCATGATAAACTATCGTTATTGAAGGAGAAGGAAGATCCATGCCTCAGGCCAATTCTAGAATCATGGCCCACATGTTTTGATAATAAACAAGCCATCTCTTTGGGATTCAAGCGCGACACGTCATTTGAACAAGCCGTCAGGAATTACCAACTGGAAATAAGCCAGCAATGATTCATTTAGTGGGAGAATTTATTGCAGGATATGTTTGTTATATTTAATACGTTACTCAATGACCTTTTACTTTATGCAATACAGTTACTATAGACATATTTAGAACTATTCAAACTACCACCACCATATCCACCATGTACACCACAGAGATCGTAGGGCAGTTACAGCCAGAGCCCACTAGCGTATTTGATCATCGGTTATTTCCAGACCTGAGACCAGCTTAGCACGGGTATTACGGCGGTTAATAGCTTTCCCAAACCTGTCCATCAATAGCCACCAAGCGATTGAACAATTGATTCCTCGTCTTCATCGCAGTTAGTTGATAATGCTGGTGCTTTGGATCCTTCCCAACGATCTCCAGCCCATCAACCACCTCTTTACTTCCCACCGCCCATCCAGCAGCTAACTTCCCCTTCCACCCAAATCCTCCAATCTTCCGCAACTCCCGAATATCAGTTACGGGCATGCTGAAGAACACAGTTCCCTTCCCCCTACTTTCAAGCTTCTGATCACTCAACTCCGCAGTCGGATCCGTCGTGAAATACAACAACGGCGTATCAAGCGATGAATCAATCACCACGGCCCCTCGCTTCCCCTTGTACCTCGCGTCAAACTGGACCGGTCCTGAAGGTGACCTCATTTCCCCCTTCTTGCTGAGAATTCCAACTCGGGCTTTGCCGTGCTTTGACCCGGCAGCTGCCCGGACCCGGTCCACCGCAAGTTTGCTTTCGATGCCCGTGGCCGTTGTTCCTCGAAAGAAGTTGACAACACGGGAGCCCAGTGTTTTCTTGGGCTTGTCTGTTTGTAATTTTTCCTCTCCGTGCTGCGGTTGGACTAAGGGGTCTGGGGCGGCTGCTTGGGCTATTTCTTCTTCTGTTGCATCTAGGTTGACTTCGCTAGGGTTGAGGGATGTGGGGTGGGAAGGTGCTTTGAGTAATGAGTCTGAAGGTGGTGGTGGTAAGGGGGCTGCATTTCTTTCGCCGATACGTAGGAGGGTTAAGGTTAGCTGGGCATTTGTGGGGATTCCTTTCAAGAGCGAGCTGGTGTAGAGACGATTAGCGGGGACTGGTAGCTAGGTTGAGTCCGGGAAGAACCTACTTCTGCAATTCAAGGAGTTTGATCCAGCCTGGGTATTTGCGGTTCAAGTACGCAGTGAGGCGGGCAAAAACCGGGTCCCCGAAGAAACCGAATCCCACCGTGAAAGTGCTCATCTTGACAAACACATAGCTTGATGTCATAAGTGACCCGAGTAACCCAAGAGATAAAACGCTCACCAACCGTAGACATGGGGTTGTAGACGAAAATGGCGGTGTTGGTGACAGGGCACTATCAACCTCACGTTAGAGATGCAGGCTTATCAGTTCAGTGCTCATCAGACTTACTTCCCAAGCCTTTCGTAGGTATCCACTATGTCACTCAAGATGCGCATGCCCATATTCGCACCATTGAGCACCGTCTCCTTCATAGGCTGCCTGGTCTTGTCGTGAGAGCCAGCCGGTACTCCTCCATGAGCGGCAGTTTGTGCATCTGCTGCTTCGGAAACAGCATCCATGGCATCGGGAATGGACGATTCCAAGGGAGCATCTTCTGGCGTCCCCTGATCATGCTTACCAGCAACGCTTCCCACTGCGACAGTAGCTGCACTGGCGATTAAGTTACTGGCCTCTTGCTCGGCAGCTTCGCCTTTCATTTTCTCCGGTGCTCCGGTGATACTATCGTGAGAGCCTAGCACGCCGGCTTTGGGTTTCTGTACGCCCCCAGTATTGCTGTCAACAAGAGCGATAGGCGCAGGGGGAAATAGCCACGTCCTGCACGGAGGGAAAGCAACAAGAGCAATTAGGCCACAGAATATCATCGGGACAAGAAAGTCCAAAAGCCATGCAAGGAAGTATACCTAGAACCACATATGATTAGTCTCGTAGAAGCATCCACATATGTCTAAGACAAATGCATACTCCACAGAATGCTCCTGTTCGCCGAGGCTCTCTCCACGAACGTAATCTGGCAATATGCTTGTAGAATGCAGCCAGTGACACAACAATCGTCGTATAGAAACGCTCAAGGGTCGCCCGCAATTTATCTGGTGAGAAATGTTCATCTTCTGCGCGGTTTAGATCCAATCTTTGTAACGGGGCATCTGGGACAGCCTTCACATAATATAATTGCTGACCTTTGTCAGTAATTGAAATTAGTAGATACCAAAGAGCATACCTTATTGAACCGTCTGATAAGCATCCAAAGATCCTCATTCGATAGGCCAGCCACGATCTGGCCTTCAGGTGATTGTTCCCACCCCAGATCCGTCACTTCGTTGGTATCGCTGGCTTCCTGAGCCAGACCTTTTTCATCCTGGCCTATCTGAGCAAGTGCATGGCTCTCTGTAGGTCCAATTGCCTCGAGGTGATTTTCGTTCTCCTTCACTTTAACTTCCAGTTTGGATGGGCCATTGTCCCAGCCTGCTGTCGGAGGTGGCAGAGGGTTGGTGGAGCCCGGTCCTGACATATTATATGATTAAGTCCATCAATTACCATGTACTATGAATATGAAAGACTTAGTACTGTATGAAAAGAAAAGGTAGCGTAGGCTTATATTAAGATCTATAGATCTGATCTGATTAACCCCTACGCCGTGAGAATGACGTCATTCTCCATTAATATCATGAGCCTTGAAATTAAAATTAATACACTTGTGCTGCTTCAAGAGATGTAGTAAGTGGTGCAGAAGTGGAGTTTCGAACCAAGATGGGGGCTGATGTCATAATCTGCCTTATGGTTAAGGCAATAGCACACCGCCATAAGCCACTCACTAGCCACACTTACGTCCAAAAATGGAAATACGCGTGAAATTCAATGAAGCGCGCTTGTCCTGAGATTCTGCCCAACAGATTTGTCGCTTGCATCTTAGAACAAAAGATATGGAAGGGCAGTAGCTCCCCAAGCCAGGAGGTTACACGCATTGCTATTCTTTTATTCTCTCCCCTCTCAGGTGCCACACTGGCGTGAGCAGCACCGTATGCCATCTGCGTCAGTTAGAGCATGAGCCGGACCGGAAGCTATGAGCGAGACATGCGCGAACCCCCTTCTCCTGGGGTGGATTAAAGAATGGCTGGACCAAGCCAAAGAACACAATAGCAAAGGAGTGACGGTGTCCGTATAAGCCCATTTCGCATGATGAACACCCTACTGATGCGCTTTCCTCAGATACAAAAAGGCCTACGAGTCGATGAAAGCCTGTCCATTAGTCTTTCAACATCCATCCGAAGCTCAGCAGCTCAACGGTCTTGGCCCTAAACTGTGTGACCGATTGACAGATAAGTTAAAGTCCCACTGTGCGGAAAATGGGCTTCCAATGCCCGAGTATCCCAACAGCAGTGAGTCTTCCGTTTCTGATATGCCCTCAACGGGATTCTCATAACAATAGCAGTAACAAATGGCAAAAGGCTGTCCGGCGAAGGTGTCTCAGAGGGTCAGCCGGCGAAGAAGCCTCGGAAAGCCAGACCTTATGTGCCGGCGTTGCGGTCCGGACCTTACGCGATCCTACTGGGCCTCAGCACACTCGATGAAAATTCATCTCAGAGTTTGACAAAGGCACAGTTGATCGATAGAGCACAACCATATTGTGACAGCTCATTCACGGCTCCGAGTGACCCAGGCAAGTTCTTTACCGCTTGGAGCTCAATGAAAACGCTTCTCCAGAAAGACTTGGTTTATGACCACGGCCATCCTTTGAAAAAGTATGCTCTTACGGAAGAAGGATGGGAAGTTGCGAAGCGGGTCAAGAAGACGCTCCCTGAAAACCAAAACACCTTATCCTTTGGGAATCAAATGGTAAGGGATCCATAAACTCACAGCGTGTATCCAGGGTCTAACATGGCCAGGATACATCCGGCGCACCCCAAGCCTCCAGGGCAAGTACTGCCGACCCGCAAGTCCTCCCCCAAGAAAGCAACGAAAACCTAGAAGCAACCCTCAATCCTCAAATGAACAGGGGAAATGGCCCCGAGGACACCACAGTAACACCAATCGTCCTACCCCCCAACAGCTTCACAATCCAGCTGGTCCTGGACACGCGCGAAGTCCGAACATCCAAAGACAGAGACTATATCTCCAACGAGCTCAGCAAAAAGGGCATCACCACGCAAGTGCGCGCACTCGAACTCGGCGACGCAATGTGGGTAGCCAAGTTCCACGACCCGAAGTTCCTCTCGCAGTACGGCGAAGAAGGCGACGAAGTCATGCTCGACTACATCGTAGAACGCAAAAGACTCGACGATCTCATTGGCTCAATCAAAGACGGACGTTTCCACGAACAAAAGTTCCGTCTCCGTCGGTCCGGCATGAAAAACGTCATCTATCTCATCGAAGAATTCTCCCTCGCGTACGACGCCAATACCCCCGCCGCACTGAAATACCAGGAAATGGTCGCGTCGGCCATCGCCTCGACGCAGGTCGTCAACGGCTACTTCGTCAAGAAAACTAAGAATCTCGATGATACAATCCGCTACCTGGCACGCATGACCTTTCTCTTGCGGAAGATGTACACCCAGGACACTGCCCCTGATTCACCGGATACACCTCCGTCTCATACCCTCAGCTTAATACCCAGCCGCCAATTATCTTCCTCTCAGTCATACCTTAATACCCTTGTCCATTTCAGAGCTGAGAATCCCTCCATTACTTATGCCGTAACTTCCTCCACGTTTGCCGCCCTGGCTTCCAAATCGGAGTCTCTTTCCCTCCGCGATGTGTTCCTGAAAATGCTTATGTGCACGCGTGGCGTGACGGGCGACAAAGCCCTTGAGATCCAGCGTCGATGGCCCACCCCGCAGGCGTTTATTAAAGCGTTTGAGGCGTTAGATGCCAAGGGTAGGGAGACTTTGGTCTCCGATCAGCTGTCTTCCGCAGTCGGGAGGAAGAAGGTGGCTAAGGTTCTGAGTAAGAAGATCGCTGAGGTGTGGGGGGAGGATGGTTGATGCTCTATATTTCTCTGTAGCTCAGCATTAGGATGATGTTGAAGCTACATCAGACTCCATTTACTGTATTATTGGGACACCCGCGTTAAGGTCGCTTGCGAATATCTTCATATACTGGCACTGATACTCGGCGATATATCGAACGTCACGAAGTCAAAGTGTTGTAAGTCAATGAAATAACATTAATCAAGTATAAATAACATTAAGTTATCAAACAAGGGATATTCCACGGTCGACATCTTATCATATCATAGAAACAGCTCTTCATGAATAAGTCAGTCTTGTATCATAAAATCCCCATCGTAACATCATAAAAGCTAGCAACGCCACGAATCCACCCAACTGAAGGCATTTTAGACATTATACCAACAATATAAACCATGGCTTATTTCCCCAGACCAAGAACCCTTTTAATAGTCCTCTTGTCAATCCCCAAAGCAAGACTGCTGCAAACCACAGAAATACTACTCAAAGCCATTGCCAACGCAGCCCAAACGGGACTCAGCCTCCAGTGTTTACCAACTATAACAGTCTCACCCCCGACCATTTTCATCGTATGGCCATTGACAATCGGATACAATACCCCAGCGGCAACCGGCACAAGACAGAGATTATAAATCACGGCCCAACCAAAGTTCATCTTGACGCGGTTGAAGACCCGCCGACTAAGAACAACAAGTTGGAGGATAGTGTCGAGCTCTGAGTTCAAGAGGATGAAAGATGCAGAGTTCATGGCAACGTCGGAGCCCGAAGCCATGGCGATACTAACATCTGCTGCAGCCAGAGCCGGGGAGTCATTCACGCCATCACCAACGAAGGCTACGATAGAGCGTGCACCTTGTTCGTTTCTTTGGCTTTCAGCTTCGGACGAGGTTCTTGGCGGGTATACGCCGTCTTGGACTTGGCGGACGAAATCGGCTTTCCCTGCGGGCATGATGTTGGCCATCACGTTGGATCGGGGGATGCCTACCATGTCGGCGACGGCGTGGGCAGTGGTCTGATTATCTCCTGTGCACATGTACACGTCGACTTTGCGCTTGTGGAGCTGCGAAATTACCTTTGCGGCGTCGGGTCGGATTGAATCGGATATAGCAAAGGCGATTGTCGGGGTGAAGTAGGGTTCGTTTGAGGAGTTTGGGCCGGCTTTGCGCAACGATAGTATTGCGGTGGATTTTCCTGATTTCTGGTAGGCTGAAAGTAGGTCCGAAAGGTGGGAATCTTCGAAGTTAGGCGATGCCAGACTTTGGAATAGACGTTGATTGCCGATGGCGGCTTCGTACTGGACTGTCCTCTTTGATTGATCGCTCTTGTCCTCTAGAGACACGGTAAAGGTGCCTTTCATTCCCTGTCCGGGTTTCTCCTCAATGTCGGAACTGAGTATCCCGGCAGATTCCTTGCCACTGCAGAAGGCTGAAACTGCGTGAGCAATCGGGTGATTGCTGCTTTCCTCCAACTTTCGGGCAAGGGTCCATGCGATTTGCAAATCCTCAGAGTCGGTGATGAGCAGTTTATGGTCAGACACCGTCAAGCTCCCTCCTTCAGTTAGAGTTCCGGTTTTATCGAATATAATGGCATCGAGACGGCTCGCTTCTTGAAAAGCTTCCCCTCCGCCTTTGACCAATATGCCATGTCGGGCAGCCAGTCCTCCACCAACGAATAGCGCCGTAGGAGCAGCGAGAGCTAGACCGCAGGGGCAAGCAACCACGAACACTGCGATCGCGAACTCCAAGCTCCAAAAAGCCCAGCCTCCATGTGCAACATCTAGGTAGTCGTCTGGCAAAGCGCCAGACACGCCCAGCACAAGCCAGATGACGAATGTCAATATCGCTATAAGCGTGATTATGGGAACAAAGTGGGATGTAAGTAAGTCTGCAACCCTTTCCAATGGAGCACGTCTGCTCTGGCCTTCGCGCACTACGGCGATGATCTGATCCAGCATCGATGCACCTCCAACTGCGGACACCTTAATCTTCACGGGCTGGCCGACATTCACCGATCCTGTGTAGACGGAATCGCCAACAGACTTCTTCACTGGTCGCGATTCTCCTGTCAGGGAACTTTCATCGAACTGGTAGACACCGGTAGTGACAACTACACCATCAGCCGGTGGCGAGGCTCCGTGTGGTATGCTGACAATATCGCCGACATCTAACAGGTCAATGTTGACCCTCTGAATCTCGTCTTCCTCAGAGGTACCGTCAACACGATCGTTGGTAACCAGTAACGCTTCGGAAGGCTTTAACTTTCCAAGTGATGCAACTGCATCTCCGGTTCTCGCCTTGCTGTATGCTTCAATAAATCGACCTGCCAGAATGAATAAGGTAAGGAATACAACGGAGTCAAAATAAGACGAGCTATTGCTCATTCGAGAAGTTCCCACGACAGCGTCAATGATCAGAACAGCCAAGGAAGAGACGTAGGCTACAGTAGTTCCAGCGGAGATCAACAGATTCATGCTCCCAAAACGGTAGAACCTCCGCAGAATAGGCACACGGCTGCCAGGGCGCCAAAGGGAGTATATCTCCTTTGCAGCTCTCACGTGAAACACGTCAGTTCCATAGAACATGACAGGAGTTGTCATAATAAAAAGAGACCATTCCATCCGAGAGGCACTACCAGCCCACATTGGTTGTTCCAAGTACTTCCGTGTCGGGTTATCCGACGACACGAGGCTCATGAAAACGATACCGATCAGGAAGGTTGGGATCGCTACAATCAGAACGAAGAGAAAGCGGGACAGCAGCCTACGCCTCTCATGCAGCTGAATTGCTCGCGATCGGTCCTCAATACTCGGGGGGTGGTAGATAGTTGTAGAGAAAGCATCATGTACTTTGTCAATGTCCTGGAGTATAGTTCTGATGGTAAGAGAGGGAGGGCGTGGAGTATAGGTAACCTTAACGATGGGGTTCTTGACAGACAGCGTGTCATCAATTTCAACATCAGCAAGTTCCTTCAAAGAGCTGAGAACCTTTCCCGGGCAATGATGACAGAACATCCCACCCACTTGGATTGCCACGGTTCTCTTTTCGGTCTCACCATCATTCTTGTTGCCTTCAACATCCCGAGGAACGACGCTGGTGACAGAGGCGTCATATCCCAAGTCTCCGATTTTCTCCACGATAGCGTCGATATGATCGAGCCCATCGAATTTCACCGTTCCGCTATGAGACAAAAGATTCACCGAGACTTCCGTCACGAAGGGAAGTTCTTCAACCCCTCGTGTGACACTTCCTGCACAAGAGCCGCAGGTCATGCCACCAATAGCGATTTCAGCGACATATGATGACAGGTTTTGGTTCGGAGATGGAGACAGGCTAACTTTCTGTACATCCTCGAGGGACGCCTCGAAGCCGATGTCCTCGATGTGTTCCACCACCTTTTCTATGTTCGATTGGGGACCGTTAAAGACGACCGTCGCACTATTGCTAAGGAGATTGACCGTCACATCGAGGACGAAGCTGAGCTGCTTAACTTCGTTCGTTACTGTATTGACACATGAAGCACAGCTCATGCCCCCAATGCTTATGCGAGCACTGAACGTTCCATCATCATCGTGTAGTTGCGGAGGCGCAATACTCTCCACGGACCTTCGAGGCGCCAGGCTCCCAATGTCAGAAACTTTGTCACTAACACCAAATAATTGACCAGCCTTCTCATTCCTTGACCGAATAGAAGTCATTTCGGATGAATCTTGCGGGTTAGATATTCGTTGCAGTTCCTCCTTCCTGCAGGCATCACAATTCGCAAGATGCCTGTTCAGGGTCGTCGAGGTAGAATGTGAGGCTTGCTGCGTTGGAAAATGTACGGGGTTTCTGGAGAGCCACGAAGTTGTGCTAATATCAGATACGATAACTCCTCGGGCATCGTAAGTCGTTACATGACGGACTTCGAAGGCTGCTTGAATCAAAGCCGTGGCCAGTTTCGAAGGACTGGTCTCTGCTGCATGGTATACTCGCACTTCATGCTTGAGAATAGTGACATCGACGTCAAACACACCGGGAATCTCTGAAAGGATCTCGGAGATGTATGATATGCAGGAAGAACAATGCACGTTACTAACGAAGAAGGTGCTTTTAAGTTGCCTCGAACCCTGGCACACAGGGGTTCGAGATGCAAGGCCTGATGTCGGCGACATTATAAACGGTTGAAAAACTCCAGGATGCCGAATAATTAGTTGTGTTTAGAACCAGAAGCCAGGGAGCATCTCTTTGGAAAAGCTGGTTTGCGAGAGTGGGTGCGAACCAGGTAGCTGGTAGGGTTTGTATTTTTTTTTATGAGGACAGTCCCACGTAATGATGTTGAAGAGACTCTGTTATACGTTGCGAATATAGAGATCTAGCCAAATAATTTAGATGTATTGAAGAGATAATTTTGGGAGATTGGACGTTGTATGCACTAATAGCAAGCAAGGGGGTTGAAGCAGCAGTTGGTCTGAGAGGAGCTGAAACGAACAGTAGGGGGCGACGGAAGGGTGATAGAATTATATGAAATTAGAGAAAGTAGTAGGAGAATGAAGGATAATTAAATATTACTTTCGAGGGAGACATGGTGGACTTGAAGTAGTGAGTGCGCCTTTTGTGCGTGAAGCTGTGGAGAGACGCTAAACTACGCAGAAATCTCTCAGTCCCAAGGATGGAACCGCCACACATGATTGATAAGTGTTCAGGATGGCGCAAAAATGACTCTCCAGCCATCTGCGATCCCCGGCTCCAATGAGTCATGGAGATTATTTTCTTATAGTACCTAGATGGATATGCAAGTAGTAGCTGTGCTGACTGGTATGATTGACCAGAAGCAAAAGACCAGATCTTTCCCCCCCCTCTCTCTCTGCGTACGAAGCATCCCCATTGGAGAGAAACCTCCAATTACTCAATTGATGCCTTCAGAATGCCAGTAATAAGAATTCAGTTAGTAGTCAACATGAAGAATCCAGAGTGAAAAATCCCTGATAATATAACTTATGGAAATGGAATTGACGGGAATCGAACGGGCGCTCTGACGCAGTTTGTAAGGAAAAGGAATCCACGGTGTAACCACGTGACCCTCCCACTGGACCACACAGACTTTTTCGCACGCGTTCTCGCCCCCTCTATTCACGTCGCCATCCAAATTTTTTTCTTTTCTTCTCCCTCTTCACGCGTCGATCTATTGAAATCAATATTGATAACCATCCATTCAAATGATCGTCAAGTGAACTAAGTTGTCAACTGTTGACCTTGGCCCTTCTTTCCAATATAACACTTCTTTAACTCGCTCCGCCTGACTCCAACTACCTAACTGGATCACTTGGCTAGTACTGCCTTTTTTCTCTCATATCCTCCCTCTCTCTTTCAACTTACTATCATCACTCTTGACGGCTCCTTATCAATCAACTCGCATGGTCGAGTAAAAGAATGTCTCCTTGATATTAGTTGCTCCCTTTCCCGCCTTCCCTTTTTTTGGCATTCTTACTCTATACTTATGCTATTCATAACCTCTTCGCGGTTGATTCACTTCTGGGCATAAAACTACACCTTTCAAGCCGCTTATCATGTCCACTGCTAGACCGGGGATGCGCCCTCCATTCCCGTCAAAGGCTGGCCCCAGGGCACCACCTATGGGACGCCTGGCCAGTTTGAAATCCCCTAATCCGGCTGCAATAAGACGGCCTCAGCCAATTGGCCGTCCACAACCAACCAAGCCAACCACTCACCCCAAGACCTCTACATGCCCTAACCCTGGTTGTCCTGCACCTCATATCGTCGAGGATGACGGGCAAAAGGTTTGCTCCGGTTGCGGTACCGTCATCAGTGAGGCAAACATTGTCTCCGAAGTGACTTTCGGTGAGACATCATCTGGTGCTGCAATTGTTCAAGGTACATTTGTCGGAGAAGACCAGTCTCATGTCCGCAGTTATGGCCCAGGCTTTCAGCGTGGAGGCGGGGCGGAAAGCCGAGAGATCACTGAACAGAATGGTAGTAGGTATATTAATCAGCTGGCTCGCGCTTTGACCATTCCGGAGAGTGCTTCGAAAGCTGCTGGTCAAGTCTTCAAGCTCGCTGTTGGTTTGAACTTCATTCAAGGTCGTCGAACAAAGACAGTTGCTGCGGTATGCCTCTACATTGCCTGCCGCCGGCAGGATGGCAACACTGTAATGCTCATCGATTTCGCGGATGTCCTCATGATCAACGTGTTTAAGTTAGGTCGAACCTACAAAGCATTGTTGGAGGAGCTGCGTCTGGGTGGAAATGTTTTCCTAATGAACCCGATCGATCCTGAGAGCTTGATATACAGGTTCGCCAAACAACTCGAATTTGGACCGGCCACAATGCAAGTTGCCAGTGAAGCTGTGCGTATCGTACAACGAATGAATCGTGACTGGATGACCACGGGTCGACGTCCTGCCGGTATTTGCGGCGCTGCTTTAATTCTTGCAGCTCGAATGAACAACTTCCGGCGCACGGTTCGCGAGGTGGTATACGTCGTCAAAGTAACCGAAATCACCATCAGCCAACGTCTGAACGAATTCGGTGCAACAGAAAGCGGAGAGCTGACGGTGGACCAATTCCGCTCTGTGCAGCTGGAGAATGCCCATGATCCGCCCTCTTTCACTAGAGCAAGGGAAGGGAGGAGACCGTCTCGGAGCATCAAGAAAAGGCCCGCTGAAACTGTAGCCGATATCGAGGGAGAACTCACTGATGTCGCCACAACCCCCTCAAATACAGCCCCCCATCAGCAAAAGCGTGTCGATGCGGATGGCTTCGCTATCCCTAGCCTTCCTATTGACCCGGCCTTGATGGCAACAGATAGTGAGAGACGGCTGTCGACAGCGTCCATCGAGAGCGAGGTCACCTCGGAAGTCAACGAAGTCCCGGGCAAACCAAGCAGGGGGCGCCCTAAAGGCTCCAAGGCACGACCCCTGCCAACTCCAACTCCCGACCAGATCGCCTCGGAGGAGGCCCTCGAGGATGAGATGACCTCTTATCTGGCGAAGGGCTCCACTATGGTCGAGAGTACCGCAGAGCCAAGAAAAACTGTGTCTGAAAGCGCAGAAATCGACGAGGCCGAGTTTGAATCAGATCCAGAAGTTTCTAACTGTCTACTATCCCCTGCCGAAGTCGAAATCAAGGAGCGGATCTGGGTGCATGAGAATAAAGACTATCTACGGGCACAGCAAGCCAAAGCATTGAAACGGGCCTTGGAGGAAGCTGATTCACAACCGGGTATGCATAAACCACGCAAGCGTCGTCGGGGTAGACTAGGGGACGTTGCTTATCTCCAGGGCGATGGTGAAGATGGTGATGGAAGAAGCACGCGGGCTTCTACCCCAGCAGAAGCAACGCGTCGAATGCTGGAACGAAGAGGATTCAGTAAAAAGATCAACTATCGTCTGTTGGAATCACTATTTGGTGAAGAAGGAGCCGATTTTGCCGCTAAGGCAGAAGGAGACAGTATGAGCCGCAGCCAGAGTGTGGCTTCGCGGCGCAGCGCCAGTGTTGAACCAGACATCCCCACCAGGCGGGCCAGGGTGGCGACTCCCCCAACTCGCTCGAATGCCCCTAGCTCCCCAGCCCCAACATCCGTTCCTCCGCGCGATGTCACCAAACATAGACAGCAAATCGGTGTCGCAACGAATAGGACTGGTCAGGCGAGCACTACTGAGAATGCCGCAGAGCCGGCCGCAGGTGACAAGACCGGTTATTCGGACGAGGAACGAGATGATGAGTACGAGGAGGAAGATGGTGATGACGATGATGGTGTGGATGCTGCTTTGGCGGGGCACTATGGCGATTACTACGACGATGGAAGCGACTACTATGACACAGATTAGTAGGGTTGGTATAAAGCTTAATAGCAGGTATAGCAAATAGGATAGATAGATACCTTTGAATGTGGGAAACGAACTCTGGTCAACCTTGGATATCAAGTTTCAGCATCTGATCATGGGCAACTTCCCGTCGTAAAGAACCTAGGGATGATTCAAAAGACCAAGCAACAATCCTCTCCCCTAAAACTTACTCTTGGGATGTGTCCCACGCCGCCGAGCTCCTTCCCCTTATGACTCGGGACTGTCATTCCGGGTATCCATCACGTGTGATCATCGGTGTCCCCAAAAATATCGCCAACAAGTCCTCAACTTCATTCCTCCTGTTCAAAGTACTAACTACCCCTACCACCATGGCTACCACTTATCACCACCACTACTACCATCATGGTCGTTGTAGACTGATTCTATGCTTACTATGCCTCCGAGCTGAATCTTTGTACTTAGTATGCTTACTATCACCACCAATAACATCAAGGAAGAAGGCTAACTCCCTCCTACCTACTCCATGAATGCGCTTGGCCACAATACTATCAGGCAAGGGGCAGTATGTGACACAACAAACCTAGCAAAGCTGCTATTATTATGCTCTCGGCCGAGGTCATAGCTCTCCGGTAGAGTTTAGGAGAGTTATGCATTCTCCTTCGTGGAGGGACTTGCTCTGCAGCGGTAGTGCAAATCAAACTGGGACACGGAATTAATATCCAGTGAAAACCATCATATCCTGCAAGATAGGATTATTCACAGGCCTCTGAGCTTTAGCAGTCGAGACTCTGTATCTGCTGATCATTGGGAATGCGGAGGGTACGCTGTTCCACGACCCAGAATGCATGCATCATGATCAAGCAATGAGAATTGCCAAATGCTGCCGTCTTACCGGCTGACTCTGCTGCCTTGACCCTGTTACGAATGGGGGAGCGGAATTTCTCCGTCTGGTATGGAACGCCCTTCCTGTACCCATCTACAAAGGGTTTAGTATGGGCTTCTGATATTGAGCAACTCCTATCTATAGTGGGCAAAAGTGCCTCCTGCACTGGGGCTCCTTGGTCACTGACAGCATACACCTGGATCCACAGCAGATCGCATGGAGCTCACGGTGTTTGCATGCTGATCGTCCAAACCAAAGCATAAAAATTTCTATATATATAAAGTCTTTCGGACAATCATCCTCCTCAGTCTTTAGTCATTCTACCTCATCCTTGTTCCTTGTCCCCTCTCGCAACATGGTGAAGCTTAACATGTACGGCCGAGGGCTAGGCCTTCGGATGGCTATTATGCTCACCTGCCAAATATCATTCGTCTTATTTGGTGCGAGATCTCAGAAGTGTTTGTTGGACTGCAGTAAGCTAACTTCAGCGTTGGCCATTCGCAGGCTACAACCAGGGCGTATTCTCTGGGATCGTGGGAAATGAAGACTTCCTCAACGTTGTACATCACCCAGGGTCAGCAACCATCGGGATCATAGTCGGCATCTACAATCTAGGTTGTTTCCTTGGGACAATGGTGTGTTTTACGGCGGGGGATAGCCTCGGGTTTCGGAGGATGATGTGGTTCTCGATGATTTGGGTTGTGGTATGTCCACCTCTGCCACCCCCATACCGACAAAATAGCGACTAAGGTAACATTCCGTGCAGGCTGGAGCGATTGCACAGACCTGCGCGTTTTCCACAGCGCAGCTATTGGCATCGCGATTCTTTACTGGTATCGGTACTGGGATCTTTACCAGCACTGTTCCAGTGTACCAATCGGAACTGTGCGACGCACGGAAACGAGGAATGTATGTATGCAGCCAACCTCTTGCCGTTGGAGTGGGCATTGTCGTTGCCTATTGGTTCGATTACGGGATGAGCTATGTTGAGGGACCCGTGAATTGGCGTCTACCAATCGCTTGTCAAATCATCTTTGCTCTCATTGTGATGGTAATGGTTCTCGGGTTAGTGTTCATCCTACTTACCACAGTCTACCTGAATATATTATTGAGCGCGTATCTCACGTAAAGACAGGCTGCCCGAGAGCCCTCGATGGCTATATCGACGAGATCGGGGTAGAGAAGGCTTGCAGGTGCTCTGCGACTTCCATGACCGCACAGCGAATGACCCAAGGATTATCGAAGAATCAGAGGGAATCACCAAAGCTATTGAGCTAGACAACCTCCGTGGAGAATACAGCTGGTCCCAAATCTTCAAAAAAGATGAGCTGCACACTGGCAGACGTGTACTACTAGCCTACGGATTGCAGTTCATTAACCAAATGGGTGGAGTCAACATCATAGTCGTAAGTGAGACCAACAGGGGACTTGTCGTTTTCGTTTTCTTTTCTTTTTCACATGGGAACTAATGCATGAGCAGACTTATGTCACTACAGGTAAGAGTTAACGACTCGCGATATTCCTTTTGCAGCTTGGATTATGCTAAGCATATCAGTTTTGGAGACCAATGTGGGCCTTGACAAGGAGTTAAGTCTCCTGCTGGGAGGCGTGATCCAGGTCATGTTTGTCATAGGTAACCGAGCATTCCTGCTGAACACTGCTTATCGAGAAAGTCTGCTGATCCCGTTGAACAAGGCTCCTTCTATCCCACATTCTACTCCGATCGACTGGGTCGCAAAAGGCCGATGATGTGGGGATCTTTTGGATTATTCCTCTGCATGATGATGATCTCCATTCTTTTGTCTTTTAAGGGTAAGTAAGCCCCCTTGTGATACGGCTGGGCGACAGAGAAGAGGAGAACTTAGGGTTTACCTAACTCGTTATAGGCACCTCCTTGGAAAAGTCGGCAGCCACGGCATCAATCCCGTTTTTCTTCCTGTTCATGCTCGTCTTTGGGGCGTCCATTAATTGCATACCATGGGTTTACGGGCCGGAGATTCTCCCCCTTCATGTCCGAGCGAAAGGGTAGGCAAACAACAGCTTCATTCCAACAGGTGGCCCCTGCGGAATTCGTCCAAAACTAACTGAATACTCCCCAAAAATAGCCAAGCCCTCGGAGTCTCGGCAAATTGGCTGTGGAATTTCTTTGTGGCCATGATCGGACCAACTTTAATCAATGACCTTGCATGGAAGGGCTATCTCATCTTTATGTGTTTCAACCTCGCCTTTGTGCCGGTAGGTCGATATTGTCCCCTCACTATATACACCCAAGCCATTAACGAATGTGGATAGCTTCTTTATTTCTTCTACCCTGAGACTGCCAACCTCAATCTCGAGGAGATCGATTCCTTGTTCATGAACAAAATCCCACAGTCATTGGACTCGTCGGAAGAGTGGAAAGAGCCCATCGTTGTCACCACGAGCATTTAAGTAGAACAGGAGTACGACTCCCATACGGCGCGGAGGATGTCTTTTTACCAAGGGGCTGAGGTCAGAGGTGGGTCTGTAACTGTATACTAGGGGCGTTTTAGTATATCCAAGATAGTTAAATAGTTGAAGCATGCATACCGTTGGAATGTCGGGGAGGATGTTCATCGAAACCCGGGGGAAAGAAAGATACAGCACGTGTATACATATCGATGAACAGTGGAAGCAAAGGTACTTACTGACTGAGCACTTGAGTTAGTCAATATATATAGGTTCAATCTCTCCTCTCAACATCAGTGGTCAATGTTATAGCAGCGGATGGATTTACCTAGGAATAAATCTAAATATTCCCATCTACTCTATTGATTTACAGGGAAACTTCAAAATTAATAGAGTATTTTCTTTGTTAACATACATATGACGAGAAGAAATTGATTAGGAAAATAGGTGTGAATCCTCTATTCCCGTTATCTCATGCAATAACGTACTCCGATATTTATTTATATTCCCAAACTCTCACAGCTTAGCTTATTCACAGAACAAATTCAATAAGCATCTCTACCTAATTCCCAGAAACTACGCACAAGAACATCATACAGAATATATGTGGGTATATGGTAACGCAACTTATCTTATGTTATGGGACAAAAAATGGTAATATTTACTGCTTATGGTTCCAAGTTTGAACTAGTACTATTCGCATTGCAGGGGTTTTAACTATGGGTACAATTACTATCGAGGTATTCAATTTCCTCTTTTTCTTCTTTGTTTCTTCCCCTATATCCATTTTACACGCCAGTAGGCATTAGTGATCTGGTGGAGTGAGGAGGACGACTTAGTTTAGTTAGGGTCGACTAGTAGATGCCCGAATGTGTTGTCAATCCTGCCTGACAACAAACACAAGTGGGGGTCCATCGATGCGAGGAAAACCAATTTTTTTTGTCCTTTTTCATTCTTTCATCTTTCTTTCTCTCTTTCTTATGCACATATTTATCTTCATCTCTTTAAAAAATATCTTTCACGAGTGGCGGATCGAAATTATAAACATAATGTGAATAGAGGAAAGAAGTGACAAACCATGAACCAGCACCTGCAAGTCAATACCACCTTTTTGCGCCCGAGAAATTGGAAGAACAGAAAAATGATATCATCAAAATCCCAATCCCGGGTGATTACGTTTTGCCGAAGAACCCCAAAAGACAACGAAAAGATCTGTGCCGAAAAAGATTGTTAGATATGAAGCAGATGTGTGAGCAAAATTTTGTCGAAACTTTTTTTTCTTCTGCGCCCTGTGTCGAGTGTTTACGCGTCGATGTCCATCCCCGTCCCCATTCCTACGCTACCATTCATCCCAACGCTCACGCCATTGCTGACGGGCTGCGCCGAGAGGGTTTGCAAGAGAGGGAGGCCGGTGTCAACGGGGTTTGCGCCGAGGATATTCTGAGGCTGAAGGGATCCGTTGTTGACTGATCGGTGCGAAGCATTCAGGATTTGAGTGCCCTCGAAGATGATGGGATTGGACCGGAGGTTTTGAATGCAGGTTTCCCAGGCGGATCCTACAAGCTGGGCTTGAGTGAGATCATCGTTGAAGAGGTAAAAAGCGGTCGAATTTGCTGGTCCAAAAGGGGTGACAGGTCGGGCAGCCACGAGGTAAGCGTTTAAAGCTCGATTCTTCATGAGAATCTGCGAGTCTAAGAGGTATGCAGAAAATTGTTTGTCGATATATTTCTTCCAGCCGCGCACTGCAGCTGCCATGTCGCCGTCTCCATCAAACGCGATACGTTGCCAACTGATACCAAGAAGGTGGGTCGCGTCATCAACCAGTGGCTCATCAGGCGAGCGGTTTGTGGCGTTGAGAAGGCGGTGGGCGTCGTCTTTGCCGTTGTCCTGCAAGCGTTGGATTGAGGAGAGCGCGATATCGTCGAGTCTGGGAGCGGATGGATCTAGACGCTGGGACTTGCGGCCACAGGTATTTGACGGACCGGTTTGAAAGTGGGACGAGACAGTCGGAGCAGCAGCAGTGCTCGCCAATGATTCTTCGTACCAAGTACCTGTTTGACTATCTGCGGAGAGAGCCAGCCCGGTACGCGGATTGAGGAGAACCATGCCCTCTCCGTAGACAGGCTCCTCTTTCTGCGCAGGAGGAGCCCGGGCTGGAATGGAGGGTACGCTGGGGGTGTTCATAGCTTCCTCGAAAGCTGCTTCATCACGCGATCGTTTGCGCGAGGGCTTCCCAACCATAGGTCCAGACGCGGTCGGCTTTGCACCAAAGGATGTGCTGCAGCCACTTGAGAAAAACGAGCCTGAGCTCTGGGAGACACCATTCAGCTTATGTTGGCGGGGGAACTGAAGGAAGGCGTGTTCCTGGGAAGGGGACAGGACCATAGCAGGGCCGTCGGAAAGGCTATTGAGCATCATTGGACACATCGTGATGCGAGAGGACAACCGAAAGAATCGGAGGCAACTACAAGAAAGAGAATCTGATCTGTTTTGTCAGGTGAGCTAGAACCAACAAGATAGAGCAACCTATGTGGATCACGAGATCTAAGCCGTGGGCAGCAGGTCGGAAGATGTTGGCGCAACGGACGTCGAGGTCGCGATCGAGAAACAGAGGGTCGATATCTGAAGCGATGATTGAGAGAGGGTGATGGAAGAGAAACAAGGAGGAAGGAAAGCGATGGAGATAAGATGATGAGGGAGAATAAACAATGATAGAAAGGAGGGAAGAGAAGAGAAGAGAAGAGAGGAGGGAAGAAGAAGAAGAGAGGAAAGGAAGGTGTGGAGTGAGAGAGATGCAGGGAGGGAGAGAAAGCACGAGAGAGGATTGAGGAGCCAACAGCGAACCACGGGATAAGCGGCTTGGGGAAGGAGAAGAAAGAAAAACGCGTGCAAAAGAGGCTAGCAGATGATTGCTTGGAGGTTTCGGAGCTTCTCTGTGGGATGCGATGCGGAGAAGGATTTGCTCGCCTCATTACCGTCCCATACAGCGGCCAGTCCGCACTGTCAGCCATTTTTCCTGCAATGTGCGCCGCTGCATACCATACCTTACTGTACCGCTTGCCGTTCCCACCGACTCCAGATCGACCAGCAAGGATGCCGCCATTATTGGATGATGCTCAATCGCTCGGGGCAACCACCGTGTGGAACCGGCTGGGAATCCCCGCCTCCGATTGGCCTATCTTCCAAGCCTTGTCCGCGCGTCCGGCCTTTCCAGGAACCCTGTCAGCATACGAGACCTCGCTCATTGGCGGATCCAACATCTATGGGTCTAAAGAGCCTGTGATACTTTATAATTGGATCGCACGCAGGGCCCCACTTCCGTTGGCAAAGTTGATGACGATTTGGGAAGCCTGAAAGCCTTGCAGGACGGCATGATGCCTGAGGAAGCAAGGCGGAGGGCTGATCCTCAGGCCACCTGTGCAACTCTCCAAAGGCAATCGACAGCCTGCATCCTCATCACCACCCCACCCCCTCCGCCCTGTCGAAATAATCTGGAATATTTCACAGTCAAGTCTATTTTGTCGGAAGAATAGCTAAGTAAATCTATAGTCACAGGAAAGAATGGTAACAAGATCAAGAGCTAGATGTAAAGCAATGTCCGACACCAGAACCTCGTGCTAATTAAAACGTGACACAAATGTTCATCAAATCACAAGTAATAAAATGAAATCCCAGAAGGATCGACACTGTAAACAAGAAATCGGAAAGAAAAAGGACCTCGCGAAAGAGATCCAGTGTCATATCACAACCTTCGAGATGACATCCAGTGTTCATCAGGCACAGGCTGCATTCCCTGCATGTGGCCGTACCCACCGGAACTCCGGCGTTCATCCCGTGGGACTGCTGCAGCTGAAGGGCATTATCTTTTAGGCTACGGGCCACAATGTTTATGGTGAGGCCCACTGTGTGCATAGAAGTATAAATAGGTAAAGAAAGAAAGGTCGATGATGGGTCTGTTGTCGTTCAGTTTTCACATGGTACCTGAAACCGCTCGGTGTTCAGGACGCATCCACTCCGTATCTGTCTGGGCAATAATACTTCGCAAAGCCAGACATTGCGATTGATTCGTCTCCAATTAGAAAGGAAAAGGGCGCCATTATGCGTTTCCAGCAGTGGCGCCACCTAGCAACCCCTTGACAGAGTCGGTAGTGTAGCTGGGTGCCATAGATCCAACCAGTAGGAAGAAGATAAGAACAACAGCGCCGATGATGATAGACTTGCGCTTGGCGGGGTGGTTGGCACCGTATTCAGCCCAGGAACGGTTGGCCTGGCTGGTATATTCCTTGATCTTGTCACCACCGAGCTTGTAGTAAACCAGACCAATGAGGGCAATGGAATAGCCAAAGAACTGAAGAGGGGTGACGGGAGTCTGCCAAATCATCATCGAGGCAACGACAAGGAGAATGTCCTTCAGAACACCACAGAGAGTCATGACAAGGGAAGAAGTCTTTCCAATCTGCAGCTGATAGTTAGCAAATTGGGATAATATCAAAAGTGAGCCGATTCATACCAAGAAGACAACCGAGACGTTTAGCAAGAAGGCAACAACAGCATTCAGCAACAAAGTCCATACACCAACACGGTAAACGTGGTCCATGGTAAGGTTAGGAACCTCGATGAACAGAGCAGTGACACCGTTCATCACAGCACAGACGGGAGCAAAGTAGTACAGAGAGACCAGAGGGTCCATCTTGTACTCGGCGGAGCTAAGCAGGCGCTGCACCATGACCAGACGGGTGGCCTCGAAAATGATCCCGCCAATCTGGAAGAGGAATCCGATGAAGACGAACTTGATTTCACCGAAAGAGGCAATGATGACACCGATGACAATGATGGAGACGTTCATCAAAACCTTATAGTTGACAGGAGCCATTCCCATTCCCCAGGTGGCGAAGAGCACAGCGACCGGAGTAGTAGCCTGAATATCGTTGTGAGTGAGAGAATGACAGCCTCAAGAATCAAATCCAACGCACCTTCAGCATCTGGATGAAAGCAACACTCAGATACAAGTATGTCACATTACCACAGATCAAGCTCAAACTGAAGAAAAGGCCAATAGGGACGATAGCGCGAAGATAAACACGGCCAGTCATCTTAACAGTTTTCCGGCCATCAAGCAAGGTGGTGGTACGGGCGAGAAGCTGGGTCATGAAAGTTGCGAACGCCAAATGCCATGTTGTAAGGATAATAGCTGCGAGGATATTAGGAGGCTGTCGCCGTAGAGATATGGGGAAAGGAAAACCTACGAAAGCCTATAGAACAAACGTGTTAGAATGATCATTACATTGTGGCTACCAAGTCCAAGACGGTGCACTTACGGAACTGAGCATAATCGAGGATGTGCTTGTTGAACAGGATAACACTGGAACTCAGGGCAATCCAGACACTGCGGACATATTAGCAAGTCTATCCTTCATTTCGCACTGGTGATGGATGAGGCTTGTAGAGGATGCACTCACCTCACGTAGACCGCGGGGTGGAAAGTAGGCTTGGGAGGCTCTGCCCTCTCAGCAGCAGGGTTGACGGTAGGCAGAGTAGGCTCCGGGCGGGAGACCTCGCCGGAGGTTCTGGCCTTTTCTCCTTCAGAGCTCATTTTCAGGATGCGACTTTGTTCTGATAGAAAGCGTTGGAATTCGAAGGGTCGCGGCCGTAAAAGGCTGCTTTGACTAAACTGCGCGGAGGCCACGGGTGAAGAACGACAGGGAGACCTGAAAGGAAAGGAATAAGTCTAGTCCAAGAAGTTAAAGAATAAATTGAAGGGTTGAACGAGTGGGACAAGAGTTGGCCTGAACTGAAGAAGAAGAATAATAAAAGACAAGATTGGCGCTCAAGAAAGAGAGATGTGAAGCGTGAGAAGGGGAAAAGAAAAAGGTTGGGGAGCGAAATACGTAGTAGTATACGTTTATCTTTTTTCCCTTACCCTGTGATTTTTGGTTTTATTTTATTTTAATTCTTGTCGGTAAACGTTGCGAAAGAACACGGCACGGGTTGGCTTATTGGTCTGGTTATTTTATTTTATTTTATTTTTTAAGGGGGCAGGATGAGCAAAAGAAAACAGGGAAGAGAGGGTCGGGATCCGCATCAAAGAGAGAGGAAAAAAGAAAGATCGTGGCCCGGGATGAGATATATCGTTCGCTGAATGGGAAGCGCAAGCTTACACTTAGACTCCCGTCTTAGACCCAGTCCAAGGTCAACGCTCCCGGACGTAGCGTAGCGTCCTTTCGGTTGATTAGGAGGCATGCAGCAGGTCGCTGCATGCAGCAACACACCTTTTCTTCCCTCCCAGCCGTACATAATGTACTACATTACATACTGTACATACATCCATCTCTCACATACTATTATCACTGCTACATACATGTAAAGTCGTCAATACATCTATATAAATAGCAATTGAATAAATAAGAATGTAAAGGAATAGATGTACGGAGCAGGATTGTCAATACTGGTACTACCTGGTCAACTGACATGGGTCGATAATTTTTTTTATTAATAACTTTTATTTTTCTTTTTGTTTTAAAATTACTTGAGAGGAACTTTTTACTTGAGATTAATTAACTCGACGACCAGACGGCAGTTGAAACACTACCATTCATTCTGACGGGTGGTTTCGAGTTCTGGCCGACAAACAGTGGAGGCGGTGGTGGAGAAAAAAACGGAGGCAAACAGCGCAGTGGATAAGAATGGGATAGATCGATAAGTGACTTACGCGTACTATACAATACTTGTACCTATCCTTACATGCGGTTTCACCCAAATCTCTGCGGAGAATGATCGGTTTTGTAAATACAGGACGTGTAAAACCCCCGACAGCAGCACGGCTTTTTCGAACGGCTATACTGTGTACATACGTACCCTCCACGTATATGCCCTTTTTACTTCTGATTTCTATTTTTTGTCCGGCGGTACCACACGGACTAGTATCAGGGTCCAAAGCAGTCGTACGTAAACCATCCCTTAGCCAAGTTCCGTTCTTTGTCGCTTCACATTTCAAATTATCACCCTAATTATACTTTCCAATGCTCCAACCTCCTAGTGGGTTAACACTCCTTTGGTGTTTATGTGGGGCGAGGCGAATGTTCATCACTCTCGTGGCGAAAGGTTGGCGAATGGGGTCTATCCCCAGGTGTCCACTTCCTCTCTTTCTTGCCCCTTTTCTGGTTGTTCTTCGGTCCCCCCATCGAAGATGCGTTTTTGGAGAATTGCTGTTTCCTTTTTCTTCTCTCTCTCTTATTCGAAATGGATGCTAATACAATAAGAATTCACTTCTATTAATCTTACACGACGGTTAAGGGCTCCGTTACAGTCTAAAACCCCGTCCGACATCAGTTCCCGAAACACTTCCAATCACAAAGGGTCGAATAGTCGGACAAATCACTAGTTGTAGAATTCATACTGCAACTTGGAGAGTGTTGATCAAAATTAACACCAACTCGGCTGCATTACGCAAGCAGTCAGGGGCCAAGCATTCAGTTACCCGCGTTCAGCGGCCACTTGTCCATAGCGCTGCGGCGGAGGTCCCTTACCAGTGGGGATTTGCGGCGATCTGATGGTTGAGAATTGACGCCATCGCTTTGGTTCAAATTAAAATCTAAGCTGGATTATCTGGTCACCTTCCCGAATAGGACTATCAGGGCTTCACGGCGACCCACGAAGGGTCCTGATTTGTTCTGTCTGTATGGAGTACCGTAACATCCTCCTCTCTGTGCCTACGGAGTACCTGCTATTCTTCCGATGTATGTAGTCAGGTACAATAGATAGATACACAATGGGTACAATAGTGACACTTTGAGAGCCACTCTCCCCATGGTACCACCCCCAGGGACAAAGGATTGTGAAGATGCTGTTTCCATGGGAGTAACCTCTGAAGTAGAGAAGAACACCATGAGTCGAGCATGCGAGACCGGAAGAAGTACAGAAAGCTTTTCTCCCATGGACCCTTTCGTATCTTTCTATCTAACTAATCGCCCGCTCCGTTGACCCTGATCCAACGTCGTTGCAAGGTTTCTGGAAAGAGATCATCTCCAGCTTTCCATTCTGAGAAGGATAATCAGTGGAACCGTCGTGTGTCCGGCTCATGTGTTCAGCCCAAAGTCGGACCTGACAAGTTTGATGGATCGAATAAGGGACGATCCTTTTACTCAGTTTTATTAGAACTGCTCCGATACGGATATTCATCCCATCCCACCACGAAGGAGCGCGTATGAGTACTCCAATATCGGAGGATAGCATGAGTACGTACACCTCTTGCCTCAGTGGCGCGGAAGAGTATTGACGAGGTTCCATTTGTCTTTGGATATCTTGATCTCCCCAATGTTTGAAATCTAAAACAACATGAACAAGATGTGCCGCTAGATTTGAAGATGATCAAAAGTAATGCAATATCGACGAGTCATTCTACTTTTGGGTTTCTTTGACCTTTACAATAAAGAGTTTAATTTGACTATATTCAATAAATATTGCTATGACAGAAATTACCCCAAACAATTATAGTTGCCGTTGCTTTCATCTGTTATTTGCTTTTCAATTAAGATAAAACAAACTCTCTTTACCCTCTACCTGCCATACCAGATAGGTAGACATGTGCCAGTTTAGGTGTGTTTTGCCTAGAAGAGTAATTGCCATACCGTTTCAGGAAAAGAGCACATTCCAATCTCCAGCCTCTGGTGCCTGCCGAGAGAATCCACTGATACTTAATTAGATGGAGATGAAGGATGTGCTGATGTGCTGATGTGCTGATAAGGAATGAGATTGGGGCCAATCGCGAGCAGTATCACACAGTATTACTAGGTTTACGGTTAGAAATTATTCATTTTTCTCGTGAGGAATACTTGGACGACGCAGTGAGTGAGTGAGTGAGTGAGAGGTATCTATCTAACTCTCGGTAATAGTGTAGTACCTAGTACGGTAGATCTCCGCCGGTGTTGTGCGCAACTATTAAGGGACTTCACAGCAGTTCGGATTGTTTGGTAGAATGTATCCATAGATCACAGTTGGCTTCACCTCGTGTTCAAATTCTAGACATTGAGATTAAGTTCCCCTATTATTGTAATAAAAAAATTTTTTAATTAGTTTTTTTATTTTCTTGTTCTATTTATTCATTTTCTTTTTCTTGAAATTTGTTTGGGTTTCCCCTATTCTCCTTACTGGGGGCTCAACCAGAGTTCGAACCAACACTAATCTAGAGGGTTGCGAATCAATTACCATACCTGTATTTCATCTTATTAGGGCCTAAACTTGAAACAGGCACCCCCCACAGCTTCGACTTGTCACGTTTCGTTTTCCCGGCCTGCGATACCTTGGACCTTTCTTTCTTATCTGCCCGCCTTTCTCTCACCGTTCTTTTCAATCTTCTCTTCCTTCAATCAATCTTCTGTCTTCTGCTTCTTAAATACTGCAGCTTTCCTGCAGCGCTCTCTCCTTCTATGCTTAGCCTCGCTCGCAGAACCCTGAACCGCGTTCCCAGCTTCCAGGATATCCTACAAGGCAGAATGACCCACCCAGACATGTAAGTCTTCACGATACTCAGGGGTCTACTCTGCGATGCGCTAACATACATTTTTACACATCTCTAGTTCCGTTGACGTCCTTGTCATTGGTGCTGGCCCTACTGGCTTGGGTGCCGCGAAGCGTCTTAACCAGATTGTACGATACTCCATTTTTGGACTACGCCCTGGGGAGCTCGCATACTGATTGTTGTTGTAGGATGGCCCCTCCTGGTTGATCGTGGACAGCAACGAGACCCCCGGTGGTCTTGCTTCCACCGATGTGACCCCCGAAGGTTTCGTACGTGCTTTGGATTAGAAGCCCTTGTTTAAATCAACACGACTAATTGTATGATAGCTCTACGATGTTGGAGGCCACGTTATTTTCTCCCACTACAAGTATTTCGACGACTGCATCGATGAGGCGCTCCCCAAGGAGGATGACTGGTACAGCCACCAGCGTATCTCTTACGTCCGTTGCCAGGAGCAATGGGTTCCCTATCCCTTCCAGAACAACATCTCCATGCTTCCCAAGGAGGAGCAGGTTAAGTGCATTGACGGTATGATCGACGCTGCTCTCGAGGCTCGTGTGGCCAACACCAAGCCCAAGAACTTCGACGAGTGGATCGTTCGCATGATGGGAACTGGTATCGCCGACCTTTTCATGCGCCCCTATAACTACAAGGTCTGGGCTGTGCCCACCACTAAGGTACGCGATTCCTCGGGAAGAATCTGGAACTATGCGCTAGAGGACGAATTCGCTGATAGTTTCGGGTTTAGATGCAATGCGCCTGGCTCGGTGAGCGTGTCGCCGCTCCTAATGTCAAGGCTGTGACAACAAATGTCATCCTTAACAAGACCGCCGGTAACTGGGGTCCCAACGCTACCTTCCGTTTCCCCGCTCGTGGCGGTACTGGTGGTATTTGGATTGCCGTTGCCAACACTCTCCCCAAGGAGAAGACTCGCTTCGGTGAGAAGGGCAAGGTCACTAAGGTCAACGCCAACAACAAGACCGTGCAGCTCGCGGATGGCACCACCGTCGGATACAAGAAGCTGGTTTCCACCATGTCCGTGGATTTCCTTGCTGAAGCTATGGGTAATCAGGAGCTGGTTGGCCTCTCGAAGCAGCTCTTCTACTCCTCTACTCACGTCATTGGTGTCGGTATCCGTGGTTCTCGCCCTGACAGAATCGGCGACAAGTGCTGGGTAAGTCATACGTGGGGAAGCCATTGCGACGATAATTTGACTGACGTGTTATTCATAGCTCTACTTCCCTGAGGACAACTGCCCCTTCTACCGTGCCACCATCTTCTCCAACTATTCTCCTCACAACCAGCCTGAGGCTTCCAAGAAGCTTCCTACCATCCAGCTGGCTGACGGCTCCAAGGCCCAGAGCGACGAAGCCAAGGAGGGTCCCTACTGGTCTATCATGTTGGAAGTCTCTGAGTCTTCCATGAAGCCTGTCAACTACGAAACGCTACTCGCCGAATCCATCCAGGGTCTTGTCAACACCGAGATGCTGCAGCCTACGGACGAGATCGTGTCCACCTACCACCGCCGCTTCGACCACGGCTACCCCACTCCTTCTCTGGAGCGTGAGGGTGCCCTCGCCGAGATTCTCCCCAAGCTGCAGAACCTGGATATCTGGTCTCGTGGCCGCTTCGGTAGCTGGCGGTACGAGGTCGGCAACCAGGACCACTCGTTCATGCTCGGTGTCGAAGCAGTGGATAACATTGTCAACGGTGCCGTTGAGCTGACCCTCAACTACCCTGACTTCGTCAACGGTAGACAGAACACTGAGAGGCGCTTGGTTGATGGTGCTCAGGTGTTTGCTAAGGGCAAGTCCCTGTGAGCTATAGATCATGACCGGTTTAATATTGAATGATTCAAGGGGTAAAATCTTTAGATATACATTATGGGCAATGGGAGCCACTAATTTCATTTGGAGCGATATTTGGGAGATGTTTATTGCTGGGCATTTGTTGATGTGAAACAGCGTCTTCTACATTTTTGCTAGATTCTTTTATTCTACCTATAAAACTTTTTGATTCTAGAACTTGAACAAAGCTCATTTTACACGCATTGGCCGAGTCCGCACATTTTAAATGCTTGAGTTATACCTTTCAGATTTCTCAACTGTCAAAATACCCATTCTGTTTCAGTTTCCATGGTTCTGTCCTAGCTGCCTCTTGAACTCCCTCTCCAATGCAGTGAAGTCTCGCATGGCATCCTTACGCACTTACAGTATGTGAGCATCCTAAGGATGTAGGTGGGATCAAATGATTAGGTACATGGCATAATGAACCTGTGAAATCTACAGAAACAGACCTGTTGGTTTTCCCACGCACAGGCAATGCTGCCGAGATACCCGCCCACTCGGCATTATTAGTACGGTGGGTTTGACTTAGATAGCCCCAGGGTCGATGACTTACCAGATTTGTACATAACTTCGCCCTGGGTGGAGGACACTAGAGAAGGGACTTGTCCATAGTAAATTGTGATAGACGCGTCAGATACGATGGCATTGACACTATGCCGGAGGTGCGTAGTAGACTACCGATTCAAACCTTGAGACATATCAGGATCTACAGGGCTATCGATTGTCGATTGTCTCTAGATTAGTTAAGTCCTTCGTGTAGGTACATGACATCGTAAAGTTCTGACTGCTTCGCATGATAACATCCATTCAGGAGTCCGGTGCCACTGTTCCAATTGCCGATCTCCACCCCCAGTATCCAATGGAAAGCGTGGCTAATAGCGACGCGTAAGTACTCCATCCAAACATGACCTCATCTTAGCTATAATCAAGCCATAGCCTGCAGAGCAAATCCCTCCATATAACCCGTAGGCTGGTTTATAATTCCTGTGCTCGTTCCATAACTAGCTTAAGATACCGACTTAAAAAAAATAATATATGGGAATAATTACTAGGTAGCTGTCGCACGAATAGTAACATAACGGTCTTTGATATCATGTGTTCTAAGTATGTAATTTTCCGGCCATTTTCTACTGAGCAATACCTGACTTTTTGACATGTATATTATTACATCCAATGTCAGGAGTAAGTTTTCGGACAAGTGTGTTTCAGGGTCAAATCCGCACAAAAGAGTTAACCAATATTGATTAGCTAGGGGACATACCCAAATATCCCGCGACTGTGGAGTACGATGACCAGACTACATGTCACTGAACTTTATGGTCTGAAGCATTATAGTGCTCTAGTGTATTGTTGTGAGTGTACCGTATCCGGCCAATATGACTTTTACTCTCATTCAGAGCACGGTATTGTGTTATTAGTAGATATGCATAATATAACCTATAGCCTAGTGAGTGATTTGAATATACCAGAGGAAATAATTGTATAGCTAGGTACTGTAACCTGATAGTAAAAGATCAAAGTGTAGCAACATCATTATCATGGAAGTATGGTAGGGCGTCTGTCACTATCTTATATGGTGTTAGAATATCAAGCTGATACCTGTTTCTTCCCCTTGAATTCAGTGGCCCTTTGACAGTAATCTATATACATATCTCCAATCTTCGGAATATTTAGATTCATGTCAAAGAGTCCTCACAGCCTGTACATATGGTCGGAAGACGGAATAGCGAGCTCTAATGTAAAAGGTCTCAGAGGTTTCTCGGATCCAGGAACTCTAATAGACAACGGTAAATCAGCACAGCATGTGGAGATGTCCCAGCTTAACGTTACAGTTCTGCTCTTGAAGATCTACAAGGCTTATATTAAGTTTAGGGCATCTTTCCCCGCACTTCTTATATACCAAGAATACATAAATTTGAAGCCTGGGGTCAATAACTTTAGGAACAACCAAGACCATCATGCCGACGTAGTTTCAGGTCTCTCACTACTTAGAGTGCATGAGAGATTTGAGCCAAAACGGGGGCAGCTGTAAGGATATACTGACTCGATCTCATAGTAACTTAATCGTATACTGAGCACTCAACTAAAGACATAAAAATCTGAAGGACGTAAACCAGTAGGCCGCTCTTATGTTCCTCCGCCACTACCCTGTCAAGTATAATATCTATATCACTGGTATGCATATACTTAATAGATAGTGTGGAGATATCCATCCAAGACTAGGTCGTGAAGGCGTTATGCTATGAAATGATAGCCTAGGGGTTTTTTACTAACAACGGTACTCCTGTTCTTACAACAGCTAAGATAACCGTGATCATTCCGCGCAGCAGTATCTTAAGTGTATTTGTTAGCAAGGACACTTGTAAAAGTACAGATATGGAACTCACCAAGATCCATGTATTTGATGCTATCGTAGCGTTCTTTGTAGTCATCAGGCGGTGACATCTGCTGCAAATAATGTTTGGAGGAAAGTTGAGTTCTTTCGCGTTTACTTGGCAATTATTATAACGGCGGAGCCCACTCCCCTATATTTAGTTAGATAGACTGTTTCGTAGAGCAACGTACTCTTCGAAAGTGATCAGACGGCCTACGTACTTATTCTCGGGAGTCAAGAACTGAACCCACGTCAGCGTGCAGGCATAGGTTCATGTCTAATTTAGTAGTGATCTCCGTGCCGCCGCCATCTACGCAGGTTGTGATCAAGGAATAGCCGTCGCCGTCAAGCTTCCAATTTTCACAGGCCCTACTAAATTGACCCAGTGGTTGGGGGGTGTTCCAGGAGCGGCCAGAATTACTAGGGGTAGAAGGATGGAGGGCAGAAAGAAACGCATGTCTCCGAGTGAAATAATGGTAGCGATTCGTGAGGCTGAATACGTATGGTTGATTTATGGGCGATTTACTCTTCCAGTTAGAAAGCATTTTCATAGTTGAGAGGACGTCCTGGCGTTGTTGGGCACACCGGGCAATTATGGCTTCATTGTTAGGAGGAAAAGATTTTTATATATCGCCCCAGCAGTCAACAAAGTCCAATGAATCCTAAATTGAACAGTGTACGAGAACTTCTTTGTGCCAAAGTAGGCGTATGTACAATATTTACAGTGATGTACATGGAGAGAGAAACCTTCATATTTCCCAGATGCTAAATATAGGTTTAAATATGAGCAAGTAATCTTCAAGTACTGTGTGTACAGTATGTGTTTGGAAACTTAATATTAAGTATGTTTTCTCATTCCTTCTCATGATTGCGTGTACTTCACATAACTCATTTAGTTTTGCATCAATTCTCAATATAATTATATTATATTATATGTATACTTTTTGGCTACTGAGCATTAAGTCTTGACCCCATACTACTTAATTGAAGTTAAGGTAGGCTTCAATAACTTAAATATCAAAGGTTGGGTAATGTTTCAGTTTGTACGGTACTCAGCGTGGCTATTGCTCGATTTAAGGTGGCGGTGTGTATATATTTTACGAGACATTTTACGCAATTTTACTAACGGTCAACATAGAATCCTTCGTTGATTGATCCACACAGCGCAGATACTAACAACTATTAACCATACAATGAAAATTGGGGAGATACAGGCAGGTAATTCTCCGAATCGCGGTTTCAGTCTCCGAAAGGGTCTAGATACTGATCCTTTATCAGCCAGATCCAGACCGCACGCTTAATGTGAAACATGTTGCGGCTGTTCTATTCTTGGACGAAGTAATCTGGGACATGTAAGACAACCCTGGTGTTGTGAATTTCATCAGACCTATTCCAGAAGCTTTTCAGTCCCACTCAAGCCTAGGTGCCACTTCCCCTATACCATTCGCCCAGCGGCTTTCGCCTAAGTGTGGCCAGTCCAAAGTCGTCCGCCTTGTCTTCGGGTTGATGATAGAGTTCGGCCAACATATTATTGACCTGATTCTGAAATTGCGCTGAAGCTCGCATGAAACGTTCGAAGATCTCTCGTTCCTATGTATTCAGTCAAACCGGAGGGGGGGAGCGACTGAAGGGCTATAAATGAGAAGAGGACTTACGTTGTTAGTGGGTTCCGAGCGGCCACCATGTGGACCTCCCGTACTCTCCTGTCTTCCTTGTTCCTGACTGGTAGACACCGTCAAATGTCGTATAGCATTAAGTGCTCCTTCACGATGTCTATGAGCAAGATCTTGCAGCGCTGCTTCTGCCTCCTGACACAACATAGCACCAATTTGGTTCTTATCCTGCTTACTATACACCAATTCGCCAGACTCTTCCGCGGCAGTGTCTCTGACCTGAATACAAGATAACGAAGAGGCTATCAGTCCCTGTTAGAGGGTTTCCTATCGATTGAGCATACCTGTGTAGTGCGCAGTGCAGGATCTGGTGTGGTAGTATGTTCGGTTGTGCTGTGTATGCATGACGCGTCACGCTGATCACTTCCGATGCTGCTGGCACACATGTCGTTTTTTCTATCCGTATCATTTTCATTGCTTTCATCTCCTATGCCAATAATTCGAGGAATGGCCGTTGAGTCTCCTCCGCCGGATTCTGAGCCAGGACTCTTCTTTGGGCTAGTGTCCAGAGTCACCGTCTCATGAGGTTTATGCGGAAACTCAGCATCAGATACTTGAGATTCGATGTCAGAATCATTTCTATGGCGTGATAAGGCCTCAACCTTCTTGTCGTGTGATGTGAAAGACGTGTCGATCCTACTTCCTTCTGTAATTTTAAGGGTTTTCCTTGCAGGCTGTGTCATTGGATTTGCCTCGGAACGTCCACTCTTGTCTAAACATATACTGAGAAGGATATCAGGAGACTGAACCAAAGATTCAAGTCGTTTGGACGATTTCGTCTTCTTTTGAAGCTCGATGTCGGTGTCTGCGCTTTTTGATTCGGGCAGCGTCAGGGCTTGTCCTGTGTTGTCTTTCGATCACCTTATTAGCCTGTCTAACAAAGTTCATTAGGGGAGGTGCCATGAGGATAGTACCAGTCGGGATCCCCTCTTCCAGATGATATTCGTTAGCAGCCAAGATGCTGTGGGCTGAGAATACTGCAGGGAGGGTCACATCTGAGTTGGTTATTTCCTGTGGGTGACAATACAGAGTGTGATTTGAAGCAGCGTGATTCTCATGGGTCGCAAAGAACTTCTTCAGCCTTTCGTACGCTGTGTTGATGAAGTTGCCCCATTGCGTTAGGGACTTTCTTGGTAAGGCTGAAAACAATGGGTGAACCTTCAGTGAATGATACAGCTGTTCGGCACAACACGCCCATAAGGCTTTGACAGAAGCCTGCCAGTGAATGCCTGTTAACAATGACTTTGCACCACTTGACACAGGACGACCAGTGTTAGCAAATGATTGGCACTCCCGGAATGAGTTAAGTGGATTCTGTTTTGACACAATTCCGCCAGTCGTCTGTGAGATGCTGTTTCTATAGGCTATCTGCCCCCATTGTGATCCTGCCGATGGAGACGGGCTATGTTCCTCATTGGAAGGAAACACAGGGACATGCCTGTGGCTTCTTCGCCATCTCCCGTGTGATGGGCCTTCATTGAGCTGTGGATCTATTTCTCTATCACAGCTGGACCCGCTGGAGTGTGAAAATGCATATGGAGAGAGGCTGTTCGAGTCCACAGATGCTGTTTCATTATTTTCGCCATCGCTCTGATCTGGCTCTTGCTCATGCCATTCAGTGAACTGGGTACGCTGCAGGAGCATCCTATCCAAAAAATCGGCGATGTCATTTTCCGCAAGTGTAATCCTGGTGGGCCTATGCCGAATCATGTCTGATGTTTTCGCTCTAATACTTTTTTTACTCTCTCTCTCTCTCTCTCTCTCTCACTCACACAGTACTCTGATGTTTCAGACTATGAGGGAAGGACGGTGTAGATAATGTTGTAGGAAATTAAAGAACTGATTCATCCTTTGGGTTGTTACAAGTCACTACAGTGGACACTTCAGGTGTTGAATTTCTTAAGGAAAGTGCGATGGTGAATATGCACAACATCTTTTCCTAAATTATAGATATAATAGAATGCCTTCTAAATGAGCTAGCCCTATTTTTCCTGATTTATTTGTTTTTAGTTTTGTTTTTAGTTTTTGTATTTTATTATTGTCTTGCGAGTCACGATGACTGATGCAGACAAAAACCATGGAATATATATAAAGTCGAAAGAGTGGAGCCGTGGCTGTACCGTTCTGTAGGCCACTTTGGGGGTACGATATTATGATGATTTGATGATTTATGCATATTTTTATTATTCAATTTACAAAAGAACATGTGTTTCTTCGACTAAAATAAATGACAGAGCCGAGGTGGAGAGCACCAATCCGAAGTATATTCCTAAGATTTAATCATTAAATATAGAATGATGGATCTCCAGACACTGCCAGCTTGTCTCCAGGCAGTCACTTTTAATTCCTCCCACTGCTAGTATACTAAAGTAATTACTTTAGTAGTACTTGGGATAGCGGTAACACGATGGATGCTAATAATAAACTGATTTCCTAAAGAGGGATACATCCCCAGAACCTCAGGCTGCCAACCTTTCAGCCTCTTTCTTGATTTCTCCTCTTTCTTTCTTTCTTTCTTTTTCTTTTTCTTTTCTTTCTTTTTTTTCTTTTCCCCCTTCTGGTCTCTCTCACCCCTCGTTCACCTCCATCGTTTTTTTTTATAATTTATTTCATTATTTTTTTTCTCCCCCTCTCTTCTGGTACTCCCCTTCCCCATTCGTGATCCGATCGTTTCATTTCATTTCATTGATTTTATTCTATTTCTTCTATTCCAGAGTGTTTAGTACGAAGTACTTAGTACTTGCTCTCGTTTTACCTGGGTTGTATCATGCATCATCCGCAGCTCCTCCGACCGCCGCCATAGCCCGTCGGCCACCCCTCTATATTCGCAGGAGGCCTACCCTATTATTATCTCTCCTACACTCCCTTTCTTGACCACCGTTTCCTCCCCTCCTCTTCCTCCTCCTCCTCCTTTTCATCCTCTCTCTTTTATTTCCCTCATCCTCCCGGGTATCACGGTGCGCTGGATTTTCTGGTGATAACCCGCGCCAACAAAATCCCATCCGCCCCCCCCGGTATCTCTTTTTCCGCCCCCCCCCTTTCGACCTCCCACCGTGATTTCTCCATAACCACCCGTGCCCATCATGGATGGGGATCTCAGCCTTTCCCAGTCATTGGGAGGCCTACGGATTGCGAACCCAGATGATTCGTCGTTGCATTCGTCCGAGGATACGGCAACGCCCGCTGCGACTGTGGCCTCTGAAGCACTAGCAGACTCCGATCCTACGCGCCAATGGACTCGGTCCGAACAGCTAGACGATACGCTGTCGACAACGCCACCCCAACCATCAATATCGTCCTCAGAGGAACCACTTCACGACCCCCCAGCCATGATCGAGCCGCTCGTCAAACCAGGCGGGAATCGAAGTTCAACCTACCTACCTCAGACCGATCAAGCGCAGCAACCTACTCAACAATCTCCTGCCTATATATCTCAACAACCGTACCCCCAACCACAATCACAACAAAATCGCTCTTTAGGGTCTTCTCGCCCTTTATCAGGCCTCTACGCTTATGCGAATGGGTCCTCATCCACACTGGCAGCCCGGGAGGGCTCCTATCGGATTCGTACCGATTCCGCTGCATCGTCCGCTTCCGAAAGTCAGGCACGGGCAGAATCCCGTGGCGGCTCCGCGGCGTACCAGGCAGGGGTCCCGGTACGCGATAATAGCCATAGTGATCGGTCATATAGAACGGCGCAGCTGCCGGTGGGCAATGGACCCATGGTGATGCGCCAGCCGTCCCGTGCTCGCGCGCGCCCGGCAGGTGCTCCACAACTCGCGGGTCCCCCTTATGGGATGGAGAATGGCCAAACCTCAAACAGTGAAGACTGGCATGAGCGAGGTGCAGCCGTTGCAGTGAGGCAGGAGATAGATGCCAACGGGAAGCCCGTCGCCCGATATATCAAGAAGGGTGTCCGTGATTTTTCCTTTGGAAGCACACTCGGAGAAGGCTCATACAGTACTGTTGTACTTGGAACTGACCGTCAAACGCTCAAGGAGTATGCCATAAAGATCTTGGACAAACGGCACATAATCAAGGAGAAAAAGGTGAAGTACGTGAACATCGAGAAGGATACCCTCAATCGGCTTACCGAGCATCCCGGAATCGTTCGACTGTATTATACCTTCCAGGATGAGCGCTCATTGTATTTTGTGCTGGACCTTTGCAAAGGTGGTGAACTGCTGGGAGTATTGAAACGTATGACCAGCTTCGACGAAGAGTGCACGAGGTTCTATGGAGCTCAGATACTAGACACTATAGACTACATGCATAAGCGTGGCGTTATACATCGCGACCTGAAACCGGAAAATGTTCTTCTTGACAACCAGATGCATATCAAAATCACTGATTTCGGTACGGCAAAGATTCTCAAGGCTCCGCGCAAACCAGATCCGAGCACAAGTGGGATGCTGGCATTGGACTCGCCAGAAATTCCCGAAGAAGAGCGGGCAAGCTCCTTCGTCGGTACGGCCGAGTACGTCAGCCCCGAGCTATTGACCGACAAGAATGCGTGCAAGGCAAGTGACCTGTGGGCATTTGGTTGCATCGTCTATCAGCTCTTGGCTGGTCGCCCTCCATTCAAAGCGGCGAACGAGTACCTGACGTTCCAAAAAATCGTTGCACTTGAGTATGAGTTTCCCATCGGTTTTCCCGCTGTTGCCCGCGACCTTGTTGAGCGTCTTCTTGTGTTGGACCCGACCCGTCGGCTTCCAATCGAACACATTAAGAACCACGAGTTCTTCCGGGGGACGACATGGGGCCCGGATTTGTGGAAACAAAAAGCGCCCCGTCTCAAAGCCTATGTTCCTCCCGCCCGCGAACCGATCAAACTGAACGGAGCCGGTGAGGGTGACAGCTTCTCTGCAGGCGTTGCGGCAGGCCCATCAACCACCAACAATACCAGTTCCAGGGTTGTCCCCAGACTGGTCACGGAATTGCCACCTCCGAGCCAGCTTGATATTGAGTGGTCGCCGGTGCTTACCAAAACCAACGAAAGGATATTAAAGCTGGGAAATCTAATGGTACTGTCTTCGCCGGCTGCACATAGCCCTTCTACTAAGAGTGGGAACGGTGAGAGCGAAGCACCGAAAAAGTTCTCCCGCTTCTTTGGAGGAAGCACAACGAAGAAGCGGCAGCGGCTGGTCATGGTCACTTCCTCTGCGCGTATTATCATGGCCGCGGCAGGTGGGGACGAGAAAAAGGCAAAGTTAGACATCTCTCTGCTATCCCCAGGAACGCACTGGCGCTCCTCCACGGATTCGAAAGGACTCTCTTGCTGGGTCGTTGACACGGTATGAACATCTTGTGCATGAAACATCCAAGTGGACTACTGCTAACTGTACGTGTGTAGCGTGACAAACATTATGTTTTCGAAGACCCCAAACCATCCTCTAGCAATGCTAGCACGGCCACTCTGAACGCGCAGGAATGGGTGGATTCCCTGGATCGTGCTCGAGAGATGGCTTTAACCCAGCAAGCGAACGGGTCTTATTCGGCCGACGAGGCTTTCCGTGACATATCGTCCGAGTTGTCGAGCCATGCTAACACACTGGACCGTACCTCCGAGGTTGTTCACGAAAATCCACCTGGACGAGCCACTCTAGTTAAACATCAGCCCACTGATTCGGACTCGGTCAAAGGAAAGAAGCGGTTTAGTAGGCGTCATTCGAAGAATGGACTGGCAGCCGTCTTCTAGACTATACAGCTGGCTTTTTTTTTTTGTTTTACAACACAAGGTTCTGGCTCGCATATGCCGCAGGTTGAATGTTTCTAACCAGCATTTGAGTGCCGCTCATCTGACATCGGGTTTGGTCACTGCGCAGGATCGCAACTCCAAATTTTCTTTCTCTGGACCCAGACTATAACACTGTTTCTTTGCCTCTACCTGATATCCAGATGATGTGACTTTCACTACGGGACAGCTTCCGTCCCTTTCATACTTTGTATTTGCTGGCAGGTCTTGGAGTATTGTTGACATGGACCTTTAGCCGGCAACTGTTGTTTCCTTTGTCTTGCATTTGTAGCAATTCCTTTTGTGATCTTTGTGATGTGACTTGAATTTCAATTTTGCCTTGCATCTTTGCAATGATGAGCGTGTTCTATCTTCTTAAGATCGCTGCATTTAGATGGGCAGGAGTACGCATATATCCCTCATCTGGCATCTTTTTGTTGTTTTGTATTGCCTTTACTTCAGCTTCAACTTCTTACTTTCTCCCTTCCTTCCCTATTTTAACACCATTCTCTCCTCTACATATTGAGATATATACTCTTCGCTTGGTCGAAACAGACGATCCACAGAATCTTGTCGGATATCGCTTTGTCAGTGTACAGAGTTCCATACAGAAAGCAATCAGGATAGCCCCCCGATGGATCTTGATCCATCCTTCCTGCTTCAGGTTCCGTTTGCCGTTATACCATTCGGTTTGTTCCACTGAGCGGATTTTTTTTTCTTTCTTCCATGTTTTCTTTCCATAGGAGATGAATTGATTCCCCCAGTCTGCGTCTTTCCACCTTGCCGGATTCCCAATCTCCATTTTCGTATCATTCTGCCCTGTTTTATTTATAAGCACTTCTGTTCTTGTCAAATAACTTTCCCCTTCCATGGTATCTCATATAGTCGAATTCAAATCTTCCATTCAGGTTGGATATCTTGTTGCTTGCGGTGGCTTCTAGGTACTTCGGCATCCTATTTTATTTATTCATGCGGAGCTCTTTGGAAAAAGGTCAATTGTTTGACGGGTGGTGATGTAACTATCTATCTCCGAAACTTGTATTTCTTTAGTCTTAGAGATTTTAAAGAAGACAATGCGAAAAACGTCGCTTTCTACCATGTCTTCCAATGCAAGATTAGTTTGACTACCTACCATTCAGAATTTTCTCTTGAACAACAGAAGTACCTATAGGGCAAGGAAAAAAATTACTATATCCAGTGCAAAGAAATTTATATCCTAGTGACTATGTACATACATAACATCATACTCATGATAATATAGGCATTAATATATACGTGCAAATTTTGCATCTCATATAAACAACCAATCGATCCGAGAATCATCCAATTCTTGAATCCAATCGAAATCGTCATCATCGTAAGGTGAAGAATCCGACGGATCATCGGTATTGGCCTGCTCCTGCTGCTGAGCTCGTCGCGAGTCTCGTTTCTGCCACATTAGACTGAGGACCCAGGCTGCGTTGCGGACATTCACGGATGTGACGTCGTAGTAGATAGCACTTAGCGTTTGGAGGAGGAATGGTCGGTGGGAGGGATCAGTGCATTCTGCACCGGCTATAAAAGTGGGCCAGATGAGGCATTTGAAGTGTGCGTCTGCAACCGGGATTAGGGGGATCTTTTGGATGAGCAAGTTGGTGACGGCTTTGTGATCTGGTGGGAGGCCGTAGGAGTCGGATGTTGCACGGCCGTGGTACCGAGGGCGGGAGAGGACTCGACCTGTGTAGAGGTAGACGGCGGCTCGCCAGATAGTGGCTAGAGCGGTCCGCACAGATAGATCGGGGAGGTAAAGGAAGCCTTGCATATCTTCGGCCCAGGCAACTGGATCGAAGGCTTGGATGTGCTGGAGGAGGGCTGCGGGCGATTCGAAGGGGTTTGAACCTTTTGGTAAGAAGGTGGAGGAGTAATTCATGGCTGGTGGTTTGGTGTCTGGGTCGGAATCTGGGCACCAGCCTTCGTGGACGAAGAAGATGACTTCGAGGAGGTAGGCTGGACATCCTGTCCAGGAGGTTTGTTCGAGGCGTTTCAGGGCTTCTGGGCCCATGTCTGAGGAGTAAAAGGGCTTGGAAAGGGAGCCTGGCCGTGCGAGAGTCGCGCCCATGACTTGCATGCTGGGAGGAAACGGTTAGTGGGGACGATGGCAACATTTTTTTTATGAATGTTAACTTACACGAGGCAACCATCAACGACAAATGCATCCAGCCAGTCAATTATGCGTTGAGTCGGACTGGAAGGGCTCTTGTTTTGCCGTTTCACTAACAGTTTCTTTACGCCTTCTAAATGGTATTTCCATGCGCCGTCGCCCGACTCAATGGCATCTATAAGAGCAAGAACCATGATCACAGCCAAAGTCCTGGTATCGTTTTGTTTGATAGGGTCTTGCAAGTCCAGCGACAGTTGACGAAGCGTGCGTTGTTTCAATCCCAGGAAATGTTCGTAAAACTTGGAAGCCGGGCGTCGCGACATGGAGCTGATCACAGCCTTTTCAACGTCTTGGGGAGATGGCAGGGCCCCAGTGACTGAAGCGCCGTTCGACAACCATGGTGTTGGTGAGAAGTCGCTGCTGGCTAACAGCGCGTAGTGTAAAGCCCCAGTGGCGGCAAGCGCAAGGGCGAGAACCGGAGAATCGCCCACCAAGACTGTCAGATCCCGATACGGATTCCGAACATTGGAATATAGTGCGAGGCAGCCCACTACATTATGATTGACTTTAAGAATAAGGTTAGCTATATTTTCCCTTTCTTGCTTCTAGAAAAAGGGAGCCAAGACTCACAGTGTGAAATATAGAACCTTGATAGCGGATTCAAGTCTTTGAATAACGGGTCAACCATGCCCCGCGGAGAAGGGACACAGTCCAGGACGGGAATAGTTGTCTCTGATCCCACCAAGCAGGAATTGTTTTCCAATTGCGCCACATCAGGAGTGCTATCAATAGGTGGCGTGTGGGATACATCGCACGGACTAGTATCCGAACTGTCCTGACCTTGTGCGTCCATCGCGGAAAGCGTGGGATCGGGGGTGACGGAAGAATCGTCATTTTTGCAGTTCGATGAGCCTTGAACCACATCATCAAAGCTGCGCCCCATCATCTTTCCCCGACTAGCCACACCACCCTTCACCCAGACGAGGGGTTTCTGGTAGCCCAAGCATTCTTTCCCCGCATCCCGACATTTTCGACACGTGGGGAGGCCATTGTCGCAGATGATGCGTCGGCGACGGCAGGTGTAACAGCCTTTACTCATGGCTCTTTAGGATCTATTGGTTGAGCGAGTCACTAATTTAGGGGTTAAGACAACTGGATCCTAAAGGACCAACTTAAAGCTATTCCAGGAGGGTATTGGAGTATGACATTAGCCATCCTCAGGAGACGGCTATGAAGAATCAGACATCACGGGAAGATGGCAGCGCCAATAGGACATCGCTCTAGGAAAGAAAGGTAAAAGGAAAGCTTAAGGGATGGAGACAGGAGGATAACTCCGTAAAAGTGCGCAATTCATGCCGGAAACTTGGCGGAGAAGATACACGGATGGATTGATAGTCATCAGCCTACTAAGCCGGTTGTGGTATGGTTGCCAAGCATTCCTTAAAATCTAGCCTAGCCCCGAGGGCTTCCAAATCACATGCTTCTTTCTATATGAACAACAGTGTTAAGATATCACTCCGAAGTTTGATACCTATCTTACGCAGGCACAGCTCTAGGGGAAAGGTATGGATTCACGTACAAGTAATCTAGGGTAAGCTTCCACCTGACATGATTATCTGTGGGTGACTTTAGAATCCCTGTAGCTGGAATACTGTCTTTTGCTATGCGAATGGTCAGTCTCTGTAGGTTCGATCTTCGTCACTCTATGAAACAAAGAGGGATAAAGAGAGGTATGGTAGCACCGGGAGCAGTCTGATATGTCCCTGCCTTGCCTGCAAGAATAACACAGTCGGGTCTTATTAATACGGTGCATAGTTAGGCTATAGTTGTGACATAAATCTGCTCTGTCAAAGCCGGTCTGGAGTTTCTGGGGGATTGAAGCTCATTCTGTTGGAAGAATATGCCCAAAGGCGCCTGGCTGATCATGATTCGTATGCTTGTTCATCCAGTCCAAGTCGCAATTACTACTGTCACCCCACCATATAGTACGTTCTCTGAGCGCATGATGGTACAGGAGAAGGCCAAGGTAATGTGGATGAGTACAAGCCATTAGCAGCGGTCTAAATGCCTTCTCAAGTTGCTAATGTGAATAACTGTCGGCAAGAAGTATTATAAGTACCAGTGCCTAACTGCATACTAAGTTTAGAGGAACCATACATTCGTTGGCTGGTCAGATCTGCCCATGGCAGTAATCGTGTACACATAGGGCTGCAAATACGACGAAGGCCTCTCTCTTATTAGATCAGTTGCACAATCTCCTGAAGATAAACCTCGGCCAATGGTGGAAGAAGATGTATCTGAGATATGATTTAGAGTCTAGTTACTGGTGTATAGCCCGACGATACTATACCTCTTGCTACCTCCTGCACCATCCCAAAGGCAGTAATGGCGTTTTTGTTAACGCTTTGAAGGGCAGCGTGTTTTACAGTTCGTCAAGGTCCAACTTGAAACACATCGCTTTACTGAAAGTGGTTGGGATGGTGATTGTGTTTGAAGATGTCGAAGGATTACTAGAATGCACTACAAGGGCTACGGTGGAAGATTTACGGTTTCTCTGTCCGCTCGTATCTTTAGCCAGGGCTCTGTCATTTCTTACACAAAATGTTTGACAAGAGGCAGGCCGTTCCAACCACAAATCGTAGCGCTAGAGATCTACTTGACGTCTCCTTGCCATCCAGCAAGTCCGGCCCCTCAACGGGAGAGATGGACGAAGGATATGTGAGACCAGCGAGTCCATCTGATAGCGAAACCGACTTTGCCACCTCGTGTCATACTCCAGGAGCTGAGCCGCCGAAGCTGTCCTTCAACCGATCTGGGCACTGACAAGGCTTTCCGAAAAATCAATGTACGATGAAGCAAGGTCGCGTCGTCTCAGTAGATCTTTGAGAAGCCGAATATGTGATTGTATTCGCCCCTATGTCAAGTTCGATAACTGAACATTATTCATCCCTAACCATCTCTTTGAACCGAACCCGTTTCGCAAGATCAGAAGAAAAAGAGACCGTTTCAAATGCCACGTATGGCTCCAACGCAAATATGTATCACATTCTCAGCCTCCCTTCATTCACGGCAATCTAGGGAACTCCCGATCACCGGACTATCAAACCCTCGGTGAGTGCGTTCTTTACGAGCTGGGGTTGGCGTTCATCTATTTTGAACATCAGCCTCCGTTTCAACCATACCAAAAAAAAAATGGCATATTATCTCCATCGCCTTCTCATACCTTGCGCTTGCCACCGGTCATGGTGACGTTGACGAAACGACGAGTGTAGATGATCCTCTTGCGGGCGCGGCCCTTAGGGCTCTTGGGCTTCTCCTGCTTCTCGACCTTGGGAGTGGCGGCCTTGACCTTACCGGCACGAGCGAGGCTGCGAGAAAGGGTCAGAATTTGCACATGGAGGGGATATTGTCGATGGAGGGGTTGCGAGGCGAAGGGTTACTTACGATCCGTGGACCTATTGACGATGGAAAAGTCAGCACTCAGCATTTCTCCGGAACAAGAGAGAGGGGATAGACGATTTATTCACATACCTTACCCATGTTGACTGTATTTGGCGGATGAACGGGGAAAGGGTTTCGTTAGGTTCTGTCGATGGTGTTGTCGCTGATGATGCCGGCGGGATTGTGGGCTCGAATTTTTCAGTGTGGTCACGGGTTTGTGCGCTTGTTCGCTGCGGCCCCACTTATTTTAGCCCGGAACAAAGTATTGCCTCCATTGAGACCGCCTGGATGCCTGGGGCTGAGATACCAGTCGGTTGGATTAATGTTGGTCCGGGTCATCATTCGCACTTTCCTACTTTTGGACGGAGACGTCACATGATCAGGTTCTACGTTCAATTAGGGCTATCGACAGGAGTAGTGACTATTGAGTATTCCATTTCGCAGAAAATATGTACGGTTAAAATGTTTACTACCCGCGGGAATAGATCAGCGCGTCGCCTACGAGGCTCATGGCATGCTCAAACAGATATAATAGACTATTTAGAACGCAACCTTGGAATACCTACCTACCTATATACATATAAACGTGGTTAAATCAGTGTCCGTCAGTGTGGGATATGGTGGGGTACTGGGACACGCCTGAATACCTTCGGTTCTACAAGCTATAGTGTATGCTCCTTCCTAAGAAGCTCAACCTACACTACTCATAATACTATACTACTATTGATTGAACGCCCAAAAAATAAGCAGTGATTGAATCAGGAATTCAGAGTAGACATTTCTGTGTCGAGTTCCATAGTACCCTCAAACTTGGATGACACGAAAGTCACTCAGTCATGGTTGGAGAGGAGGGAGGGAAGGGGGGGGGGGGGGGGGGGGGGGGGGGGGGGGGGGGGGGGGTGTGGTTCATACCAGAGACCGACAGAGGGTCAAAACTCCAACTTAAGTCTAGCTAATCACCCCCCCTCTGGTGAGCAAACAAAGTAGATGACGATTGTATGGACTGTGGGCTGTGTAGGCAAGGCTGGCTGCATATTAGGAGCATGCATCAAAACGAGAAGAATGAGAGGCGATAGCTTGCGGGGTCAAGCGGATTTAGATATACTTACAGCGAATGATAAATGGTACATAGTAATAGGAATACAATGTGATGTAAGGCAAGTTTTCAATAAGTAGGATAATTGAGGGGGGATAGATGCATATGGTATGTATCTGCTCTCATACTTCGGGGCATATAGTCGTATATAAGACATGATGCTTGCAGGATGACATGCAACCAACAAACAGCCAATTGTTACAACCCCAATACAATTATTATCTTATGTAGTTGCTAGCGCCCTTTGAACGTTACCTACGCATAATGCATTTGGTAGACAATAGTCTGTCGATCGTAGCTCGAGGGGTAAGGCCCGACCCGCACACGATCTACCAGAGGGGCTATACTAGGGTTACTATCGTTCAAGGATCGGTGTTTCCGAGAATATGATAGAGCTGATGAGCCACTACCTGGCTAAGCAAATGAAAGATAAATGTTCAGCAATTGCCCGTCATATTGGGAAATGGAGCACACGGGAGGCAGCTGCTAATCCAGCTGAAGAGAGCCAAGAGACCGTGCTCGTTCAGTCGATCAGCCACCAGGCCCATATATAATACTACGAGAGTTTAACATTCCAATATTTACGCAGCCTACACCGCCATACTTCGCACCAGGCGTAGATACTTTTTTTTTTTTTTTTTTTTTTTTTATGAACTGATTACGCATAATGCGTAGTGGAGATATATATGCTCGTAATGCTTAGGTTCATCTTGACTTAGGGATCCCAAACCAATAGTTCGGCATCACCGTCGTCCAGAGAGTGGCCAATATATGGAACCAATGTTTGCCTGGTGGTAACCATGGATCCACGTAAGAGACCAGGGTGAATGCGAAGCAAAGATATGGATTCCGAACTGTTGTCTAAAGCTTGTGGGCTTAATCTGCACGTTCTAGATCTGTTTGGTAAAAAGCAAAAAAAATTCGACGAATTGTCCTAATCTGTGCTGTCGCATACTACACGCCATGGTCAGCTAGCCTCCGGCATGATTTATTTCTTGTTTGGGAAGTTGCATAAAGTACTGTGCATCGTTAGCCGCCATACCGAGTCTGACCTGTAGAGGGTTCGGAATCTGGGATCTGCTGTGGGTATTGGTCCTGCAAAGGACCCATGTAGTTCTAAATTGACTGTATGTTACTCACTACATGCTTTCTATGGGCCTTAAAGTGAAAGTGGCCTGAAAGAAGGCAGAAACCTCTATCAAGGGACAACAAAAATGGTGACAAATCCGCTGGAGTTGTCCACACGGTCCGATAGTGTTACGAATAATTACTTCCGAGGATCCGGTCGGATCCTCTTCCTTGTACGAACTGACATCCACTAAATTACTAGCTGACTGCTAACTCCAAATGAAACGTACAGCGAAAGGACGTAATTCAATCGATCTCAACTCTCCACAGCCCCGTTCGATCCATTGACGCCATTTATGCCATTCAGGACACGTACTCCGTTCACACCATTCGCTTTATACACCCCGTTCATCCCCTTCACCGACCCATTTTCATGCATCTTACGGCTGTCCCCATTGTCTGGTTCGTCTACGGCCGGTCCATTGGAAGGTGCAGTCTGGCGCGTCAGATTCTTTCTTGCCCTCTTCAAAGTAGACACGACACTGGCGGGGTTGGGTAGATTGGGATTGTCACCCCCCTTCTTGGGGATCGACTCCTTGTCTATAATCCCCGCTTTGACCATCTCGTTCACACTGGAATGAATCTCAGCTTCCACGGGAATATCCCGTGGTGCCCCCAGGTTGGGTGGGAATCTCCGTGGAACCCATTCGCCTTTCTCCAGCTCTAACCGTGTGAAGATGGGCAGCAACTCTACCAGATTTTCCGATCAGTATACTTACGATGCCAAGAAAAGGGATTAAAAAAAAGAAAAGAAAAGAAAAGGCGCATACCAAGGATCCACCACAAAATAACCATCAGGAATCCCGAGGCATGTCCGAACCTGAGCGAGTCATGAGGCTGATTGGTGCGACGCCTCACCTCCCATGCGTTGGTCCCTGGTTCCTCCTTTCCAGGGAAGACGCTTTCAGCCCTCAAAACATCCTCAACATTAGTCGTCTGGAATTCAAGCTTACTCTCCGAGCCCTCCAAGTGGAGAACTTCCTGGATCATCCAATTTAATGGTGTGTCGGAAAGCAGATGTTTCTGACCTTTTTGGAGATTGTAGCCACCACCTACATCGCAGTGATTTCCAGCAAACCAGACTTCCTTGAAGTCAGAGGATGGCCCACTCTTATCCATCATGTAGAGAGCGGGCTTGAACTTGAGCCGTCTCTCGTGGATGGACACCGCATGTCGAATGTACTTTGCGGCGGGTGTCGCGATAAATCGGTATGACGTGCGGAAAAAGGGGATTTCGAATTGGCCGACACTATTGACGCAGTCGAACAAACCAAGGAAATGTATGCCCACGCCTAGTCGGCAAAAGGTCGCTTTGAACTTTTTCATAAACTCGTTCAGCTCTTGGTCCTTTTCGGTCTGAGGATTGTTTCCGCGGGACTGTTCGTAGTTGCTGAACGTTTCCCAGGCGAAATGAACCATTTCCTCGTTGCCACGGGAAAGAAGGCCCAGTTCATGGACCATCTCCGCGAGGAACCTCGCGGTATAAGCACCACGAGAGAACCCAAAGATATAAATATGATCACCTTCAGAGTAGTAACGCATCAGGAAGCGATAGCCAGCCAGGACATGATCGCTAAACGAGGAGCCGACTGCTTGGTCAACAACACTGATAACTTTGGATTTGATTTTGGGCCAGAATCGAACCAGTCCAGAGCTGGAGGACTGGCCTTTGACGTAGGTCCCAATACCCGCTGGCAACAAGATCAGTATAAGTTCATCTGGCAACGGGCTATCCTCAACAAACCAACTTACGTTGATAATAATGAAACTGGCTTGGAGAGTGTCGATCTAGCATCTGATAGATCTTCATGATATTCGTGTCTGACTCATTTCCTTGAAACTGATTGCCCGTCCCATCAAAGCATAGGACAAGACGACGTGGGTTGTCGTCAGGAACATTGGTTTCATCTGCGCTGTGTGGCATTGTGTAGATACGATATCGAAGGTGCAGCAAGTAGAAGGCAATAAAGGTAGAGTCAAGTCAAGCCCAGAATTTTGCGTCGAGGGGCGGAAGATCCAACAGCCGTAGTTTAAGAATATCTCCAGGACTTAAGATGATGACCATGAGGCCCTTTTCCTATGGGAGTCGAGTCAGTGAAAGCCACATAGACCTTTCAGCTTCTCTTTGCTTTTTTCTTTTCCTTTCTTTCCTTCTTCTTCTCTGATTTTTTTGATTTTTGCATAACGGGGAAGTTCTCGCTTCGACCAACGGGGTACGCCGCGCTGATGGACATCTCTTCTGCGTCTCAATGGCTGGACTAAGTACCAAACATTGGAATACTAGATTCGTATTATATGACCGCATCGTTCTTGCGAAGGGCTTCATGCAGTGTAACATCATGCACATCTATGTGAAGGATTACATTGGCTAGAATGATGCAGCCATGGTTTGGAGGCCCGTTCGGGTTTCCCCTTCAGAAGGGACTTCAGGGGAGGCACACCAATACAACCTAACACTGAGAAACTTGTGGCTGGCTGACTTGACCTCTGGGGCGAGCTGAAATAACTCCGTGATCGTAACCACCACTCGCATAAAGCAAATCTGTCATGGTTCTGGATGCATGGTCCTGGAGGGGAGAAAATATTAACAATCCCAAAAGAGAAAGAGCTTAAGTGGCGTGTTATGCCGGGGCTCTTCAGCTCCCCCTCATCAGCTATCCACTGATATCAAAGTATGTCCGTTAGCCGAGGGGCAAGGGCAGGGTTGATCTAGCAATCTACCTAGCAGAAAGACTACGGACAGCATTGTGGCAACTTGATTCAGCTTTCACTAGTTAGTCGATGCACAATTTTCGAAATCGGTAATCCGAGTTCAGTGCTTGAGAACATCCCTGTTGAGGATATCGAACAAGAAAAGTGGACCTATCAGGGTGGGATTGCAGTATATAACCAGAGGAGGATCACTCTGCTTCTACCGTGATCAGAGATCAAATTATTCCTCCTTATAAACCTTTCAACTCATCTATAAGTCGTTATATTGCCTGGCTCCGTGGTATTGACATCACCCTAAGGGTAGCAGTTCCATCATGGGCTGGTTAAGCACCACGACTAAGTCGTCCTGGAACCCCTTCAGTACGGGCTCCTCGGGCTCATCATTAGGTAAGCCTCTTCAAAATCTTCGCATATAATGGAAGATAATATTGATGATTGTAAAGCCAAAGCTATCTTGCCCGGGTCTTCGTCGGGAAGCAGTGGCTCTTTGGCATCGCTGGCCTTCGGTAACAAAGACCAAAATTGGTTCCAAAGCCTCTTGGGCAAGTTTGGTTTTAACGGTGTTCTCGCTACTATACTCAGCTTCTTTCTCTATGCCTTGTATTTGAAGTTCGTGAAAAAGGATCAGAAAGGTGTGCGGGCCTTTATCAAAAGCAAGGCTTCCCAGTATCTCGGCAAGATACCAGGTCTCAAGAAGCTCTCCTTCCTGAAAGGTCACCTGCCTTTGGGTAAGCTTCCAAAGTCTCTAGTTCCAAAGGCGACCGAGTCTGCGCTCGGAAGCATCGCTGGTGGTAGCGGCAGCATACTGTCAAAGCTCAATCCTCTTAACTGGAAAATTTCCAACAAGCGGAAGATTGCTGAGGAGGAGGATGATATGAAGTATCAAGCAGGTGAACCATATGGAGATCCTGAAGTCTTAGCTCCTACCCTGCGCGATGATCTGAAAGCTGTCGGACTCAAGGCAGGCGTTCAAGACCTGAAAGTGCTCTTGGATGTCGTCAAGAATAAGGGCAAGCCTATTGATGATAGGGACCTAACTGTAAGTTTCTTGAAGTCCTAGCAAATATCTGTCATTAACATGGACCTAGATGGAAAAATTGATTGCTATCGTCTCATCCCTGCCTCGAAACTCCAAAGCGAGGGAGAAGTTGACCGGCGTGCTGATTGATACACTCTGGCAAAGTCTGCCCCATCCGCCCATGACTTACCTTGGTAACAAGTATCAATACCGTTCACCTGATGGAAGCTTTAACGTGAGCTAAAAAAAAAAGAATGCTTGGTTGTCCTCCTGAAGTCCACTAACCGCTCTACTAGAACCCTCTTCAACCGGATTTGGGCAAGGCGGGTAGCCCCTATGCCAGAAATGTTCCAAAACTGAAGCATATGCATGGTGTTCCGCCCGACCCTGGCCTTCTTTTTGACTGTAGGTCTTGGGCTGGCTGCATTACCGTTTATCATATACAGACACTGATTCATCTAGTGCTCATGGCTCGAAGCGATGAAACTTTCAAGGAGAATCCAGCTGGTCTTTCATCCGTGCTTTTCTACCACGCAACTATTATTATTCATGGTAGGACAAACGGCCTTCAGTATCTGGAGCACTCAGCTTACATGGACCAGATATTTTCCGGAGCAATCGGTTTGATCCCAATATCTCTGACACTTCTTCTTACCTTGACTTAGCCCCGTTGTACGGTTCCAGCCTAGAGGATCAATTGAAGGTTCGGTCCATGGTCCACGGTTTACTCAAGCCAGACACCTTCAGCGAGAAACGACTCATTGGAATGCCCCCTGGTGTAAATGCAATTCTCGTGATGTATAACCGTTTCCACAACTACGTGGCCGAGAACCTGCTCAAGATCAACGAAGGAGGACGGTTTACCTTGCCTCCAACCAAAACGGAGGAGGACAAAAAGAAGGCGCTCGCCAAGCAGGATGAGGACTTATTCCAGACTGCTCGCTTGTAAGGACTCAGAACCACTCAATCGCTCGAGGCATACGCTAATTGAATGGTTTCCTTAGGGTTACTAATGGTCTCTACGTTAACATTTCTTTGCACGATTATATTCGAGGCTTGGCGAATGTTCATCATTCATCGAGTGACTGGACACTTGATCCTCGAGTTCAAATTAATAAGATTTTTGATTCTGAAGGCGTTCCCCGAGGGATTGGCAACCAGGTGTCTGTCGAATTTAATCTCTTGTACCGTTTCCATTCTATCATCTCTCGTCGCGATGAGAAGTGGATGAACGAGTTCTTTGCAACTATCTTTGGTGATAAGAAGGTCGACCAGCTTACTCCACAGGAATTCATCCAGGGACTGTATCGCTTTGAACAGAGTATTCCCGAGGACCCCAGCCAACGCGAATTTGGCGGACTCAAGCGTGGTGAAAACGGCAAGTTCAGTGACGCAGATTTGGTACAACTGATGAAGGAAAGCATGGAAGACCCTGCAGGTTGCTTTGGTGCCAGGATGGTTCCCAAGGCCCTCCGCGTTATCGAAATTTTGGGTATCATTCAGGCAAGAAAGTGGCAACTGGCTTCTTTGAATGAGACACGAGATTTCTTCAAACTTAAGCGTCACGAGACTTTCGAAGATGTTAATTCGAATCATGAAATCGCTGATCTTCTGCGCAAGCTTTATGATGATCCTGATATGGTTGAAATGTATCCAGGACTGTTCCTCGAAGATATCAAGCCGCGCATGGATCCTGGTAAGCTTCCTTTGCCATCCAAATTTGAAATCATTATGTTTACAACCACGGTAGGCCACGGCGGATGCACACCGTACACTGTTGGAAGAGCTGTGTTTAGCGATGCTGTCACGCTTGTTCGATCGGATCGGTTCCTCACTATTGATTACACGGCCTCGAATCTTACCTGCTGGGGCTACAACGAAGTTCAACAGGATTATGACATGTAAGATCACTCTGCTTCATCCATTTCCACGGGGACTAACAAATGTTCAATTTAGTCTTGGTGGCTCGATGTTCCATAAACTGTTCCAGCGCGCCCTTCCCAATTGGTTCCCGTACAACTCGTTGCACATCACCCAGCCTATGTACACAAGAAAGATGAACGAACAGATTGCCCGGGAGATCGGCACGATCGATGAGTACACTCTCGATGACCCTTCTCCGCCCCCCAAGACTGTTATTGTGACTAAACATTCCACAATCACCAAGCTCTCAAAGGACCAGGCCAATTTCCGCGTGATCTGGGCCAAGTATCTGAATGAGATGATCCCTGGTAGAGACCTCAGTGGCTACATGTTGCTGGGCGACAAGCCGGCAAATACTGCGCAGAAGGTTCTCGTGAAGGAAATTCTCTACAGTCCTGCTGAGTTCGTGCAGTTGCTATCTGAGACAGCGGTATCCGTGGCCAAAGAGCAACTTGCCGCTGAGACCTTGAACTTGACACCGGAGTTGCATCAAGTTGACATTGTCCGAGAGTAAGTGATTGGTTTTATCCAAAATAATAATCGTCCCTGTTCTGAGCGAGGTCGAATCTGGGATTTCTGGACTAACATGTCTCTAGCGTCGCCATCCCTATGTTGACTAGGATTCTGGCCGATCTTTTCTGTCTGGACCTTAAGACCTCTGAGAACCCGAACGGTACCTACAACAATGCAGAGCTATACAAATATATCATCGACGTGCGTATATTTGGCTTCAATAATGATGACCCCGGATTGGCTTTGCAACGCAGAAAATGGGCCCGTGAAGGTGCAGAATCTCTCACCCGAACCACATTGAAGGTAGTGTCAAACTTGCCAGCTTCAGAGAAATCTGCAAAGGGAATTGTGAAGGGAGCCGTTTCTACAGCCAAGGGTATTGCCTCGAAGATCCCTCTCGTTGGCAAGCTCTTTGGAGATGGTAAAGGCGTTGAAGAACAGTCGACGAGCGGCTCGCTGCGCTGGTACGGATACAATGTCGCCAAAGAATTGATCGCCTCGGGAAAGACTGCTGCAGAGGTCGCGGACATCAGTTGGATGAACGCTGTTGGCGGTGTCGGTGCGACTGTTGGAGTAGTTCGTATACCTGATCTTCAGGCTATTTAGTCACTGTTTGACTCTCAGCTGACGTGTATACGGTCTAGTTTACCGATGTCCTCAGCTATTTCCTCCAGGCCGAGAACTCCCAGCACTGGGAAGAAATTCAAAAGCTTGCTGCCGGCTCGGATGTGGACTCTGCAAACAAGACGCTGCGGCAGTACGTCCTCGAGGCCCAACGCCTGACCAGCAGCCAACGAAGCATCCGTCTCTGTGCGGGCAAGGCCGTGATTGATGGACAAAAATTCGAACCTGGTAACCTGGTCGTCTGCTTGCTGGTATGATACAGCCGGGAAAGAGCTTGATAAAACGAATGCTAACTTGATACATTAGGGTGCGGCAGGCAAAGACCCCGATGTTGTCCCAGATCCAGAAGCATTCAAGCTTGACCGGCCATCGAGCGCGTACATTCACTTCAACGTCGGACCACACGAGTGTCTCGGACGAGAGATTGCATTGTCTTGCATCACTTCTCTTCTCCGTGTCAGTGCTGGCCTGAAGAACCTCCGAGCAGCACCCGGTGAAATGGGAATTCTGAAGAGCATCACCACTAATACAGATAAGCACTTCCTGAACGATAGCTGGTCTTCTCTTACCGCCGATCCAACCAGTAAGTTCCCTGGATCTACCGCTTCTGGTCTGTACTAAGTATCCCCAGCCTGGAAAGTCCACTTCGAAGGCCACGGCCAGGGTATCCACCATCCCCCGAAGACCCCAGTCACCGCAGGCCGAGATCTCAACGCCCTATCCAATGCCCTGAAGAAGCAGCATCAGGAAAAGTTACAAGAAACCATCTCCAAGGCCGCCAACGGTCTCACAGCTCCTTTAAAGGGACTCATCCCATCTAGCGGCGCCAGCAACGGTGCCTCCACCCCAGGCCAACTGCCGCTACCTACCAGCCCCTTCCAAAACGGCAATGGCGTCGCAAACGGCAACGGAAACAGCCACCCGAACATCCTTCATCAAGCAGTCTCCTCGGCCGCAGCAATCCCCCAGCACACCCTAAGCTCGGTCCATGATGTTACCCACCATGCCGTCAGTCATTTGCCGGGTGGCCAGCAGGTCACTGACTTCACTCACGGGTTAGCACACCCTTTCTCTGGAGCCGTGTCTCCTGGTCAAACTGCCACTCAGCCCCAACAGGGGAACTGGTTCTTTCTCCCACACGGGATGGAAAATGCTGCCAAGCAGGTTCCGGGACATCTTTTTGGGCAGACAGCATAAGTGGGTGAAGATTTACTTTGCTGGACTTGAGCTGTATGAGAAGTGGAGGACACGGTGGGATCGGTATATAGCTTAGCTTTAGGGGTGTGGTTATTATTAAGTTGGGTAGTAGCAGAATTCAAGTTTTTGGTGTTATTGTTTCTTCACTTTTGGACATTCTACCTCATCAGGCCGTCTCGTGTGAGATCTTAGTAAGGATGTAAGAAGCCCAGTACTATCACCCAATCTCTAGAGCCATTACTAGTATACGAAAACACTACTCGAATTTCCTCTTAGGGTCCATTACTACTAGAAACAGCTACGACATACAACTCTTAATATATGCATACGAAAATACAACACACTCCAGAATTCATCCTATCACACAATTCTAACCCCACCCCCCCCCAATCACCCAGAAAAGTATATCCAATCAGACCAAAATAAATGATCAACTTCAACTTCTCGCCATTAACAAAGATTATCCACCCACAATAGCCCAATCTGATCTCTCAAGCGCCGCATGCACAAGGTCGCACCACGCATGTCTGTCCACTCCAGCTCTTCCCGCCCACCAATCACAGTTTGATCGTCAGCGCTGGGTGAATGGAACTGGACCAATCAGGAACAACTTTTACTGACTACATCGCTGTACGGAGAACGTTTGACTAGATAGTCTGTTGGTTTGGCCTTGCGAGAACATGGGTTTACCTAGGTAGAGAGGCTGTGATCTGCGATGCAGGTCTATGTATTGGATCGCATTGCATGCATTGCATTGTGTTGTGAGGGGTAGGATTGCCACGCCATGACGCGCAAGATTGTAAATTAGAGGCTGGGTTACCCATTGGGGGAAGGCCGAGCTGAGCTGAATGGTGATTGCAGGTATGGGTACCCGGCTTTTGCTACTCGCGTCCGATCTTGTGATGTCTCGCCAATCATGATGGTAAGTGGGCGTTGTGTAGGTGCAGAGATCTGCATGGATGATGGTGATAATGGATTTGGGAAAGAGGGGAAGTCAAAGAAAAAGCAAAGTAAGTGTACGTTTAACTCGAGTTCGGACATGAGATGAGTTGATCCTGGGCGATTAGGGTATAAATGGATCCTAGAATACCTTCTTTTCCCTGGCTATATTCATCAATAGTAAGAATTCTCTTCTATTTCATTCTTTCCAACCAATTTAATTAATTATCTCAGACGGATATAAAGTTACCATGGTCGCATTGACAGCAGCGATTCCTCCTGCAACGGAACTCCTTCATGTGGACGATACCATCGGATACCGCTGGGTTCTGTCGGACACCGAACGTACTCATATTGCGTCTATGTTGAAGACGGATGGTATGTCTTCTTTTATCTCTCTTTTGCTTCATTCTGTAGTCAACACACAGACACACACACACTCTCTCTCTCTTTCCACGAACTAACTACTAAAACAACAGCCACCTCCATAACCCTCCGTGGCAATATAATGGGCCAGGCGCGTCGAGTCTGCACAAACTGCGGCAAGCACTCTGGTCTCGATGACCTCGTCCACAACGCACTAGCACTAGGCGTCCACAGCGACGCCTTCATGCTTGATATCCTGCAGAACGGACCCAATAATCCCAGTCCGGCCCATGCCTTGCTCTGCTCGAACTGCGGTGAACAGCATGAAAGGGGGTTCTATTGGATTCCTTCAGTGTCGTGGATTTAGGCGTTTATTGATTCCGTCTTGTCTTTGTGGGAGGGGGTGGGTTGGTCTTGTTTTGTCTTACATAGTTGGAATTGGTCTATGTTGATAGTAGTTAGTTATTGAGTTTGTGTTAGGATGGATCTTTGCGTTGTTTGAAAAATGTGACTTCAATGTGTAGAGTTTTGCTATTCATAAGCTCAGTAAGATGAATTGAATCGGTCCAGAAAAATCGCTGACCCTATATCTGGCACTCAATAAGTAAGATACTATAGCACATGATAAAAAGAATTCAGGAATCCGTGTGCCACTTTTATTAGCAAATTGGACGTTGAAAATCTTCTCCACGGAGAAGTAAAGTAAACATGCCACCCAGACCCATAGTATAACCCTCAAGAAAACGCCGATGAACACCAAAAAAAGCCACCGTACGCTCATGTTTCCATGGCATCGCCCGCATGTGACTCGCCATCTACGACTCCCAGTAACTTGGCATATGGTACCGTTACCCGCTGGAGATCGCGGTGTTTGCCTGTGCAATGTCAGTATCAGCACCAGGCTATCAGTACAACCCTCGGGGAGAATAAATGCCTACCCAGTGAGAGGATGACCTCCTTCAATAACACCTCCCGCGGCCAGCCACAGAGGGTCTCTGAACTTTCTAGCCAGTTTCGATCTTCTTGTTCGTTTTCCTGGAGGCGCCGGACGGCCCCTTCTTCATCTTCCTCAAATAATCCACCAATTAAGCCCTTTAACAACTCTTCGACCTTCGTCCGCAGGCCCTCCGCTCCGATCCGTTTGGCATACATCGAGAGGTACAGCCGGAACTCCTCCTTGGCCCCGAGGGACAATGCTGCCGCAAGTCGGTTCTCCAGGTGAGCAATAGACACGCTCGACTCGAAACTCTCGTAGCCTTCCCGGGACAGAAGAACCTTGATCAATCGCTGGAGGAAGTATGCTCGTCCGCGGAGTAGGGTCTCGCTAGTCGTGTTGCGCTCCAAGAACGGGATAATACCGGCGGACACGGCAGCCTTCGCGTCTTTGTCTTTCGTCGAATCGGCAGACTGAAGGTTGCCCACCGGCGCTTCGGTGGTGTTCCAGTACTGGCTGCCAACCGCCCACCAGGCCTCTGAGATCCGCTGCCATGTATACATGGACGGCGAATAAGCATAACCCTCCCCATTTGACAAGGCGACCACGATTCGGCCTTCGGAATTGACCCGCGCATTGGTGATCGCCGGCGCGGCTGAGGGATGCGCGCCCAGGGTGTGGATTGCCGCATCCAGTACCGGTTGAAGGGAGATGGGCGGATGGGGCGAAGAAAGGTGCTTAACATTCCAGACATAACACATTCCAACAGCCGATATGCAGAGGATCCAAGGACCATTGCATTCCAGGATTACCGGCTGTGCCTCAAGGACAAGCGCGCTAACGAGGCGACGGCCGGCTGGGCTCCAGATGTAGACTGATCCGTCTTCGCAAGACGCAGCCCACATGCTCTGGTTACCGGTCACAAGGAGCACAGTCCGTGGAAGAAAGTCTTGCCACACGGGCTGCTCGCCTCGTAGCAAGGTGAGCCGCACTGGCTCCCGGTCCACTGCGCGGCCGGTCAAGCTAGCGGGAGATGGGTTACGAGCTTCAAATACAACGTCAACACGGGATTTACTAGACTCTCCCGACGCACTCGGCGGTTCAGTCGGCTTCCCATTAGGATCAATGGCTCGCACGATCTGACTTCGGACTTTTGGCACAGCCAATCGTACCTGGCTCATAGCCATACAAGGATTCGTCACTGCAGGTCGGATGAACTCTGGGGTTGGTTGCTGACCGGTAGAAGCGGGTTCGGGTCGTGCAGGGAGAAGGCCATCCGGGGTGTTCACAAGCAGAGGGGTAGCGCCATTCTGGCTTGCCAATGCCACTCGCTTTTCCACATGTCCATCGTCGTCGTCCTCAGGCTGAGCGAGCTTACGCTTATTCCCAAAGAGTAGAGTAGCGAGGCCCCCCTTGGGTAAGCCATCAAAAGGCTTAGAGAGATCGACAATAGACTGCGGTGTGTCGGCCTTCACTTGGTTGCTAACCGAGGCCATTAAGCGAGCTTGGGGCAGAGAAGACTCGGCTGCACCTGCGCCAGACACTAAGAGAGGCGCAATGCGCTTTTTGCCCTCCTTGGTGTATGTGGGACGTTGCTTCAGCCTTTCAAGTTTTGCTTGATACGGATCCGGCTTCTCTGGCTCTGGGGCCGACGGCGTTGCGGTTCCATTTGTTTGGTTCTTCTGTGCGTCTGGAGCTGGAGACGATGCCCGTGCAGGGGTCGCGGTATTAGAAGGTAGAGGCGCGGGCTTTCCATTGGTCATATTATCCGCCTGATCATCGCCCATCAGGGCTCCCATTCGCCCTTCCACGCCTTTGATCTCCCCAGCCTTGCTCTTCTCCTCGAGCAACAATCCATCCGGAGTCTCTGTGATACCGGCGCCTTTTCTGTTAGTACCAAATTTGGTGAGCGATTTCTCATTCTCCTCCATAGCCGTTGCGTAGCCCAGATCACCGTCCTCAAATCGAACTGCCAGTATCGTGCCATCCAATGCGGTTGCGTAAAGACATTTTCCGTCGGGGCTCCAAGCCAGATCGGATAGAGATTTAGCCGCAAGCTCCTGGGCAACCACAATTGGCCTGGGGTTACTGGTGATCCAGATGCTTAGGGACTTATCTCCTCCGGCGCAGGCTATTACGGTGACCAGGTTTTGTGCGCCATGTTGGTTATCTGTTGTCTGTTTGTCGATGGCATACAGCCGCGGGGAAAATGCACAAACTTCAACCGGGGCTTCGTGTCCGATCAGGTTGATGTCCCCATCCCAAGATCCACGGTTGATTATCGCAACGGAACTGACCGGTCCGTTGACCGCATTTGCAGCGGCGATGTGCATACCGTCGGGCGACCAAGAACATCGACGGAAATAAGCAGTCAAGGGGGAGTTGGCGAAAGGGGCGGAGATGGTCTGTTCAAGAACAAAATTGTTCATCTGGTCATGAGCGGTCGAGTTCGGAGCAGGAGAGGTGAACCGGAAAATTCGGACAGTGCGATCATCGCTTGCCGTAGCAAAATACTTATTGGCTGGATCGAAAGTTATCCCCTTGACATGACTCTGGTGTATGGATATCGTCTTCAGCTTTTCGAACGTATGTCCTGACCACACTACCACCTTGGAGTCCAGGCCCACAGACACCAAGATAGAAGAATCGTAGGACCAGCCCAAATCTTGAACATCATTGTCGTGGCCTATCAGTCTCCGAACCGTGCGCCAGTTTTCCACAGGAGGTGCCTCGTTTGACCCTAGGTGCAACGTATCAGCCGCCGCTTGTAACCCGAACAAGCCTTGAGACTTGGAGTTCAACACCCACCAAATGTTGTAGCATGCGACGGAGGGTTCGCATCCAATGTGTAAATACACACAATTTTATCATCCGCTCCGGATGCGAGGTACTTCCCGTTAGGTGAAAACCGAACAGTATGAATCGTACCGGAGTGGTTGCTCATCGATGCCAACTGCTTTGGCTTGCCAACGACTGCAGGGTCTTCGGTATTGCAAATGGCTTCCGTCGACCATATCCGAACGTATCCATCTATAATTCAAGGGTCGAGGTCAATACCAGTCCGATTGAATCCATCGTTTCGCGGCCGAGGGGTATCGTAGGATATGGAGAACCAACCTCCAGCAGCTGTAACTAAACGACTTCCATCGGGTGACACATCGCAACTATAAACTTCGAAATCTTTCCGCTCACCTATAAGATAGCGAAATGTCGCTGTCAGCTATATGGGTGTCGAACAGGTATAGTTGTATGCCATCGTTCGTGAAAGAGAGCACGGTAGGGGACTGAATGTTAGAGCCGGCTAAACAAAAGGGTGAATACCTCCATGCGTCAGCCAAACAGGTTTTATGATATGCATCGCAACAGCTATGTTGCTTCCTTTTGATCCTGTAAGAATCCCTTGTGCGCAGGATCCGGGGGAAGTTGACGTGGATTAAAGATAGATTATTTGGGGCATCGCAAAGCAGCTGTGTGCACAATCATCGGACCCGAGGGTCTCCTTTCTGAGCGAGAAGGGTGGGATTAAATAGACTTGGTATAAAAGATTGACTATCGGGTTCAGGAGATAAAGTCCAGTAACGCGAACAATGGAGTGCGCGCCGATCTTTAGAGAAGTCGCGATCTCCCGAAGAAGTAAAGCGGCAAGTCGAGTGATCTGTGCTTTTCACCTTCTCCGCCTAAGATTCTCAGGCCCAGCACTGGTGCCTTACGGTACGTTTATTCCTATTCAACTGCAACCTACAATTACTATCTCAACTCGTCTACCGTACATAATATACACTTGAACAGAGGTCTCACTCTCCTCAAATAACTAAGGCAATACGCTAAACAGGCAATGGCCACAAAGCTTTTCCCCGAGGCGCTTCTTTTTTAAGCACATTCCTAAAGAAATGTTTTGGCAATTAAAAAAAAAAAAAAATATGAAAAAAAAGACTGAAGAGGAGTGGTGATAAAGATATAATGTGACGGATATAGGTATTTTGTACACATCTGAAAGCAATCGTGCAAAGGTACTAGGGATAACAGTCGACCGGAGAGAAGACGTCAAAGAACCCCTTAAAAAAGACAATATGCCTGTAGAGGGAATAATACAGTTTATCAGTCCATCGCCATAGATTATCTCTGCTGCTTTCCAGTCTCTTCAAACTCGTCTAGCACTTTATCTGCGGCATCGTCACCGAGAGTCTCCTCAACTTTCGGGCTGACCTCAGACGGGTGGGAAGCATGGTCCTGAACAGGATTTACCCCCAGAGTCTTCGCCGCCACATTTTTTGCCTGGCTCTCATTGATGTTTTTATAGATAGCCATGGCATTCGCAACCATTCCACCCAGATCACCAACATTTCCGGGAATGACAACAGAAGTACCCTCCTTGGCCAGTTTGGAGAAAGCATCGACATATTTCTCGGCGACATTCAGACTGACAGCCCCGTGAGCATTCTCCTTTCCAGCCTCAATGGACCGAGCAACAGCGTCAATGCCTCTCGCGGTAGCCTGTGCCTTCAACAAGATTGCTTCAGCCTCACCAGCAGCAAGGTTAATCTGTTCTTGCCGCATAGCCTCCGAAGCCAGGATCACGGACTGTTTCTGACCCTCAGCGATGTTGATCGCACTCTGCCGTTGACCCTCGGAGTCGAGAATCTCAGCACGCTTCGACCGCTCAGCTGTGACCTGGCGATGCATAGCCTCGACAACGCCCTCCGGCGCATGGATATCCCTGATCTCGTATCGTAGACAAATAACACCCCAGTCTTGTGCTGCCTCGTTGATGGCCTGCGTGATATTGGTATTTAATGTCGCGCGCTCCTTCAGCACATGGTCGAGGGTAAGCTGGCCAATCTCCGAACGCATCGTCGTCTGTGCAAGTTGAGAGATAGCATACTCCGCATCCTCCACACCGTAGCTATCATTGACAACACCGTGCGTCAGTCCAGTCCCGACTCCGCACCCAACTTTGAGAAGCACAAAAAAAAAACTCACCTCGCCTTATACGCGTCGAAAACCCTCGTGTACAGCACACCATCCAGCTCCAGTGTGACGTTATCCGCAGTAATAGCATTTTGACTCGGAATCTCGATGGCCGACTCCTTCAAGCTCTTGACGTAAGCGATCCGATCAATAAACGGGGCCAGAACCGCAAGGCCCGGTTCTAAAATCCGGTGGAACTTTCCCATTCGCTCCACGATCCATGCTGTCTGTTGAGGAACGAATCGAATAACCGTGTTAATGGGGAGGGTCGAGCGATTGGCAAAATACGTAGCAGGTGCCCCTGGTTGCGGTCCGGTTCCGAAGTTCAGCAATGATTCAGGCGCAAGTCTCCGAGGTGACGAAGAGACATTTCGTCGAATGTTATTCAAGGTGTGCGTAGATGTAAGTGCGGAGGTAGGAAGACGAGGGTTCTGGAGTAAGCGGGACGTAACTGCGTTGGAGGAGGACCGCAGCAGTCTCGTAGACTGCCTAGAGGCCACATCCATTGTGATATACTGGGACGTGTGGATCGATCTCTGTGAAGCAATGGTTGTGTCGAGACAGTTGGACGCTGGAGACCGATCTGGGGCGGGTGAAGCTTGAAGCTACGGGTCACTTGCGTCTATGGTGCCTGAGGCATAAAACATGCTGAGTCATCTTATACAATCAGAACGCTGCTCATTGGACCTTTTTGGACCATTGAGAAATAGTAGTGATGGTTTGATGCTGGCCTTTCTCTGTCCTGAAAATTCTATTATTTCAATTGGTCAGTATCAATTTAGTTTAAGGAAATCTTATAGGTAAATGCTAGGTGTGAATGGAATGGCATATGGCATGGGGTGCAGAGGTCAGCAGTCTGAAATAACATATTATTAACATCTACCAAACATTTGACCCTCGCTTAAATACAGAGCTTAGTCCGCACCAGAAACAAAACTTCAGTTGGCTATATGCTGCGGAGTGCAGCTGAATAAATTCGCTGTAGTACAACGTACATTACAGTCACCCGAGTGTATATAGTTATATGATCAGCTGCTCCTCAAACCAGCTAGACAGTTAGAATACCACACGTTGCAGTACAAAGTAGCACGGACAGAAAAGGCACTAATTACATTCTGCTCTACTCGTGATAAGAATCTATCAAGAAATCCTGACATTGGTATATGAATATAACGGTATAGGAACCCTGACTGACCTCATAAATACCTTGAATCTCGTAAGAGCGCTATATATCCGAGAAGGGGAAAAAGAAGAGGTGAAAAAAAGAGGAACAAAAAATGAAATATTCAACTTGCTTTTCTTTACCCAAACTACAGAGAATAGAAAAAAGGCAAGGAAATAAAGGTGGTGACGATGAAATAATGGATATAACATTACCATCCGAGATACAAAGTCCCTTTCTCGTGAAAACTGAAACCACACGCCACGCAGTATAAACAGGTAATAGTCAGTAAATAAAGACAAGAGAGCAGAGATGCAATAAACGTGTGAGAAATCCTTTCATGGGATGAATACTCATTGTAATGTGCCGAGTTCAGATGTCTCCTTTGTAACTCCAGTGGGACCCATGTTGAAGTAAAATTATCTTTTTTTTTTCTTTTGGTGTTTTCCTTCCATTCGTACTAGAAATAATCGAGAGCACAAGAGAAACATTATCGCATATTAGAAAGAAGCCGGATGAACTATCTATGTCCGTGGGAAAGAAGTTCAGCCAGGCGCACCACAGAAGCAAGCATCAGATGGAGACTGCAGAAGATACTGCACAGTAAAACATGCCCGGACTCCAGAATTTTTTAAAACCTTCCCATGACTAAAGCAAAATGGGGAACTAGAAGGGGATAAAAGGAAAGCAAAAGCAGAAGCCGAGACGCAATGTGCATATATCAACCCATTCCGCTGGAAGATCGTCATCGGCGATTCGACAAGCGTAGATGCAAAAGCTGACAGATAGTAATGCAAGTCATAATAAACCACGAGAAAAAAAAAACATAGATGGTGAATAAAGTAAAAGAAACAAACAAAATCACTTTTTCAGCTCGGCTCTCAAGTTAAACCCCGGGAAACAGTTGATCTTTCTGCAATTCCTGGGTTCGGAAGATTCACTCTGCCAGGCTGAATGTGAAAACCGGGGAGGACTCCGTGCACTTCCCGGCACTTGGAAATTTTTCGTCATCCATGTTAACCTCACCAGGAAAGATCCCACTGCTCGACAGAAAAGAACGTAAAAATGAATCAATCTGTTGGAACCGTTGCTGACGTTTCGTGCAATATCATCAAACGCTAGACTCTTAAATTCATTGTACATTTGTGCATTGAAATTTTGGACCAAGAAATGCGACCAGAATTGGTACTGAACATCCATGTCGCGGTCGCCGTGGCGAGTTTTACCGCTAAACTTCGTTCGTCAAGAACTCGTTGAAAAGAAATGGAGAATTTGTGGGGGAATTGGAGGATGTAAACCCAAGCTGAGAGTCTATTCCCTTCGCCCATAAGCCAGCAGATTGACTTCAGTGACACATTTGGGAGCCCAGCTGTTCCACGCTGGGTTTAACAAAGCTCATATCCTGACTAGGCAGGAATTAGTGATGACGAGAAGCTTGGACTTGGCCGGGACACTTACCTAGAAGTTTAACTGCAGCAACTCTGGGACAAGGGGTAAGGCTCATAACGGAAAGCAGCTAATTGGCAGACTGTTTGAATATTGTCAACGAATGCATTGGTCAAACCAGTGGTAAAATGTGAAAGGGGTTGAATTGTGGAAAACTAGAATGATCTAGTCTATGCACGACACAATCACAAAACTTTCAATTTGTCCATCCGGAAGGGATATAGATCAAGGGGAACCCTACAGTTGCAGTTTCGTTTTGGACTTCCACGCCCTTAGAAGGCGAAAACTCCGGGGCGGCGGAAGACAATGACGTCTTCGAGACTGGGCCTTCACTAGTTCCATTGACTATTTGTGCCGATCCGTTCACTGCGCCATTAACATGGTTCTGGGCTGCGGCACTCTCATCGGACTTGCTAGGACCCTCATGCTGAGCGGTGGGTTCACGCTGCTCGACAGGAAGGACCCACTGGTCCCATTTTTCTCTTGGACGGAGTCGATCAACACCATCCTCATTCTGCAGATACTCGACGTTTCTTAGTTGACGAGAGACATGGCGAAGCAGCTCAAAGTCTTCGGTCAGGGTCTTGATTCTCTTGAAACCAGCGATGAAAGTCAATGGCACGTAGCCCTGAGCGTCCATGTGTCTCCGGAGGAAGAGATCTTTGCAGAGATTATCAACGGAGAAGTAGTACTCAAGCTGCATCGATATCATTCCCATGAGGGAGAAAGGCTCCATATATTGCTGATAGGGGACAGCTGTCATGGGGCCAGGATGCACCGGCTGGTAACCATACATGGTATTGAGATCAGCAGGGTAAGGGTAGACACCGTACACGGAGCCAGAATTTGGCAATGACGGCGACCTCAAAGCCATCCTGTGGCCTCCAGAGTTATGCTGCTGCGACCGGCGCTCGCTGAAGCCGAAGGACTTCGGGTGCATGAAACCATTATGTGACACATGGTTGTTAGGATAGTGAGAGTTCTGAGGACCGCCAAAACCACCACGTCCACGGTGGGAGCCACGGCCTCTGTCACTACGGGGAAATTCCTTGTCCTTGCGATCATGAAAGCCGCCGAAGTCGGCAGACTTGGGGCCGTTCTCAAAGCGACGGTCGTTGGATGAGCCTGAGCGAGGGTTAGCCTGTGCATCCGCAGGCAAGTGCGGGTTTTTGGAGGTGTGGTCGCCACCCTTGTGTGCTGCGTCGTGATTCCTGGAGAATCCCTTGCCCTCACGGTGATGACGGGGGAAGTTGTCACCTCCGTTACCATGCTTACCAGCTGGCGGGGCGTTGGCATTCTCAGTACCCTTAGGTCCACGGCTTCGGTCCGCCGCTTGGTTCTTACGTGAGTCTGGCAGTCCAGTATCGGCGCTGTTGGAACGCCTGGACGGGGCAGGGAGCGAGTTCGCGCGAGCTGAGTTAGGCTCGTTCCTTCCCCTCTCAGCGGGCGAAGCCTGCTTGGTGGTTGAGCCTTGGGCTACTTGGCCAGCAGTAGCCTTATCAGCGGCAGCGGTAGAACCATGGGTTCCATTGCGAGCGCTGTCCCTTCCAGCACGAGGAGCTCTTCCGCCTCGACGGGCAGCAGAAGGGAGAGGGGTAGTGAAAACAGCAGAAGGCACGTAAGGAACTGGCATCCACTTCTCTTTGCCAGAGGGGCGGATGACAGGGCTCTTCTCAGTCTTCTTCTTCTCTTCACCCTGGGCACTGTGAGGTGTGGGCCACATAGTGGCGTCCGCTACGGGAGGAAGGGATGCAGCATCATCGCGTCCCTTGGATTTCCTATCCTTAGCACCTTCGGCATCCCCTCCCTTCTTCTTCGAGCCAGCCTTCGACTGCTCTTGCTGAGCGTCCCCAGAGACCGAAGAAGCCGCAGAAGTGGTCTTCGAAGTTCCAGTTTTGGCAGCAGGTCCAACGGGCTTCAAGGTTTTAGCCTTGGCTTCTTGGGCCTCCTTCCTCTGTTGCCATATATTTACTGCTGGAAGAGGAGCAGCCTTAAGCACTTTCGGAGGCTCGCTCTGTTCCTTCTCGGCAGATTTCTCCTTGGTATTCTCGGCTCCGTTGGTCTGCTTGTCTGTTCCCGAGGCTTGAGACTGCTTATCCCATGTGGATTCCGAAGTGCCATTTGGTGTATTTGAACCCTCATCATCCTTCGGTGATGTCGAGGCCGAAGAAGCGCCCACACTGGGAGAGGAAGTTCCCGAAACATCCTTGAAGTCCTCAACAACTGTGGATTCCAATTCCTTGTCAGAGTTGGCAGGAGCCTTCTCGGTTTCCGGTGACGCCTCCGTCTTCGAAGTCACGGCATTTTCGCCTTCAGAAGCAGCGCTGGCATTCTGCTCCTCTGGTTTCAAGGCCTGATTTGGCTCTGCTGCCTTTGCTGACGGTTGTGCAGGGGTAACGCCCTTAGCCGCTTGGGCATAAGAAAATGTAGCAGCCATTGTTTTGTAATCGAACGAGTTCTAATATATCTGGTTGAGAAAGTAAAGGAGGATGATGTTCTGCCAGAGAACGGGGCCTTTGTATGGCAACTCCGATCAAAAAAGCCTGGTCGCGCCGATTATGGGCGAAACAGTTCTCACGCTGATGGCTATTAGAAGAATCAACTTCCGCCCTCTTGCTACCCCACCAAACTGCAATGTCCCGTCACTGGAGTTCAATTCTACTGGGTACGCAATTCGTGGAGCTGTCGGTTTATCCGGTCAGGAAAAGAGGATACTTCTTCGTTGTCGTGAGGAACGAAGCGTAAAGACAGATACGTTGAACTTGGGTATACAAGCCACCTAAGAGACGAATCGCATCGGTATAGTCGCGCAAAGGATTTTAGAACAGGTTCGGTTCGTTTCAAGGTCGGCTTGAATGACGTCCGAGAGAAGAGTGAACCGAGGTGCGAAGGGTATAAACTTCGACTAGAAGACGGTATCTGTTGATGCAAGATTCGAATGATGAGCACGATACGTTTTTCGTGCGTGGGTTCACTGAATGCTGCAAACCAACTAAAAAGAAAAAAGAAAAAAAGAAACTCACTCGGTTTGTGCGGCTCGACAGTTCGGTCCGTCGGCAAATCCACAAGCTCAGCAGATGCGAATGGCACCAGCGGAGCAGTTGAACAGCAATGTAATATATGAAATTGAAGAACGACTTAAGTCGGAAGTTTGAGAGGACCTTGTCGGCGTAGCCCCTTGTGAAGCGTAGTGAGGCGCGACTTTGCACGTGGCGACGACGCTACGGAATAGTCGTTGGAAAGTCAACTCCGAGATTAACAAATTCCCTGTGAGGGGAAGAGGTGTAAGAACAAGTCAAAAGAAGAAAGGTTGAGAACTGCGAACGGGAAACTTCAAGGCAGGACTCGTGCGGAGAACGATAAAAAAAAAATTCAAGGGAGCAACCGGTCAATGTACCCTAGCCAACGAAAATTCCCGCGAATGCAGGACGTGGGAAGAAGATCGGAGAACGGAGATGAGCACTAGAAGTGTAAGCACAACCTCTGCACCACCAACGTTACGACGGTCGATGATGAGGATGAAGGAAGAATGGAGGGAAGACAACACCCAAGAGTGTGTTTTAAGAGGGGAGAGGAGGGGAGGGGAAGAGGGGTGTAAGAAAATGGGCAATAGAGAGAGAGGGAGAGGGAAAGGGAAGTACACAGAAAGAGGAGAGAGGAGAACTAACAATGTGTGAGAGAAAGAGGAAATTAAAAAAAAAAAAAAAAAATTAACAATAATAATTTGGAGGGGACGTGGAAGAAAATCCGAACAAGTTGGAAAGTAATAATTGTGGACAAAAAAAAAGTTTCTGAAAGTATTTTCCCGCGTCTTAAGATGGGGTTCGTCACTAACAAATGGTAAGCAAAGAAAGTACTCTGAGAGTGGACAGTAAGAAAAAAAAAAAAAAAAAAAAAAAAAAAAAAAAAAAAGAAAGAAAGAAAGAAAGAAAGAAAGAGGGTAAAAAAAAAATTGTAATGGTAATTGTTCACTCCCGTCCGCCCGTTTGTTCCTCTTACCTCAGGCACTGCTTTTTAGTGGACTTCAGGGCTTCTGGGGGAGAAATGAACCACTGGTTTCTTCTCTGCCTAGAAAGTGACAAAAGATCAAAGACAAAAGTAGAAGAAGAGAAGACTTGTTTGTGAAGGTCTAGTTCAATAGATCTTCTACGTCCTTTCTTTCACTTATATATCCCTCAACCCCTACCATAAGTAGTAGAATGCGCAAGTACGATACCTAGTCAACCTAGCATGAAGGTACATACTATCTACAATTACAACGTATTCCCATATACAACACAAATTTGACATTGGCTAAATGAGGTAGTAAGAACAGAACAAGGACTCTATAGCAAAGAAGCTGCGCCAATTCATATCCCTGACAGATGGATCTTCATCCTAATTATCTTTCCCTGCTTCGACGACTCTGGACCAAACACTACGCGAGCACATTGCCGACATGTCTATAGAGTCGCGCTTCCCCTCTAAGACTAGGTCACAATGTGCATAACATCCCAACTTTAAGTAGATTATCTGTATGTACTATCACTACGCCAATCCTAACCACTAAAGTGTATTATTGTTGAACCTGCAGGGTAACCGTTTCTATTTGGACAATACCCCCGAACTGCAGGTGATCTAAGAGAAAAAAAGGGAAGAAAAAAAAAGCAAAGAAAGGTGCTGTACCGACACTCCCCCACCAAGAGTTCGAGAAGCTCTATACCAACAGTGCAATTGAAGCAATGTGAGTGACACCGGCGTATCGCGCAACAATATTGGGGGGGCGTTCATGGAGGGGTAGTCCGTGACCAATGTGCAAATTACCATGGAGGGAGGACCCCTCTATTAACTGACCCATGTAACTATCCAGCATCCATCATTGGAGAGACGTTGGTGATACAACAGGACAATAAATAAATGGGAAGAAATTCCAACAACGCTTTTGGGTGATGTCATGCGCTAGAATTGAACGACAAAGGAAATAATAGGATTCTTGTGAAATTTAGTTTTATATTCTAGGATTACACACGATATATCTCATCTTGTTGATGGATTTGTTGCATACCAGTCATCTACTTTTTTTGACTGTTTTATTGTTGGACTTCCATTTGGGTTAATCCTTTCCTGTTCCTTCTCATTAAACCTTATTCCTTCATTCTTTGTGGTCAGCGACTAAGTATGCGAAAATCATAAACAGCAACAAGGATGTCGCTTCCTGAGGCATGCATATAAAGGCTGTACTGTAAGGATGTTACATACCAGTGGGGCACCTGTCAAAGCAAGTCCAACAATCTTACAAGCCCAGGACAACAAGATGAAAGAGCAGCCACAATTTTATACAAGTGATTCAATTAGATTGAAAGTCCTCTCGAATACACTTGACTAAATCAGTACCCTCCACTTTCCCTAAGGGCCTGCTAATTACGTACGACAAACCAGCGGAAGGGCAAGTTTTCGGTAAAATAACCCACGTTTCGGATCGGGTAACTTGAGTCAGTGACCAACTTTCCCAATCCCTCGAAACATGGTTTCAACCATAAATTTCTTCAATAATTACCCATAGTTATGTATGAATGATACGCATCGGTCACGCATCATCTCTCAATCATCTCATTAATCCGCTCCACATGAGATTTTGATGAAGACAGTCTTCTTCTTAATACCCAAGGGACCGAAAACGCAATCAAAGTGATACAGCAGCTCAAAAAGTACTGGTACTAATTTTATATGTATGTTAAATATATCCGGTATATTCGGAAGTACCCCACGTGATCTATATACGCATTCGCATACCCTTCCGGCGTGAGCCGTGGGGATGAAGGTTTCTGTTCCTCACATCCCAGTGCAGAGCCCGTGCACCAATGGTAGCCGCCGTAGATGCCGAGGCGGAAAGGACGAGGTTCCTTACCCTCGCTACCTTACCTATGCGGTTAGGCAGTTCGATGTAGGAGAACAGAAAAGGGCATGCTGAACGGTCGCTTAGCGCAAGGTTATTAGGGCTGAGGCTCGGGGATATTGCTCGGAATTCTTCGGATCCGCTGGCTCTGTAAGGACGGCGGCCGAAAGATCCGGCATATCACATGATCAACGATGGGAAGCCATTGGATTAGTCAAATAATCATGGTCTGGATTCTATTTCCGGAATGCTGATAGGTCATACTTATCATATAGGTGTCTCATTATTCCTACGGAAATAGTCCTACTGTACATAGTCATGTACCGGTCGTGCAGTCATTACATAAAATCTGATCATCAACGCGCTACCAATGTCTGACACCGATTAACACCTGCTCACTGGGGTTCAGTTCGATGGATGACTGTGAACTGGTGACTAGGCCCAGACGCGTAAGGACCTGCCAGACCAGTTTACGCTTCAGGTTCTCACGCACCGGTACCTTCTCAAGTGCATCCATCCCATTGAAGTACTTAATGTAGGCCGGCCAGAGCTTCTTCATGGATATTCGAAGCCCTGCATATTCCGGGTCGTTCTCATCAATATTAGCTCTCCCTCGGACGGAGAACCTGGGCTGTTCGGGAAATCGTGAAACGATCTCGTCTAGCCATCGAGTCTCCAGCGGTGAGGCGCGATGAGGGAACAGAATCAAGGATGCTGTTTTCAGAGACGTGTTACGGTCTAATAGGGAGTGCGAGAGATGTAGCTTGCCGTCAGGTTTATATCGGCCGGGCATGGGCGTTTCCTCCCCGCTACCTTGACTTGCGAGGGAGGACGATGATGACGAGCTGGCGTCATCGTCATTGTCTTCATCCTTGGATGTTTCGTCGCTGTGCTTGCTGGTGTCTGAGCGAAAGGATGATCCTTGTTTCTTAAGATACTTGTCCACTTCCTCACGTCGAAGAGCCATCTCAACAGCCATTTTAATCTCTGGAGAGACCTTCACCCTCGCAAATGTTCGGAGTTGTGTCACCCATCCTCCCCGTAGTAGCCATGCCAGGATCGCAAAATAAGCTTCTTTGTGGTCTTTACTCGGAATAAAGCTGCCGTAGGGTCTAGGGGTGCCGCTCAGGGCCGACAGCATCTTCGGCAAACTGGGAAGGGTTGGGAACGCCAATTGATATGCTGTAGTTGCTATTTCTAGTTTGCTAAGGTCGCAGTTCGGAGAGACAATGTACGTATCCCGCTGGTGAAGCGGGGGAATGGCGCGTGCCCGCCTCCAGTACACGAGATGACTCGCCAGCATCTGTATGGTGGAGAGCGGTATTCCTGAGGAAGCGGATATCTGGGCAAACGACTTCGTCGGCTTGGAGCATCGGATGTAGTGGGCAAGCGCGGGAGCTAAAGCACCTCCCGATGCCTCTACGTCCTTGAGGATTGTCGCTTCATCACTGAGTAGCAATAAAGCAAAGTGTTTAGCCAGAACATGATGCGGCGCAGTGTTTTCATCTGCTGTGGGATCATCAACAGGGGTAACGCTATCTGCTGTTGTAAGCCAAAGGCCTGGGTATGCTTTGTCGCTTGGCCCAGGAAGATAAGGTGTTGAGGTAAGAGGCGGGATTTGGAGAGAAATAGATACGTCTGGGCTCAGCGGAACGGAAGCAATCTTGGACGCTGAAATGCTGCTATAAATGGTGTAAATTGCCCTCGCTAGAGAGGACTGGTTTATGAGCTCCGTGTAGAGAGTGTTGACAGAGGTCCCTGCAATCATCAGCGCCGGAGGTTCGATACAGAGTCAAAGGAGGTATCAACGTACTAGTTTCTTTCGCTTTCTCTTTGATGTGCGAAATGTGCTGGGCTTCGCGCCAAACGTAGTCTGTTCGCGCCTGTTCCCACTTCAAAGCTTTAGCAAATTTCTTGGTGATATTATCGTAGATCTCCCGAATACGCATGGAATACTCCAACAGCGGAGGATCCAGCACAAACACCACATTGAACATGGTCATCGAATCCTTATCATCACCATCAAGCAGTTCACTTAGCGTCCTCGAACTCTTAACGCTTCCCATCGACGCCCGTTGAGATTCTGACGCAGTCATCGTATGGGGGCTCAAGGTCTCTGTCGAAGCAGCAATGGCCTCATCCCCATCGTCGCGCACATCCTCCGGGTTCTCATTATGACCCAGCTCGCCTCCTTCCCACTCCGCCCTAGTCTTTTTGGTCTTCTTCCTCCGCTGCTTCCTCCACGTTCCATCCTCCCGAACAAAGACCGGCCACCCAACAAACGCCAGATCATTAATACCCACCTCAAACCGCCGCTTGTGCCACGATCGAGATGGACTCAACAGCTTCTCCCAAACGTCAGCCGGCAGCCCAAGCAACGACTCCCACGGCGGACGGAGGCCCCCTCCCGAAACCCCCGCTCCATCCTCCTGCCTATCCGACCCAGCCGCAGGATCATCCTCGACGTCCGAATTCCCACCCCGTTTCCGCACCGCGCGACCAGACCCTATAGACCCAGGACGCTGTGAATCGCCGCCTGGCGAAGCAGCCACGGAGCCATGCTCATCGAGGCCGAAATTGCTCCACCGTCGCCCCGCCGACAGGGCACTCCCCGCAAGAAGCGTTGAGCTCGGATTCTGACTCTGGGCATGCGACTCCTCCTCGTCCTCGTCGGATGTCGACCCGGACTCCTCGCTGGAACTCGACTCGTTGCTCTTGGCGGATTTGGCGCGCGAGGGGCGTCGGCCTTTGGGCGCTGGGCGGAAACCGTTCTCGCTGAGGGGGTTGGGAGGGTAATGGAACACGAAGCGAGGACCGGCGCGGGAGCGTACGATTAAGATGATGGCGACCAGACATGGGTCTGGTGGTCGGGCGATTGACGACATTGGATAAAAATTGAGGGGCTTCCTCCCCGGCGGAGGGTTGAGAGTGGTCTGGATCGTGGTGTTTTGTTAGTAGTTTGTTATCTGGCGGGTGACATTGATGCGCTCATTGGGTGGCTGGACCCCAACAGGCTTCCCCGCATGGGTTCGCGTCAACTGATTTGATCTGCAGTGCTTAATGATACATTAAATCTTCCGGTTATTTCTCTTCTGGATGAATTTACAGGTTCATTTCGTTGAGTGGACAGTATTGTACAAACGTATTCGAATATATATACAACAACCCCGACAACGCCCGATATCATATCAAAAGTCTACAGCAGAGAAGCATCACGCATGTATCATACAACCTCACCAACGTTGGACCATCTCACGATTTCTCCTCCGTGTTCTTGTCTCCCTTATCAAAGATAAGCCCAAGGTTCTTGAAATCATCTGGCGCCATCAGATTCCTAAACCAGACGTCAATTAGCACCGATATATCCCACTACACGAATGCAGAACGCAGATGCACGTACTTATCCATCCGGCATTCTAGGTATCCTTTCGCTAGTTTCCGGCACTCCTCGTCGTTGAGACCGCGCTGCGACTTGATACATTTCAGGTAACCGGCGATGAGGTGCTTGCATTCGCCTTGATTCAATCGCGACATTAGCATGTTCCTGTTCTTATTTTTCATATCCCGAGAACTTGATCGTAATTAGGAGGATCGGAATCCAGACTGCAGATTGTGTGTAGGATCATTTGGAGCATACCTTCATGATCAAGGGGGAAACTACCACGCTCAGGACTACGTCGCAAGTTAGCTTCCATTTCTACAAATGATAATGCATAGCTGATATGCGCTGTCAAGAGTTTAGGTAACTCACGGTGTGGGCTTGGTGGGATTAACGCCGGTGCCTGGACTTCCAAAACCCATTGTAACTTGTTTCGTATTCTGACGGGGAAACCGTGAGGACAGTAAAAGATGTAACTGAAGAACGATTGCAGTGGCTGAGTGGAAATAATACGGCCACGGAATTAATTCATGGATTGGCAAAACGGCGCCGTCGGTCTCCGGCTACTATGGAAACAAACGGTGCAAACTCACTCAGCACTTGCACGACCATACCTCGTGAATGGAATGTATGCCATTTAAGGCACGTTGGGGATTATTGTGTTTCTAAACTAATATATTAAACCGGTAGACTTAAATTCGTCTTTTATGGTGCATGGGTTGGACTAACCAGGCGTTTTGGCCTAATAAACATACTGGATCAGTATTGTGATACGTAACGATATATTTCTGTTGAATATAACCTTGAAGTCATCATCGGGTTTCGCAGGCATATAATTATGCCCAGTGAAAGATGTTTTGTTGATTCAAGCGAAGCGTTGAACTCGTTTGTCATAAGGCCTAAAGTCATATATAAAAAGGCTCATGAAACCCCCGCCTTTAGATAGGCCATGAGAGCGGAGCAATCAAGTCTTTTGAGAATTGTCGTTCTTGTACAATATAGTACGTAGTTAAACTCCACAATCTTGGGATTTTAAGCCGTGACCCTCCAGAGGACCCGTAATTCAATGCTTCATTGATCCTAACTAGCGGTTATATCCATCATCAGAGCGGCGACCAGGTATGATGATATTTGTTGGCTATGATACAAGTGTTCTCGGAAGTACCACGCTGATCCAACAACTTCGAAGCGAGCTCGAAGAGAAAAGGGTGTGAAACACGTGCTGGTTCAACATGTTGATGGAACCAGGAGCTTTGCCCACGGTATGCATACATATCCACAAATAGCTTGCGAATTGGGGCAGACTTTTAGGTATTGTTACATGCATGCTCTCTCACGCCGTGGCTGGGGTACCAATTTGTCCCGTATTTTCCCTTAGACACGCTTTTCTCAACCATAGCATCGATGGCCGTGTTTCGAAATTTGACCCCTAATAAGTTGTCGCCCAGAGCATATGCCTTGCAAATATAGCGTAAATATCTTTGGTTCTTCGTCTGGGAGTTGGATAGTGCGTTGTGGAGATTCCTTCTAGGAACTAGCTATGACCGCGTCGAAGAATAGAGGAGCGGACCAACGCCTCATGAACACCGAAGGTTTCTTGCTTGAGTCCTACCACACCACTACCTTGACTGTTCTTCCCACAAATCTTTGTTGAGGATTAGCATGCGGCAAAGCCTTATAGCTGTATGTAGGACTTACTTTTGACCCTCATCCTTCGTGACTCGGGTACTCTTTGACATGATGTTGCAGTCTTGGGTTGCTTGATTGCACAGGACTGTTCCTTTGTATATCAGTTGTTTGGGAGAGTGAAAGGTTGTGATGGTTGGTTGTTGTGAATGAGAGCGAGTTGGGTCAAGCTTGTCAAGTTTGTGTTCCTTACTGAAAATTTTGTTGCGATACAAAAATGTACGGTGCTACAATATTCACATACTTGAGATACAGTAAGATGGATAACGTTTTAGAGAAAAATGATTGTATTGGCATCAAGATAGCTATTGCAAGAAGGTTGGCCCCTATGTTTAGCTGTTAGTCAAGCACAAAACACATAGCCATGTGATAATAAAACGGAAGACAGTGATATCAGTTCTCCAAGGTGAAAATTGTTTTTCTTCAATGATGTTCAGTAAGAACACAGCGAAAATTGTTGATCATCATAGGAAACTTGGGGCAAGAAGACCAAGGGGCGCTTACCCTCTCGAATGCTGCTGCTGGATAAACTACAGTAGAGTATATATTCTAAGTCACGAAACGAGTCAGCACATATCAAAAAGATGCCATGTGTGATTCAAAAGTGAGTTGTGTCAACAAAGTCAGGCTGAGAAGAATTAGTACACTATTCATACACACGGTGGTATTTCGATAAAACTCACCTCATTAAATCAGAATTTTTGTAAAATGTTCAATTCCATGCAGAGCACGGATCACTCAGTGTGAATATCGTGTTCATCATACAAGGTTGACTGGCTTGGATATACAAATAGGAATAACTGGAAGTGGGCAATACCTGAAGACTTATTAGTTTATTGCAAGTCTATCAGATGGTAACTAAAGAATAAGAGGTCGAAAGCTCAGGTGACGAGTTCTCAACAAGTAGTACATCATCCTACATCCGCGAAGTTTGTACGCCTCGCTTTTGATGGATGTAGGCGGATGTAATATTATGTCCGCCCGTTCGTTCATGGTTTCTTCATTGGAATCTAATGAGAGGATAGAAGAGATTTATGTACCTAATGACAGTCTGTTAGTCATCAATCAATGCAAGACAGGCTTGTTGATAGCAAAAGAATAGGATAAAGGAGTCAGACAAGGCTGAAACTTGATAGAAACACGAATTCCACATGGTGATTAAGTTTGAGGAATGCCTTAGCGTGTCATAGAGTCATCACTCGAGGGGAGAAAAAAGCAGAGAAAATAAAATGAGCGGTTTGTCCGTCGCATACCTTTTACAAAATTCAGCAGTGTGTTCGTAGACAATTAGAAGTCAACATTAAACTCCAATTGCACATAGGATTCGTATTGAACGAGTCGAGGCCATGACCCTTGCAAGTCAAAGAAGCGCCCGATCCTGTTGTCGTTGTTTCTTGGGATAGAAGCTTGGGAAAGTTCAAATGAAAAATTGTTGTGGGCGGAAGGAAATTTTATAGGAGGAGAGCTTGGACCAACGGCAAGCGAGGTTGACCAAATGCGTTGTTTGACGGGAAGACAAACATCCGTTCAGATTTTGTACCCTAAGAGTTGCTTAAATTTACAAAAGATTCCTTTCATTCAATATCTTGCATCATTGTTGATTGAAAAGATCAAACATGGACGGACGAGTACCCATATTGTAAGATAGTTAGGTAGGTCTGCGGGATAACCTGTACCAGATAAATTAGAAATATCCTTCTAGGCGACATCATAGATACTGCTCTCTTCCTTGTAACTTGCTGTTGCTGCAAAAAGGTTCCTGATAAGTGACCTCAGAAGCAAAAGAGTGGAGCTCATGAGTCTTGAAGGACGAAGATTAGAGATTTACAATGGAGTGGTTAATACTTATTGCATGACAGCTCCAGCTTGTTACTCTATTTGTATATCAACTGTGGAGCTCCATTTTTTGTTCACCGCGACGTCATAACCATCCACATTGGGTGCGTCAACCTGACGTCGACTCGTTAGACAATTTCATTCCTTGGCCTATATATAGAGGATAGTGGTCCTCGCCTCTAAGTAGACAGAAAAACATCCTCCTTAGCACTAAGACAATCAACTCATCGAAGAAACAGCTCAATCTCTTGATACAAAATGGGAACTCAATTCAAGCTCAACACCGGTGCTCAAATTCCTGCCATTGGCTTTGGCACCTGGCAGGATGCCGAGGCACAAGAGTCAGCCGTTCTCGAAGCTATTAAAGCGGGATATCGTCACATTGACACTGCTCGAGTGTGAGTCTATGGCGAATTGCTTCTCAAACGGCTCTAAGGTACTGATAATGGACAGATATGGAACTGAACCTGCTGTAGGAAAGGCTATCAAAAAGAGTGGTGTGCCCCGCAAGGAACTGTTCGTTACAACCAAACTCTGGAACAACAAGCACCACCCCGACGACGTGGCTCAAGCTCTTCAAGATTCCCTCGATGATCTAGGCTTGGATTATGTCGACCTTTACCTGATGCACTGGCCTGTTGCCTGGAAGCGCGGTACCGAGCTTTTCCCCAAAGAGAATGGAAAGCCAGCTGTGATAGATGTCGACTACGTTGACGTAAGTCCCTAATAGGTGGCCCTCCAGCTACAGGAAACATGGCTGACTTTACACGCAACAGACATACAAAGCAATGGAAAAGTTGTTGTCCACCGGAAAGGTCAAAGCAATTGGCGTGTCAAACTTCTCCAAGGCTGAGATGGAGCATCTGTTGAAGAATACTTCTGTCGTACCAGCGGTACATCAGTTAGAGGGTCACCCGTGGCTGCAGCAACGTTCGTTCGTCGACTGGCACAAAGACAGAGGCATTCATGTCACACACTACTCGCCATTCGGAAACCAGAACGAGCTCTATAGCCGGGAGGGCACTATCGGTAAGCTAATCGATGATCCAGTCCTGGTTGAGATTGGCAAGAAGTACAACAAGAGCTCGGCTCAGGTTGCCCTTGGTAAGTGCTGGAAACTGAAGTGCCTATGACTAGCGACAGGACTAACCATGGCTTCTAGCCTGGGGTGTTACGCAGGGCCACTCGGTGCTTCCCAAGTCCAAGACCCCTTCGAGAATTAGGGACAACTTGGCAGGTGACTTCAAGTTGAGCGAAGAAGATATGCAGAAGATCCATGGCATCGACAGAAAGCTTCGATTCAACGACAGCAGCTCTGACTTTGGTAGGGATTTCTTCTCCGACTTAGATGGAAAGAAATGAGTTTGTCAGCACTACATATTAAGCCTTAGGAGATGATTGTACGATTATATTCATGACTCTTATTATAACTTTTTGAATACTTCAAAACTTAAATGTTACATGTATTTACCAAAACCCTCAAGTTATATCACATCCTTAGCTCAGGATCTGGCATCCTTATTCTAGGAGTGATCAAAAAACCATAGGCTATTCTACCATCCGGTGACCCTTCGTATAAGCTTCTATACTCACATCTTGAGCAAGTGCTCCATGTATCCTAGTAGCTAAAAAACACGGGACATCATTAATATGAGAGGAAACTTGGAAGGCATATCAGAAGGTACCTGATATTATTCGGCCTACTCGCCTATAACAAATGCAAAAGCTTGCTCCAACATGCAAGAACACCCTATAAAAACCCACGACTCAACTGAAAATCATCCCTGAAAGCTCCAAATAACTGAACATGATAGATCGAATCTTGCTCCTTTTGATCAATAAAAGACCAGACTCTAAAATCAGTCCGATTCAGGCTGCCAACAGATCTCAACCTAACACTTCGAGCGTCGGAAAATGTATCGTGGAGGGCAACGGTGGCACTCTTCGCAGGTAAAACCCCAGTTATGCTTTCGCTGCAAGTGACGAGCGGCTTTTTGAACTTGTTTCTCTCGACGTTGATTACTGTCATCACCATGTCGATCACTGATCTGGTTTGTACGAGCAAAATCTTCTCGCTCATTGCAATACTAGTGCCTACACCTACAACGGCACATTTTCCACCTCCGACCACAATTATAACAAAACTCTGCGCCGCAACGGCACCTTCAGGAATTAGCATCAGCAACATAGGCGCAGATGAAGAGCAATCCTTACTGGATCCAGCTACAGCCATCTCTCAATTCCACAACCGCGCAACAGGCGTAACATCTCTGCCACCCCTTTCGTTTTGCTAAACGAAGTAACTTTCGGATTTCAGGGTCATCGGGGCAATCGAAAGGGTGATTTTGCCTCTTGCAGATACTGCAGGTTATAGCCTCGCAGCTTGAACAGACCGCAACGTTATTACAAATAGAGGTTGGGGGGATGAACTGCGAGCAAGTCGGAGAGCTGCAGTATGTTCTGTCTACAATCTTCTGATCCTTCTCTCTGTTTATGAACCTCACAACGAGATCAGCTGGGATATAGGAGCGCACGCGGTTCACGGTGACTCGCTCCCGACAGCAGCGAGGAGGGAATAGTGATTCATCCTTAATGGATGATTCAATGTGTTGTTTCAGACAATTTCGGCAGTAACGGTGTTTACATGCTAGCTGAGCTAGATCGCGAGATAGCTTGGGCTCGTAGCAGACCTCACACTTACCATATTGCTGGTCAGCTCCTGTACCCTTTGAGGGGAAGAAAAACCCCCAGATCTTCTTCAACATGGCTTCGGCGACTGGCTCATTCTCACCCGCGGGGTGTATTGTTTGCTTATGGTCCTGAGATACTGCCCGCTCCTGTTCTCCGTCAAACTAGATCATCGGTGACGCTGATGGATGTAATGCTCTGCGTCATTGCCCTATCCATTAAGCATGTCTTTTAATGGATGGACAAACTTAATTGTAGCTCAGGGCACAACCATCATATCAGAACCGGGGGCTCTTGGGCGGCAATGCAGGATATCTTTCATGTTTTTCATCTTTGACCTCCGGATATCAAGTACCTTGGGCCTTCTAGCTTCGGGGGGAGACTAAATGTTCCAGAGTCAACTGGACTGCTTTCTGAAGGAGTTACTCATGAGTGATATTCATTGTACTCTACTTGCTTTTGAAATGAGATAGTCTCCTGGAGCTTTACAGTTGACTACTGATCCACTGTTACTTTAACCAGTATCCATAGAGACTTACTTAGATATCTCATTAAGGGACATCATATAAGTTAGAAGTTTTGGCTCTACACCATAGAAAAGCCACGAATTTGCCCCTTCTATGGAATTCTTTCTTATTGGTCTCTAGCAGGCCGTGTTGGATCCAAGCTAGCCGAAATAATTATAGAAACTAATGGCCTAAAATAAGTGAACATGGTAGACCCTTCCTGTGAGAGTTCCCTGACAGTAACATAATCGGTTCCCCACAGCAGAGCTTTAATAGCGATGACCCTTGCACCTACGAGGTACATCAATACCCTTGCGGATGCTTCGGCCGAAAGCGAGAAGGTAGACGTGACTAGTCCGGGTGCAAGGATTTCCAAGGAACAAAAAGTGGCTCAGTATTTAGTGATCAACTTAGCTGCATATTTTCTATAGCATACAAAGCCATGAGTGAACTCAAAATGCATAGAAAAAGGTAAATAGGCGGGGGAAAAGAGGGGTCAGAGGTTAAGCCCGTGGAACCACCCTAGATACATGGAGCTTGCGTGCCTCAAAAGATGCTGGCATGGATGGGATTATATCCCTCATACCATCACACGACTTTCTGTTACAGCCACCTGATGAGAGTCCCATGATTAGTGCCTTCGCCCGGGTGGATGTAGACTCCCTTCCACCTATACTTCAAGGCTGGCGTTGCCTTGGCATGGCCCCAAAAGGTGTCTGATTTCTGATTTGCTACTGTTGACGGGTCGGCCCTCGCAGCTGCGGCACGGCACGGCACGCTGGTGGGAACTTTACCCCTGTAGTGATGTTCCTTCACTGCAGTTCACATTATGGCTTGCCAATTATAGGCACAGCAAGCTAGGATTTGTTTTGATTGGTGACGGAATTTGTTCATAGGCACACAGCAGGAATATCATCCCCCAATATCCTGTTATGGGTTAGCCTGGCTCTGTGATCCTGGTGTACTACTTACTTTAAATTGATTGGGAGTCAATCCACAGGAGCATCCTGATATATGAAATTATATTTTTCCCATCGTGTGATATGGGGGTTCACAGATTAAATCCTTACAAAGGGATGGACTATTCCCTAGAGGAAAGGATATAGTATCCATGGGCTGTGGCTTACCAAGTGAGTGACTGACATAATTGATATAACTTTGCAGAAAGAAACCCAACTTTCGAGGTTCGTCTTCTTATATACATTCTCACTAGTAGTATTGTATCAAATTTTTGCCACATATAGTGACACCTAGTCAGAGTAGCCGGTGAACAGAAAGCAAGTTATCTACCGTCGTATCTCGCCGCATCAAATTCCTTAAGGGACCCTTAACGCCATGTTTTCAGACGTTGTAACAGTTGGCAAAAGTCTCTAGCCTCTGCCTGCACATATAAAATCCACCTAAAGGTGAAAGGAGCAAGGTGAATTTTTGATCGAGCTATTCCCTACTTACAATCAATATTGTTTTATTTTTAAATCACCTGATCTAAGGGGTTATTGTTTCCCTTTAGCGGGCTATCAACTGATAAGAGCGGTCCTCCTTCAGGTTCATTCATATATGGGATACAAATGTTTGGTTATGGGCCAAAATAAAAGCCAGATATTGGTGTGACGCTAATATTTGATACTAAGGGAACTCATGAGGTTCAGGTTTGAAGTATAATAAATTCATTTCCATGAGATAAACTTACTACCTACGGAGATTATATGAGTCTGCGAAGGAAGTTATAGCACAGAGAAAGCAAGAGAATGAAAAGTAAATAAAAAAAATAAAAGAGCTTAAAGCAGCAATACATCTTTAGAAAGATGAAATATGTATTTTCACCAAAAATCAGGCCTTCGTTCGCAGAGAAGAAAACGATTCAAGACTGAAACCGGCGTCCAGCAAGGGAAACTCGTTGCCCACCATTTCAAGGACATCGGACATCAGCCTACAGCTATCGTATGTGTATGACTTGTCGATTTCGTAACACCCGGCCATCAAACTCATGAAACTGTAGCCGGAAAATGGTGCCTCGGGCTTTGGCGAAAGTATTTCTAGCTCATCCATCCCTTTAGCCAATGCTCCCAGTCTCATGATATCGCATCCAAAGCCACACTGCTGGGGCCCGTGGCGTAAGCGTTCAAGAAGTTCATGAAGGCTGTCGATGACCTTGCCAATGCTCATTTCCCTCGACTTTTGCAGCGTATCTGTTGAGAAAACAATGTCTCGGTTTTTATGTATGTTCTAGAACTGTAGGCCTGGTGGTCATGGATGTACATACCTATGAGATTTGTAGGAATTGGTAATCCATTTGGCGTGACCCGTTCTTTGCTTTCAAGCTGGAGATGCCTCGTTATGTCTTTGAAGGCGCGGTTCTGTCGAAAGACCCATGCAATACATAGCCACTTGATAGCGTTTCCCATAGATAGCTTTTGCTGTCTTTCCTCTATGCCTTCAGTCCATAGATCGGCAAACATAGCGACAGCCTCGTAACACTCGTAATAGTCAACAAGGATAGCCATCTCGGTCAGTCGACGCAAGGGTAGTTTTCGCGGTACTAACTGGCTCTGGCCGTGAAGGATAGCCATCAATAGTAGGAAAGGCAAAGGCTTCCAATCATGAGTCGTTATCTTCACGTAGCCTGTAGATTGAAGCTCGTTGCCTTCCTGGAACCCCTTTTGGAATGTGCGCTTGAAATGCGGGCTAGCGAGCATCAGGTGTTTCGAGGATGTACGAATATGCAAGCTGGGAGAGAGGGCGCTTTTGACCGCTTGCACTAAGTTGGTCGTTGGGGTACGATTTATCGCTACTTCTGAGCTCATGGAGGTGGGATATGATTGTTTTCTTTGCGAAGACTTGTTAGTATATCTGGTGACATAGACGTTTGGCATTGTCGTACCGGTCATAGATTCCCGAGAGGAATGATGCATTGATCTCGCCTAAACGATATGGCAGAGACTTTGGGACATCTTCAAAGACGAACGTTACGTCTCCCTCAGGATCAAACTCATAGTATCTGTCCGGCATCGCGAGGTCTGGTAGATGTTTGCTTGGCTGTCTTGGTGCGTGAACTTCGAACATCATAAAAAGAAACTATGTGAGAGTTTGGCCAAGCGCCGAAGTCGAAGCAGAAGAAGAGTAGAATTGTCTACCATAAAGGGGCAATAGGTTGCGGATGTGTTACTTTTGGAAGAAGATATTCCTGAACATTTGCGGGCAGAAATCCACACCTGCAGTAACACAAGTCCCCCAACTTAGCTTATCTATTATTCCCCAAGCATCTACCCTAAAAGTCATACGTCTCTGCATGCTTTTATATCACTACGAAGACTAAGAGGGACCAGGACACGCTCTACCGTATCGTTCATATCCTACCTCAAAAAGATATTCACCACAGGCGAGGCAGCGGCGAAAAGTGGGAGTGTCTGGCGTCACTTGAAGTTCCCAAGGAATCCTATCGTGTATCTTTTCAACAGGAAGGAGCATGTAGCAATCAACGGATCCTAGACAACTCCTTCATATGAGAGTGTCCTGCTTTAAAGTTGATCACCAAGCACCTCAGGCTCCTCCGCCTATTGACCCCCCGCAGAGAGGCAGCATATCGTCAAGAAAACGCAAATTGGCGAGGCATGCTGCTCCAGCAGCCACCTGAATCCTATTTCGGAATTATGGCAATCGAGTATAGGCCGTCTTTAATAACAAGGTAGTGTCATGGAAGTCAATGTCCGCTTAGCCGATCTTTAGAACGGGGTGACATGAGAGCTATTTGTTTGATAGCCTCTACCCTATGATTGACTCCGGGATACCCAATACTATCCATTAGTTATGGAAAACAACCGACATCCGAAAATACTCAAAAGAACTGAAAGCATCCCACGAGTCATGGAAGACCACTCTTGAGACTCAATATAACTTGAGCCTGTCACGGCTGTGTTATAGCTACACATCTAACCCAAATGCAGCAACCTGGATGACAGAAGGTTACCGTCTCAATACAGGAGCTCCATTTACTTCGTTTCATCTATTGACCTAGTATAGAAAGGTCCCACTAGGCATGTAACGCCAACTTACGCATTAAACTAGCTGGTGAGCAAAATGTCTGTAAATCTGTTTTGACAAAAGCTCGGGATGTCTGTTATCCGCCAAGAAAGGATATTCAGGAGGCATGAAAGCGAGAGAGACAGCCAGATTGTAGACTTTGTTGCAGAGTGATATGCAGGGTTACATGAGACTCATCGAGCAAGCCTAAGCGGGAGTGTTCTCGGATCGAGCCGATGCGTCCGTCGGCAGCCTGCATCTCGAGATAGTAAATTACGGGGAAAAAAAATCACAATCGCTGAAGATGAGGATATGTACAATGACCAATACTCCGGCAGTTATCCTCCGTACGATCCGGACCTGTTTATGGCTTGGTTATGCTTACCGTCTTTACGCTCTCTTGATTTGAGTAAACTGGAGACGCTGATACTCGCTCGCACTACGATTTCTGAAAAGGATGTTAGCTTTCTTCTTTCCCAAGCCCCAAAGCTGAAGAATCTACGTCTTGGAAATGGCTTATGGATATAGAAATGAGCCGATACTAAAAGGATAACCCGATGCTAGCGCAAGCTCTAGTATCTGTAGGCCAGATCATGGAGCAGCTTTCCATAGGGGTGGAGTACGACCCCTTCAAATTTGGGCGATCGCTACTGGTATGAGGCGGATGACCATATCCGCGATCCGTTCCATAGAATTCTGAACAAGTTTCCAAATCTTTAAGTGACTGAGATGCCTCTCTGCGCTGGTATGTCAAAGATGCAGTCGTTGGCCCTCTGTTGCCAAAGGCGCTCCGCAAACTGGTTCTACGAAACCATATGATGAGCCTATATGACTTTAATTGGGAGGAGAATGGGGCGATCGACCTGGTACATCGCTTCCTACCTGATGTACGCACCTATACCCCCGACCTGGAAGAGATCACCCTGCGGCTATGGATCCAGAACCATACCAAACATTACAAGGAACGTAGGGAAGAGTTGCATCGTGCATGTGAGGAGGTGGGCCTGACGTTGAAAGTGGTTTGAGGATAATATACAATCTGGTCTGTGGAGTGAAGAAGATCTCGAGCACCTCGAGGGAGAAATCGAAAAAGATGTCGAAAAAGATGTCGACTCAGTTCATTTCATAGATTGTGGATTGTCATCTCCATTCACTTCCACTTGAAGTTTGACCTAGAAGTCTCCCCGCAAACTGACAGGGGTAATGATAATATATACGTGAGAACTCGAAAGTAGTTTTGTGATGGATAGCAATGTCGAGGCTCTCGAGTAAGCCAGTGGCACTGGGTCATATACTTCTGGCAATGGATCCTTAAAGCATGCCCAATCCAGTCACCTCTCCATATATGCATCCCTGGGTTGTAATCAGTAGTAAGCTGGGAGTGGCTACACATCGCCGATAGAATTCAATCCATTCATCATGAGATATCGATTTTGCGCCCCCGCGGGCTTGACGGCTATTTTGCCTCGTCTACTTCTTTATCTGTATATTAATGGCTCAGCCTACCTCAGTTACCTCGCATATCTTCCGAACCAAGAAGCCGGGGATTATTCATTCTTGGATACCTTTGTCTGACCCAAGTCCATCATCCTAATCTACAAGAATTAGGACACAAGAACGAATGTGGTCACTTACGCGAAATCACTTGCTGTCCCACTAGAATGAAGGAAGTTCCCGGCTATAAGGGCCTATTTGAACTTGAAATATACAACGACTGCTGGGGGTATTGTATATCCTCGGCCGATCTTGGGTAAGGGCTAGGTCTGAGTAGACATCGCAGATGACGGGCAGCCTGACTACCTCGACACGCTGGATATTGTGAGGATAGCCCTTGTATGTCGACAACAACCAGGCATCGTTAGCCCTAAGAAGCCCGAGGATATCGTCACCATTCCAGAGCTTGACGGTGTAACTAGCCAAGTCAACTATGCTTGTTTTACGAGCAGCCATGGCACCAGTAGCTGAGGTTTTAGGGTTATGATCTGTTTCCTTGCTGGTTGAACATTATGAAATTTCGGCCCTCTCTTATCCGATGTGTATTCCAGGATCTATATGATAAAAATTACGGAACTGCCAAGAAGTTACACTTTAGTCTAGCTTGCTGCACTAAGTTGACAAATGACTGGCGCCTAAAATTGAGTTTATACATATATATGAATGTGGAGATCCGGTTTATTTATTCCCAACTTCATGGTTGCCTAGACTGTGCATGGTCATCTTGTAGTATAAATCTGGTGTATTAGAAGTACATGCAGGATCTCACTTTACATAGGGAGACTACCTGTCTATAACCTGTAACTGGTAAACCGTAAGGTCTACATTCCGGCCATCCTTGGAACGACCATCTTGGCAAGACGGCAATGTCAACAAGCCAAGAACCCTCTGGAAAGCAAACATGATCATCCTCTTCAGCTCCAGTATAAAGTCTGTTAAATCGCGCCCTGAACCGATTGGTCCTGCGAAGTTAGCTTGGCGGCTATCTTTTCTTCGTTATATAAACTTCCATTCTCCCTAGCGGCTACTCAATCACCACTCCTTTCATTCATTCATTCCCTTGATCTTCCCTTTGAATACTAACAATAAAGTCACACTCTGTCCAACACCAAATAAATTCAATAAAAAAAATTAGCAAAAGAAATAAAAAGAGAAAAAAAAAAATTGAAAATGAAAAGTAGCGGAAAGTACCCCCACATGATACAGAACAGCAACATGGATATCAACACCGCAAAGCGTTTCCTCCCTATGCTAATATCCTATGTAATCGACTGGGTGTTTATCGTGTACGTATTGTATATTATACTATACACCTACCTACCTTACCTACATGTCAATATGGATGTATACTAATAAAAAGAAATAGCGGAATAGCTCTAATAGGCTACGGCTTCCACAAAGTCACTCCCAACCACCACCCCTTCACTCTCACAGATCCCAGTATCTCGTATCCCCACACGGCCGACGAAACGGTCACCACGGTGGTCCTGGCGGTGGTCGCTTTGATCGCGCCGGCTGTGATCGTTGTTCTCGCGACGCTGGTGTTTATCCCCGGGTCCCAGTCCCAGCTCTCACCGGACCGGGTCACGGCCTGGCGGTTGAAGATCTGGGAGTGGAATGCTGGATGGTTGGGGTTGGGGCTGGCGGTTGCTGGGGCGTTTATGGCGACGGAGGGGCTGAAGGATTTGTATGGACGGCCGAGGCCGGATATGTTGGCTCGGTGTGACCCCGATCTGAGCAATGTAGGGGCCTATGTGGTGGGCGGATTGGGAACGAGGTTGGAGGGGGCGCCGAGGGTGGTGAGTTGGGAGATTTGTAGGAATCGGGAGAAGGAGTTGGTGAAGGATGGGTTTGTGAGTTTTCCAAGTGGCCACTCTTCTTGTGAGTTCTTCTTCTTCTTCTTTTTTTTTTTTTTTTTTTTTTTTTTGTTTTACTCTTTTTATATCCTATGTTTGAGAACAGGAGTTGATTGTGATCTATTTCTAGTTGCCTTTGCCGGTTTGACATACTTGAGTCTGTGGTTATGCGCCAAGTTTGCCATTGCATTCCCCTATCTGGCACGTTCCCCCTTCGGCCAGGATCTGCGCGCCCAGAAGCGTGAGGCTATTCGGGTCCAGGGCGCTGCTCCGCCCGTGCTCATGGTGATCCTCGCCTTCGTGCCGATGGCGGTCGCCTTCTTCATCTCCGCCTCGCGCTGGTTTGACTACCGGCATCATGCCTTTGACATCATCTTCGGCTCCGTCATGGGCATGGTTTTCGCCTGGGGCGCATTCCACCTCTACCATCTCCCGATCACGCGCGGCGGCGGCTGGGCCTGGGGCGCAAGAAGCCGGCGACATGCCTTCTTCAAGGGCGTGGGACTCCCAAGCCACATCGGCGGCAACAACTGGTCCAGCATGAAAGACGTTTCCCAGACAGAAGCGCACACAACACAGGACATCGACCTAGAAAGCGCGCCACGCAATCTAACCGAATAAGTCTCACTGCCGCATCCCGCCAAGGAAAAAAAAAAAAAAAAAAAGAAGCCGCGCTAAAAGACCCAATACAGGGTGTGTTGGATATTGCAGTCCTCCCAATGTTAGTTAGTCATAGCCGTATGCCCATAGTCCGACCATATACCTCCAAGTTAGAACTTCATCATTCAACTCACACACAGTAAGTATACCGTGTACCATATCACCTCCACCCCCCAACCCTCCCCTCATCCCACCTCGCCTTCGCCTCCCTCCTAGCTTCCAACTTCGCCCCCTCAGCCCGCACCCTTCTCACCCAATCCGCAACCTCCTTCTCCGTCGCCCGTCCATGATGCTCCCCCTCCAGAAAACTCTCCTCGACGGCCTGACACACCGCCTCCTGCTCCCCGATCGACCCGGCAAGCCGCTGATACAGCGCCTTAGGCGACCACGGCGCCAGCGCAGCGTCCATATCCACCTGCTTCTTCCGCCACGAGACCTCTAGCGACTGGTGTGTAAGCAGAAGCGTCTCCGTCTCGCCGCGCAATTCTCCAACCCGCGCCTGCAGATCGAGTAAATGGGCCGCCAGGTCCTTGTTATACTTGAGTAAGGACAGGAGGTATTCCTGATGCGCGCTGAAGGAAGGGTGTCGGCTTGCTAGCGCCGAGATGAGGTTCGGATCTTGCAGGATCGTCTGTAGGTCCACCGTTCTGTCGATTTGTTAGATCATCTATATCACATTGCTTTTGGTTGAAAAGTGTAGAGTGAGTAAAGGGGACCCACGATTTGTCCTTCACGGGCTCTGGTAGCCAGCCCTCTTCGGCGCTGGGGGGTTTGGGGAGAGACGGCCCCGGTTGGCTTGTGTGGGGGGTGTAGTGGTGCATGTCTGCTCGGTAGGGTGGTTGCGGTGTTCCCGGGTGCGAGGGGTTGAGCTGCGGCGTACCCCGGCGACTGGCCTCGTGGCTGTCTGGCTTCGGAGGCGGGGGTGGAGGCGTGTCTAGGTTCAGTGCTGGGTTCATTGTTGCGATTGACTGGCTGGTTGAGGTTTATTGGATCGCCTTGGTTGAACTCTATGCGGGGAAGCCCATGCGGGTGGTCACGTGATACACAATGCTAACAGGATGGTTATAGGTCGATATATCTAGTCTGTGGTGTTGTAGTATATTGGGCTGACTTGGGAGGGAACTATCTGTGCGTAGGTGAATACTCTATATATGGCATACAATGGCTCGGAATGATTACAGTTGGAAATATAGTATAGGCGATGGATGCCTGAGGCTACCACAGATGGGATGATCATGGCCTTGAAACGAACGCTAGTCATAAGTACTACTTTTATAATAGACATCAAAAAGATCGGATATGTCCCGGCTGTCATGCATTGCATCCCTTGCGGCCTCTAGGCGATTGGAGTCCCGTATCCCACCTCCTGTAGCACATCTGGCGGGTAGTCCGCCACGACTTCCTGCAGCCAGGGGCACAGATAGCGAAAAGAGGAAGATTCTTACCTCCTGCACCTCATCTCTCGGGCCTGATTACTCCCCGGAGAACAGTGACCATACTCAAGCCCGAATAACAGGGACACGGCAAAGTCAGCCATTTCAAACCGACGCCAACCGGCCCCTCTCAGGAAGTCGGCAATCCGGGATACAGGTAACGGGCGCCATCAAGCAGCGCAGTAGCCCTTACTGAACAAGAACATTTCCCTTACGCAAGTGTGAAAAGAAAAAGCCTTAATCCACCCTCCGCCTCACCTCCCGCTCTGATGTATCAACACTCGACCCCCGAATAGCCTCCATAACCAACTCACGCAGCTGCGCCTGCGTCTCCTCACTCTGGAAATCTTCCCTCGCCGCTAACTCATCAATCCTCCGCTTGAACTCCGGATCCACCTGCTCGGTCCCTGCATTCGCCTCTTGCTCCGACATAGTCCCCAGATTAACCTGGATGTTCGGCGGCAGCGGCGGCGCCGGGTTCAGCGAGTCGGCAACCTGGTCCTGAGCGGGCAGAGGAGGCAGACCCATCACCTGGCGGAGGTAGGCGGCGACCTCGGGGAACGAGCCGTCGGCTTCAATGGTCTCCTGGGCGGTGAATCCCTCGTCGTTTTTGTGGGCGTAGTTCACGCCGAGCTCTTCGACGAGGCATTTGGCAATTTCGACGGTCTCGGTGACGAAGAGGCAGGTTTCGGCGTCTTCGTCGAGGAGGTTTACGTCTGCGTGGAATTCTTGGACGAGGGCGCGCAGGAGGTCGAGGTGGTTGTAGGAGGCTGCGGCGTGGAGGAGGGAGTAGCCGTGTTCATCTTGGTTGGAGGCGATGGAGGGGTTGGAGCGCAGGAGGGTGAGGAGGGCGGTTGGGTTGTCGCAGGCGAGGAGGTAGGGGTTGGGTTGCGACATGGTGATTTGAATGGAAAGTATGGCACAAAGAGAGGTTATTTATAGAATTAGAAGAGGGTGTGAAAGAAGCGTTGTGTACTGAATGGAAGTTCTTTGGGAGGTTTTTATTATAATTGAGGGGTTGCTTTAAATGTTTTTATTTCCCTTTTTTTTTTTATTTTTTCCTTTTAAGGTGAAAGTTTAAAGGCGGAACCGAAACCCCCCCAAATTAAGGTAATTTAAATTAAATGTATAAATGGAAAAACCAAGCCCCGCAGATCCTAAATCCAAATCAAATCAACATCGATAAGAAATTCAAGAGTCATCCATTGACTCATCTTCTTCGTATTACTACATTCCCTCCCCCCCTGCCTCACCTTCTTAGACTGTGCATACGCAGTTAAAAGAGCTCATTCCGATACTACCTTGTCTAACTCTCCTGCGCACATCCCTCCCTAGTCAGAACTCCCAGACAACCCCTCCAATACCTACCTCCGGACTGGCGCAATCAACCAAGAGATTCCTGTGTCTGCTCCAGACAAGATTCAAAATGGTCCAGCAGGACGCCGGAGACGTCGCACGGCTCGTCCAGTCCCTGGAAGCCGCCAGTAAGAGAGGCAAAGCCAAAGACAAGAAATCCTTCACATGCAAAAAGTCCACCTTCGCGGTCGCGGGCTCGGATAACATCTCCGTCGACTCATGGAAGTTCATGGACTGGGATTACAAACGCAGCGACCTCCCGACCTACGCGCGAGGCCTCTTCACGTCCCGGAGGAAAGACGGCACGCCTGAGATCTGCGTGCGTGGGTACGACAAGTTCTTCAATGTCGACGAAGTCAACGACACCAAGTGGAGGAATATCGAGAATAATACCCGCGGACCCTACGAGCTCAGCGTGAAGGAGAACGGATGCATTATCTTCTTTACCGGTCTGGAAGACGATACCCTACTAGTCTGCAGCAAACACTCGACAGGTATCCGGAATGATGCGGAGATAAGCCATGCGCAAGCCGGTGAACACTGGATCGAGCGCCATGTCTCGGCCGTGGGGAAGTCGGTGAAGGAATTGGCGCGAGAGTTGCGTCGCATGAATGCTACTGCAGTGGGTGAACTCTGTGACGATAGCTTTGAGGAACACGTCCTCGCGTACGATGAATCGGCCGCCGGGATCTACCTGCATGGAATCAACTACAATATGCCCGAGTTCATGACCTGTCCGGGCTCTGAAGTACATGCGTTTGCCGATAAATGGGGATTCAAGAAAGCCAAGTTTGTGGAATACGACGATATCGATTCGGTGAAGAGATTCCTCGAAGGGTGCGCAGAGTCAGGGACTTGGGATGGCCGGGAGACCGAAGGCTTCGTGATTCGGTGCCAGAAGAATGAACGGGGCAAGGGTCCGTTTCAGGATTGGTTTTTCAAATACAAGTTCGAGGAGCCGTATTTGATGTACAGACAGTGGCGCGAATGCACCAAGGCTGTAATAGCCGGAAAAGTCCCTAACATTAAGAAACACAAGAATATCACCGAGGAGTACCTGAAGTATGCTCGCAGACAGCTCGCCCAAAATCCTCAGTTGGCGAAGGATTACCAGCATAACCACGGCATTATCGCCATGCGAGAAGGCTTCCTCCAAGAACGCGGCCTGAAGGGGTCTGAGATCATTGCGATGGAGTCGGAAGGCGAGTATGAGGTGAAGGACGACGTGATCTTGGTTCCAATTGCCTCTCTCGGCTGTGGAAAGACGACGGTGGCTCTTGCGCTGGCCAAACTGTTCGGCTGGGGCCATGTGCAGAATGACAACATCCCCAAGCAGAAGAACAAGCCGAAAAAGTTCGCCCTAGACATCACGAACCTTCTCGGAATCCACCCGGTAGTGATTGCAGACCGGAACAACCACATGCGGCGCGAAAGACAGCAACTCATGGACGACATCTTCCCAGTTATCCCTAAAGCGAAGTTTGTAGCTCTGCAGTATGTCCACGAGCCCAAGGGGCAGATGCTTCCAGACATTCGGGAGGTTACGCGACGCCGGGTTCTCGACCGCGGTGACAATCACCAGACCATCCGTGCCGGAAGCAAAAATCCCGACGAGATCATCGGCATCATGGAGGGGTTCCTCAACCGTTTCGAGGGTGTCGACACCGACCGTGAACCGGACAAGAGTTTCCACGAGGTCATTGACCTCGACGTATCTGCCGATTCGCGAGAGAACCTGGAGACAGTAGTAACCGCACTCCATAAACGCTACCCCCAGGTCGTAAAAGAGGTCCCCACTCCACAGGAACTCGACGCCGCTCTCGACTGGGCAATGTCCGACTACCAGGTCGAGGTAGACCTCAGCCACCAGTACGGAGGGAAGCCCCAGAAGGACAAGAACATGAAAGGCCCCCAGTCGACCCCCACGCCCGTCCCAACCCCGGAGACTCTAGCAAAGGGCATCGAATACTTCTGCATCTCCCTCCCAGCGGCCGAGGTATCGGACCTACTCCAATCGTTATTCCCGCCCTCAACCGCTCCCGAGAAAGCTCGACTATACCGCCAGCTAGTGAACTCCCGCCGTATCCAGCCCACGTTCCACGTAACCTTGATCCATCGTGCCGTGAAGAAAGACTGCCCAGACATCTGGGACGCGTACACCCAGCAGTACATCCAGAAGATGAAGGAAAAGCCCGAGTCGGATCCCACCGTGACACCCGCCCTAGCGCCTGCTCGGGTCCGACTGGAACGCCTTCTCTGGGACGATCGCCTAATGACCTTCGTCGCTCGGATTATGCCCCCGGAAGACCAGGAGCAAGCCGGATGGGCTTGTGTGAATGATATCCCGCACGTTACGGTGGGTACAGTCTCGCCTCAGGTCAAACCCAAGGAGAGCAACGATCTGTTGCAGCGGTGGCATCAGGTGGGATCTGGGGGTGAAACTGGTATCTGGGAAGCTGATATCCCGGGTGTGAAGGTGGTATCGGGGACGGTTGGACTGGTAATGAGCAGGAAATAGTTTTACGACTGATTATGACTTGGCAAAAGTAGAAAAGCCTATCTGCTACTTAATGTAGGATTGGAACGGAAAGAAAAAACCAAGGGCGGGGGGGGGGAAGAGAAGTTATCATAGTAATGAATGAGCATACGTATTTAGACATTCAATTATTGTGCATGGTCTTATCCCGTAATTCTGCAAGTCTGGTATACGAGGCCCCGCTCCTGTTCTCAAGCTACATATAAAATACCTCGTGTATAAGGGAGGGAGAATATAAGTTGATAACTAGATACTACCCTAGTTCATGTGCAAGGGTGGGATAGAAGAATAGTTAGTATTGATATCTTGTACTACATCTACTTGAAATATACGCATGTCAAGGAGGAATAGCAGATATTCAAAGATGAGCGAACCGGCACAGACGCCGCGTGTTGCTACGTATCTCGAATATAAAACCGAACTTCGCACAGGGAAAAGCTCGCGATGGTTGAGTTAGTCTGGGGAGACCTTTAGGGGTAAAGATGAGTGATGGGATGACGTGTTAGGATAGCGAGTCTTGTAATCCGTTTCATTCATGATCATAAATAAATGCGATTTAGATCTGGACGCTCTCTCCCAATTCGTCATCCATCCATCAAGTTATACAAGGAATATAGAGTTGTAGAATACATAAGCTGTTTCTATCAGGTGACGACCGGTTAGTCCACAACATAAAGATGGCAAGTCAGCTGGTCATCCAAGTCGTAACGCGTTGGGCTCCGAACCGTCCCATGAATTGCAATCCAGTGCTACCCATGGGGAAGTAGCTGACCAGGTACCAGATCAGAGCGGCCAGCTGGAAGATCGACGAGATGAGTGTGAGGAAGGTGTTATGGAGCTGCGAGAAGATGAGAGTCAGCGGCGCTATTCAAATTAGAGTGCGAATTTCTTGGACATCGCTCGACAGGGATGTGGTAGATATGCGGCATCTGCGGTATATTCGTTGCCCCGAGCTCACATGTACCATGCACAGTGATGTCATGCAGATCTAGTCCTAGACTACTGTACGCTAGATCGCGCTTGCAACTATAAGGACGGCGCGCGGCAGAAGTGCAAAGGAAGACTAGGGGACGACACCATCCCCATGGAGGTATAGCACAAAACAGACAACTAAAACAAGGACTTACCCCGACGGCGAAGTACAGGGTCATGGCAATCGACCCAAAATAAGCGGCAGTAAAGGGTAGTCGTGATCCCGAGACCAAGTGCTTAGCGTAAACCAGGGGTCCCATGAGAACCGCCCATGACAGCAAGAACAGTAAGGAACCCACAGACCATCTAATGAAAACCGGTTCTGTCAGCCTCAAAACACTTGCGTGAGCGGTAGATGGTAATATGCATAGATGCTAGGTCCGATCAGAGTGCATGGCTCCCAGCCACACACGCCTTATACCGCTGCGTGCACGGTACCCTAAGAAAGCGTTGGCGTGCAGGAGCCTTGGGCGGATCCAGAGGGATGGGTCAATATTTGGAGACTTACAGGATGGCAAATTTGCGGGGTTTGAGCGTTAGGACCGGGAATAAGAAAAAGCAAATAAAGAAACAAACGGCAGCACCGGCATTGCATGCAATGAATACGAGCATCCGATCCCACCGACTCACTAGCGCGATCAATCAGCCTTGCGAACGCATTAGGAAAAGAAGGAAGAAGATCATGGCAAAAGACGGTAAAAAGAAACCAAGGGAGCGTATGTCCGCTCCTATAGTTTGCGTCCTGATGCAGGAACTGGATCTCCGTCACCTGGACTAGGCAGTGCAGAGTAAAATCAAGGAATGGGAATCTTTCGGAGAGTCGGTCATGAGTTCGGAAACTTACAGGCGAAGAAACTATCTTCCTCCTCCCGTCGACTTGCAGCTGGGAGGGGAGCTCCTGGAGCTTCGTGAGTGGGCAGTTGCACATATCCCTCGCCTTGGCCGAGCGGATTCCAGGACTGTAACCGGGATAGGAAAGAAGTAGACGAGGCGTTAGTGCGGACTGGGACGTCTGGGTCCCTCCGAGACCAGCCCAATGAGTTGACTGAATCGCGAAACGAATTAGTAGCCATGGTCGCTATTCGCTTTCCGAGTAAAACCTGTTTCTCCTTCCAGAATGGGGGAGTTAAAGATTTAGAAGGGCAGTAACTATTACTCCCGCGTTAGTGTAAACGGCGGGTAGGCCAGTGGGAATGCACCCTGAGTGGGCAAGCTGAGGAAACCTCTGCAGGGACTATGCACGACGGAAACCAATATGCGGGTGCAGATGATCTGCAGATATCAACGATGGTGGGTGGCCGAGAATGGGGCCAGCGACGGTGATAGGACCAAGCCAATGCGGGCCAGATGACTTTGCGCAACCGAGCTAGACTCCGAGCCTGGGGCACGGGGCAATCCTAATGAAGCGTCGCTGATGTGGGAGTCGCGTTGCGGTGATAAGCTTGTGATCGTCTTTTAGAGCAGTTCCAGATGGGTACCAAATGGTAAACGGCGCAGCCCTGTTCCCCCCGATTAAACTCTAGAAGGGGAAACTTTGACTCTCGAGGGTGATACGCAGAAAGAGGTGTATAGATCGAGCGGTGTAACGCTGCGTCCCACCGGAAATGACGATATATTCCACCAAAGGTATGCAAGCCGAGACGGTAAATCCCGTAGTGACTCACTGCGGAGATCGGAATGGGAGGGAGGGGGAAAGGCTGCAAGATGATATTATCCTAGACGGGCGGAACGGTGCGATAACACTGTATCGAGTGATCGTCTCTACACAGGCTGCACTATTAGCCATTGTCATATGACCTCCAAAAAGAGGAGAACTAAAAAAAAAAAGGGAAGAGGAGGGGGGAGGGGAAACAATTAGGGAAAGGAGGGGAGGGGGAAGGGGAAGAAGAGTGTGTGAGGGTGACGATGGTGG